TTTACGATCTATATGAGCCTTACTATCTATACATTAGATAGTTCTCTAAGTCCTTCGAACACGCGTAATAGTAAAAGATATAAGAAATCGCTTAGTAGTAGTATCGTACGAAGTCGAATAGATATAGTTAAAAAACATATTTCCCTCATCATCTAATAAAACGGAAGTGCGCGGCCGACTACATTATCTAATATATCTAGTCTGCAGTTATTATTATCTAAAGTTAGGACTAGAGTCGTCGTGATTATTTCGAGACGCGGAATATCACTGAGAAGGCTTTATATTAGTCTAGCCTTCCGTTAAATTAAATCTTAATTAACTTAATAATAGTTTAAAGGTCGAAGTTGTCGGATTCATTCCTTAAAAGAACTAATTTCGGCTACTTTATAGTTACGAAATATTTAGCGGATGTGCCTATATTCGCTTTTTTCGGCGAGTAGCGATAGATTCACCCACCATTAAGGTTCTGATTCTACTTCCCACGTGGATTTCTTTTCACCCGTGAAGCTTATCCGTCTATAACTAAAAAGCGACGGAGAGCGAAGAGTTAAAGCTAACGATATATAATCTAAGAAGCCTCAGATGCTAATGATACTTGCCGATCTTCGAAAGTAAATTCGCTTGTCTACACTTTAATGTTCGACTCACCATTATATAAAGAAGTAAATCGCTAACGCAGGGAACCTTTACACCTACCCCGGAATAATTTTTTCAATATCCTAGCTCCGGGCTCGTGGAACTTAGTATCTTCAAGAAAGATATAGGTCGACATAATTATATGCTTCATTAAGTAGATTCGGTCGAAGATCCGTGATCGAAGATTTTCCTCCTTAATCGCAGGAAAAATTTCTCCTAAAATCATTCGTATTTAAATAAAGATACGGTCCTCGTACGAGAGGCCTAGGCAGCGGCCTTAGAGATAATAAACGGTCCCGGGGTCCATAAGAAGCCTGTTAGTTTCACTTTCCTCGATAATAAAGGCCCATGTCTTCTTAACCTGGCGTACGCAGTGTGTAATCTCCTATAACGTCGTTAGTATATTCGGCGATAGCACGGATTAACACCGACCTCGGGGCAATGTAGGTTTAAGAGACGAGAGAAAGTCCTAATTCTTAGCGCAGGCTACAGTCCGGCGAAGAGAATCAGTGCATTAAGGCTATCTAAGAATTCTTAAGGCAAGGCTTCTAAACGTCTAACATAGTCTTACTTGCTGGCCGTTAACCTAGAAAGCTATTTCTTCCGTTATATCTTATCGTCACGCAGAGTTAAGATACGAATCTATCTAAGAATATCTCCGTCGTAGAATCTCGCACTATTCGGGTCATATTGTAACAAGGCGAGGTGGCTGTGTTGTGATGGGCTGTGCTGGGCTGGTAGAGCGGTGGCAGGTAGAGATCTGTTAGGTCACATGTCAAACCTAAATGGGCTGGTAGAGAAGGGGGTGCGGAACAGTTTACAGTGCTGGCAGTGTGCCATTCATTACAGATTGAACAGTTTAAGCAGAGTATCATGAATTCCATGGCTCTTTGGCGCTGTCTACCTGATTCCTGAGTGTTTTATCAGTCCTGTCCTGTTCCTCGCTACTGCCGCCGTGCTAGGTGTTCGTAGCCCTAGCCGCTGCCCTCTCTGGGTGGTGTTGGTGGTGTTGTTTTGTCAGTATCAACCAGAAACGCGTTCTCGATTCCCGATCTGCTGGATAGGCCTCTATGCGTTGTTGCACGTGCACGCCGAACCCTAAAGTGCTCTATTACAATATAAATGAAAAATCGAACGTAGAACTCTTAACTCTTTTCTTTATTACTTTAAACTAGCGTAAGTAAGTAAGCTTCTATTTCTCTATCGATTAGTACTAGTATCACTAAGTAAATAATTTTTTTAAGGCTTTTAATAATAAAAGAAGATAATAATATACTCATTAAAAATAGGTATTTTTAATGAAATCTTATTTAATAGAGCCTTATTTAAAAATTAAAAAAGTACATTAGAGAGAGTATCGTAAAGAGATTCTTTTATATATATAAAACTTTTCTATAAATGTTATAGTAATCTAAGGAAATAAAGAAAAGTGGTGAATGTTAAACTATTTACGCATTTTATAAGGACGCGAACGCGTTTCTACCCCAAAACTACGTATTGGAGCTCAGACCCTTCTCGCGAAGGCTTTTTGCTCCGCAAAACAGTGGGCCCTGCCCACTTATGGTAACTGAGCCGATGGGTCTGAGAACTGAGATAAGGTATTGGGCGGCCATGGAGCACCTCGTCTTGGCACCCGTTTGGGACAGCAGCCGGCCGCTTTGCTCAGGTATCATGTGATCTGGCTTAACCTCTGTATAAGCTGCTTAGCCTGCTTAGGCCGGTGCTCACTCTCCTTATCCTTCTCACCACCGGTACTTAGTCCCGTTTCTAGGCCTCCTCATTGTAGATCGATAGTAGGTCGGAGAAAACATGTCGAATACGCGACACAACCACGCCTTTTCTCTTTCACCGCTCCTCGCCAACATCTTCTATGCTATCACGCATGACCACTTTGATGCACGCTTTCCCATTGACTCGGTGTATGTGTGCATGCATCGGCCTACAAGGGGTCCCTGTTTCGACACCGAGGTTCATAGAAATGTACCCTGGCGGATGGTCGCGTAAAGTTTCCACATCTTCGAGCAAAAGATGGCGTGGGCATATAACGAGAGCGGGCCCAGAAACAGGACCGAGCAAAGGCCGGTGACGAGATGAGTGGGCGGCCTGCCTGAGCAGACTGAGCAACTCGCGCCGAGGCTGAGCCGACATGGTGCCTGAGCAAAGCGGCGCGGCCACGATCCCAAGCAGGCGGCTGGGCTCGATGCAGAGTCGCCGCTGAATACCCCATCATTGCCGGCTGGTCGCGAATTGGGACAAACAAGCATTTTTACTGGTCCAAGAGAGGGTTATCTCATCCATGGCTCTGGCGGAGACCTGTCTTACTTTAGTCGCTTTGTTGGCTTGGATTCTTTTCGAAGTGAAAAATTGGCCAATTTCTCCGCGCAGCAGCTACCAGATCGCGGTGTCTTTTACAACGGCTCGGAAGCAGTACTTGTCGGGGCGAGATTCGAGATGCAGCCTCCAGACGACGAAGTAGTTGAGCTCAACTTCGACTTCACTTTTAGATCGTCGAAGGGCTCCCTGCCAATCATATGTACCACCGTTTTCAGAATGTCGGCAGTCGACTTTGGATGCGCCCGCAGCCAGGCAATCTCGAAGTGGGCAACTGATAACCCTCTCCTAAATCAAATGTCCGCTCACCAAGTCCGGCCGCTTCTTCTTTTTCATAATCCGGCAGTTCGGAGGTGGGAAGTTTAGGCAATCATGGATCGGTCTATTCTAGAGGTTTTTCTCAACGATGGAGTGGAGGCTGGAACAGCCACAATCTTTTCAGAACCCCCAATCGATTCAGTTCACTTTCAAAGCAGCAAATTTCCAATATGGGCGACTTTGAGCGTGAACATAGAGAAGTTGAGACCCGAGCCGGGTCGCTCAGTTTCCCAATTGAGCACCCAGAATCGACTAATTGAGCAAAATGGTGTCGCCCTCGAGGAAGCATGATGCATATCTCTTATATCCAGATTATTCTCCAGACTTTTATGCCTCGAAATCTAATGATATTAGCGAATGCAGTCAACAGTGGCCCGTAGCCGCCGTTACGGACGACTTCCGACGTCACAAAGTTCACAGGAATCCCAGTGTGCTCGGAGCAGAAATTTAAAAAACTTCGCAAATACCGCATTTGCACAATTTAAGTAAATCTGCTCAACAATATTAAGGGAAATAATAGAAGGAAAGAGATAAAAAGCGAGAGGCAGTATATTAACAGAATTAAGCAAGGGTAGCAAAGAGATTAAATCTTGACGCTAATCCGTAAATCTTTCGAAACAAACTTAGATATTAAACTGTATTGAGAAGTTTCAGCAGTAAGGGCCCATCAACGTAATCATATCTACGCCCTTCAATCGAGGAGAGCTGATAGGCATATACTGAGTAATCACTTATGATGCGGCGGTAGTGTCTTAGGATGGTCTGGCCCATATGTCATCCTTTGAAACTTTGATCACTTCATCGTCCAGGGTCCATCTTGTCAATCTTCACCACTTCGACATCATACCTGACATACGAATCCACGCCACTGTCGTCAACCTTGTACTTCTCATACACCTTCACCTTGGGCTTTGAGACCTTCGGCGCGCCAGGCCCGGTCTTGACCTGCTCCAACTTCCCCGTCGTATTATCCCTGAAAATGACCTTATCCGTCGCCCTTGCCACCCTACTCACATTCGCCTCGCCGAGGCGGAAACTAATATCGACGGTCCTCGCGTCGTTGATAACCATGAACGGCCTCGCGGATGCATACCTCGGCATCAGCCGTACTTGGAGGTAATCCGCAGTGAAGTTCAGGTACGGGACGAAGCGCTGGTTGTTGAGCATCCGCACGCCGGGGCCCGTGTAGCTCTGCTCGAGCAGACTCTCCAGCTGCCCCGGGGCTTTCATCACACCGTCGGTGGGGAACTCGACGCCGATTTCGGTGAGTTCGTACTCGCTTGCACCGACGAGGGGGTCCCGGCGGATCGAGACGACGATGTCATAGTAGTAGTTGTTCTGGGTGGGGAGGTGGTGGTTCGAGTCAAATACATTGGATTCGAAAGGTCGGCCGTCGGGTCGGTGGGTGGGTGGCAACCCTTTATAGTCGGCGTAGATGGTGACGAGGAAGCGGCGGTCTCGATGAATTGGATTCGACGGTTGGGTACCAAGATAGTCGGAGAGGGTCTTGCCAGTCGTGTTACCACCAGGTGAGTTGCTCGGTGGTTGTATGTTCTGCGAGATTGGTTTGGCTGGGGTTGCTGGGAGTGCGGGACTGGGATCTGGCTTTGGTATCGGCCCAGGATCTGGATGTTTGGGCTTTCTTTCCAAGCCGACCCAGAGTTGACGCTGAACTAGCGGCACATTGTCGAGTCCGGGCGTGTTGTCTGATCCAAGACTGGTTGGAACTATGCGGAAGTAGTAGCTTGGATCGTTCAATTCCAGCCCCAGAACTACAGAGCTCGTGACCTTGTCCACATAGCCATCCTCTGGCGTGTCTTTCTGAAGGAGGGAATTCATTTCTAGTGAAGAAGTCAGTGGAAACCGCCGCTTGCTTCCATTCCATTCCACTTACCTGATGCCATCTTGACGGTCTTGAGACAACGAGATGGAAAATCGAACCAAGACTGTTGTTGCTCAATGGTTGGCTCCTTATTGTCTGGAACCACTGGCCATTCGCTTTCGAGCCGTTCCTCTGAAGCTCTGGTGTAAAGCTGCCTCAGCTTGAATTCGACCGTAGGGGGAGTGCCGATCAACTGGTACCCGAGAGAGAAGCGTTGCTGATGAGGAGGTTGTGCCAGCTCTATCGACTTCAATTGTTCGAGTGATCGGTCCAGTAGGCACAATATCGTGGTATCGTTCAGCTTCGTGTATCGACAAACGGGAACCATGTCAGGATGAGCGTCTTTCCAAGTCACTGTGATCCGGAGATCCGGCATCACCTTAACCAGTGCTGACCTCAATATGAACCCGCAGCTGGGTATTTGAGGCTTGACCTGAACACGCGTGCCATCGTCTCTGGTGAAGTCAACAATGTTCTTGCTGAGATAGACGTTGAATGTCTGTTTGATCCGCAGCCTGGTTGTGTCGTCGTCGCGCTCGAGGTGATTGGCAACCGACAATGCTCCATCAATGAGGCAGTCAACCCACGTGTCGTCGATGTAGAAGAAACGAATGGCTTCTGATGGCAGGTAAGAGGGCTCTGGGATAAGATAGTGTGCGGGGATCCCAGACAAATAGAGCTTTTCACTCAGCCATGTGAAGATAGTGACCCAGTCGGTGTTGTTGGCTCCTGCAGCATTGAATTCATTGTAGATCTCTGTCTCTGCACTTCCTTGAAAATTGACAGCAGCGCACAAATGTCGTTGGAACAGTTCGGCAAGTCTTGGGTGTCCTAGGTCAGTAAGAAGCTCTCGGGTCGTGACCAGTGGTACCCTCTGCGGATCGGTTGCAGCACTTTTTGTTAGGCTGTGGATGACCTTGATGTTTTTTGCCACAGCTCCTAGGATTTGGCTTGGGCAGGCTACATTGTTGGCTTCATTGCGCGCATTGCTAGCGGCAATTGCGTGCACCTGCGATCTGAGCCGCATCAAAGCAGAACTGAAGGTCGTGTCAGATATGGCAAGTGTCTTACCCAGTTGCCATGCAGCCGAGTACGAAAGATCCATCAGCCCCGTTCCCTTGTCCAAAATCTGGTATTCTTTGGACGTGTTGGAGGCTCCGGCCCAGTCCTGGACGGGAGGGCTGACGACTTGTTCAGGTACCAACGGGCCTCTGTTGAATGCGGAAACTTCCTCTCCTGTCTCTGCTCGCCAACGGCACATCGTGTATCCGAGTTTGAGGCGCGAGGTCACTTGTTTTGCAGCGTCTGACAACTTGATAGCATCCGGGAGCTTGGCGAATTGATTGACTCGCAGCATCTGCTGATTCTCCACCAAGTTCGTTATCGTATCAACCTTGATATGTTAGATCAGTGTCATTCACGAAGGGAAAAAAGCGTTGTTTCATACAAAGTTAACAGGATTTGGTGGCAGGGCGGTGTAGATCCATGAGTAGAGGGACACCATTGCTATCCGATCAGTAGACGTGGGATTCTTGGTAACAAACTTGTTGACCTGCTGATAAGTCGAATCAATGTGTTCAAGAGATACCAGATGACAAATCTGGGTGGTTGGTTGTGAAATGTTGAAATTACCTGTCCGATGGGAAACAACGATGGAAAAAAGTCCAGACGCTTCGACACCAGCATCTGGGAAGCCCACTGTATTTACTTCCCTCACATGTGCCATGTACCTGAACGAGTCAATATTGTGGGTAGATTGGTCCGCAGGATTTGCAAAGATGTCGCCGAAGAGCTTCTTTGTTGGAAATATCACATTGGTGCCCTCGGGGGACACCGAAAGGCCATCGGTTGGGTCGGTCCAGAGAGAATTTAATCCTTTCGTGTCAGGATCAAGGTAGCCTGCCTCGTAGTTGATCCGTGATGCAGGATCAAGGCCCAAGTAGTCTTTGACGCTCATGGAAAACGAGTTGGAGGGCAGGACCTTGGCCTCCAGGTCCTTTACGTCGGCCCCAGGCGCAATGTAGCTGGGGATTTGGAGCTTCTCGCCCTCCCCAGGCGCCAGTTTCAACTCGGCTGGATCAAAAACAATGAGGGCTAGCCACGGGACCATGTTGCGATAAACCGTGGCAGCAGTACCGTCCGTGGCTATATCCTTGTCCTGCTGGCTATTGATAGTCTCACCTGCATCTCGCTCCCACGGGACGTGAGGGTCATTGAATACAATGTGAGGCAAGACCCGTGCCTCATCCGCATGGCCGTCAGGAGGATAATGACTATTGACCAGCTTCGGATCCAAGGAGAATTGAGGCGCAATGACATTGAATTTCTGAGGTACCAGAGGCACATGCCCAGTGGTGTGGTTGTAGATTGATAATGGCTCATTGTGTACGAAGCCTTCCACATCGGGAGAGGTGACCTGTTGTTGCGCCTCGATGATATATTGGCCGGCCTCGAGAGAAGGCTTGTAATACCTGATTACATTGGCAATCCACCGCATGCGAAGAAGTGATATGTTGCTTACGCAAATAACCTCATATGATTCGGCTTGAGAGTATCTGGATCATCATCTAGCTTAAATGAACTCGACTCCCTGACTTTCCGTGATAGATGGTTGACCATTAGCGATCTGGGATCGGTGCCTGGCAGTGTCTTGAACCCCATCTTGGCACCGAGTTGAGTGTTGGGCACCAGGCGTGTTCGTTGAACTTGCAGGATAACAGCCTCGGACTCAGTTCGTGCTGCTGAGATATCTCTAGGATTCCAGAGTTGGCCTTGTGAAGAGCTTGCCTGAGCCGACTTCACCAGGTGCGAGTTGTTTCTGGTAGGAAGGACATGTTGGCTAAGCCTGGCTGTTTTACGACCTCCGTATTTACACTGTACGGAGGGTGAAAAACTGGCCCAGGGTATTTTGATGTCAAAATACAAGTTATTGAGTTGACATTACAAATCCTGAGTGCTCTTCTGTGTACGCTTAGCAAGTTAGCAGCATCGGGCACGCGCACGCACGTTTAGGGAAGGCGTTTCAGCTGAACCCCGTATTTTGGCCAGTGGACAAAGCATGCACTTCAAGCTTCACCCCTCTCCGCGGCGCTCGTATTTCCGTCTCCATGGTGACACAGGAACCTCAGCCGACTTCGAAAGCGCCACATGTTGATTGAGCAAGCCGAGCAACACGAGGACGCGATATTTCTGCTCGTTGTCTCTTATCACCCACAACCAAGATTGCAGGAGGAGCTTTTTTCTTTTTCTGTGCGACACATGTCGGGGGCATGGACATCTACCCAGTACAACGTTGCCGCTATTCCATTTGCCCGTAAGTTGTGATCTCTTAGGAGCGATCTTCGTCAGATGGCGCGCTGGACTCAGTGGCTGGCGATCTTTATTCCTCTATGTCTGGCTATTCTTGCCATGTCATTTGCAATCACCGCAACAACATCCAAGGAATGGGTAAGCATATCCTCTATCAAATCGATACCCATCCCTTTCTAGACCGTACTGAATTCTTGCTGTAAAGGCAATTCAAAAGGTTTTTGACCCCAACGACGTCGCCGGGGCTCGACAATCAGGCTGGACGAATCCAATTTACACCAAATACCGATCCCCCTTTATCATCTGCAACAATAAGACAACTTGCTTGAGGTACCCACCCTCAGGCACCGGGAAAACCAGCTGCGAGCTAGTTCGAGTTCTCCTGGATGACGAGCCATGGTCCATTGGAGGTGGGTAACTTCTCATTCCAGGTTTGATCCCCAAATTGATCAAGACTAACGGCGGTGCAGATGAAAGATTGTATGTCTCGGTCGGAAAGAGGCAATACGCCAGCCGCGAAAACATGGCTAATTGTCATTTAGATGTCAGCAAATCCACACTGCCGGCAACCTCGCCATCGCAAGCACAACATTCATCGGTGTTGCATTCCTTCTCACGGTCGTTCTGGTTCTCGCGTCGGTACAATTTCTAAATAGCAGTTCCGCTAACGGCACTGTCGCTTCCAAACGGGGAGAGAAGACTGCCGATGGTGATGGCGAAGCCCGTGGTACGACAACCACCGAACGATTGCCCCAGCAAAGGCACACATCCTTCCTCGGATCTACAGCTCCGTATTTGAACCTCGCCCTGATCGTCTTCTCCTTACTCGGAGCGGCCATGTATTTCATCGCACAGTTCTACGGCGTTGAAGCCTTGGTGCAGTCGGCTCCCGACAACGGGGGTAAGTACTATCATAATCTCATCCCATCCTCGTTTGTGGGCTCCTTGTTGTACGCGAGCCTACATCCGCGGATTTATATCAATTGCTGACGCCCCTTCCTCTCTCCCTAGCGTATGCCGACCAAGGGCCCGTGGGACTCGCAGCTAACAATTATCAGCCCTGGATTCAGGGCAAGGCTATCTCGATCTACGGGACGATCGCCTGGCTGGCGAGCTTGATGGCAGCTGGTGCGGCGGCAAGTACGTGGGGTCTACCGAGTTTCGGAAAGCTGCTCTGAACGGCGACCGAGGGTATTAGTATGTCAAATGTCTATAATTGCTGTTACAGTTGTCATGGTCCATTCCTTCCGTCCGGACATCTGGAAGCAAAAATAGCGGTTGAGTCGGGATCCGTAAATTGTCTTCAACATTTCTTAAAATAAAAAAGAGGAGTTCACATCGATGTTAACTACTGTTTATTTGCATTTTCCGAATGTTCAGTTCCTATCCACCTTTCGCTGGTGCCTGCGGATTCGTCAGCAGTGGTTTCGCCAGCTGCAAATAACCTTCCACAAAAGTGTAGGGCGCCCTATCATTCCTGATCAGGGTATCCTCCTCGCCCACATCCAGACTGTTGAACTTCGTCTCCCCGTTGACACGGTACGGTTGTAGCCATTTCCACAATCCTTTCTTTCCGGAGACTGGGAGACGAATTGGTGCGGCTACAGCATCAGCGGGAGGCGGGATGGACCAGGTCTCAGGCGTCGCGTGCGTTCCAGCGTCGTAGTCAGTCGGAATGTCTTTCGTCACCAGTTGTGGACCCAGTCGGAAGAAAGCGGTGATTTCTATATCGTACACGGTCAAGATCGATTCAACCACGGAAAGGGGGGGATTGAGGAGTACGGCTTACTTTGGAATCCGGATTCAATGCACCACGAAGGCACCTGGAGCTTCGTAATTGGTAGGATGGGAGAATAGCCATGCAATGGGGTGTAGGGATCAATAAGCATGGCAGTTACATAGTACTGTAAGGCGATCGCTTCCGTCATGCTTTGGGTAGTCTCCTCTTCGGGGTCGATGTACGTCGGGTGCAACTGGTGGAAATTACTCGGGGCGATTTTCTGGAATGGTTTTGTCTTCGTCGAGTCGTGAGGCGCAAAGTAAGTATAACAGGTGTCGAAATGGGTGCTAACGTCTCCTTCTGCATTGTTAGATTCCCAGTATCCTACGACTCCATCAAACGGTCGATCTTTGTCTCCGATCTTGAGAGGAAAGCTGTAAGCCTTTAGGTCGTCCATCTCATGACCACTGCTTAAACCCAAGGTGTTCTGAGCTTTGATGGCAGGAGCAGCGAGTTCTAGACTCCAGCCGACGTTGACCAGAGCTAGTGGTTTGCCGACAATGGAATTCGTGTAATTGCTGTAGTCGCTGGGTGGAAACGGCATAGTGGTAACACTCCCGTTGATCATGTCGAAGAAACTTTGCAAGTAGTCTGCGTTCAACTTGGAAATTAACGCGTCCAATTGCGCATTTTCGGCTCCAGACAGAGTCGGGTCTGGTTTACCACCTTTTGGAGCACCAAAAGGAATCCACCTGTAGAGTATGATGTTACCAGGGCCAAAAGAGAAGCGCAAGTGACCTTCTTACTTCTGACTGGGGGTTGCTCCATCGACCCCTCCCAAACGTACTTCTCGGTAGAATGTTCCATCTCCGAGGAAGAACTGTAGTCCAGATTCCGCGTAGTTGATGACAACCCAACCTGTACAAGCTCAGCGGCGTTCGAATTCATGTTTGAGATCTATTTGGGACTCCATACCCCAGACAGGTCCTGCGGGCTGGTCATAGTCGGAAGTTTCTTGCCAGGTAAGTTTTCCCGCGTTGTTCTTTCGGCGGCCCACGAAGGTGGCATTCAAACGGGTATCCTGGTTGATGCTAGGGCCAAGTTGAATAAATCGACATAATGGATTGACGTCCTTCTGAAGATCTGGCTCTTTAAGCACCGTATTCAAGTTGCCGAAAGGTAATCCACTGGAAGCGGCCGCCGGTAGGGTACTGGGTGCCACAAAGTCACTTAGACAAGGATGAATAGCCTGAACATCTTCAACGTCTCGTCTCAAGCGAGGCATTGCAGACGGTAGTGCAATTGCTTGGCCAAACTTGTCGATAATTGCGAGCTTTTTAAATATCATCTGGCCGTGCGTAACTCCTTTGAATGGTGCCGGGCTTTGAGGGTCCTCACCGAAATTCCTGCCCACACCCGTTAGTTAGGTCTGATCGAAAAAAAAAAAAAACCTCCCCAAGAGGGACGGAAGTGAGAGATTATCGGTGCATGGAAAGGTGAGGAGAAATACTTACACAAGGTTCCCGTAGGGTGTGAGTGCTGATTCCTGCCCAATTTGCATCAGCGCATTTTTATCTAGGTTCTCATTCGGTCCCGCCGGATTCGACTTGAAATCAAGGTTCGCGACCGTCACGGCCTCGTCAAGCGCATCACCCTTGGTGAGGTCTTTGCCTTGATGGCGGACAATTGGTTTCACATGGGAGCCCGGACAACGCGTGAGGAGATGATCAGTAAGTCCAACAAGAGGAGTAGATATAAACTGTAGCTCGTGGATGCCTCTCAATAGATCGGCCACCTGTGGAAGAATCAATCTCCAACAGCGACTTGGTAAAAGGACTCAGTGTCTTACTTGTTGATCAAGTGATTGTTGAGTTCCTGGGGGGCTTGGTGGCGGGGTGACATCTTGAGCATCGAACGTAAAGCCTTTTGGCAAGTTGCTGGTGACTTGTTTGACCGTGGCGGCTAAGTCAAAAACAGGTTCTGCTGGACTTTAGCACTGATCAAGCAGCCCGAGTGGAGGGAATCAGTACGGGGAAGGAGTATCACTCTCCCGGTCAAGCTTCTCACATCTTTCTGGTTCTCTTCCGCCGAGTAAAGAGGGGGTATATCCTGTCTTATCCCGTAGCGGACGTGGCTGGTTGCATGATTGAAAGGTAATTGTCGATCGTATACCTCCCACTTCTTGAAGTCAATGTGACTGCGAAGTTGATTAGTGACTCTTAAAACCTCTAGGAGTGACATACTAGTATAAAATCTCATATTCGAGAAAGAGGGGCACGAATGGGTTTGCGTTATTCCACGCCCTTGCACCAGGCCGTCCACTTTGCTGCGACGCCTCTTTCGAGTCGGCGATCGGTGACGAAATAAACTCAGCGATCAGTCGGCGTGCTGTCTTGTTCAACTCACTATCGGTCGGTATGGGACTCTTGTCGATTGGGAAGACTTCATCCGCGGCTTTATACTTGTCGCTGTCTGTCGGCTGTTGATCGTCCAGCGTTACCATTGCTGGCTTCATGTAATCCGCTGACCAAGCCGAGTCCATACCAGCAATACATAGTGTTGGATCCTTGCGAGTGTAGTAGGGAGATTTCGCGGACTTCTTTCCCAAACCCTTGCTGGCCGTTGCAATCGTCCCATTGACACCGTCAAGTTTCCCAATCAATCCTGACAGAACATCGATTTGGTCTCTGATGGCTTTTACCTGACGACGGAATTTCAACCGGCTAGGATCATTTTGGTTCGCTTGATCGCTAACAAACTTCCACCATGCGGCGAACAACTCCCATCTCAATAACGCAACTTTCCTATTGGCGGCATCCAGTCTTGTCTGATCTTCATTGATTTGAGCAAGTTTGTCTTGGATATCTCCACTTGGCACGACTGGCGGTTGCCCAGGATCAGTTGTCTGGCCATAGGTCCAGACGGAACCACCATCCGCGGCAGCATAGTTCTTCTCAAACACAAGGTCTTGAGCCCTCACTCGTGAGCTGTAGTCATCTTCCGCGGCATACATGAGCTCTTTCAGAGCCAGAACCTGCCCCGCAAGCTTACCGGCACCATCACCGAAGAACGCTTCCTCCTCCCCTGGATGATGGTGGGCGTCCTGTGATAGCTTGTGAGAAGACACCAAAGAAAGCGACAGGATTTTCCGACTTACTAGGAAAGCCATGACCGCATCCAGAGGCGTAGCTCCGATGGAAAGGGGCTCCATTTTAGGACCCTTGGTAAATTTCATGGCCGTCTCGTCTGCGGCAGAAGGTGTCCTTTCAGACCGAAAATATTGGACATTGTACACTGCCGAGTAACATAGAATGCGAGCGGCGTCCGTCGAGTCCTGTAGTCGCTTCAATTTTTCCGAGTCCGCAACGCTTTTCGAGTCGAGTTGAAGCAAAAGTCTGTAGAGGCGGTCTGAAAGCTTTCCCTTGGTGGTTGTGAGAGGATCATCATTTGCCTCTGAATGCCATCCGAGGACGAAATAATCTGGCACGTTTTGGAGTCAGCGCTGTCGGGACACATTTCTCCCGACGTACCAGCCTCTGCATTCTGCAGGTAGTCCTTGTTACCATGCGAATCTACAAATTCGAAATTGTCAATGGTTGAGAATACGTTGGCCTACAATCAGATCAGCTTCGGGAGTCGCAGTCTCCCCGAGGGAATGCTTTACATTGTGAGGGGCATAATCAGGAAAGAGAGGATTGGAGGAGGTCATTATGGTCAAGTCAACAGATGCTCCATTCTTGTTCTCTTTGTATCCCCGTGCCGGAACTTTATTCCCAATGAAGACTTCTGTCTATAGTAGCATTAGCAGACTGAGATCAGTTGTGTGTACATGGTTGAATGGCCACACCTGTTCGTTGAGTGGGTTTTTGTTGGCGGGATCCCGAGACTGGGCGACGAACGGGCTGACCTCCGACTCCAGATCAAGTTGCGGATTCTCCTTGTCAATGTCAGTCAAGTAGCGTAGTCTGTCGCTTTCAACCACCCAAGAAGTAAACCCGCGGGGGATTTGCGGGAGACTGCTTTTCAGCTTCCGGACGATCAACCATCGGTTGGGCACTCGGCGAAACACAGGATTTGGATTGAGAAGAGTTGGGTCATCGGGCCCCGTAGCATAATTCGCCCTGTCTGCTGCAGCTCCTGTGCGGTACAGTCGCGGCAGGCTCCAGTGCAGGTAGACTCCTAGCCTGTTCTTCTTCAGCGCGGCGTCGGAGCTCCCAAGATCGGTAACCCTAGGATTGAAAGCAGTTGGGGTGGTGTTGTGAAGGTCAGCGTGATTCAAAATGTCGTGCTGGATAATGGAGCTGTCAAGTCGCAGTCCAACGTAGGCAGGCTGAGTTAGTGGTGCGATGAGAAGATTGGCATCGTCGCAAGACTTTGCCGACAAGGTGAAGGCGTCGAGGCCGATGGGTATGCAGATATTCTCCATGATTGATGATGCCCGCTCACGGCAACAGCAATCGAAAGCTTGCTTCAAGAATCGTGAGCTGCAGGTATACTCCCAGCAGACGTTGGATGTTCAGGACGAAGAGAGGCAGCTGGCACGGGCGAGGCTGCACGGCGTCCCTCTCGATTCAGCCCATGTCGGGGAAAATGCGTCAAACAGGAGTCTTTTGTCTTTAATTTGGGAATGACGGGACCATGTCGAAATTACAGAGCTTACTGTAGACAAACGATACGGCTAAGCTTTGGCTGCATGCATGGGCCGACCGGGGCCGTGGACCTACCCAGTACCTCCCCTTCACTTGATCAATTTGTGGACTCAGCTGAAATGACTCTGAAGTGCAAAACTCTGTGAACGTAAATCCTTGCATCTCACCGAACCACTTCGCGTGCATGTGGTGGAATCAAAAAGACATGGCACTAACACGGAAGAAGGTCTGGCCAGGGCGCATACGAGAAGAACCACGCCATGTCACTGACCAGCTGTGACAAACACAAACTTTCAAGCTCAGCCTCACTTCTCGTCCACCGTGCGGTGCAAAGCTTGAAGTTACGCCTAGGCGACCCTACCAGGCGTCTTTTCGCAAAATAACAGCCTTTGCACCACAGTTCAGGCCTTGGAAACCCAAGTTTCTTCACAAGAAGCACGGTCATGATCTGAATGGCATCTACCTCGGTGATCACTGCGAACGGACTCGCAGAAGAATGGGCGGAATTCTTGAATGCCACCGAAGGGCCTTCGCCCGTTGTGATCGTGACGCCTGGTGTTCCTGCGATGTCTGGTTCCGGGACACCTCCAGGACAGCGCCTCTCAATTCAGAGCCCTTATTTTTCAGGACTTACATTTGACACAAATGAAAACCAGAATCGATTCAGCGACCCCGAACTTGATGTCGGCGACAGCCTTCTTCTCGCTCTCTCAGCCAACCTGCCCCCCAACCTGAATATGACTGTTGATTCAGTGCTCACGCAGTTTGGTATACTCCCAGAGCACCGCCAGAACCATGAACTCGTCTCAGACGTTCTCCAAGCCTTGGGCAGCAGCCTATCGCTGACCCTGGATGCTAGCCAGCAGCGGAACGCCATGTGGTTGACACCCGGGACAGCTTTCAGGAGTGATACAGCGCTTTGTTTTACTCTCAGTCCGTCCGACGACATCCTCGAACGGTTGAAGAAAGCAGTTTTCACGATGTTCAACTTTCAGCTTCCGCACATGAGCCTGATGATTTACCTTCAACGTACCTCATTTGGAACCCAGTTCTCGGACAGTCATAACAATTTTAGTTGGAACATATCAAGTTCGTACAGCCTCACGTTCAAACTGGCCATCAAATCGAGCGCAACTTCGAATACAGACCTACTCGATATCTGGCTGAACTTGACCCTGGCGGGTACGAGCTACTCGATCACCCAAAGTAGCAACGGAGATTTCTGGTCCGGTCTGGCGTCGATTGGTGGTGACAATCCTGGCCCGTCCGTAATGCCAGTCTCGAAAGAGATCCTATCCGATTTTGTACCGGTCAAGATGTCGCTGGGGAAAAACGCACAAGGGCAAAACTGGTGGGGAGTCACTATTATCTTGCAATGGAAGAACGATCATGATGACGGTAGTGCCCCTGTACAGCTGTATTTGACTTATGACTCGGAGTCGTCGACCATCAGTGGCGGCCTCGTATCCTTAGGATTCTACGCATCAGCGCTGGACCGCAAATTGAACACGTACCAGATTGGAGATGATCTTGATGCCCCAGAAAACCAACAACCGCCCCCTCAATTTTGGGATGTTACGAAGCTTTCCAAGGTTCTCGACTCTTTGCCGAAGGGCCTGCCAACTGCGATTGCATTAGCTTCAGTCTCGTATTCCAACAATTCTCTATTCTTCGCGGCTCAATTGGTCAACCCTTCGCCATACACACCCGATATACCATTTCCCATCACATGGGACTCTCTAGAAGTCGAGATCATCAAATCTGCTTCAACGTTCGATTGGACAGCCGGGACTTTGTTCACCTTACACCCTCGACCTGATCTCGACGAGACGCCCTACCCACCTGCGACACTGGTAATTGACGTGAGTTATACCGGGGCCCCTAAAACGTGGCAGCTTAGTGGGCATGTCGAAAACCTTCAATTTGGGATTCTTGCTGGCTACTTTCCCGCAGGCTTGGAGAGGCCAATGCTGGCTGTTCTGGGAAAGCTGGCCATCAATTCTCTTGATGTTGCCTACACCTTTGGCGCAGCCAATACTCCGTCCAGCATGTACATGACAGGCGATATTGTGATAGCTGGCCTAGAATTGATGTACCTCATATGCACGAAGAACATGGAGCCTTGCTGACCTTTCACAGATTCAATTACCAATACGCAAGCAGTGCAGAAGAGAACCCGGCAGCCTCCAAAGTCGGCATCGCCTCGGGCAGGCTCGACAAGTCCGATTTGCTAGTCGTCAAGCCTGAGGCAAAGGACAATCCACATGTGGACTGGAGCTTCGAGGCATACCTTGGGTCATCTCAAACTGGCTCCAACATTGGGTCGATTGCAGATTCTATCGTAGACGGCGCCTCGGGAGTATTACCCGATTTCGTCAGCTTCATCAAAATTGATCCACCAGCTCAAGGCAAAAGTGCAGTATCACTGAAGATTTCAAAGACAATCGATGGTGCTAAAAAGAAAATTCTTTTCGGCCTTAACATCACAATCGGATTGTTTCAGGTTACATTTGTCCAAGTTTGTGGAGATGGACAAGAGGACAAAGCAAAACAGTTGCTGCGAGTCTCGGTGGACACCCTTCCGGGAGTCAAAGACATACCAATGGTGGAAGAGCTCACACAGCCTTTCCAGAAGCTCGAATATCATTGGGTTAGGGATAAAAATGGTTCGGGTGGCTCTGGAGGATTCACCGAGGCAGAATTGCAAGCCATCAATACCAAAGTGTTGCCCACTTGGGGTGGCATCATGTACAAGTCCACAACCTCTGAACGGAAAGAGGTCGATGGAAATGTAGTCGATCAAACCGGTTCAACAGCCAAAGCTGCGGCTATTGTCATGGCTGCTGGGCATCACTTTGTTGTCGTCGAGAACAATGTGGCCGTCTTGGATCACTGTTTCAACAACGCAAAGTCCGGGGAGCAACCCAAGGGACCTGCAAAAGAACCCTCATCGACCAAAGGATCAGAAGCATCGGGAGGGGCCACCGATTCGTCAGAGAAGGACGAAGACCCTCAGCCTACAAAAGGCACTCTGCAGAAGAAGACCCAGTTTCTTACCATCAGTGGGCTTGCCCTTCAGTTCAAGAGTGTAAGGACCTCTGTCTCGTTGCTTAGCTATGCTAATCAGTAAATAGGGGTACTTGTGGATCACTCTTGATGCAAATGTTACTCTAGGTCCCATGAGTGTCAGTCTACTCGGCCTGGGAATAGGTGTACCCATGTCGGCAGTCAAGCTCGATAAGCTGTCCTCCTTGGCACCAGATGACCTGAAGAAGCTGATTGCCGGTATCAAATCGCAGTTGCATGGGATGGCTCTCACTTTCAATAAGCCTCCAATTCTGATCGCCGGTGTTTTCGATCACGACACCACAGTCGAGAATGGTCAGACCCGAGATTACTACCGAGGAGGATTGGCTATCACGGTTCCACCATATAGGTTCATGGCCCTTGGCGAGCACTCGGTCGTCACTAAAGGCACGACGAAGTACAATTCTGTTTTCATGTATGGCAGATTGGATGGTCCGATTCTCACATTGGAAATTGCCAGCATCAAGGGGATACGCGTTGGTTACGGGGTTAACACAATAATAAGGCAGCCAGCTGGAGACGAACTCTACAACTTCCCTCTGATTGCGGACACTGGAGCTAGCACTGCGGGCAACAACCCAGCTCAGATCCTCAATGTGCTGCTGACACCGACGGAGCCCCCGCATCCGCCTTGGATTGATGTCAAACAAGACTCCTGGTGGTTTGCTCTAGGCCTGACTCTCGACGCCTGTGATATCATGGACATCACTGCGATGGTCATGGTCTCTTTCAAAGATCCCGCAGTTGTCTTCAACTTCCTTGGCGACGCTGTCGTTCAGCTACCTTCGAAGGATGGTCCCCCTGAGGAATCCTTGCTCTATGTCCAGATGAACATCGTGGCAGAGATGAACGTGGTGTGGCAAGTAAACCAGATACAAGGTGTTCCCTTACCCGTACCCGTCCCTACAGGTTTCTTCAGAGTCGAAGCAGCCCTCGCTCCAACTTCTTTCGTCCTTGTTCCTTTCTGTCATTTATCCGGCGGGTAAGTTTGACCCCCTGTTGTGGACATTCATAGCGTACTGTTCTTGGTTAACGCACTTTTTCAGATACGCAGCGCGCTTCTGGTTCGGTATTCCCAATGTCACAGACCATGTCGGGGATTTCGTATTTTCTATGGGTGGTTATCATCCGATATTCCAGGTGCCTACCTGGTATCCGACGGTTCAGAGGCTCGGTATTCCTTTAACAGGCTCATTCATGGAGATGAGCAGCTGACAGTCAGTTGTTAGGTATATCTATGACAGTCGGGGACTGCATAAACATTACCGGAGAGGCGTACTTCGCCATAACCCCCAAGGTCGCCATGGTATAGTCCTTACAGCCACGATGGTCTCTGTGTCCTATAGACACTGACCAGATCTCAGTTAGGGGCGATGCTTCATGCGTCATTAGATGTCGGCCCTGTCAGCGCCTATTTTGATGCCTTATTCGACGCCATGATCAATTTCTACCCCGTTCACTACCGTGCAGATATAAGCATCTCAGTGGGTGTGAAGTTCCAATTGGACTTCCTCTTCGTGCACATACAGTATGCAAACACCCCTCGCCCCAAACATCAAAGACTAATGAATCGTAGTGTGTCATGTCATGTGGGAGCTGGCCTTCATATTGAAGGTCCCGACTTCGGCGGAAAAGCGCAGTAAGTTTCCGGTAGTCTCTAATGACCTTCACACTGTTAATTGGACCTCTAGCGTGGATTTCTATCTCTTTGGCTTCGATATTTATTTTGGCAAGCAGAACGACATACCAAAGCCACTCTCGCTTGCAGACTTCTACCTTGTCGTACACAAGCCAGACCGCACTGGACCAAACCTATCTAGCCAGAGTATTAGTCGCCAGATCGATCCAGAGATGTGCAATTTGGTCTTTGCGCTAGAAGATGGTGCATTCATTATACCTGTTCATGACCTACCAAAGCCCACTCCAAGTACGGCCGATCCACCAGCCCCGAACACAGGCGCAAGCTCGGTCTGGAATGTCAAAGGTGGCACTTTCCAGTTTCGCGTCTCGACGGAAATCCCCATTTCTCAGGCTTTCGTTTTGACTCCGAGTCCCCCAGATCCCGCATTACCTATGGTCACAGAAGGCACTCCCAATGCGAGAGTGGTGAGTACACCTGCTTCAGACCCTCTAAACATGCCTCCAACCCCCAAACCAAAGGCAGCAGAACCTTCCAGGCTCCCAGTAGAGCCGATAATCCCGTTAAATCCAGTCTACGCCAAACCAATGCAACTCTACACTGGGCCTTCGAAGACCCAAGCGGCCAAATCCTACTCCCTTACGTCTGAGCTTACCTTCTGCATCAAAGACGCCCGTGGTAAGTTAGTCGACAACCTACAAATCTCCTACATCCGCAAATCAATGCCCACTTCCATCTGGGGTGCATATAATCCGCTTAAAGATCCAAACCTGGTGTCTGCTGAAGATGCCACGGACGGACTAGACAACACAGTCGACCTGGCAATGGCAGTGAGCATTCACTCTCCTCCGCCGATGTTGAGCAAGAGCCCAATCCCGGCATTCAACGCAACAGCAGCGAGCCGATTGCAGATTCCGCGCACGACTGTGACGGAGCCAGATGGAGCAACTGTCGGTCTGCCTTGGCAGATCCCGACCCCGGACCCGGTGCAGAGCGAGGGTTTGCCGACCGAGGATTTGGAGGCGGACAAGCCGGCTGTGAAGCGATGGGCGGACGTGCAAGATACGTGGAATGGTTCATATAAGAGTAATCTTGTGGGAGATGGAACGGACGAGGGAATACTGGCAATTTTCGCGAACCAACTCGGCTGGGATCAGGCTGATGTCGGGCCTGTTGCTTCTACGCCTACCGCGTCGTCTGTAGGACAACGGAAGCCCTGGCAACTTGTTGGCGGAGTACCAGAGGTGGTTGTGGGGGATGGTAAGGATCGTGCGAAAGGACTGGCAGAATATTACCTCGCATTGCCGCGGCTCAGTGATGGGGTGGGAATATGAGAATAAATACAGCAGCGAGTATGGCCAAAATTCATTGCAGATGTCGAAGTGATTATCTAGTCTGTGTAGGGGGGGATCTCCAAGCTGTGTCGGTGTGCGCAGTCGTGTGTGGTATCGATTCTTACCTGTAAGCTTTATCTGCCCAACCGCTAGGTAGTCGCTTTGGGGCCCCAGTGTATAGGCCACCCAATATCTCCGGGAAACATAGTGCAGAACTCCGTACGGTTTCTGTCTTTACAGCAAGAAGCAATATTCAAAATACCAAATATTACCGTTACCCCTGTAAGCTACAGCCCCGCGCGCTCGCTTCAATCTTCAGCCCCGCGCTGACCCGCCTTCTGATTTGCAAAGCTTTCAGCTCGCTTCCATGATCGGACTCCGTAGCCTCATGGTGGAGCCTAGTGGCTGGCTGAAAAGGCTTCAGCTAGAAGTCTGAAACCATCCTGCCATCGCAAAGCATGTGCTTGCTTCTCTTACAATTAAGTTAGGTAAAGAACTGGAAGGTCCTAATGATCCCATATGCGTGCGCCAAGATGAATTCAGTTCAACCCCTACCGTTTCGCCTGGTCAATCGAACATTTCTTCAATCAAGCTGAGAACCTCCAGTCTCGGTGACTTGCTGGACGGAACTGGTCCAAAAGTACTGGGTCCCAGACCTTGGAGACGTTTGGCTCCACCTCCAATTTATCCTTGAATCTGGGCCTTCATTCCAGGTGACAATCATGGCCCTAACATCTGTCGATGATAATGTTATCGGACCCAAGCCACCGCCGAAAGGTGAGGCTCAATTCATGGACAATTGTCTTCTCGACGACCCATCACAGATTGTGCCCCATGTTCATGTTGCTCGACGAGACCTCAAGGCCCCCGCCAGCGGAATTATACCACTCATCGGGTTCTGGATCAGTGAATTCCGAACAAGAGAGCGAGCCAGATCCGAAATCATAGCAGTGGCTGACAGTGGCATTGACACTGGTCATCATGCTCTGAGACATCATGGGGCCGGTTTAGCTACTGCAACTAGGTCGTACCGGACGGATAACTCAATCAACGACGTGACTGGACATGGAACACACGTGGCAGTCTCCCTTGTTGGAGAGGGCGACTCAACGGATTTCGGCACCATCAAAGGAGTTGTTCCAAAGGCACAACTACATTTTCAGGTGGTGTGGTCAATACCGCCTGCAGTGGGATCTGCGCAGATACTAATTCGTCCGTCGGCTATGCTAGCAACTGACCCGGGAGCGGCAGGAACAACAACAACAATGCTAACTGTCCTCGACGATGCATACAACCAGGGAGCGCGAATTCACAGCAATTCCTGGGGCAAGGGTATTCGTCAGCGGCCTGGCGGCGCACCTGGCCAAATGGAACAGAATTTCTATACCGCTTACTCAGCAGACATTGACCAAGCAATGCTAAATCATCGGGATCTTTTGGTGATCTTCAGTGCCGGTAATGACGGGGAGGTGCCAACGCCGAATAACCGGCAGATTGGCTCAGCCGCGGCTGCGAAGAATTGTATCACTGTGGGTGCCTGCGAGACGAGCCACACGACGAGTTTCGATTCAGCAAGATCAGTAGATACGACAAGAGGTCGTGTGAGACTGCAGTATAAGTTTGACTCGACGCAACCGATCGGAAACTTCAACAACGTTATCGGTTTCAGCAGCGTGGGACCGACAAGAGACGACCCTGGGACTGTCCCGCCAACCCACCCACGTATCAAACCTGACGTCGTTGCTCCCGGCACATGCATCTATTCAGGAAAGACTTCAGATCCAGCGTTCCAATTTTTCCCTACAATTGCCGCACCTGCCAATCCCAACACCACCGGTTTCAGGCGAGACGAGAGGTGGATGTTCCGATCTGGCAGCAGCCAGGCAGCTCCACTGGTAGCTGGTTGTTGTTCCAGAATAAGAGTTCACCTCAGGCAGAGGCTTGGGGATTTTATCCCGGCAGCCCTTGTGAAAGCTATCTTGGTCAACGGCGCGGAACCCATTAACCCTGCCTTAGTAACCGCGAGCCGCGGACGTGCCCTAGCCCCCAGACCTCTTCCAAATGGCGTGGCGGGTTTCGGCAGAGTCAACCTGGTAAACTCTCTGTTGTGTATCAAAGACTCAACAAAGGGCGGCTTCTTTCCACCACAGCTCACGACCTCTCCGCCGGTGAACGTAATGACCGCAGCAGGACAGACGACGCCAGTCCGGATAACTATCCCGAAGCGCGGCTTGACGCTGAAAGTCACAATGTGCTACACAGACCCGCCTTGCCCAATGCCCGGACCGCCCTTCAACCTAGTCAACGTTCTCAACCTCTACTATACCGAGCCAGGTGGCACGCGCAAGTACGCCAACACACACACTTCAATTCCCGACGGCATGAATAATGTCCAAAGAATAATTGTGGAAAGAATCAATCCGGGAACATATGACTTCATCGTGACTTGCGACACATTTGTGTCGAACCAGGAGTTCTTTGTCGCTTGGACCGCATCTTGATACGTTCGGGGGCTTGATGGATATGCAAACCTTGTTACAGTTCAACTGCCACAGCCTTGCGCTTATGCAGGCTCGTGGCATTCACCCTATCTACATAGCACTCTCTCTGTCTTAGAATTCATATCATAATTGATCGTTCTTCCTCACGCGATGCCAGGGTAGCTTGGCGGTCGGAGCCTTGAAGTCGAGTCTTTGATCCTTGGAGGAAAGACCGCAATGCCACTGAGTCCAGACGCTGTCCGTCCCAGCCTACGGGAGATGCAAGTTAGGAAGTTCTGCCATCACCGGGCGCTCGGCACCGACCTCGGAAATCTCGGGTGGCTTTGATGGTGTATACATCCGTATCGGAAGAGAGCTGGATGGTTTCGAAGGCCTTCAGAGCGCGTTACAGTTCATGGCTGTTTTGCCCGGTGACAATTAGCAACGCGGAGACCACCCAGTTGATGGCGTGTTTTACGATCGGGCATATAGTGGATGTTGTTGAAGGGTCATGCTGGTTGCTCTCCATTCTCGGGGTCCCTGTTCATCGCGGTCGGACGGGGAGTCGCCAGAGTCCAGATGTTAGAGAACGTGGCATTGCGGGAGGGCGAAATCAAACAAGGCCGCTGAGAGTAGTGGTCCGAATGCGGTGGCAGAACACAGCCTCAAGCCATAATATACCAGGACGTGCTTTCCCCACCGACCTTGGCCTACCTGCGCCAACACCTTGCGAGGCATCGCTAGAGCCACGCGCGGTGCCTCGCCAAACACTCGGGCAATGCCGTTTGCTTCTGCCCTTCCTCAGAGACAGAGAAGATCGCGGCGCTGGTCGCTGGCAGTGGGTCTGGCTCGGATTTACGCGACCTCAGGCCCGAGTCGAAAGTTCGTCAGTTAGAGTGCCTAGAGATGTGCTCTCTGACAAGCGCATGTCGTGGAAGAATTCACATTTCTATCCCATCAAGGGTTTTCAATACATCAGATCTCCGCATGAGATGAAAAGAAATTACCGGTCGGCGACGGGCAACAGAGCGTTAACAGCGGTGATGATGGGCTGCATCAGAATTCTCCGTTTATTTGCTCGTCCTGACCGGAGTCGGGTCATTATACATCATTGTCACTCTCCGCAAGTCAAATAAGAAGTGGCCTCAGAATCGTGCGAGGATGGAACTTGAGCGAGCCTTGCTAACCAGGTGATACTGTGACAGAACTGGGGTAAACGGGGGTATCGTGGCAGCCTACAAACGGCCGCATATCTGCCTCGTTTCCGCCCACCAATTGAAACTGCAGTTCAAAAACACAGCCGCAACCACGCCCGACGGCGACAATTAAAAAAACCCATCTCTCAGCCTGGTGCACAGAAACGGTGCATTTCCACTGTCTGGCATTTTGTTGACAGCAGTTGACAGCAGAGCGCCACTGTGGCAAACCAATCAATCCACCAATGCTTCAACCGAGGCCTCTCTATAATAGCCTCGGTGCCACCGTTGATCAACAACGAGGTCTGGACAGATCTGGCCAGGTCCAGATCTATTCAGTGGATAGCTTCTTGCCACAGTGCAAATAGTATATAGACAGGCAGAGTCTCTTTGAAAAGCCAAAGGACAAAACACAATCAATCAGATGAATCCACTCTCATTCTGTGTACAACACATTTACTATTTTGCCTCCTCAAGGCAGTTGCCATGGAGGCACTTTTGGCCGCTTACCTTTCCGGAAATGTTGTCCAATTCGTGCAGACGGCGGGCATGCTGATATCGGAAGCAAATTCCATTAGGAAGACTGGAAGTCCTTCGTCACTACCAGATCTGAGGAACTTCACGTACAATTCAGAGGTTCTTAACACCTAGATCTTAAGAATAAGATCCCCTAAAAGGTGGGATAATTATTACGCTTTACTAAAGACTTTAAGAAGTAAAGCACTAGTTAGTAGAACTACCGTATATAAGGAGCGTACGAGGAGAATTCTCTTCTTCTCCCCCTTCCCTAATAGACTTAATAATTATATATTATCCCGGTAGTTACTAGCAGTGTGGGGCAGGATTATCGCTTACTTAAGTAACTACTTAAGTAAACCTTAATAATTTACTATGCTAGATTTAGTAGATATAAGCGAGGTACCAAGAGTCAGTAGAGTCGAGCTAAACGTTTGTTAGACACAGCCTTGAGAAAGACCGGTCACGGGTCGCGTAGGCAAGAGCAAGACTAGGTCACGTAATATGCCCTGTTAGCTCTGTTAGCTCTATCGGCTCTGTGAATAGAGCGCATAGAGCGCACAGAGCGCATAGAGCGCACAGAGCGCATAAAGCGTAAGCATTATATATACACCCTCACTATCCCTTGGTAGTTACATTTCCTTCGTAGCTAATTCATATTGTAACAAGGCAAAGTGGCTGTGCTGTGATGGGCTGTGCTGGGCTGGTAGAGCGGTGGCAGAGAGGAAAAGTTGTCTAGTCACATGTCAAACCTGACTGGGCTGGCAGAGAGGGGGGTGCGGAACAGTTTACAGTGCTGGCAGTGTGCCATTCATTAGATTGAGAAGAGTATCATGAATTCTATGGTTTTTTTTTGGTGCCGTCTACCTCTATTTTTAAGTGTTTTATCAGTCCTGTCCTGTTCCTCGATGCTGCCGCTGTGCTAGGTGTTCGTAGCCCTAGCCGCTGCCCCTCTGGGTGGTGTTGGTGGTGGTGTTGTTGTCAGTATCAACCAGAAAGGCGTTCTCGATTCCCGATCTACTGGACAGGCCTCTGTGCGTTGTTGCACGTGCACGCCGAACCCTGAAGTGCTCTGTTACAGTATATGGTCGATACTGTACACGACTCAAAGCATAAGAGGGAGAAGAGTGCGCCTCCTATGCGGGGAGTGTGCTAGTAATAAGGATGCACTCCTTGAGTCGCATCTCTTGCCTGGTGGCCTGATTACTCAAAAAGTAATTCGATTTAGCCTAGTCATTCACGATAGTTAAAAAGCTCAGAATACACCTTAAACACCGCCTTCTTGTAAACGACGAGCGTCCGTCAATGAGATTCATTAAACACCAAGAATTAGATATATTTACGATGATTCTATTCAATTAATTATACGGCAGGAATTAATCTCTCGGTCTACTCGTCATTTTGTGATTAAGATAGGCCAAGTTCTGGAAGAATATATGTGATATAATAGATAGAAGGATAGTTAAATAGCTAGTCTACGGAAGGAGATTCATCTCCTAAAGACTAAAGGATAAAAAGGAAAGCCAATCGAGCTCAACGAGGCCTTTACTACCATCGAGACTATACACGAGGCTCTGGAGGCAGAGGCGAGCGAGGCGAGCGAGGCCTACCCAGAGTGCTAGCATCGCAACCGACCTCGCTGCCGCCGATCCAATGGCGGCGTTTATGACAGTGTTCTCTGTAAATGACAGTGCTAGTTGAGTATACAGAGTGGTGCGTTACTAGGGTGGTGCGTTACTTGATGGGCAGACTTACTAAGGACTGCATAATACATAAATACATGCATATGGTAAGCAAATCCCAGGATACACCCAGGTATGCAACTATATAGAAAGCCAATAGTCGGTGGAGAGGCCACACCACACGCCCACTTACACACACAGACACACACAGAGAGAATACGAAGATAGGCCCGACCCGCTCTAATTGATATAATTATCCACATCCACTAGACCTCACCCTCTCTGCATACTCACCCGTCCATGAACACGAAGGGCGCACTGTAGCTGGACCTTGGTGGAGGATACACATATGTAAGACCGCCAGGCGAGATTCCGAAGCCCCCATTCATTCATCCATTCATTCCTTTGTCAACAGCTACAGTAGGTATTTTTACTGCCTAGGTACCGACTCGCCGAGCACTCTCTTGTCTGATCAAGTATCATTGGGATCCATCCGACGTATCAGCGCCCGAGATGTACGGGGTGCAGTGCACAACCTCACTGCATGATGCATATACTTTGTAGGTGTCGATGTATGCTCGGGAGGTACCGCGGCGGCCCGAAGAGAGTCATACGACGTGGCACTTGTCGCCTGCTTGATGCATGCCAAATACCAATGTCTACGTATGGGGCGAAAAGTGCATGATCCATTGTGCGATGTTCGTTCGTAATCCATACCTACATAGTCCAAACCTATAGGTACAACCGATTGCTTGCTGAGGGCAGGAGCCGAGTACCGATTGTATTGTCTTTTCAGTAGGCAGTTCTTGACCTCCTTTCTGACGAAATAGCCCTCATATCCATTTCTTTGTCTAAAACCTCAAGTCCCAACCAATGCCTGGACCCAATTTGGGAAGTTCATCCGCCACACTCTGGACGTCCTTGTCTCCACGTCCACTCAGGCAGATCACCAGCGTCTGATCCTTGCCCATCTCCTTGGCGACCTGCATGGCCCCAAAGATAGCATGACTGGATTCCAGCGCAGGAATGATTCCTTCCGTCTCACTGAGAGTCCGGAACCCTATCAGGGCCTCCGAGTCGGTGGCGCTAATGAATCTGGCTCTGGCGCTGTCCTTCCAGTTTGACAACTCTGGTCCCACGCCAGGGTAATCTAGACCGGCGGAGATGGAGTGTGTATCGCTGATCTGGCCGTGCTCGTTCTGCAACACGTACGTCCTTACGCCGTGAAGGACGCCGATTGACCCTCCAGAAAGCGTGGCAGAGTGCTTGCCCGTGTCGACACCCTCGCCAGCGGCCTCAACGCCGATCAACTTCACTGAAGGATCGGAGCTGAAGGGAAAGAACATGCCTACGGCATTACTTCCTCCACCAACACAGGCGATCACTGCGTCCGGAAGTCTGCCTGTCAGTTCTTTCATCTGTTCCTTGGTCTCTTGACCGATGACGCTCTGGAAAGTACGGACGATGGTTGGAAAGGGGTGAGGACCGATGGCCGAGCCGATGATGTAGTGCGTGGTGTCGAGGTCGACAACCCAAGCGCGTAATGCTTCGTTGACGGCGTCTCGAAGAGTGCGGGATCCAGCTTCCACCGCCACAACCTTGGCGCCGAGAAGTTTCATGCGGAAGACGTTGAGAGCCTGACGCCGCACGTCCTCGGCACCCATATACACGACACAGTCCATGCCAAATTTGGCGCAGACGGTCGCAGTTGCGACACCGTGCTGGCCCGCACCGGTCTCGGCAATGATGCGTGTCTTTCCTAGTCGCCTGGCAAGAAGGATTTGCCCCAAAGCGTTGTTGATCTTGTGACTTCCCGTATGATTCAGGTCTTCTCGTTTCAGGTAGATCTGCGCACCACCAACTCGTTCGGTGAGCCGGTCAGCCAGATGCAGTGACGACGGCCGACCCATGTATGGGTAGTATGATTTGTACTCTTTCCAGAACTCTGGATCGTTCTTGGCTTTTTGGAAACCCTCTTCGAGTTCGGCCAAGCAGTCCATTAACGATTCGGGAACATATTGGCCGCCAAATTGGCCAAAGCGGGCCGGAATGGCATCCGGATTGGGAGCCGTGCCGTTTGTAGACGCGTTGAGGGCATCAAGCTGGTCGGCAAGGCCTGGTTCGGAGGGGACGTCTGCGTCGGTAATGACTTTGTCGACGTGGACTTGATGGCCATTGAGGGCATTCGACGCTGCACTTGGTTCTTTTGCTGACTTTATGGTCTCGACAATACCCACTTCCCTCGTTAAACCATCTGTTGTATTGAAGTCGCCCACTTTCCTCCCAGTGATTTGGGAGCAATATTCTTGAACAGCCTTCGCCCGCTCACCTTGCTTCGCATTGCCCAACACTATCACGATCTGGCTGCCGATCACCACTCCCTCGGCAATTTGCGAAACACTCAGGAAATGTTCTCTCGTGCTCACACCAAAGCCGACCGCTGCAGGGACCCCGCCCGAGTATTGATGCACCCTCGCCAACAACTCAGGAAGCTTGGTGTTCAACGTGCCTGTCGCGCCCGTAACACCCATCCTCGACACGACGTAGATAAACGAGTCCGCAATCTGACACAGCAATTTCATTCTCTTCTCCGACGTCGCAGGCGCAATCAGCGGGACATAGCTGAGTCCCGTCTTGGTGCAATTATTGCGAAATCTTACAGCCTCCTCCGGGGGCAAATCAACCATGATGAATCCGTTGACTCCTGCCTCTTTGCAGTCTCTCAACATGCGGTCTTCGCCGTAGCGCAGTAGTGGGTTATAGTAGCCCATGAAAAGGACGGGGATCTTGAGTCCCTTTTTCCTGGCGTCGCGGACAAATTGGAGGGCTGAGGTGACGGTAATGCCATTGGCGAGGGCGATGGTGTTTGATTTTTGTATCGTGGGCCCATCAGCGATGGGATCTGTGAAGGGGAGACCGAGCTCAATGACATCTGGAGAAAATGTTAGTTACAACATTTCTGACTCCCTGAAGGGAGGGTTAATCTTTACCAACACCACCGGCTTGCAGACCGAGCATGATATCTGGAGTTTCTTCAGCGGTGGGAAACCCCGCTGTGAAATAACCCACGAGGGCTATTCTGCCTTCCTTCTTGCACCGGGCGAATGTCTCCTTGATAGCCTCCATATTGAATATGAGAGAGGTGAGGATCGAACGCGAGTGTCTTTCGGAGGAGGGAAAGAAGAGGGGGGCGAGGAGAATTTATCGCCTCCGACGACGCGATGTCTCGATGGATTGTTGAGTCACCGAGATAATTTGGATGGGACCCAAATATGACCAGGTCGAGGCTAGCGGATCCCTGCGTCTCAAGCACGAGGCAGGATTGTGGAGATATGTAGGAGGTCAACCACTTCAAGAACCTAGGGCTTCTCTGTTCGTGTTGTTGCACACTGATTTGGTTGCAATGGCGGGCACAGTCCCCGGTTGCGGGCCAAAGAAATTTTGCCGCAATCATGCGCTAAAGAGCAGCTAAAAGCAGCTTGTCCCTGCATAAGAGTCAAGTCTAGCCCCGCCGAGACCGGCCCGCGCTCCCTCCTCAGCCTTGTTGGGCAGCCTCGTCGATCAGCCTCGTCAATCAGCCTTGCTGTGACCAACGACTCTATATTGTCCAACAAGCAGCTCTGCTGTCCCGTTTGATCTACCTGGAGGTAGTCGGACGAGCAAAGCAGTTGGATTCACCGTGTCGAATCCAATTCTCTCTGCATTGTACACAGGATAACCTGATAGTCGAGTCTCGGCGGCGGCTAATGCACTCGACCCGCATCCGCTCCATGTCCACAAACAGCTCTCCCTTGCAACGAGCAAAACTATGTCCAAGAAAGTATAAATTGCCCCTTTCGACCTTCCAGCTATATGTGACTCATATCATCTCGCCTCTTGACCGCCAGCACCATGCCCGTCGACTTCGAGATAATCGAGGCGACTTCATTGACGTATTCGTTCACAGCTTCCCAGTCTTACCCCCTCGTGCGGTTGCGCTGCTCATCGGACCGCAACCTTGCCCAGTGTGTGCGACCTGTTTGCGAAGCCCCCGAATGGCCTGCTTTCACTTTGGCCGTTTCATCACATCCTCCATATCTTGCAGAGTCTGGACATGGGCCAGCTTGGGCTTGACCACTCCGACCTCCTGGACCTCCTCCGCCATGCCGCTCTCAACGTCTTCGGGAATCACAGCTACAACCGCCTCGACAACACTGTCCAATTGCTTCGCTTTTTTCCTCCTGTCCCATATCTCCATGCCCTTGGTGATGCAGGCTGCTATCAACACAAGCACAGAGTTCACAATTGCGCCCCACTGCCCGATTGCCATATTTGCCTCATTCGTCGGGAGACCCCCTTGCAACAATGTAAGTTCGTTAAACACTATATTACACACCATGAGCGGCAAACACAAAACGTCAATCACCAACCCCAGCAGCATCCATGGAATGACGAATGAAGAGAGGGCTAGCTTTCTCCAAGACCATTTCGATCGACGCACATACCCCAACAGCGCGAAATATCCGCCATACCACTGTTCCATGCTCGCCTTGTAAACCGTTTTCGCAAATTGCTCTCGATGGCCTGGATGAATAAGGTAGCTCATGACCAATCTCGTGCACATATGCGACGGGGTATGTTCTTGCGCGTCCATGCTGAGCGCTGCATAGGCTGCGAACTGGATTGGTCCCACCAGCACATAGGTAAGTGTCCTGTATTGTGAATTGTCCAAGATTCGGTGGGGGATGGCCATGATTTCAGATGACTGCCTCATCGGCTTGGATATGTTAAAACACTGGTACGTGCAATTGGCAAAGTCGGGGTTCATCCACTTCTGGCTGGGATACTCCAACAGCATCCCCTTGGATGAATAACAGGCCGGCTCAGGCGGGTTAATAGGGGTGTCGAACAATTCCGATCTCCCAAAGATCAAGCTGGTGCCCACCAAACAACCCCAACAGATCATAACGACCCGGGCCCGTGTAGCTCTCAGCGTGGAACTCCAGTGAATAATACCAATGTAAGCAAGCGCGCCCGTGGACAAGACGGCCCACGCGCCCATGATGTCCAAGTCAAAGACTCCCGATTTGCTGCTCACAAGAGCCATGAGGTGAATAGCCGTGGTGCCTGCATAGGTGAGCGCACTGACGAGGGCGCCGATGATGAGCCATTCTGTCCGGCGACCGAAGATGGCGAAGATCAAGGTTACATAATAGAGGAGACGGGGGAGGAGCCCGTAGGTGCCGGAGATGGGATAGACGCAGTTGATTTCGGTGACTGGCCCACCGTAGCTGTTATTGTATACTGTCTCGGAGTAGCCAGACATGATTTACAGATATGCGATCAATGGGTTGAGGTTGTGGATGAGTAGACTAAGATTTGTACTGGTGCTCATTAGAGCTGGTCCAGTCTGGTCGCATTGTCGTCGCGATTGCTGCTTCCGCACGTGCGGCGCTGTCGATAATCCGTCTTTGGCGACGGGTGACGGGTCAAGTGCGAAATATTTGGTGAAAGTCGCAATGATGATGGCGACGTTATCGGACAAGCAGATAAAAGAAGAGAATGAAAACGATGGACCTTGGAAGATCGAGTGGCGGAGCAACTTGGCTCCGGCCAAGTCCCTGGAAGGGTTACAATTACCACGTTTTCGAGGAATCTGGGCTGGGAGTGGAACTGGATTGGAATACGAATACGACCAGCCTTGCGAGCCTTGACCATTATCATTGGCTTCCATTACGGTGCCATCCGCGGCTGTGTGAGGCCTATGCTTTGATTGGGCAAACAAGCCTCTAGCATCGTTGAAAAGGAAATACTCCTACAACATGTGCCCGCAATCATATACTCGACTTCTCAGCCAAGCACTATGTCCTCCCATTTCGGCCCGGGCTCGAGGGCCCTGTCCAACGCCTCTGTTAATATCCGTCCCAACCCTTCACGGTAGTATATTCCGCCCCTCTTGGAAACCAACATGACAATATAAACGCCGTAGTCCCGCTGATTTAACACGTCCTCTACGTCATCTGGTAATGTGCCCTCCCAGATAGCCAATTCATCATCGGCAAATGAACTTACCCTTGACAAGACCAAGAAATCCAGCGGCGTCCCAACACGTGGCATCCAGGCCGCATCAAGATCAATAGTGCCACACCACAACCCATTCCGATCCGCAATGCCTGCTCTAATCAATCCAGGATCTGCGGGAGCTGGTCGTACTGTCGACAGAGCGCTAGGCCCAGTAAGCCTCTTCCTCAACGGAGATATTACTGATTTGTGAATAAGCGCCGGCGAGGTGAGCTTGAACTGCGCCGTGACAGTTCTAAAGTGTAATAAAGGAAGCAGGGTGCTTAGGTTGTGGTTCGACATCGGTCCAAGGTACTCCGGCCGAGGTATAGGCGGCGGTATCCGTTCATAGGCTTGTTTGGGGAACGAATGGATACCAATGGCCTGATCAGCATGCCACTCAATCCAAGATCGAGCCACCTCGGTGAACTTCCACTGTATCTCCCCCATCCAGCCGGACCACGACCAACTCGGAAACCCGACTCGTCGAGATAGCCTTTTCGTCGACTCCCACAGCAAAGATGGGTCCATCATTGTCTCGAGGGCGCCATAGTATATTTTATCTCCGATCCGTTTCTCTAATACCAGCTGCACTCCTTCAAAAGCGTTCAGGATATCATTGGGGTTCGTCAATTCTCGTCGGGTGTATAGTTCCACTGCTGAGGTGAACTGAACAAACGGTTTCTCCCGGAAGATTCTGGTGGGCATATCGATTGAGTCCAATGACCAGCCATTGGATCGAGGCATTTCCATATCTTCGCAGAATGTGGTCCGCCGACACTGATAATATATCCGCCCGTTGACGAACAGCAGACACCGCCTTGAAAGCATTCTCTCCTGGAAAGTCCAGGCACGAGAATCCCATTGTGAGGTTGAAATGTAATCTGGAAGACATGAGCAGCCGTCCCCGAGTTTAAGGGTCCAACCGAAACTTACCTTCAGCAAGATGGGACACCATTAGCCGCAGGCCGGGCTTCACCTCTTCAATCTCTTGGTGGAATGTTCGGGACTCTTTTCTTACTCCTGGTAGACCGGCATTGGCGTCCTTGCCCGAACCGGCAACCACGGTCAGAGCAGCTCTGGCATAGACCCAGTCGTCATGATACTGAAATCCGTCGTCGTGCAACAGTGCCAAGCTATCCGTCCACAGATATTTCTCTTGCAGCATCTTTGTGAGCTTGATGGCGTCTTTAATCGTCCGAGGCAACTTTTCCTTCTCGAGCGCACCAGGTTGCGACAGTTTCGGCAAGTTTTTGGAGGTTGTAAATAGCTGGGCGAAGTTCTTGCCCCAAAGGTAGCTCAAGGCGACATAGCGTGAAGATTGGGGAGCTTCGACAATGCACATCTTGTCCACATCAATCGCGCGAAAGACGTCTTTGGGTTGTCCCAGCAGATCGGGATGTACCAGCGACTCTTCGCATTCCATGCCGTGGTAGATTTCGCAGTCGTGCAGCCACTGACGAAGTTGCTGGGGATCGAGCAGGTCAGAAGAGGCGATTCTGCGCCCAAAGAATTCTCGACTCGGGGCGTCGTCCGCAAGAAGGACGATGTATCCATCTTTGAATGCTTGAGGGTCACTATATATTAGCAACCGTCGTGTCCTAGGCCTGAATATATGTTCCCCTGGGCGATTGGGGTCGGGTCCCAGGTCTTCCTGCCCATCTATCACCCAACGCGCGTAACACAAGGGATCATCATCGGCGTGAAGACTGGGGCTTCGTTGATCGGAAGGACGATCGGCTATTTCGAGCACCAGTCGGCAGTGAGGGCAGTGGGTTTTATGGCGGATTTGGGATAATCTGCCCAAATATCGAGGCTTATGGGTCCTCTCAAACTCATGGTCGTCTTCCTGGATGTAGAATGACTCGAGGTTCAGGTCAAGACGGAGACAAATGTCGCAAAGGTAGGATTCTTCGGGGGGAGTACGGTCGTCCTGCAATGCGGTTAGCGAGAGCCCAAACTTTGGTGAGGATTACAAGGGGGAGGGAGCGCACTCCTGCTTTGATCCAGCTCGAGGGGAGACGTCCTAGATGTCTGAACTTTTTGGTCAAGTTCAGGATCGAGGTAGGATGAGAACCCTCGGCGGGCTGAGGTGTCGACATCTGGGTGCATTTGTTTCCAGGTTGCAGTAGTGGGGACCTAGAAGGTGATTGAGATGGGCTGGATGGGGAAATCGATAGGGAGAGTGTTTGGTGTGTTTGGCACCGGAGACGGTCGCTTGCAGCGGGCGCCGGGTCCCTCTGCTGGTCCCTCTGCTGGTCCCTCTGCTGGTCCCTTGCGGCTGCGGAGCGGGAGGGCAGGCAGGGCTGGGAGGGGTGCAAGGCCATTCACTCAGAAGAGCCTCAGTCAGGCTGGGCAGGCCAGTGTCGAAATGGCGGGGTTGTTGGGTTTGCAGTTATTTCCTCAGCAGAACCGAGTCGAGGCAAATCTAACTGCGCTGCGACATTCTGCAGACACAGACCTCGAGGATTATATCTTCGCCAACACCTTCGATCTAACTGCGGTCCATCACTCCATATTTCCCTCACCACCAACAGATCCTCCAAACAGCCTGCCAGCCCCGATGGTGGGCATGTAAATCCCCCTCGAGCCCCCACGTCGCCCTCCTGAAAACCACCTTGCACACGCCCAAATCCACCGCGAATGTGGGCCCCTGGCTAGGCAAGGATGGGCTGGATGGGCTGGATGAGGCTATTGTGAAACAAATTCCACTGGCTGAAGCATCTGCTTGCCTTTCTCAGCTTGCTGCCATCATTGGCCTGCGATCCCTGCCAGTGTCCGACGCCTATCACAGTCTCCAAGCCCCTACAAGCTTCCTTGCTGGCAGATAAGGCCGCCCATTCGCCTCAGACAAGGCGAAACTCGTGGCTCGCCCACAATCCTTCGTCAAACGGCCAACGCAAAACGGGAGCTACGCTTCGGCCCATCGCCCAGGGCAGTTGCCGCCAGAAGGGATTACACGACTTGTTACAAAGGTTCAGGAAAGACCCAGTACCGCATGCGGCTTCGTGAATCTGGATTCATGGGTGCCCCCCGCGACGAGATGCTCTAAAGCACCGCCATCCTCTCGGATGAGAGCGCAGGCTGGCTGCATTGAGTCCACGACCGCTTAACCGAAGCGTGTCCTGATTGGGGGTCTCAATCCGCTGCATTGGGCCAAATGCGGCACTGACGTCCAGGTTGTTGACCTAAAATCGCATCTGCTCAAAATTATATTTGCGTGCCAATGGTGCGCAATCTACCTACAGGTATATATGGCTTGCCTTACCCCTCCAGCCGTAAGGCTCGAACAATCCACCTTTCCATGTTTTTCGACCCTGTTGTTCAGCCGCACGACAAAAGACCGCGGAAACCACTGGGTGCCAGGTATTGTTGAGCCCGACTTTTCAGAATGTGATTGGGTCCCTTCAGCCTGACCTGAGATTGCTCAACACTTCGAAGATGCGCTGGATTGATAAGTTTGGAGACTTGCAGCTGGACATTGTCGGTATCATTGCTGTGCTGGGAGAAGGGTCCATAACTCGAAATGCCCAAGTGACAAGCCTTTCTTGGTGGTCCACGATACCTAGGCTCATGCCAGCCCCTCACGCCTTGCTTGAACATGAGCGGAAATACCGACTACCTACAGCTCCCGGGATCGTCGCCGGAGCTTACAGTGGCACAGTGAAAAAGGAAATCAATTTCTTCGCCCAGCTGCTTCATCCGGCGCCTTTGGAAGATTACCAGGTTGAACTTGTCCAGGTAACGCGAAAAGATGCGCCGCCGGGAACAAAAACGCTTCGTTCATTTGGCCCCAAGAAGTATGGCCCCTTATTCTGGGTTTCCGTCGCCGGATGTGCCATGACCTTGGCTTTGATCAGTCTCTCCGTTTATTACCACGATGGCTTCTCCTTGCTGGCTACCATTATGCTGTCGATGGTGAGCTCGTTTGTGGGATTTGGCACTCACTGGAGTCTGGTATTCCAGGAACCGAAAGTGGAAAAGGACCGTGGGCGCGTTATCCCTCGCTCAGATGTCATTATTTACTATCCCAACGTGAGTCCAGCGCCCTCTCAGTCACTCCCCTTTTTTTGATTGCAGGTGGTTTGGCATGGGTCTATGTTTCGGAGAAGCATGAACCGACTCTGCAGGAAACCTCATCTCAGCCGGGATGCGATGCGGATTGACAAAGATTCACTGTGAAGATCCCCAAGCGTATACTTATGGACTGCTTGCCAGGGATCGATCCGAGTGATTCGGCCCAGCTCCGAAAATATTGCTCGCCTGTATTTTCAGACTGAACATGCACAATATGTTATTGATGGTAGGCTGCCGCTGTCATCGGAGCTGGCGAATGACTGATCTATCTCGAAATAGACACACCCTATCGTACCCTTGCTCTGTTCTCGACAGTCATGCTTATGGCGGGAGTGGTGTCCTTGGCGAACGCATCCAACATCCTTCAAGTGGCCTTTGCTGCTTCGTATATCTTGTTGAACGTCCTCTACTGGGCCGTGTCTGCCCTGAGCCCTTGCAAATATCACTGGCAACATGCATACCAAACAGATATCATCCCAATACAAGATCCCCAGGATCAGGAATCCGACGGGCTGGTTGTGACAGGACGGGTTGAGGAATTTAAACAAAAGGTCAAACACGAGTGGCGTCGATTCGAAGAGGCCTGGATCTTGGAGAAAAGGCGTGATCGAGCTAAAAAAAGAGCCGAAACAATTTTCGAGCAGAACCCAAAGGCAAGAAACTTCACAGGCGCCCTCTGGACTGCTATTGTTCTGAGTGGCACATCCCAATGGTTGAACGAGGCAACAACCATAGCGCCTACGAACGAGGCCTGGAAAAAGTGGCTGCAAGAAGCTGGCAACGAAGCCAATGCCCGAGGGAGACTCAATGATGAATGGGAGGGCCGATTCAAACCCCATCGCCGGCCGCGCATCAAAACGGGACTAGATTGGTCTTTTGCCCCAGCCACAAAAGAAAGCATGGGACGTTCTTCGCGCAGGCGCCGGATTATGATTAATAGATCTTGGGATTACCAGACACGGCTCACTGAAATCCTGAAAGATCACGCAGACACAACGCGGGTGCCGCTCGCAGACGAGCTTGCAGGGGAAGACGTGTCTGCGGCCGCCTCCTCGGAGAAGGATCGCCTAATGCCTCTTGTAAGAGAGGAGGTGTAAGACATGTCTGTGAAATGTTACAACTTAACAATTTAGCAATGGAGGAAGAATAACCCGAGGGTAAGTGGTTGGGGGGACTGAGAAAGTTAATGAATGTGAGTGTCTGACATGGCATTCTCCATGACTGCAACTGAAAAACTTGTTATTGATACCATTCAGGACTTGAGTGTCTTTTGTCAGGTGGCAAGCTAGCTTCTTTCTCTGGGGTTGAGTGTCTTTTGTCAGGTGGCAAGCTAGCTTCTTTCTCTGGGGATACTGAGCTTCGAGCCTTCCGTGTATCGGTCAACTTCATGTCGCACGGCAATCCCTTTGGTCGTTGATGAACGTACGGCGCATTCTGGACATCAAATGTGACTTAATTTAATAGCATGGCTCCGTCAAGTTTGATCGAACGAGATCATGATTTGAATACCGAAGGCTCTATCTACATACGTAGTTCTTAGCCTATCTGATCTAGCAATACATGACGCCCCCTTTGCTGTGAGCGTGCACTTTTAGACAGACCCAACACAACACACCATAAAAATCCAATCCAGTCCTCATGTGTCTCCTTAAGGTTAAGGCTTTACATGCCCCTTCGGCCTAGTCGCAAAGCGTCAGTCAATCCGTCCTGTTCATGACGACCCTCCACGCCTTGGGCTCAACCTGGACAACCACTCCATTCTGGTCCGCGGTGAAGACGAAGTAATCCAGCGCCTCGAAGCCGTAGGTCAGCAGGTCCACCCCCGTCCACGACTGGCAACTGCCCTGGGGGAAGAAGAGCTGCGCGTCGAAGGCGTCCAATTCCGCGGTGGAGAGAGTCTGGTACACGGCGCGCCACGCGCTCTGGTTTCCCGCCGCGAGGTTGGAAGGGTAGAGGCGGACCGTGGTGTTTGCGCTTGCGCTTGCACCGCTGGCGCCGAGCACGTTGACGCCGTTGGCTGAGAATGCGGACACGACGAGCCCGTACTCGTCCGCCGAGAGCGTGATGCTCGAGTTTGAAGCCCTGGACGAGGACGAGGGCGAGGATGAGGAGGTGTAAGTGCCTGCGTACTTGCGCGACGCCTCGTCCTTGGCGACCTGGTCGACGCCCGGCAGGAGCGACTGGACCAGGGTCGAAAAGACGGCCTGGATCGTCGCGATCGAGCTGTCCGGCCCTGCGAGGTTGACGGCCACGACCAGGTCGTAGTCCGGGACCAGCACCAGGATGGCCGTGTAGTCGCCCAGGTTGCCGGTCTTGGTGTAGAAGTCTATGATGCGCGCGTCCGACGTGAGGTTCGCGCCCCGGGCGATTTCCCACGGCGCACCGACGGACACGCCAGCGGAGGATGTGAATGTTTTGGGCTTCATCCACGCGCGGGTCTGGACGGGCGAAAGAAGCAGCTTCGACGACAGGATCGCGGCGCCAAAGGACAAGAGGTCGTTGTTGGTCGAGTAGATGCCGCCCGAGCTGCACACACACACACATATCACCCATCAGTTAGAACAGGGTTCTTCCTGGGCCGGGTCACAGGTAAGGAGTACGGAGTGCACGTTACCTATTTTCGTATCCAAGAGACGTGCCCCACCAGTTTGATTCAGCGGGAATGAAGCCCATGGAGCTATTAGAGGGGGGGCCGACGAACGTGTGGCTCATCTTGGCCGGTGTGAAGACAGCATCTTGAAGATATGCCGCATAAGTCTTGCCCGTGACATTTTCAATCACTCGACCAAGCAGCGCGTATCCGATGTTCGAGTAGACTGGCGTCGTGAAGGGGGCGTAAACAGGAGGTCGTCGACCAAAGTTGTCGAAGAAATCTAATTCGTATATGTTAAGTGGAACGAACGATCGGCTGGCTGGGCGCCAGAGGGCAAAAACACAAACCGTCCCAGCTGCACCCAGGAGTACCTGGAGCTCCGCCGCAAGAAAGTGAGTCTTGGGACTGAGTCAATGGCGGCAGGCCCGTCTCTGCAGTAATGCTAGGAATATATGGGATAACGTTATTGGTGACTGCCGATTGTTCCATGGTCAACCCTCTCTTTGTTTCTCGATAGTCTCGAGTGTTACGTACGATCTGCGCCAATTCCACCCAGATGGCTTGCAAGAGCATCCACAGTGACAGTCTCCCAGTCTACGGCCAATAAAGGGTCATGAGTTTTTGACATTTGTGCGAGCTTCGGGATATATTTGGTGATCGGATCGGCTGGATTGACTTTCCCCTGAAGCTGGAGGATCGAGAGAGCCGTGAAGAGCTTGGTAGTGCTCCCGATGGAATAGATAGTGTCGCCGTCGACCTTGTGGGTGCCACTCTTGTTGAAGACCGAAGGAGTGTAGTGGAAACTCAATAGAGGCTCTGTCTCGTGGATGGACCTCACACCGACCGAAAGGGCTGTTGCATTAAGCGAAGAGCTGAAATTTTGCAACTGAGCGTCGATTGCTGCTATGACTTGTTGGAGCTGCGAATTCTGCGTCAGGTTTGTTGGCGGTGGCAAGATGGGCCCAAGAGGAGGGCATTGAAGTTGAGCCAGAAGCAGCGTAGCATGCAAAGTAATGATTAATGCGAGGCTTTGCCCCAGGGGAGCCATAGCAGAGCGTGAGTGAAACCAGAACAAGGCAACGAGGGTGAAACCTGATGCTCAGAATGGTTGTGATCTGAAATCGAAATCAAGAGGGCTGCTGTGTCGTTGGCATGTCTTTGATCAAGGCCAGCGCGAGTTTACTTATACAGGCCGATATAAGAGTGCCTGGGTAACACTGCCAGGGCCTGCAGACGTCGGTCTTGCATCTTCAGCAAGAAATATGATCATCGTGGCGTTGACACTAGACCAGGCAGCAGATATTGTGGACATCTTCAACAGGTCCTGAGAATAGAATTCCAATTCAAGAGGATGGAGCAACGTGGAAATTGTTCAGACTGCGACTCATCCACTTTGACCGCGTTCGGGAAAGAGAGCGAGCAAAGGAGGAACATCCTCTACACGAAATGGCATTTCGTTGTACCGAGTACACTTGCCTTGCGGTACGTGACGAGTCCCACACATGGCTGAGATTGACGACCACAGCATGCTTTCTAACGAGCTGCGATTCTTGGAGTTTCAATTAGAACAGGAGACTGAAGGGATGAGGTCTGCGGACAACGGGGGCATGTCCTGCAAACGGGGTGGTTGTGAGAGACTGTTCGGATCTCGGAAACCGCACCGAATGGGGAATGGACGGCAAGGCTGCGCAGCAGAGACGGCGCCAATGGCGTGCTTTAATCTGCCCGGGGGTCTGGGGCCAGGCCGTAGTACTGTATGTACAAGTAGATCGCTCAGGTGCCAGCGAGCTGGTAATGCATGAGTTGTTCAAGACCCCAAAATCGTAATGAGCCGATCCGCAGATGAGAGTGAATGCTTGTTCTCTTCTTTTCTGGCTGGAATTATTTTGAGTACTACGCATTGCAAGTCTCTTTTGCCATAGTTGTCCGAAGGGCGTATAACTCATGCTACGCTGAATGATGCTTTTGCAGTCGGCTCCCCCTTCGCTGGAATGGCCGAGGCGCCTGGTAGCTATGACAATGCATGTATGGTGCCACTGACGTCCTCTGGCGCCATCCATTTGTGGTGTTGTGCATAACCAGAGAACTTTGAATGTGGAGAGCCAAGGGTCGTCAGGGACAGAGCCTCTCACCTTGCGCCCTGCCAAGATGATTCATGCTACATTCGACTGTCGAAAGCCTTGGGCACCTATGGACTCGGTGACCATGGATATTTGACTCATGTATTCGGTCAACATCCTCGGACAGAACCGTGCGAGAACCCAGCTCCAGAATGTAGATGTGCCTGCCGACCATCATTCCTCGACTACCAGAGTTTCCCCCCTGCCCCGGAAGCGTTGCAAACAGGTTGCATCGTAAGTGAGATAGACAACGTCCACATGGGTCTTTCCAGCTTTGCGGTAGTTCAGCCCAGCAAGCACATCGTAGAAAAGCGTCGGCCAACGATTGGCGGCCTCAGGTAGAACTTCTTCCAGGTCAAAGGCGGTGATGCCTTCTTCAAGTTCCATAACTCTTGCGGCGATGCAGAGTACTTCGGATCTATGCCACAATCCTTCCTTGGCTCCTGTCAGACGCATCAACTCAAGAGCTTTTCTTCGGATGGTAGGTTCTCGACACTTGAGGACAGTCAGGTACAGGGGCGCCAGAAAGGACATTTCAAACGAGAAACTCGCTGCTTCATCTTTTAAAGGAAATCTGGTCAGGCCCTCCTCTGCTGTGACGACAATCTCATTGAAGTCATCCAGGTGATCTTTGTGACTTATCTCCGAGGGATCTAGGCTTGCAGAGGCGCGGATCTTGGTGATTAGGTAGTGGACTCTTAATATTAAATGTGCGAGTGACCTCTGAAATGACCCCATTGCCTGTTGTGCCACAACTATTTCCAAGTTCCGTTGCCAAGTTTCCAACAGAACCAGCGCAATTTGTTGCTCCCTCTGAAGCGAAGCTGTAGCCATCGAAAGATCCTCCGGCGAAGATGAATTCCAATGAGCCTGATAGACTCGCAATCTCAAGTCCTGGACAAGCTCCAAAATCTCGTGTAGGGAGTCCCTTGCTCCTTCTATGTTGTTAAAGTCCGGCACCCGAGCGGAGGGAGACAGTAGAGAACGATTCGGTGACGGTTTTGGTAAGTGATAGCCAAACATACTTGATAGCAGCCAAAGTCGATCGAACACTTTCAACAATCTCGGATTTATCCAAGTCCTTCCAGAAGCGGGCTGATTTTGCATAGCTTCTGCAACCATGCTACACCCCTTTGAGACTAGAGAAATTCCAGTGCTGTCGTTCATCCGGTAGAATTCAAGGCAGATGAAGATAATACACGACAAAAGCGCAACATGGGCCGCTTGAGACGTGCACGGCTCCTGCAGCGAATGCGACAACGCCAAGATGGATTTGTTGTAGTATCGCAGTGCTTGGCGACAGTGAGTGCAGATGCAGTTTGATGCATGATCCGAGGCGCCATTATGGCCATGTTTGAAAAGATTTCCGATGGCAAAGATTCCGTTGCGGACAGTGGGTTCAGTATCAGCGACCTGGAGCATCTGCTTCTGCCATAACTCTGTATCAAAGGCGCCGCCTAGAATCGACGCGACCCGGTGGCTGTAGAATCGGTAGGCTTGCCATTCCGACTGCGTGGCACGAAAGGCTGAGAGCAAGAATGAAGAACTGCTGAGGCGTGGTGGAGTGGTTGCTTTCGAAGGAAGCGCGAGACCTTCTTGAACCAGCGAAAGTTGATAGCCCTCACAAGTTCTGCCTGCTCTGACACACCTCGCGCACGAAGGCCTTTCGAGACCGCACTTTACTCGACGCCGCTTGCAAGTTAGACACCCTGTGCGAGTTTTTGCACCGTGCCTGCCCTGGCCATCAGTAGCCATAGCATCGTCTTGACACTCGTCTTGAAACTTCAACAGGAGATGTAAATAGACGCGTGTGAGGTGGTCTAAGGGTAGGTTGAGGGGAAAATATAAGTGCCTGCACAGTAGCATGGAATCTCGCCGAAACCCTAGTGACCTACCTAACCCATTAAGCGTGGGATCGCCTTCTGATGTCTGACAGTGGAAAGGACCATCCGTAGGTTGCCTGATATCCTGTGTCATCTGCAGCTTGAAACCCTTCCGAGTTGTCCTGACCCCTTGCTCACAACCCAATTGTCTGCTCAAGATGGAAGGGAATACTTACTGCTCTTGCACTCTGTGGGCTAAGTTCGGATTGGAGGCATGAAGCTCTGATAACATGGCAATATGTAAGTTCGGACATCTCCGTGTCGAGACGTCGATAAATAGTCCCCCTGATCCCGTCGTACAATTTCAACAGGGGCGAGCGCGAAGCCGATAACACGAGACGGCATCCTAGTGTGAGTTGTTGGCACCTTCGAGCCACCATGTCTGTCCTTCAATCCAGCGAGGATCGGTTGAAAGCGAGGAAACCGTTGCCCACTCCACAGCCAGCCTATCTACCTACTGCGGGTTCACCCTTGACAGTCACCCAAGAATTGTACCAGTCTATTCAGCAAGGTCCCAGGGAACTTGTTGAGTCATTTGTCTTGCCTATCCGTTCGGGTCGTGCTTGGAAGGCCCCAGCTAAGAGTATTATCAGAATTAGCACACCCGAGGGGCCTCAGGTTGGTAAGCAAGGGAAGTTGTGCATAAGCAATCGGGTTCTGACAATTTTTGTAGGCGATTTGAATATTTGGAACGCGAATAACCCTCGGGAGAGGTTCTGGGCCTCTCGAACAAAACAGCTCCACTCATCACACGTTACAACATATGATCGCCTCTGGTCCTGCCTACCGTATATGCGTCCATTGTGCACCATCGTCGCCGATTCCCTCTCATGGTATGGAGTGGATGAGACGGGAGGTAGAGTCCACGACCTCCTTGGCACCAGGTGCGACCCTTATATCAACACGCTACTGTCGGGACCGGAGGCGTCGTACGACTATCATTGTCACTCCAACCTCACCAGAGCCGTCTTGCCTTTCGGTCTCAACGAATCCGACGTCCACGACGTCATCAACTTGTTCCAGGTGACGGGCCTGGATTCACAGGGGAGATACTTTATGAATCCGTGCCCTGCTCAACCGGGTGACTATATCGAACTTTTTGCAGAACAGGACCTTCTGATGGCCCTGTCGACGTGCCCAGGAGGAGATCTTTCCTTGTGGGGCTTTGGGAGTGATAGTGAGAAAGAAATGATCAAATGCTGCAGGCCTCTAAAGGTCGAGGTCTTTAAGCTGGTCGAGGAAGGCAAAATTTTGCCGGGGAGGTGGCAACCGGCTGAACGTCCAGATTACCGTGGCGTCCATGGAATGATTGTGCCAGAAGGTGAAAAGAGGGCATAAATTAACCAGAATAAGTTTCAGCGACCAGCCATTTCCTGCTGACCTGCTGGACCTGACACTTCACTCGGCTTGTTAAAGACAGCGTTCATGGCATCTTCCAGTATTGCAAGCCCTCGGTTGATCTCCTCATGCGAGATAACAAGAGGGGGAACAATTCTGATGACCCCGTCTCCGGCAGTAATAACCAGAAGACCTCGCTCTCGTGCAGCAGTAATAAGTTCTGTCGCCTTGCCCTTGGCAGAGTCGCTCAGCTGATAGCCGACAATAAGACCTCTACCCCTGACTTCCGAGAGGATGCCCGGAAACTTTTCCTTCATGGTCTCGAAGGCGCTGAAGAAAAGCGTGGACTTAATTCGAACTTCTTCCTGTAACTGGGGCTTGGCCAGACGGCCAAAGACGTGGTGCGCGATTCGACAGGCAAAAGGATTACCGCCGAAGGTTGTACCGTGATCGCCCGTCTTGATGTACGGTGCAACGCTCTTGCCTGATACAAGGGTTGCTCCAATAGGGATGCCATTACCCAAGGCCTTGGCAGATGTCAAAATATCTGGATGCACACCAGAGGCAGTATAGGCCCACAGATCACCGGTCCTGGATAAGCCACATTGAATCTCGTCAAAGATCAAAATGGCGCCAACCTCATCGCAGCGTTTGCGGAGGGCTTGGAGAAACTCGGGGGTCGCGACATTCACGCCGCCTTCACCTTGGATTGGTTCAACGATCACTCCTGCGGTGTTCTCGTTGACCAGCTGTTGGACACCCGCAACGTCGTTGAACTTTCCATAACGGAACCCAGACAGCATGGGGCCAAATGGGGGTTGGTACTTCTTGTTGGGAGTAGCTGAGAGCGATCCATAGGTGCGGCCATGGAAAGAGTCATGGAACGACACAATGTCTCTCTGCTTTGACTCTGGATCTTTGGCATATGAGACCTTTCTTGCAAATTTCAACGCAGCCTCGTTAGCCTCGGAGCCAGAGTTCGAGATGAAGACTTGCGTCAGAGGCGAGCCGGGCGACTGCTTCTGTGTCTCTTCAATCAGGGATTTGGACAGCGTCGGGGTCCAGGGATTGTGGTAGAGGTTGGATGCATGGATCAATCGCTGTGCCTGATGGGCAATGAGTCGTGTAATTTCAGGATCACTGTGGCCCAAAGAATTTACCGCTATGCCTGCGGTGAAATCCAGATATTGTCTGTTTTCATTGTCGTACAGCATGCACCCTTCTCCTTGCACCATCATCGGCGGGGGTCGAACGTAGGTAGGGACCATGTAAGGAGTAGATTGGTTCAGAAAGGTCGCCGTGGGCGAGTCGGAGGAAGGATCTGGGTTGGGCACAGAGGCTTCATGCCGAATCTGCGTCTCATCCTGAATGGGGATGCTGGAAGAGGTGGGCACAGCAGCGGCACTGGCATACCGTCGCCAAGTGAGAGATGCTCGGTGTGAGGGAGCGGCAAGCTTTGAAAGCTGGGAACATGCTAGTCTCTTGCTCAATGAGAACGCCATGTTGCAGACGATAAATGACAACAACGACACCAGTATCAGGGGCCTCCTCACTGCGCGCTGGAGCAGTTTTCAAGAAGCCGGTCTATGGAGGAGAGAATGAGAATTTTCTTTTGAGTCACACTGAAGTCACTGTTTTTTTTTTTTTCTCCCTCTATTTTCTTTTTGGGAGGCGCGAATGCGGGGAAGTCCGGCTAGTGAGGCAATCGGTGGGCAATACCCAGTAAGGCCAGTGAGGCCAGTCCACTATTACTGGGTACGAGGTACCGACTCGCCGTCCTGGGCTTGTCTTGGGGCGGCGGGTGCTGAGGCTGGTGAGGCTGGTGAGGCTAGTGGCCCAAATCCCCTGCGCCACCAGCGCTAGCCACACCTTGCTTGACCATTGACGCAGTTGCGACTTCAAGCCTGGCAGTCAGCCCACCAGCCCACCAGCCTGCGCTAAACTCCCCCCCAGACTCCCCTTCCTTTCTCCTCGCCTCAATCTGTCCTTGACCCTCGAGAACCTCCTCCCCCATTGAGACAGCTGACACCGATCCTGCCATGAGTTCAATCTCCATCTGAGACCGCGGCATTCCAGACCCAGGAGAATTACGAGGCCGCAGATGCAGGTTATGTATGCAAGGGATCCCTCTCATCGGTAATGTGGTTGAGAACTCGGCTGACGGCCCTTCCAACCATCTCAAATGCCTTCTGGAGGTGAAGTGACACCCCGAGCTTGTCTCAAGCCACTGCCGTTCTATCGGGCCTCCTTGCAATATCAACTGCCTCAAACACGATGCTCTGGCCATGACGATACTCGAGTCCCTGATTGAGATGAGCCATCCATTTCTGGAGCCTAAGGCGATTTTCAGCGGATTTGGCAAGGCGACATCGTTCGTATTGTGCAATATCGACCAGTCTGTAACACAACTCCAAGATTGGACTGAAAAGAATCGTGCTCTAGATCTCTATTTTTGCCCCAATCCATCTCCGAACCCCCTTGTCCGGTCTCGATTTTGTCTGAGATTGTTGACAATTGCATGGACCTAGAGTGGTACGCTTGAAATGTGGTAACCCCTTTCCCTGTGCTCCTGCCGTTTTCGAAGAGAATTAAAAAGGCTCCGTTTCTCACCGAGTATTGTGTTGCTGTTCAAGACAGACATCTTGGGGAATAAGAACTCAACCAAATTGCCCACCAGACCATTGAGCTGAGACAATTCCAAGAACACATTCCACCATGAAGTCCCTTCTCTTTGCCCTTGCCGCCGGCATGCCTTTTGTGGCTGCCAATCCATTTGGTGCTGGCTCATTTTACGAGCGAGGTGTTTGTGCTGCAGATAACTGTGCCAGGTAAGGCCGAAGGATCTTGCCATCATCGAGGCTAACCGTCGTCAGAGCTGTTACCGGTACAGCAGCTCAGCCGCCGCTTGCAACCCGTCAAGCAGACTGCTCGGCTTTCTTCCGCCCAGTGCCTACACCAACAGTACCGGCGTACGCTTCAGCTTGCAGTGGAGCTACTCGTTATAGCAGTGCCTGCTCGTGTCTAGGAATCACCGCGCCCACGTATACTTGTCTCAACTCACCTGAAGCAACCGATATTGTGTCGACATTTGCTTCATTCTTGACTGCCCCCCAAGCCCCAGACTTTGCATCAAAGGCGAATGTGCTGTTGGCGGATAACTTCACCGACACCAGCGATTCCATCAATTTCCTGGCTGGCTACCCTGTAAGTTCCTCGCAAAGACCTTGAGATGAATATGCACTCACAAGCAGGTAGCTCGGTGGCAAAACATTCCCTAGCAAGACTGCGTTCATCGCTGGTCAAGGAGCACAGCGACCTATTCCCACCCTCACTACTCTCGATATCTTCTTCTCCTGCAACAAGATCGCCTGGCGATGGCTTGCACAGGGCATCGGATCCGGTCAATACGAGGTCAAGGGTATTGACACTTTTACCATCACACCATCGGGCCAGATCAGTGAAGTTTTTGCTGAGTTCAACAGCGCAGCCTGGGCAGCAGATCTGGCTCCTTCTCCATCGCTTTCAGGTTCGTCAACCACACCAACGACGACAACAACCACAAGCGCGACGCCGACTTCGACCGTGGCCTAAGCGAGGGGGGGCTTTTTTTTTTTCAATGGATGGCCTTCATCTTACGGGGATGAGGCTAGGCTTGAACTAGTTCTTGATCGAGACCTTTTCGGTATTTCGCTTCCTTTCAGGGAGAATTCGTCATAAAGTAGTAATCTTACACAGACAAACTTTGTCTGAATTTTCAGCACTGACCTTGAGATTCTTCAATATCGACTTGACATTTCGCTTTGCGGTATTCTTCTCGCTATGGGTTTTCGGCCCTAAACTTTGGTGTGCGTACATCTACCACGTGGATCCCGAAACGCTGTTTCCGAAGCCTGAATGTCCCTCTGTTACTCGAAAATGAAAGACCAAATTGCCACATACGGCTTACTCCCAGAGGGCGAGCGAAGGCCGCTTCAACCTGAGCTTTAACTGGGCCATTAGCTGAACATCACTGAGCGCTCTCGGAGTACTCCCTGAGCAACACACCTAGGGCTGAATTATTTGCCCCCTAGTAATCGGCGACAATAGTGAAGAACGAAGCTAAGTATAGAGTACTGCGCTGAAGTTGCCAAAACATAGATGGACAATGGTCCGTTGATGTATTAGACAGGCGACCCGAGATAGAATACTTCAGTTAGGTGCTAACATGGTTCTCCCAAGGACACAACAACAACGCAAGCGCTGCAAAGTCATGAACAGGCGACTTATCAAAAAAATTCGTCCTTCCAAGTGTCTAGCGGGTGTCTATAGAACTCCCCAGATGCCCGACTCAAGGATCCCTACCTACGGCAGCCTTCAACGATCGTGCTGACCCACTATCGACCCACGGCAATTGTAGCGAGGCTATAGCATATAGATGAGTAGTTTGACGGCAGAGAGACATGGTTGCTCTGTTGCATCCAAAAAAGCGCCATCCGACCTCGCCAGCAGATGACGCGGCCTCATAGTCGACTCGAAGGCCTCGTCTCAAGATAGGTAAGAGGCTGCTCGTAATTGCGAGCAAGATTAAGACATCAGCAAAAAAGGGCTTCGAAGTCGCACTGTGGGATGAAGAATCAGAGTTTACCGGCGGTTGTTGACTCGTCGGTCGAACGGGAGCTTAGGAAAGATGGCGGGATAGTGGTTGGGCGGTGCATATACAGTTTGCAATTCCATGTAGAGAAGGATTGAAAGGTTTGACGCGGCGACAACACCCGACCCACCGCGCATTGTGGTCAAGTCTTCAGAGGAGCAAGGCCCGCTACCGAGTCCGCTAGAAAGGACCGAGTAAGCTGGGCAAGCTGGGGTCTGAAATAGGGGGTAACCCCGCATTCACCAAGGAGACAAGGGAGACATAAAATCCACCTTAAACGTAATGGCACTGCTCACTTCCCCCCCCTCTCCCTCTTCAAGTTGAATCCCTGTCTTTATCCGGCTTATACTCATTCATGGTTTCTGGGTACACCAGGGGGTCCGCCCCCCAATACCACTACAAAACTTCTCGTCGCCAGAATCGGAGCTGTGACTACTGCCGACGCTACAAACGAGCTTGTGATGCTGCTCTCCTTCACTGGACGAGCTGTTCAAACTGTCTGAGGCTGGAAAAGACGTGCAGCTTCGACCGCTTAACCACGCAGAATTTATACACAATAAAGGGACAAGCAGCGCCCAACAGCCGAATCACTATAACTACAAACAACATCGAGGTCGCCAGTGGAAAGGCCAGCACGGGAAGTGGCAGGAGACATGGTGCTCCTTCACGGGCGCACTCTCATTCTAACCAGGCGGAAAACGTGACAGCAACAATGCCAGGCCCTGTTCTGACTTCTTACCTTGATCAAATCAACAATATAAACCGTCCCCATTGTCCACCTTTTCCGGACCGCACTGAGGTCGAAGGTTATTCAAACGTCCCTGGACCGAGTGTCGTCGATCCATCCATGTGGAGTTACACCTGTGAAAGCATTTTACCAGTCGGCAGACCTGGCAATTTTACCCCCGGTGGACGATCTAATTCTTTGGACAAGACTGAATCTCTGTTCTCCGCTCTCTACGACGGGGACGGGCTAGAGACGCCAGCTTTCGACTTTGCAGAGACAATTTTCAACGAGGACGAAATTGTCGGAAGGAGTGAAGGATCATCACAGGCCGCGCCGCGTTTCGCACTACCGGCACATCATCTGGCAGAGAACACCAATAGGTTGCTCATCTCAACAAGCTTAAAGCACATCTACTCTGATACTCTGGAGAATGCACTGTTATGCTGGGTGACGGAACAAAGCTGCCCATACAACGATGAAGGTATTCTCTCGCATCGATGGCAGCAACAGCGGTTTCATGGAACGAACATCGCCACCAAGAACGGCATGATTCAGCGAATTCACAGACTAGATCGCGCATCTTGTGTTCTCGGCGGGCGTAAACTGTCACCTACAGAAAGTCGACTTGCGTCGCACGCTCTGAATGCTGTGATAATGGCATTCGCAGCCCAGTGGTCCCAACTTAGTGGCGCAAATGAGTCGGGCTTATTAGATATACGAACCCTAAGAGCTCGCCAACAATCTTTTCACGAACTTGGGAGATTGGTCGATCAGTCATTGTTCGACTTTGCCGAAGCAAAATTAGCCAGTTTCGACCGATCTCTTCAAGTGACACTGTGGAACGAGGCCTCTCGAGCGCTGCAACAAGCCATGGCGATTGATTCGTTTCAGGTTGTATTCGCGCAAGTCATTTTTGGCTTCACACAGCGTCCACTCTCGCCAGAGGACTTTCAACGGGTAAAGAATCATGGAGAAGAGACCACCCACTATCTTGGATTGAATGGTTTTCAAAGGATGGGATCCCTTGGTAGGGCCACATGGAGTGACGACGTGCATGTATACCAGGCCGAGCCCACCGAAGAATTTGTGTCAGTCGACCACGTGACTGCGCCCGAGTTTGCTGAGACCCAGGAGTTACTCGACCTGGATAAAGATCCTCTGCACTTGCGTGACTCTCTCATGCGACTAGCTGCGAAACGAGTCAAGCTCAGTACAAAGAGACCGAGGCTTGATACGGCGTGGATGACGGTCGAATCGAGACCTCCCTTTCCAGACGAAGCCTCCTCCGAGTTTCTGATAGATCGAATGACTTTCAACCAGTTATTCTGGCTAGTTATGATGTGCGACACGCTCTCCGCAGCCATCAACAACCGGTTACCCATTGTTTCTGATGAAGATTCGGTGATCCTGTCCGAGACTGACAGAAAGGCAGGCCAGGCTAAAACCCCAGAGAGCTCGCACACCAGTGCCGTACCTGTTGTGAGAGTCTCCACCTCAGTGCCAGCAGCCATGCATAGCACGTACCCGGAGGTGGAAGACAATCCTTGGGGAAAGTACTTTCTTGGGAGAAACACAGCCGCCAACGCGGTAGGGTCAGTGCAGTGGCCATTTTCGAAGGAGACAGCAAGTGCACTTCTCTCGGAGGCGGCACCTGTTAAGGCCCTTCTGTACCGGAAAGTCAAACAAGTGCAGAACGCGCAGTTCCGGCGTGCTTCGCCGGCAGTATTGGAACAGCTGATCCTGGAAGCTCTCAAAGTCTACGAGCACTGGAATTGGAATTATGGACAGTTGTTCACGACCTGCATTCAGCACCATGACGAGCTACCATTACAGATTCAGTCATGGTATTCAGTCCTGGCGAGTCACTGGAACTTAGCTTGTTACCTGCTGGTCGACCTTATCGAGGAATTGGACAGATCTGGAGAGACCGATAAGTGCCACGCGGCGATTCGGAAATCGTGTGGCCTTTTATTCCACATCAGGAAACAAAGCGCGTTCGAGATGGCCGATCTCGGTCGAGTTGGACGAGTGCGACAGGACTGCAGCTTCAGCCAGAGCAACGAATTCCATCCCACGGTCAAGGACGGGGCGCTTCTCACAGAGCCCTGGACTGAGATCATGATTCGCTCCTTCGCCAGAATTTCGGAGCAATTTTTGAGATGGCTTGGTGAGATTGGCCAGCCGTTGAGAGAAGACTATGGCATTTCAGGCATGTGGCTTCCTGGAGATCGGGATCGGCTTTACGCAAGCCTAGATTATTGCGTCGAAGCTCTGCTGGATCTTGGGAGGAAGTCAGATATGGCATTCCTGTTGGCAATCTCCATGAAGCGAAGAATGGTTCGATTCAGCAGGGACGTGACAGGGTGAGAGATGTTTGACGGGGGTGCCACTATTAGAATTCTACTATGAGACCAAATTTGAAAGCTGGCAGGAGCGGCCTTTATGGCAAGGTCCATGTTGATCTGAGAGTCGCAGTTAAATCCAGTCCTCCTTCTGTTAACATATATTTGTGATTGAATCACTTGCGCCTCCCCTCCTCCCTCACCCCCGGATTCCGCGCCCGTTGATATAGATTCCTACAGGCTTCTCAAATTATCCTCAGGACTCGAGATTGGCGTTGATGGTCGCCTCCATGGTCGCCCAGAGTCCCAGAATCTTGGGATCTCCAAACGGGATGATCTGACTTGCAATCATCCCTCCCACGCCTCGACTCCGATCGGCCCACCAGAACAGATTCGGTAAGCCAGCCCACCAAGCTGTGCCTTTACTGTGCACTACACTGTCTCTAAGGTGCAAGAAGAATGTGAGACCCCAGCCTTGAGGAATATCGTGCGGTTCTGGGTACAATTCAGGTAGAACATTCGAGTATTCCGGTTTTGGGGGTACGATGGCATGCCTCGCAAAATCCGGGAACTCTGGGATTTGGTTCGTGAACATGGTTTCGACAGTCTCCTTCTTGAGTAGTCGAGTGTTTGTTGGGGCGTGGACACCATCATTTAAAAGCACACCGATAATTTGGGCGTATTGGCTGGGCTGGGCAAAGCAGCCTGCGCCACCTTGTTGGAATATCGCATCGCGTTCGGCTTGGCTTGTGGCAACAAGCGGGGCGTGGTTGATGTGCCCGTCGACCGCGAGCTTGAGATCTCCTGTGTGAAGGTCGCGAGAGTGCATGTACGCGAGCTTCGCTTTCATGCCTTCAGACGGGAACATGGTGATTTGCGTAATGCCGATGGGTTCGAAAATATTCTTTTGGAAATAGTCGTTCAGGGACAGTCCAGAGGCACGTTCGACACAGATGCCCGCCCAGTCGACATTGATGCCGTACTCCCAAGCTTCGCCCGGCTGGTTGACGAGTGGTTGGGACAGATAGTCGTGCTTGAGGCCGGAGAATTCGTTTACTCCAACTGCGCCGTAAAAATCGTTCAAGCGCTTGTCAAAGAAGGAATAACCGAAACCAGCTGGTGGAATAGCTTAGCGACCATTCTGTGTATGGGAAGAGACATAGGAGCTTCTGAGAGGACGGGAGGGTAGGTCTAACCTGTGTGGGAAAGAAGCATGCGAAGAGTAATGCCTCGCTTCTTGGGGACCAGTTTTTTGCCTTGAATTACTTTGACCTCTTTCAGCTCCTAATTGGCATGACAGCACAAATCATGGTTAGAAAGTCTGGTACGAATGCGAATGGACATCCCAGTACTCCTGGAGCGGTCAAGGAGACACCCACAGGGCAGAGCCTCTCGACGAGTTCGACATCGTCCAAAGCCAATATTCCCTGCTCCACAAGCTGCATGCAAGCAATTCCGGTGATCATTTTGGTACAACTGGCAATCCAAAAGGAGTGGTCGAGGGTCATTGGGTCATCGACTCCCAGGCCTGTGGTCCCCGAAGCATGCTCAAAGATTGATTGTCCTTGCCTGTTGACTGCCACAAAGACGATGCCAGCAGCATTCTTGACAGGATCGGCAGTCGTGTCGTCCATTTGCTTTCGCAAAGCCGAGATCCCGGTCGAGGTTATCTTCGCCATATCGGGCAGGATTTGTCTCCTCACAAGATATGTAAGACGCACAGAGAGTTCGAGGGTTTGGTGACTGAGGCGGTGATGTTAAAGACGGTAAACGGCTATGGTCCCTTGTTCGGGTATTGGCTTCATGCCTTCTTTAATAAGCCACGGGGTCCGGCCACACGATCTTGCTATTCTTTCAGTGACGGCATCTCGGAGGACAGGAAGCAAGCTACGTGTGTTCAACCACAGCAGGAGGTGAACCAGCCCAGGCTCATGTCACTCTAAGAGACCATGTGGGAAATATCGCGAAGCAACGCATAGGGTGGGCTGCGACCGGGTGCGGAGCAGCTCCGCCGCTTATCTGTTATCATCGATCAATCCTCAAGGGCAAGCGCGAGAGTCTTGTAAGAGCACAAGGCGTGTTTGTGGCTACCGAGCTCAAAAGGTGGAGAGAAATCTCAATTTCATGGGCGGTTTGGACTAAATCCTCGGCCCCAGTCCCCCAGACTACTCCGCTTGCTACTCCGCTCGCCAAGAGCGGAGCCGCTGTGGGTCATCGCCTGAAACGGACTGGTTAATAAATCTTATTTCCCAAATAGGCAATTTATGGAGAAGAATTTATTGATTCTTGTACGCGTGTATGGTGTCTAAGCAGCATAGAGCGCCCCCATGATCCTGCAAGAAAATTCGGGTACGCTTTGCAAATTTGGGAGGTGCGTCAAATCTCCAAGTAGTGCCACCTCTCTAGCACTCCAAATCGACCTGCTCCGTGAAGGTTTGAGATGTTTCTCTGTGGTTCCCGGTGACTTGGTCCAGGAGTCCAGAGCCGCCGACTTGGTGGAAATATCCAGGAATTGCACGGGCATGACCGTTGCTTCTTCACATGTAAAAATTCTACGTCCGTTCTGCTTTCCCTTTACTGTGAGGCAGGCCGTGAATTCGTCGAATTGTCTGCCATTTTTCTAGAAACTCATCGACGCCTCCTTTTCAGTCCATGACTTGAAGCTCAATATGTCTGGCAAAAGCCACTGGAAGATGGAGAGAACAAAGTAGTACCAGTATTTGCAAGTGCTATCTATTGGCCATAGCTACAACCTCAAAGCGTTCTTGTCTTTCCCACACAGCATCAACTTGAGTTACCATCTTCTCACTTCCACTACCGTCCCAATACGAAACGGCAACATCCCTTTTAGGCCTTAACAACGTCAAAACCCTTGAATCCTGTTAAGCAACCCCTAATCTCCGCTCCATAGGTGCCCAATCCTGCCGGATAACACACAAATTCGCGGGCTTTTCCAGGGATACTGCCTCCCATGTACGTGCTCCTTTTGGCCTTAGGAAAGAGTGTTTGGGCGGCGAGACTTGCAATCCTTGCCTTCCATTGATCGCTCGCCTCGTCGGTAGGATTGACATACTTAATGCTTTGTCGATTTATCATGTTGATGGCGTCGCGGATCCATCGACCCTGAACCTCGACACAGGATGGTCCATTGCACAGCAGCGTCGGAGCGTGGGCTGCGTAGACGTGGAAGAAGTTCGGATACCCTGCGATTGTAACGCCGAGGTATGTGCTAATACCACTCTTCCACTCGTCCTTAAGGTATTGGCCGTTGATGGACTTTAGACCCATCTGGGTTAGACCGCCAGTCACCACGTCGAAGCCGGTGGCGAGTGCCACAACGTCAACCTCATACTCTTTGCCGTCCGTCGTCCTAATCCCCTTCTCGGTGAATTCTGCGATCTCGTTGCCTGAATCATCGCTGATATCGACAATCGTAACATTCTTCTGGTCCATGACCTCGAAATAGTTCTGCTCTAAGCAAGGGCGTTTTACACCCCAAGGGTGAGGTGGTTCAGGTGGACAGAGAAGGTCTCTCTTAACTGGGTCGCTGACGCGAGCGCGCTGTTTCTTAAGCCAGAAATTATAAGTTTCGCGGTTAGCTTTCTCGTCGAAGAGGTAATCTTTATAATTGGCAAGCCACAGGTGGAAGCCGCCCATCTGCCATAAGTTCTCGTAGAAGGCTTCCCGTTCTTCAGGGGTGTCATCAAAAGTGTTGCGCTCGCAGAGATCGTAGTGAAAACCGGCAAAGCATCGGTTACGGAACTCATGGATTGTTGGATATGTGACCTTCAGAGCATCCTGCTCATCCTTTGAAAGTGTCTTCTTCCCCATCGGGATGGCGAGGTTTGGAGTTCTCTGGAAAGAAAACATTTGCTTCACCTCTGGCCCCCATTCCTGGGCAACCTGAACACCCGAGGCACCTGATCCAATGACGGCGACCTTTTTGTCCTTGACATCAACGCCCTCGTTGGGCCAGAAAGAGGTGTGGTGAATAATGCCTTTGTACTTATCAACGCCCTTGAATGGCGGAACATAGCGCTTGGCTGCGAATCCGGTAGCAGCGATGAGAAATTGAGCCTTTGCTTTGCGTCCGTCAGATGTGGTGACGGTCCATTTTCCAGAGTCCGTGTCGAATTCTGCCCCAGTCACCACAGTCTGGAATGCCACATCTTTAGAGAGGTTAAGAACTTTGTCGGCATGGGCAAAATAGGTTTGTAGCTCCTTCCAATCGGGGTAGTTAGTGCTCCAGTGCCAGTCCTTATAGACTTCGGGAATGGGAAGTTCGTAGATGGGAACCTCGCTGTCGACCCTCGCGCCGGCTTAATTAGTTAGCCCGGCTCGTCGTTGAAAATGATTGGGAGCCTACGATAGATGTTCCATCTCCAAGTGCCTCCAAAAGATGTACCAGCATCGTACACGACGGTGCGATAACCGGCTTTACGAAGTTCGTGTAGTAGGTAGGTACCGCCTAGACACAGACTCAGTTCATTTCTTTGTTGTTACAATTAGGGAAGCCAAGTCATACCAAACCCAGCTCCAACGATCAGGACATCCACATCCAAATCGTCAGCATAAGGTCCTTCGCTACTACGGCGATGGGCAAACTCTGTCAACTCGGTTTTGAGAGTGCTCACGGATTCTTTCATTGTTGCGCCGAGAAACTCTGTCATTGGCTCTGGGCGTTGTAAGTTGCGTCCAACACGACATCTGAACGAGCGGTCTAGTTCATTTATACCCTGAACGAAGATACCTGTAGGGGGTCGAGGATGTCGTAAAACCCCAGATCTGGAAGTCTTGGTCTTGGATAGGTCGTTCATTGGAACGATCAAGAACTCTTTGCCCCATCTGGAGCAAGTCTGGTGTGGCCAAGAATGCGGAGCCGGCGGAGGGATAAACTCAAAAGCATACTTCACCCCGAGTGTAGATCAGTGACAGCTATTGCTCAGGTATTGACGATGTCGCATCAAGTTCTCGTCGGTTTCACGGACAGATGGCTTCAGACCCGCTCGATATCTCACTCTTTGATCGGGCACAAGCTTGAAAGACCATGCTTGTGAAGCATTACTCCACAGTAGCCTCGGTCAACGGGAACTGGCGCTGTGATGGAATTTTTGCCATCGCTCGGCAGGATTATCTTGGTGAAGACCAAATGGGATGCACTGGGTCGTAAATGGGTGTAATAGGCAGTCTTTTAGGTTTGTAATCAGGCGTGATAGTCACATAGATGCACAGGAACCCCTGACGCATTAACCCTCACCATTTCACTCCCGGCTTGGAAATGTCGCTCTTCTGTGTCTATTAGTGTCACAAGAATCTATCCCAACCCTGCGCAACCGTATAGTTTCTACGTCTAGCCATCTGTAAACCAGTGGAAATTTGAGTATATCTTAACCAAAGCTTTGCAATCGCTTGAGATGCATCAAGTCATCGATTCTTGAGACATTGAGACTAACAATAGAGAGGGAGGGCAGACGCACACCTTGTCGTCTGTTTTGTCGTGTCATTGCCATGTTGCGAAGTTACAGCTACTTGTCCGGTGAGAACATCGCCTGCAATCTCTGTGCATATCTCCACTGGGGTTACCATCAACCGCAGGATTGTCTGTAATTTGGGCAATGATAGTCCGGCAAGTCTGTCAAAGGCGAGGGAAATTTGTAAACTATATTGCCTTGACAATAGCCCCCATCGACTGGTGGGCTCCTTGATGAATTTAGGTACAGTGAGATCAATCTGAGAGATGGCGGCGTAATTGTGAGATAAGCCGGAGTTTGTGGTAGGCCGGAAGTAGACACAACAATGCTCAGTTGGTGTTGTCTTGATTGACTCGAAGATGAGCTTCCCACTGTCGAGCTTGGTATCCTTGGTCGTGGAAAAGGAGGTCTTCATTTCCCACCTGCAACTGATGTAACATTTCAAGGATTGTCTGGTGTCCCAGGGCAAGAAGCAGTCAGCCATGCTCGGGGTATTCATGGCAAGAGTCATTGGGAGTGACACATATCGAATTCCATTGGTCTCTTCATCGTGGACCGTTCGGCATGGCTCCAATTGTCCAAGTATCAAGGAGTAGTTGATCGCCGTCTCATGGCAACACTTCGAAAAATATCCAGTAGTCACCTTGTGAGAGAAGTGAAAGGGCCGCTGGATCGAGATGTGGAGATGTTGATAAAAATCAGCGACCTCGACGGGCCTAGTGAGGCAACCAACCTGCCGTTCCTTGAGTCGGAATTCTGCTTCTAGCCAGTATGCCATCTCACAGAATGCCTTGGCCGTCCTTTGGTTGTTGAAATACCCTGGACTTGGAGTTTCACAGGCAGAGCCTGTAATCAGCCCTGACTGTGGGAGATATCTGATGCCGCCTAGTACTTTTGGGGCATCGATAGGTAGATCGAACCGAAAATTCACAATGCTGTTGCCGGATGCCGGGTCGTTACCGAACTGCGCAAATGATTTGACGTCGGTCAAGGTGATAAGGTCTTCAATAGAGGTCTCATCATCGTGGCATGCGATCATAATACCTGCAGATGAAAATTCAGTGTGTAGCGCACAACGGTGTGTGGAAGGCCTTCTAACCTCTCAGTCGGAGTAATAAGATGTCGAACAACTTGTTGTTGATTGATCGGACTGAGACAACAACTCTGCCGCTGATACTAGAAATATGAGAATTTCTGGGATTGCTGATATGGCCTCGAGCCAACTGTTGTACAACAGAAGGTCTTATTTCTATGTTAGCATCCATCATTGCGGCAGCAGTTGTGTAGTTTCACATCATCGCTGGTCAAGAGATACATGAAATCAATTTTCATCCGGACACGCACCCAAGATGTCTCAAACCTCTCGCGGGTTGGAGCTCCAATAAACCCCTACACGAATCTCTTGTTCTATAGAGTCTATTGCACAAGAACAGGGCATGCGAGTGTGGATCTTTGCAGCGGAGCCGCTCTATGGGGTTTTTTGAGACGGCAGGATAGCAATCATTCACTGGGCGACCATTCATCTGCTCCTGCTGGGCGCGTGCCGTAAACGTTTTCTCGACTAGCCCTGTCGCTCTGAGTTTTCGCCAAAAGACGCCCCTTTTTCTTCTCCTCCTTAAGAAGTATTAATCTCCCTCTCGGTTGAATGGAACAGTCTTCGTTCTAGTATCAATTTGGCCTGAGCTTTGTTGATAGACTGCTTCGGGTTCATGACTTCAAGAGTGATCACCCCCGGAAACATGGAAGGATTACCGCGCTATTCGAAATGAGGTCTATATAAAGGGGTTCGAATCATGACTTAGGTTCCAAGAAACATGCGACGGTTGAGCGCATTCTTTGAAGGTCAAAGCATTCTGTTCGTCGTTGACCAGTTCAATCATCGGTGTTAATTCTTTCTTGACTGTGATGCCACTCCGTCAATGGCATCTCACGGACAAAGACTGTCGTCGGACATGGAGATGGGAGAAACAGGCAAGATAGAGAACCGACCACAGGCAGGGAGCCAAGCCGAGCACCACGAGGTGGAAATCAATCCGACTGCTGAGACGCCAACTACCTTGGGCAACCCAATGCCCATGTAAGATATCTCACTTTGCCTGCCAATGTCAAAGGGTCACTTGCTAACAACTGCAATTTAAGGGCGTTGCTGGGTTTTCTCATGTCCCTAACACCTGTGACAAATGCTCTGATGGGCTGGCGAGGTGCTGGTGGCCTTGGAGCAGCTGAAATGCAAGCCATTCCCCATAGCCTTTTGGTCGAGAAACAAGACACTGACCCTCCACTAGCGGCGTCTTCTACTTCTTCGGTGGCCTTCTCATGGTCATTGCGTCTGTGCTCGAATTCTTCCTCGGCCATACCTTTCAATTCGCCGTGTTCGGTTCTTTTGGGGCTTTCTGGTTTTCGTTCGGTGCGACGTTGACACCATCCTTCAATGCGGCCGCGGCATACCAACCTGAGTCACCGGAAACGGCACTCACGAACCCGACATTCAATGCGACATTTGCTTACTTCCCGTTGTATATGGCGCTGCTGTGCTCCATATATTTCGTCGCCTCACTGAAAACTAATGTGGTGCTTATGCTGACGTTCCTGCTTTTGGTCCCCATGTTGGCGTGTCTCTCTGGAGTGTTTTTCAAGGCCGCCGAGGGGGTGGCAGCAACAAGTCTTATGACAGCGGCCGGTGCTTGTGGTTTTGTTGTCTGTATCCTTTGTTGGTATTTATTGCTGGTGCAGATCCTGGCTTCTGTTGAATTCCCTCTCAATCTTCCAGTCGGAGATCTTGAGTGGTTGATGAAACGGATGAAGCGTAAGCGATCTTAACGGGATCTCGCTATGGGAAAATCGCCTTGCCTGTCTTGAAAGAAAATACCAGGCACAAGAAACTGGCAAAGAATTCTCGAGTGCATGCGAAATTCGATCTGGATTTTCTAGAGATGACAAGAGAAGATGGAGATGATAGGCAGTGGAGGTCTAGAGAGAATTTCAGGAAGGACGTGGAGAGGAGGCGAAGCAGAGGCATTGCAGTATTTGGACGCTACTATTTCGGTGCCTGGCGTCCTCGAGATCACAGGAATTGATACATATGCAAGAGTAGCTGACCACAGACTTTCACAATACGCTAATCCTGTAACCACGGAAGTGTGAGGGTGTTGATCAAGAAACGCTCCGGATCGCTCTAGATCGCTCAGGAACAGGTGGTGAGCCTCACCAGGCTCGGCCGAGGCTCAGTTAGGAGCCCAGGTTAAAGCGGCATTCGCTCACCCTCTAAGATCAATCCGGAAATAGCAATTAGGTTTTTCGTTCGCGAGTAATTGTTCTTGCCGGGTAATCTACTTGTTAGGTATCGAACCCACTACTCCCCCAACTCCAATTCTTAGTTTGCCATCTGCGACCACTTCTTTCAACAACTGCCGCCCTGCGCTTCAAGAATATACGCCAGAAGATAACCACATCGACAACAACGACAATCTCTCCGTTTCTAAGAGAAAGGCCAAAAAAAAAGGAAAAAGGAAAACCCCACGCCCACCCACGAAGACCATCTTAGATAAAAAGAGGAGAGAAGGACAAGGAAGAAAACAAAAACAACATGAAAAGCGCCGCCACATCCCATCTGCGGTCCCTCTCACTCTGTGCAGCTCCTCGCGCGCACCTCTTCGCTCCTCCGTGTCCAAGCTCAAGCTCAAACTCAAGCTCAAGTGCATGTTCATGCTGGCGGCTGAGCCGCGCCCACAACATTCGACAGCTGAGCAGCAGATCTCCGCGCCTGCGGAGGAACGAGGACGAGACAACAGGCGCCGCCGCATCTTCTTCATCGCAGTTCAGTTTCCGCGGCATGCCTGCGCCGCCGCGGCTGCCGAGGGAGGAACAGGAGATTTTCGAGGCGCTCCAGCGCCAGTCGACGGGGGCGTTCTCGACGCCGCGGGTAAATCAATCGCCTGACGCGTCGCTCTCGGAAACGGAGGGCGCGCAGGCCCCAATTGATGAGCGTGTCGACGGCATATCCAGTTTATCTCCCGCCCCTGGTTTGAGGGACGGGGCAGCGGCAGAAGGAGCACAGCAGCAAGCGGGATCTCAGGATAGCTACGGCCACGTTGTGATCGATGCGAGTGGTGGAGGAGAAGAATTACATCCGAATCTAGTGAGAGGGGCGCAGCCTGAATTTGAAGGAGAGAGGAACCCGAAGACCGGGGAGATTGGAGGACCTAAGAACGAGCCGCTGAGGTGGGGCCCGAGCGGAGAGTGGACTTATAATGGGAGGACTACGGATTTTTAGAACGGGAAGACACAGGAGTAGAAAGAAGCCTCTGTGATGCATTATGGTTTAATATGCCAGCTTAGCTCATGATATCCGGTTGAAGTCGTGTCCACCATACCCCGACCCAAGCCCATGGGTCCTTAGACCTTTCAAGTTTCTGAGATTGTATACCGTGGGCGTCCGTCGCAGTCGTGACAAAGATCTTGTATCGTCAAGCTCATGAAAGTGGATGGGTATAATATCAAGCTCATGAATTGAAAGTCGCTGAAGAGTCCATTGGAAGCCCAGTCACTCCGTTGGATATTGAGAAAACTTCGCTCCCATCAATCATTGGGTCTTGACTTCGCTGTCCTGCTCCACGTGAATGTGCTCGTTGGTCTGAAGGACGCCGACTTTGTCATCAGGAAACTCGACACTACAGACACAGAGAAGTTAGATAGGCAGGAGTAGAGCCTGGAACACAGAAGACTTACGTGAAGCCCTTGATTAGGGTGAACTCGTGCTTGATCTCTCCTCCATCAGCTCTGGCCTTCTCCTTCGCCTTGGTGAGCTCCTCGGGAGAAGCGTTTTCCTTGAGTGTAACCTTACTCCAAGTCAGTAACTGTCAGATCGGAAAGAAGACAGCAGCGTACATTGAAGAGAGGCATCCTGACTGCGGTAGTGGTGGAGAAACAAGGGAGCCTGATGCAGGTTCGGTTGCGAGGGATTGGAGAAGCCGATCTTGGAAGAGAAATGTAGACGACACTGGAGAAGCGAAGAGATCTGAGATCCTATGAAGAAGAGAAGATTTCGTGACTTCTAAACAGTGAATGGTACGGCGAAAGGTGAGAAGGTCGTGTGAGTAGGAGGGGTTCTGGGGGTTTGTCGGCGCAGCCATCAATTGATAGCCCTGGCCAACCCTGGAACCCACCGGTTCGCAGAAGCAACCTCAATGACGCAATGGTCGGCCTTCACCGTCGAGATCGCTTACTAAGAATTTGCTTGGCATCTTGGCATTCAAATCCACCCTTTTCACTCGGTGATTTTCCTTCACTGTGATCAGCCAAGTTCTCATTCCTGTTCTTGTTTATCATTTGATGAGCGGAGTTGGCAATGACTCCGTGCTGGATTGCTGATGTTCCAGCTCGCTTCGGCAGTGAACTCTCCATCCACGGCAAACGAACACAGAGCTCCTCAGAGCCAGAGCGAGATCTTCTCCTTTCTGTGGTCTTCGGCTCACATTTCTTGACAGGGATCGAACAAAAGTAGATTCAATTCACTCTCCTGAAGTCGAGCTCAATACTGTACTAGTTCTACAAGATACCCATCAGGATCCTCTACGAACCCTGCCCCAGTGACGGCCTTCCAAAGCCCCTGATTCCTTCCCTTCTCAGGCATCTCAGCCCCAATTGCCTGGGCCGCGATTTCCAGGCCGTGCGGGCTGCCAGGCTGCTTGAGGATCTTAACCCCGCTGGCTTCGAATCGTTTCATGCAAGCCGACACATCTGGAACCGTAAAGCAGAGCTTGATGAAGCCAAATCCTGCGTGATCGTTGCTGTTGGTAACATGTTTTCGGGAGTGCTGTATCACGGTTAGCCCGCGCGGTATAAATCAGCTTTTAGCCAAGCGCCTTTTCCATCAAACGTGCTACTGTGCTAGTTGTCAACGAAGAGGTACGTACTTCTGACCAAATCAACTCCAGCACGCCTTCTCTCGCCAAAAACGACCTCCCAGCTCCGCTTCCATCTGTACCAGCATAGTCTTCAGGATATCCCAAAAACCAAATCTTCACGGTGTCAAATTCCATACGCGCAAGTTCTTTCATGCCCAGCACTTCCTGATAAAAGTTCAAGGAACGCTGGAGGTCTGAGACTCTGATGCCGATTTGGTTGAACTTGTACTTTGAAGTGTCTGACGACATGATGAGAATGTGGACTTGGGATGGTCAACTACGCAGATCCAAGATAACTTTCAGTCATGAAGTATTGACCTGTGCGCAGTATTGTTCGCTCCAGTTCTTTCCCTTACCTAGGTTTGTACTCTTTGGGGGTGGGGGTACTCATCCGCAACCGAGGCTAGGAACGCCCGCATGTGTCCCTTTTTGGTGAGGCCTCGCAAACACTAATTAATGTTTCAGAAGCTTAATGCGAAGTCCCCTAATGACCTGTAGCCAACGCTCAAGAACGGCCCATTCTGTGCACTGCTTCCCTGCATGAAAAAAGTGGGTATAGGAAGTCACTCGACCTATTCGTCTCGCTTTGAGTATTTAAACCAAAGGCCTGGGGAGTAGAGTGAAGCATCATCATCTGATGCCCTCAGAATAGCTCCCAGCAGAAGCTGATCGATCCCTTTTCCTTCGTGCTTCCTGGGTTCAGTCCGCATACGGAGTGGGGTAGTAGATGTGTGGCTGTGGTCCACAGGCCGCGGAACAACTGAGCATCGCGGTAGCTTCTGCAAGGCCACCAAGGCGGCACGGCACGATCTGACCAACGCTTTGGCAGTCAACACACAGTATTTGTTGCGAGATGCGGGATATATAGCGTTGCTTGATGCCAACGGTTGGGTCCCGGATTCTCAAGAAGGTCGCATACGCAGGCACATCAAATTCGGATGCGGCATTCTGGTGACTTATATCGGGTCGATTCAATCTAGCTCCCTGAGCAAAGAATTGAGATCTTGTCGTTCTCGTATCAGAAGCTTTGCTCTACAACAGACCCGATATTCAAAGCCATGCCTGGTCTAACAGACCGCGACCGGAAATTCCAACAGTACTTCACCCTCCTAGCACCCCAATACATCCACCTGACCTCGAGTACCACCTATAATCTTCTTCTGGAAGCCTTTGAGGGGCCTCTCAAAGCACGACTCAGCAGTCTCCTCACCTCAACTCCTTCCGTCATCGTGCACGACAATGCTTCAGGCCCAGGTACTGCCACCTCGGCGCTACTCACCTTCTGCCAAACTTCCAATCTCCCAATACCCACCGTCTACGCCACAGATTATACTGAAGCCATGATCGAAGCCCTCCAGCGCCAAGTCCGCGACCAGGGTTGGACCAAAGTCCACCCTCGCGTCGTGGACTCTCAAGCTCTGGACTTTGAAGACACTTTCTTCGACCTCAGCATAGTCAATTTCAGCATCGCCAATTTCGCCAACGCCGAACTGGCAATAAACGAAATGTATCGTACGCTCAAACCTGATAGAACAGCCATAGTCTCGAACTGGGAGACCTTCGGATTTGCCACCGTTCTTGACGCCGCGATGAGAAAGGTTAGACCTAATGCTGGCCAGATGCCTGTGGCGGGTCCCGAATTTATGCAGAAAGATGTGCTCGTGAGGACGCTTGCTGGTGCTGGTTTCGAGAAAGACAAGATACAGGTCTATCAGACGAAGATTGTGGTGAGTGATGATGAGGGGTTGGCAGGGATTAGTGACTTCATGAACGGGCCGTATCTCGGACCCGTGGCTTTGACTTTATCAGATAACGAGAAGAGAGAATGGCCCGGTGCGGTAGCAAAGGTGATAGAGGAGGCGAAGGTCGCCGGTGGTGGAGTAGTTTGTCAGGCTTGGGTCCTTGCTGCATCCAAGTAGTTGGGGAGTGGGGATTTATAAGAGGGATCGATGAATTGAGGTCATACTGAAGCACCAGAAAGTATATATCAAGTACTTACTAGTACGTACGGAGTAGATATGTTCATACCTTGCTCGTTTGATACACAGTACTTGATCATAGAGGGCTTCTTCAAATGATTTAATATATGACAGTGGCACTAGAGGCGATGGTTTGGTAACTAGTAGTTGCTAGCGCAGCTATTGTCATCTACTAGCCTCCTTAGTCAAGAATCACAGAAGGGTGAGTGAGTCTCCACATAAGCTCCCACAGTAACGGGTCTTTTTCATACTCGTTCAACTGATCCTCCAAGTCCCCCCCGAATGTGATCCAACTCACAGCCTCATGCTCCTCAAAATGCCCCTCCTCACAGTGCTGCAGCTGAGCGACTACCGCGAGATCTCATGCGCTGTGCTGCAACACAGAAGAAACTCAGGCCGCTCATCACTGCATGAATGCAGCACACCGTCCTCCCGGGTCCCCGACGTGGCCTTGGTATTTCTTGGAAATTTCTTGGTGTCTACAGACTTCTTCCCGCCGTCTCTTGCTCCGCCCCCTTGGCTGGTCTCGGCGGTGTGAGGTCGAGAAATGACACCTCTTGGGTGACAGAACAGATGACAGGTGGGCAGGCGTGCTGGACTTCCCAGATTCATTGCTCATCCTGCATGAAAACGAGTCCGGTCCTTTTGTTCCTCAATGCACGCCTTCGGATGCTATCCTCGCTTTTATGGCCCCTCTACCAGACCGGTTTGAGCTGCATGTGTTTCTTTTCCGCATGAATAGGCCATGGCGCTGAAGAAGACACGTGCGCTAACACACAGCTTCGTTTCGTTGTTTTGTCTATCCCTACTTGTCACAGGGGCACACTTTGAAGGAGACGCCATACACAGAATCAGCCCTGATCAGCAGCTACACCTGCGTGGCAACCTGGACATCGGTCTGGCGTCGAACGATACCATCTCACCCAGCGCCTTCGCGCCTTGGTCGTACGAGCCTGCGTGTACATCGAAGGTCGGCCAAATTGACAGCGAACTGTGCGTGTACACCGACAGACACTTCAGCAATGGCAGGGGAATCTCGATATTTACCACGCCTGAGATTGCCGAGGGATTCGCCACCGTCCTGGCTTCTTTGCAGCATCCCTCGTCTGTGCTGGACACTCTTGGCATCAACAGCTTCACGGGTGCCTGGTATACTCATCCAGTCCCCAGAAAGGGGATTGGTATGCTCGCCAAACGCGACATCCAGAGCGGTGACACAATTACAGCATACACACCCGTATTGCTCGCGTACAAGGAACGTTTCCTTTCCAAAGCCCAGCGAGAGAAATTCCTACGGCTGGCGGTAACCCAGCTACCAGGGCCGTCGCGTGAATCTTACTTGAAGCTAGCCACTCTTTCCAATGACTCGAGCATCCTCGCACAGGATATTGCCAGCGCAAACTCGTTCGAGACGCGGCTGGGAGAGCAGAAAGGAGCTGCCGAAGCGACAGTTCCTCACCTAACCATCATCCCCGAGTCGTCGCGCATGAACCACGATTGCGCGCCAAACGCTATTTTTCACGTCAACTCGTCGACGCTGACGCACGTCGTGCGCGCGGTGCGTCCCATTCCCAAGGACCAGGAGATCACCATCGCGTACACCAGTCCCCTGGACCCGCGCGCCACGAGGCAGAAGTACCTGTCCGATGCGTTCCATTTCACATGTACTTGCCCGCGCTGCCTTCGAGGCGCAGACGCAGACGCAGACGCAGTTCTGGCTGAGATGGCTGTCCTCCAACGGACGCTCTCGGCCTGGTCAGACCCAAGCTCCGACGCTAGCGTCAAGCACGCGGAGCACCTGATCCGGCTGCACCGTGAGGAAGGTCTAGATGGCTACCTCGACCCGGCCTACTGCTATGCGGCGCTGATGTACAGCGCCGTCGGGAGTGCGAGGGGGGCGAGGAAGTACGCCGAATTGGCCATCAAGGCGATCGAGCTCCGGCTCGGGGCTGGCGCGCCTGATTTGCCGGCTTGGAGGGATATGTTGGACAATCCGACGAAGCATTGGAGTTGGATGGTCAGGAAGGGCGGAGGGAAAGTGGTGACCGCGACGAATGAATGACTGACTGACCTGAATGACTCGTTCGTTGGTTTGTCAGTTATTTGCTCAGTGGGCTGCTTAACTAATTGACTGCAGTGGTTTCGTTACGCCCTAATACTAGTTGCTACGCGGGAGCGGCGCAAGGAGACCTTAGCCAATTAGCCCGGATGGGATATTAGAGGGACCCGGATTGAGACCTCAGCATCCTGGATGGATCCCATCGACTAGGGTTGATAAAGGTGGGCGTTCAAAAATGAGGTCGCTTAACTAGCATGAGAGAAGAAATATACAAGTGGTATTAATACAGCCGAGTTTTGGCTATATCTGCTTTAAGTATGACCACGCGAATAGCCAACCTACTTAACGCCACGCACTAGCCTTCTTAAGTTAGCTGTGGACCGGGTCACTTTCCCTCGGCTCACCTTCTCACAACTCTGTTATCTTATAAGTGCGCTCAGTGCCTTCCTCAAGCTTTGGATTCGTCCATTATATCATTCAAATCCTGCATTGTGGTCTTCTTCCCCCCGAGGGGTGTCAGTTGAGATACTGCGAGCTTCCAGTCAGAGCGCCCATCTTAACCTGTCGAGATTGCTCAAATGTACCCTCCATTTAGTGCCCTTGTCCAGGTAGCATCTAGCTTTTCTCGCTTGGATCTGCAGGCTTTTCTTTTGCAGGTCGCGATGCTCGCACGAATCAAGCAGATTCAACTGCACACGTGCAGGTTGTTCTGGAGCCGTCATCCGATGGTCAACCCTCGTTGTGTCTGGGTTAAAAGGTCGTTCAAGAACTTGTTCAGCAGCTCTGTAGTACCAATCGTTCCTGCATTTCCAGAGCATCCAGGTTTGCCCACCTCGTTCGTTTCGGTGAGCTTACTGTACAAAGTTCCCCCTTTCTCCCAGGCGACCAATAATTACCCCTGTTAATAGCTAATTATCCTCGGTACAACCAATCACAATGGCTATGAAAACATTGCTTCTCTCCGCGCTCGCGGCCAGCCTTGCGTTGGCATCTCCTGCTCGACGAGCTGGCGCGGCTGTCAATACTACTACCTGCAATGGCCAAACCTACGTCTATCAGGCTCTTGCAGGCTATGGATTCACGCCGTCAGATTCACGCGACAAATTTGGCGACACTGCGGGAGGTATTGGCAGTAGCGCTGCCATCGACCAACACTCATGGAGAGTCGACAGCAACGGAGTTTATACTGGCATACTCTGGGCTCTACCCGACCGTGGTTGGAACACCGAAGGTACACTGAATTATCAACCCCGAGTCCACAAGTTCCAGATCACCTTCACGCCCAACTACGACTCCACGGCCTCGAACCCCAGCTCGCCAAATGTCCACTTGCAATACCTCGACACAATCCGCTTTAGGGACCCCGCTGGGACACCACTGACTGGTCTTGATGCCGATCTCAGGCCTCCTTACCTCACCTTCCCCGGCTTCCCCGACCTTCCATCTGCCACCTACACGGGTGATGGCTTTGGCGGTAATGGTACGGGGGGCCACCGCGTGTGTGGAGATACTGAAGGCCTAGTCCTCAGTCCGGGTGGCTTCTGGGTCTCCGATGAATATGGCCCTTACATCTACCATTTCGACCATAGTGGTAAAATGACAGGAGCCATCCGACCACCCTCTGCAATCATTCCCGAGAGAAACGGAACTGAGTCTTTTAACGCTAATAGCCCACCTCGTTATAACCCTGATTTGGAGACAATTCCAGCAACCCCTGTCACAGGACGGTCGAACAATCAAGGTCTCGAAGGCCTGACCTCTTCGCCCGACAAGAAAACCCTCTACGCACTGATGCAGTCGGCATTGGCTCAAGAGGGTGGTGGCAATTCCTCAACACGGCGTCTTACCCGTCTGCTCGAGTATGACGTGAGTGATCCCTCCACGCCAATCTACAAGGCAGAGTATATGGTTCCACTCCCGGTCTTCAACAACAACACTCTGGTTGCTGCCCAATCCGAGATCCATTACATCAGCCCAACACAATTCCTTGTCCTTGCCCGTGACTCCGGCCGTGGCCATGGTCAATCCAACTCACTATCCCGATACCGCCACATTGATGTTATTGACATCTCCAAAGCCACCAACCTCGCGGGAAACACGTATGACTGCACAACATGCTCTGCGGCCTCGGTAAACGGGGTGCTCGCTTCGGCCATAATACCCGCCACGTACTGCTCATGGCTCGACTACAATGTCAATTCTCAGCTCAACCGATTCGGCCTGCACAACGGTGGGGCTCAAGATGCTGGTCTTCTGAACGAAAAGTGGGAGTCGATTGCTGTCGTTCCTGTTAACCCTCCGAGCCCGACCTGCAAGGATGGGTATACCAAGTCCGACGGCGAGTATTTCATATTCAGCTTGAGCGACAATGACTTTATCACCCAGAATGGATTCATGAACGGCGGCTTACTGCCGTATGCTGATGAGGGCGGGTACAATCTTGACAATCAAGTATTGGTCTTCAAGGTTACGTTGCCTACAAATTGAACTACGGAAGGAGCTCGTCGGCGTTCCCCACATCGACGGACATGAGGCGAGCAGGCGCGTTGACCGTGTCGGAGAATGAAACTAGACGCGCCGTTACTAAGGCATTCGAACTGTCCTCTAGCGATCTCCTTGAACAAGGGACTTTCTGTTTATATCCATTCTGATAGTATATATTGCTTTACATACCTCTGCCTCACAAGAGAAAGGTGAGCAACCTCACAGCATTGGACTTTTTCCCCCCACAGAGTATTGCAATGAAGAGGCCTAAATGGCTCTTCCTTCCTGACCCAAGGAGTCCATTCTCGCATCCAAGTCCACCTTCATCCCGTTTACTAATTCAAAGAGGGTTGCTTCAGGCCGAGAAATGGCCGCCCAACCACGGGCCACGTAAAGGTTATTCAGCGTTCCGGCGCAAAGTCGCCCTCCTGGACACGCTTGTCGATCTCGGAAAGTGCCAGATGCGGGTGTGCCACGATTTCCGCAAGCCACCAATTGAGGGATATCCGGGTGAGCGCTCTTACCGACCATCTAGCAATTTGAATACCACCTCGATATACCAGCCATCATCCTCCTACCTTTTTGCACTTTTGTCACACTGTTACGCTGCCCAACTATTGCTGACTCGTCTACTCTGAATGCTGGGTCATCATTTGCTGATGGGGGCCTATCAGGCTCACCTCATCCCCAGCTTTCGCCCTGACCCAAGTGGCTTGATCGGAAAATATCCATGGAACATCAGCCGCAGCCTCCTCAGCTGGCGCCAGCTCGGCCTCGCGACTTCGGCACCATCAGCCTATTCGAATAGGGCCCCATGCTTCTACTAGTTACAGGTAGGTACGTCAAACGGCTAACCGGCTGCGGGGTACGCGCTTTTTTGTTCTTGCGTTAGTTTCGATCGCCATTTAAACCAAGGTGGTTCCAGCTTCCATTACTAGTGAAAGCTGATCACGGACCTCTCGCCGGACATCCCATTCCAGCCCAGTCGTCGTTCTCCCGTTTCCATACTGCTTCCAGAAAACCACGGAGGGCATATCGAACCGGGGCAAAATCGCTCAACAGGAGGAAAATGCCAAAGAATTTGCAAGATGATTTGCTAATCCTGACGGCTCATTCTTACATCAGGTAAGGGTTCGTTTCACCTAACAAGGATAGGGAGGACCGAAGTGCAACCTCGGCGCCCTTCACACGGTCAGTAGGACGTCTTATGTACCAGGATATGGCTCTCCGCGGTGCCGCAGCTTTTGATCTGCTTTGAGAACGTCTTCCCTTTCCTTTCTCGGGTAGATACCGGATGCAATCATGCTTCGTGCTATATCTCGCTCCCGCCCCGCATCCGCATAGCCTTTCATTGCACTATATCTTCCTCGTGCAGCTGAAGGGGGCTGGGACTTACTTGAGGCACTCCTTGATTGTATGCTCATTTATCACCCCTAGTTCATTGAAATTTGCCCCCGCTCGATCAGGTGCCATCGACCGGTGAACTCAACGACAAATCGATCTGCTCTGCTCAATAGCCACGAGGCTGATCGGTCAGGAGGTGTTTATTCTTGAGGAAGACTCCAGAGCGCCACCAACCACGCGCACCAAGGCATCACGAGACGCAGGGCGGTTTCGCCTCTATCTTCGAACACAACTGGGGACCAAAACGAAAAAGCTCTCGCAAATCCTAGCGTCGTTAACTCCTCTCCTCCATATGCATTTCAGCACGCAAGCCTTCAGGCAGTCCAGTGCCAGCTTGGGGAAAGCCTCAGCGACGACAAAAGACGTGACGGAAATGGTGTCGAAGCAGCACGCACCTGCAACCTTGAACACAACCGACTTGACGGCGCAGATGGAAGCCCTGGGTGTCTCGTGCTGGGATTTTGCCTACCCGACGGGGAGGTGTTCGCTCCCGCCGGTCAAGAACTGCTGCTTCACGTCGGACGTCAAGGCGGCGTCGCGCAAAGCAGCGCGAGGCGAGCACAGATCGAAGCACCAAGAGCGGCCCGTCAGCAACGGCGCCACCGCCACAGAGGCCGTAGTCTCTGGTGGACAGCAGGTAGACTACCAAGCGGACGACCGGCACTACTCGAGCACGAAAGCGCGACCGCAATACCAACAACAACATCATCATCATAGCAAAAGCCACAAGGGCGCCAACAAACACCAACAACGCAGCGTCGGTAATGCGGAACAGCGAACCTACCTCCTCTCCTGCCCGACCGTCGCCTCGATCATCTACCCGCAGACACACACGACCATCTCCTCCCTCCTCCTCACACCGCACACCCAGCTGGTCTTCCTGGTCCCGCAGTCAAACATCCTGTGCCCGAAGGTATGCGAGCTGATGCACCTGCCGCGGGCGGCAGGGAGCGGGCTCCGCATTCTGCCCGTGCCGCCGGAGATCGAGATGCGGATCGTGTGCGAGAGCGACGGCGACGGCAGTGGCAATGGCGGTTGCGACGCGCAGGCAATCTCCATCGCCGACGTGCTCGCCGTCGACGAAGTCGTCGCCAAGGTCCTCAAAAACACCCCCGCCACCGCCTTTGACGGGTACATCGCGTTCGAGGACGATCGCGCCGCGTGGACGTTTTTGCACCGCGTCGGCAGGGGCGTCAAGCGCACAGGGGAAGGGAAAAATGACTGGTGAGGTAGTAGCGATGACGAGCCTTGAGCTGGGGAGGAGGCGGGAACTTGAAACTTGGAATTTGGAACTTGGAACTCGAGCGAATTTTCAACCAACGAACAAAAATGAGGAAAGTTCGGGCTTGGAGCCTATTTGGCGGTGTGTTTGTGGTTTGTGTCTACTTGTCTATTCATTTCCCCATATTTCCCCCGGTTTCTGAGCGTATATGCATAACAACTTGGCCGCGGTAGTGGCGGTGATGATGATGATGATGATGCTATGTCTAGTGCCTGGATGCACATTGCATTTAAAATGGCACGTCGATTAGGATCGAGACAAGACAAGACGAGGCGAGGCGGGGATAAGACTCGACCGAAGTAAAAATGAAATGAAAATGGAACAAACGGAATCATATGATCTGATACTATGTCAATGCCTAGACTATCTGCCTATCTGCCTCTTTGTCTGCCGGCCTTTCTGTCTGTCTATCTAGGCTACGGCGTTAGCAACGTACCGAGTGCATTTCTTAACACTCTTTCCGTCATGCGATGACCTATGAGCCAGAGCGCCTTGGTTTGAAGGGATACAACAACCTGGATGGTGACCATCCCGAAGCAACTCCAGCTGATTGACTGTCAGCCTTCTCGTCAGTCACCTTGGCTTTCCTCCTAGCCCCCCTCCAAACCCTCCCGATCATGTTGTTCTTCACTTTTGGAACACGACCAAGCCAATACAGGAACAAAGCGCCAAAGACATTGAAAACGATGTAGACCCAAAGGAGTCCGAGATTCCTCCAGCGATCCTGCGGATTGATGTACAGCGACGCCAAAAACGTGTTGGTTTTGCCGATCGGACAATAGGCACAACTCCAATTGCCGCCTGTCGAGTCACTGGTACCGTCGAGGAGGTAGCCACCGGCTACATTGATATAGGGTTCCATGTATTCTGCGCATGATTCGCCCGGAGGAGGGTTGAACCGGAGGTATTCGTTCTCCGCGCAGCGGACGTCGGTGTCCATTACGGCGGTTGAGAGCATTGCCGCAACGAGGTAGGTGAAAGGCGATACTCTGTACATGAATATCCAGAAGCCAGGCAGTGCTTTTGGCGTGGCAAGGACACTAGAGGGCAAACAGCCTCAGCAACTAAATCGCAACAAGGGCCAATAAAAGTACTGGGGGGAGATACTCACCCACAAAACGTCAGGCAGAGAGAAAACATGAGGTTTGCAACATGGCCGCCCGTCTCAGCCATCTCAATGCTAGCAATGACCATGTGTGCAAAAGTCGATGTAAACATCAGGAATGCGAGGACAAGGAGCCACATCAATGCACCGCGTTCCTCTACAGCGTTCGTAGGCTCGGCGTTCCGATAAAGACCGATCGGATAGTACCAGCAGAAGAACAAAAGAACTGCCCCAGCAAAGTTCCAAGGAATCTCAGCAACGATGTTCGAGAGCATGAATGCCTTCCAAGAGTACGTCTTGGCTGGCCTCTCACGGACCTCATACAGAGATCGCTGAGTAACGAAAAGGGGCATGATCTGTTGGACAAGTTGCCCGAAGATGGTCAGCAGCATGAACAGGCCGAACATTTGATTCTGGAGACCTTGTTGGGTGTTTTTGGCATTAAAGAAGGAGAAGCCGATGAAGAGTGCGCTCGCGGCGCACAGGATGAGTTTCGAATAAATGTAGCTGGGTGTTCGCCAGTACTGTTGAAAGACACGTTTCTGTACCTCATAGTACTGGAGCCAGAATGGAGCCGCGTAGGAGCGATAGGAATCTTCGTCGTCTTTTTCTGCAGCGAGATGATCGATTAACTGGGGACGTTTGGCTTCCAGGTCGTCGAGTTCGGCGTGCACTGCCTGGAATTCAGGGGACGACTTCCACACCTGCGGCCAATCAATATCGCAACGATACGACTGATCGCGAGCCCCGCCCGTGATGTTCAATAGCCATTCAGCCGGGTTAGCTCCAACCGGGCATGGGGGTGCGCCATTTCTCTCAAAATATGCGATGACAGTTTTACAGGATTCACCAATAGGCCCAAAGTAGGTTGTTTTCCCGCGATCGGCAAGTAGCAATAGGCGATCGAAGCGCTGGAAAAGCATTGCGGATGGTTGATGGATAGTGCAGAGTATCGCTTGTCCATTGTCCCTTAATCTCTCCAGTAGACTGAGAATAGACCACGAGGTTTGCGAGTCTAGCCCAGAGGTCGGCTCGTCGAGGAAGAAGAGTAGCTGAGGCCTCGCAGCCAGTTCAACGCCAATCGTTAGCCTTTTTCGTTGTTCAACATTTAGTCCTTCTCCCAGCACACCAACTATAGCGTCTGCGAATGGCTGCATGTCCAGAAGCTTGATAATTTCTTCCACATAGGCGATTTTATCCTTTCGAGGTATATGAGCTGGTTGACGTAATAGAGCGCTGAAGGTAAGAGATTCCCGAACAGTCGATGTAGCTAAGTGAAGATCTTGCTGCTGAACGTAGCCAATCTTCCGCTGGAATGAGTTATCCCTCGGTCTTCCATCGACCATGATCTCGCCAGCAACTACTCCAGTAGTGTTTGTGACACGAGTAGCAAGGACGTCGAGAAGAGTAGTCTTTCCGGCACCACTTACACCGACCATGGCGGTAAGGGTACCCGGTTTGACCCAACCATCGATATGGTCAAGAATCCGTCTGCCTTTTCCCTTGATTCTGATGTCATAACTGACATCTCTCCAGTGGAAGATCCTCTTCTGGCGTTGAATAATGGCAGCCGCGGCAGCCGCATTCTGTAAGTCGTGTTGGTCCGAACAGGGAGCCCGAGTTCCCACAATGGCTGCTTCAGCGTCGACGTAAGCACCATTACTCGCTCTAATACCATCCGTAGGCGTGATTGTAACTAGGTCCTTGGGCATTTTCCCCCGACGGAAGACGAGGACTTCGCCTTTGGACTTCTTTTCTTGCCCGTATTCAGCAGCCACCAGATATGTGCCACAGAGAAAGGCCATGAAGGCCCATATAATGCCAAAATTCCGCCATCTGTGTGACGCGTTGTAATTATAAGCAGATTCGATATATGTTTCACCGCTGACGAAATCTTGGCCGGCAACTGCGCCAACTGCAGAGCAGACGCCGTGGGCCAATGACCCGTACGGAGGGACAATCGTGACGCAGGGGAAGGTCCTGCCCGAGAACTCATTGACCATCAAAGCCTCGAAGCCATACGCCACTGGATCCAGATAGTTCATCCAGCGAGCCCATCCTAGCATATAGGTTGTAGGAATCGAAAATCCAGTATAGATGATAATAGCAAGAATGATGACGGCAGCCGGCGTAAGGGCTTGCTGAAGAGTACGGGACACCGACGCAATTGTGCGAAACATCATGCTCATTGTCATGGTGAGCATGAAGGATATCAACAGGAAGTAGAAGAAAGCGCCTGGCGTTCGCCGTAGATTTGTCAGAAAATATAAGCTGACGTTGAACAGAATGGCGTTGACAATTTTGTATGGCATGTCCATTATCATAGAGGCAAACGCTTCGGCAGATGGATGGTAAAGAGCATACCGTGCGTGTTTCTCGACAATTGGACGTTGAGCATAAAGTGTGAGAATTTCCAGTGCTGAGCTGAAGGCACTCATTAGGACGGCGAAAAATAGGAGAGTACCACGGGAGAAAAAGGAGGAAGTGTTGTCGGGTAGGTCATAAAAGACCGATGCGGTCACCAACGACATGGTGAAATTGGCACAAAGGGCGGTAAGAGTGACCGTAGGATCGGTGACCAGGCGCCTGTATGCGCGCCAAAGACATAGCTGAACTTGTTCCAGATAGGAGAGCGTGTATGGAGAACTCAGGTGTTGTCTTTTAGCTTGTTGTAGTCTCCGAGACTCCTCGAATTTGTGAAGATCTTCACCACCTATTGGGTGTTGCTTCTCAAAGAGCTCGATGTCGGCTAGGAGGGCTCTATATTCGGGGCTTTTCCTCCAAGTGACAACAAATTCTTGTGCCGTTCGAGGGACCCTATGCTCGAGGCCTTTCTGTGGAACCCGCTCCTTTGGGTTGGTCATCGAGGTGAGGAAGTCCGCATCCGTTTGACGGGCAGGTTTCTCGAATCCGAGGCCCATGAAATATTGCTTTCCAGCTTTCGCTGGGCCAAAGTATATTTCTTGTCCATCGTATAGAACGAGAGCCTTATCAAAGACGTCAAATGCTGCCTGTGGTGCCTGATAAATTGAGACGACCGCCGTTATACTAGCGATCTCCGCCGACGATCTCAAAGACTTGCAAAACTCAATTGCGTTGGCGCTATCCAGGCCGCGGGTCGAATTATCCCAGCATTGGAGAGGAGCGCCGTTGAGAGCCGCCTCTGCAATAGTGACTCGCTTGCGCTCGCCACCGGAGACACCTCGAACGTATTCGTTTCCAACCCTAGTGTCGACAGTATGGCGGATTCCAAAGGTCGCCATAACAACGTCGCGGAGGCGTTGAGCATAGACTTCTTTGTTGACGCCGGCAGGTAGAAATCTAGGGGCCCGAGCTCGAGCAGCAAAGTAGAGCGTGTCGCCAACAGTCAACTGTGGGAAATGAACATCCTGTTCTGCAGTGTAAATGGCTTCGCCACGAAAGTTCTTGTGCATTTGATGCCAGCTGATACCTTGGTAGTTCATATGGAAATCGTTGCTGATGTGATATCCATGCGTTTCACCGGCAAGAGTTTTGAGGAACGTAGTGCAGCCGGATCCAGGCGGTCCCAGAACAACAAGCAGTTCACCTGGTTGAACGACACCATCCAGGTTTTGCAGGATCTCGATCCTCCTTTGGTGTCGACGCCCAGTGATGTAGTCCCGCAGCAAGCCAAAGAGATGTAGGCCCATGTTTCCAACGCTCCGTTGATAATCAGTTTCGGCGCCAAAACCGTATGCACTCAGATTTCTGAAACAGAATCCGGCTGATCTGCCCTTCCACCGCCTCTGCTCATCGTGGCTTCGTAGTTCAAACAGCGCCCTAGACCAGGCAGTAGGCTGGAAACTATCGGAAGAAGGGTCTAGATATGAGTCCTTTTCTGGATTGAACAAGCTCTGTTCATCAAGGATATGTGCTGATTCGTGCGTATATTGGCGTGCCAGGTCCCTGACCTGTTTTCCTCTATTCTCGGAGGTCTTTTGCTCGTCGTTCGCAGCTTCATCCCCGCCGAGCCGACTTGGAGGCAAGGAAGAAGGAGTTTTCAAGCCTTCCTCGTCAACAGCTTGCTTTGATTGTTCCCCTATACCACGCTGACGACGGCCAAGAAGAGTTGCTTGATCCTCGGTCTCATCGCGTCGCTGGAACCCCGAAGGAGCGCCAGGCCCTTCAGCATTTAAGGTGCGATCGTAATTGGTAACAAAGTTTCCTACAAAGGCCATGTTGATGATTGACCGAGGGAGGTGAAAAGAAACACATTGCGTCCATTTTTGTGGAAGAAGAATGTCGGACTTGGAGGTATCACACCACAAGCAGCCAATCTGTGGATAGAATTCTGGAGATTCATAAAGGCACCTACAAACAATTTGCGAGGATCTTATGCATGTTGTGCATTGGGGATATTCCGGATGGACTTTGTGCGTCGTGCGTTAATGCCGGCACCGCCATATACCGGACTTTTCGTGACTTATATTTTCGAAGAGGGTGGGAGGATGAATCAGTTGTGGGTTGATATCAATGACTGTTACTGACATATCGTGGAATGACAGCCATTTTGGAAAGGCTTGGCAGGAATAGGGGCCATTTTGTGGCGCGACGGGCCGTCATTAGAGTAGACGACCACGCAGCACCTGTTATTCACAACATGGATAAAAATCAAGCGATGATCGCTTGACATTAACTCAAGTAGCCGGTGATAGATCCGTTAAAGTAGCCGCAGCACGGCGCCACCCCAGCTGTCGGTTGTTCAGCTCCGGTTGTTCGGAGTGGTCGAATATGTCTCCGTCACACCACAAATTTAAGAGCCTTGATAGCGGCCGCCGTCGCGCACTTCCAAAACGTGCGAGAAGACCCTCAAGACTAAAGTGCTTGTTTCGAGTTTGTTGTCGTATGTACCAAGTACTGGTAGACTTGTCTGGGCAGCAATGAGATTGGTTTCGCACTTTCTGTGGATTCGTGTCACCTATTTGTGGGGTGCGGCAGGGCTGAATTTGAAGTGAGCTAACTGAATGAACGATGTCGACAAGGCCCTGAAGTATAGTGCTTCAGGACCAGCCCTTTTCTGACAAAAAGAAGGCGTGAGGGCTTTCCCACCCGTCGTTGGGATTGCGCGAAGAATACGGGCGATGTTTGAGCCAGCGCGATAACATCACCTGGCAGTCATGATTGACCTTTTGTTGTAGGTCGAGTGTCAACCAACTTGACGTGATCACAGGGCTCAAAACCGCTTGAGTGGGAAGTTGCACTTGATGTCACCATCTTCTGCTTCTGGACGTAACAACGACTTCTGTCTATTTCATTCCGGGAAGACATGTGGGCTTCGGAACAGGTACTAGTGTTGGTCAGGGTAGAACGGTCTGTAAAGCGCGGGGGTTTGTTGATCCAAGCCAGTGTCGCTGATGGCCCAGGGAGTCAGATTGAGCCCCTCCTTGTACATGCCTAGGTTGGTATATGGTATGGTACATACTCCATACAAATCCATTGATCAAGATCAGATCGACGTGGTCGAGTAACAGCCGATCTGCAGCTGTGGCAGTGCTGAAAGTGGCCCAGAGCACAAAGCGGCCTTGGAGATCGAGAAGGAACGAGAAAGGAAGAGCCCGATGGGTCTGCCAAGGCCCCGGTTCCTGGAACAGTCACGTGCCTTGTTCGCCCTTGGTTGCTGATTGGCTGTGAAACGTCATCGGCGTCATTGGAATCTGCCCATGACGTATTGGCCTACACTCTCCACCGGTACTGTGTCTATGCTTCGGCCTTGGGAGCAGATCAAAGGATGGCTAGCGGATCGTCATCTTCATTGTTCCTCCGCCGAGGGCCCTTCTGATTGTCTATATAAACACTGGCAAGTCCTTAGCAGATGATATTCTTCTGTTCAACAATACTTCAAGCGACAAGAGAACCGCGGAACAGATCAGAATTCAAAACCACAGACACCCACCACCGTTTATTGCAATGGATAACATCAAGTATGTTTGTCCTGCTCCATACAACTCTCAATCCTGCCTCTGAGGTAACTAACTGACACTCCACTATCAGGAACACCGTCAACTACATCAAGGAGTCCCTCGCCGGCTCCGCCTCCACCGCTTCCAAGGAGGCCAACAAGAACGTCGCCAAGGACGACAACGCCAGCCTCGGCACTCGTGCTCAGGCAGCTGGTGATGCCATCTCGGACAAGTTTGATGAGCAGAAACATAATCGTCAAGCCGATGTTCATAAGGAGGCTGCCAAGCACTAGTTTCTCTTCCCGCCGACAAACGCTCACGATGAGATATAATATGGTTCGAACCAGGAGGAAAGCAAAGATGGATGTCAAGATACCCCAATTGGCCTTATGTTGAGGCGTGAAATGTCCAAACATGTCTCCAATAGCCTTATAGTCTGAATGGATAATGTGTTAACACATCACTGAAATTCCGTGTCTTTGGTCAATGCGTTTGCAGGGTTGATCAGCCCTGTCCACAGACGCATGGTATTCCGTCATTGGTGATTAAATCAGACTGTTGGTACGGCCCTCAAGCGCAGCAGCCGTCAACCTACGCAACCGTTCACGCTCCAGTGGATGGATATTTTCAAGAGCAGCGTCAACGTCCCTAGTCCGACTCTCCATCGCATCAGTCCTGCCACTTTCCGACAAGTAGCTTGGTGGTCGATATCCGACGGTCTGATGTACTTGGTTCAATGCCTCTTCGTACGTGGGTGTTAGAGGTGTGGGCGGTACTTGTACTTCCTTCCAGTGGACCAAGTCTGGGTTCAGTCTCTGCCAAACAGTGTCAATCCCACTTCTGTCATGTATTCCCCTCGGGTACTTACCATGCTTGTTCGAGTGTTACCATACACAGGCGGGGGAGGTCGGATCGCTGCTTGACATTCAACATCTGGGCCAAAACCAGTATCCTCGGCCGTGTGTATCTGGATGGGCTTTTCAAGAACCAGTTCGTCAATCTGCTGATTTTGTCTCCCTCTGTCATCACGATGACCTCTAGTTTGTCTCGTCGCATGCCGGCGTCGAGACCCATGCGTTGTCCGATGTCTTGATCTCCTCGGTCGTCGCATGAGCATAAACATGCGGATGAGCTGATGGATGAAGATCCCAGTCAAGGCCAAGATCAGAAGGATCGAGAGGACATGAAACATAGTGTTCCTGCCGACGCCGGTAGTCGCAAGAACCGAGTCTGGATGTATCAGTTATATCCGTAAAGTTTGATGGCTCCCAACTCACAGATGATTACAGCAACCAACAAAGTGAGACCAAATGCGAAGCTGATTCTTGCCTTTGCGTTGACATCTGGGTCACGATATGATTTCTTGGAGAAGATCCCATGCCTTCTGTTGCTGCGCTTCGAGGAACGGCTGCTGCTGCTGCCATTTCGGTACGATCGCATGGCTTGACGTTCAGAAGGGGTAGGTTCATCGTCCATATTTCGGGCCAGTGGTACTGGTTCAACAGTCGACTCAGCGACAGATGGCTGCTCGCGCAAGCTCCCTGTATACATGTCGGACTGCTCATCTTCGTTATCTCGTGGGACTGAAAGTGGTGGAACATCTCCAACCCTGGAGGGCGCATTCTCTGTGACTGAACATGTCGAAGTTCTGGACCTTGTGCTGGCAGGCAATGCACCGCGAGTAAACAAATCGTTTCGGGCTGAGCGACGGGACGTGGCCAGGAAGAGAGGCACGACGAAAGTCTTCCCAGCGGAATTCGGTGAAGTGGCAGCGCTGCTCGGAGCCTGGTTTGATCTCCACAGACGCGACATACTGCTCACAGCGCTCTTCCGCAGATCCCTCGGTGCTGGAACGTGCGTTGGTTGGGGGTACAGGTTGTGTCTCTCTTCCATTGCTGCAGAAGTTATGCTCTAGTCTTGTTTCTTTTTCTTGCAGCTTCACGCAAATTGCCCTTCGCGGAGAGGACGAGAAAAAGTCGACAGGAGAGACAGCGATGGAGGAGAAATGCACTGGACTTTACCACCGTGGAACACAGCGAGACAGAAAGGGAAGCAACACAACATAAGAGTGAATACACGTGCCGTGTCGGGACTCGAGTCTCAGAGACACGGCCATGTTTTTGACCAATAATTGCCATAAGAGAACGCCCATAATGCGCGGTGTTCTTTCTTTCAATGGAGCAAGGAGCGAGGAATTGGTTGTGGAATGTTGTGCTAGTTGATGAGAGTGAAACATTGGAACCCGTTTGTGTGCGAGAGACAGACGGTTTGACAGGCTGTCATTTCTGTTCACATTGAGCAGGAGACGAGTCACAAACATGGCGAACCGGCCGACCGCGATGTCGCCGAGAGAGTGGGAGGGAGAAGCAGGTCGACAGGATGGTTCGAAAGAGGACGCGTTCTGAAACGCCATGCGGTCGTGTCACCGCAGGAAGAAAGACCGCGGCGGCCACCAGCTGGTGAGTTGCCTTAGTCAGCCTGGTAGCCCCTCACCCCAGGTGACCCTAATACTTGTCGGTGGGCGGCCCTCTAGATGCCCCTACAAGCAGTGCATCCCTTGGGACTGTCCATGACTCCCCGGGTTAACAAAGCAACTGCAGGTTGTGCCGCAGTCCCTTAAAATCGCACGGCCTCCCAGAAAGTGGCGAGAAATGGGCGCCATGGCACGCCTATGACGTTTGACAACTCCCCCCTTGATTCCACCTCGTGCTTTTTCGCGAAATAGTCCCAAATTCTTCCCCAATGACGAGAAGAAGCTTTTCCCTTGCATCGGCTGGCCTGTGCCGAGCTGCAACGCTCAATGGCCAAAGACACATCGGACCATGTACCCAGTATTAATGGGGAAATCTCCGCGATTTCGCGAAGCTTTGGAGTTACCGTAGGGCCTAGACTGGAGTATTCCCTCGAGAAGGCACTGCCTCGCGGCGAACTTCAGTGCCCCTCGTGCGCTTCTTTTGATATAGGGGTCCAACAGCCTGTCCCTTCCCGATGAGACTCGAAAGTGTATATAATGAGGGCCAGCATGCGCCATCGAAACGTTCGCATGTCAATCAACAACCTCCATATCGAAGCAACAAAATCCTTGGTGTTGTCCGCAGAGGCACCAGACCTAGGGACTTTTGCAATTCTTTGAAGAAGGCTCGAAATGTTCCCCATCAAACTGCTGGCAAGAGGTGTGACCGGCGCATATGGCCTTGCGCGAGAGGCAATGGCCGATCATGACACCAAAAGGACTGCAGCTCAGCCTCATCTGCAGGTCCCCTTCCCAACTAAGGATGAAGCCGACCTTTCAGAATCCTCCTCGGTCGAATCATCTGATGGTGAGGAAGTGGCACAAGAACTTGACGAGGTTCAGCAGGAAATCGCCCGAGAACCCAGAGACATGCAATTTGAGAACGCTCGCGACATCGATGAAGTGTTGGATGCTTTCATGAAGATACACCCACCTCCCAAGTACTCACCAGTTGCCGGAAAACTCGAAATGCCCGTCATCCTGCCTCAGCGTCGGCCAAAGAGCAAAGAACGAGGCTTTGTTCGCGCATATGCGCCGATGCTTCAAACATGCGGCGTCGAGCAGGTAGAGTTTCTTGACTTCTTGGATGGTTTCGGAAACGCGATTCAGGTATATCCTCGGTTTCCCCTCATCAATGCTGTGAGTATGCACGCTGACTTTGAGTCATCTATCAGCTCCATCCAGCTTTCCATGCATTCAATCTGGCCTGCGCCGGAGCAGTCCTTGCCACTGACATCGCCGTTGGCCCCATGTTTTTCGTCCACGTCGGTGCCATGGTCGTCCACACAAGTGTTGAGCTGTCCAGGAGACAATACGTGAAATACGAGTCAAACAAGTATCTGGACCACATGAACGAGAGCTTCTTCAAGCCCCGGGGTCTCTATGCCTTGGTCATGGCGTACAAACCCGAGTCCGACGATTTAGGACAGAATGTGGATATGAATACCCATCTGGTAACCTCGATCGCAGCTAGAGACTCTGGCCGTGGAAGTCGATTTGCCAACGCGGCAGGGTTTTCAAGAGAAATCGAGATCCCCGAGTCCGCCCCTCTTATCTTCCCGGAGCTGGACGCTCTACCAGAGAGTGAGAAGGAGAATGCATTCAACCGCAGCGGCAAGGGACTCGGCGACTATTTTGATCTCCGGGCCCAAGCCAAGTTTGAAAAGGCGAACCCTGAGTCCAAATTAAATGTGTATCGAGAAAGACAATTTGCGTCACGTTTCAGCGACCCAAACCATCCAGCTAACAGCGGCAGTTTGAATGCCTTGCTGAGTGGTGGAAAGATCGACACGACGGAGTCCGATTGAGTCAAGGCCGAGAGAAGGGCACGGAAACGTCAGTACAAGGATAGAAGACGCGTTGCAAGGGGCCGCGAGCCGCGCTATGATACCACTGGAATGAAGAAGAGAGCTCCGCAAGGGGGAATCAAGGGACTGATGAGGTCGGATGTGCTGTATCTTATGGTTGTAAATTATCCCAGTGAGGTGGAGTTGAAGTAAGTTGTGTAAGTTATAAGTGAGGTGTAGGTGAAATAGAGCTAAGTTGACTTCTAGGATTTTGGAAGATGGTATCCTGTTTGATTGCTAGGTATTGCGAAGTTCTGTACTCTTGTGCTACGTGTTAGACGTCAGTGCCATTTCTGGTGGAATTGGGGAGAATTGTGATCTGATTTGGCTGGCGCTGGCGAGTTAACGAAGTATTTGAATTGACTTGATTCCTTGCCGAAGTCGTCTGCCTGTTGTCCCAGCTCTGCCACGCCGATGGCTTTTTTCGAATCTCGTTTCACTCTCCTTCCTTTTGATCTGCGGCATTGGATCGATCCACTCCCTTCTGCAAAACTTCTCAGCTCGCGAGCTTCGAAGCAGAAGGCTGAGCCCAAGGACGTCATCCGCTTTTGCCATCAATGCTGGTATCCAGTTGACAGCTGCACTCAGAGATACTCCAGGTCCTTCCTCTGTTCCGATTCTTAAATAATGAGCTGGAAGACAAACCAATGACCTTCTTGTGGGAAGCCACGGTATCCACACGGAATACCAATCTCGCCAGTTCGGAGGGAGAATAGCGAATAAGATAACAGAATCATGAACAATCTCTGCTAAGTCCTTGTCTTTTCTTCTCCTGGTAGAACCACAAGGTACTGCTGCTCTGAGAGGCCCTGGTATGTATGTGACCAATCCGAGAGATTCGGAAGGCAAAAGGATAAGTTCAGTCTCCCGAGAAAGGATGTATTGTCACCGTTACCGAGGAACTTCTATTTTAACATTGGAACTCGGTTTCGCCGTCCCTCGTGGATACCGTACGACGAGCAAGGGGTGAAGATCTCGAGGTTAGTCTCCTGAGGATATGGAGACAATCTGCGTTTGAGAGCCATTGGCAACACCATCGAAGGATTGTGCCTGCGGATTGCGTGACCTCTCCATGTGGAGCTGTGAATCTATATCAGCAAAGATGCTAGGATAGCATGCGCTTCTTGATGGGATACATGCCGTGAAAGTCACAAATGCATCGTTGGGATTGGCTGCTCGAACCTGACCCGAATTGATCGTCAGATGCAGCTCTTTCGTTCATGACGCGACGCCGCTAAGATCCAAAACGGGCACTCTAATTGTAGAAGCCCGATTCAATAACGGAAGGATGACTGCTCATCCCAATGACATGTGTTCAGAAGCTTCCCTGCGCCTGTACGACAGTCATTCAGAGTCGTCACCTTCCCAACTCGCCGAGAATGAGATTTCGGTCTGTCGAGCCAGAAACGACTGAATAGGTCAGCATCACTCAGATTTTCCACATCAAGGTCACTCACTGATTGTTTCTTCGGTGGGCGAAAACCGTACATCATTCACCGTTCCTTTATGCCCAGGGAGCTTATAGAGTAATTTCGCGGATCGAGTGTCCCAGATCACTACTGTCCGATCACCAGAACCAGTGCAAATCTTGTCTCCTTTTGGACTCCAACTCGCTCGTGTCAGGTTCTTTTCAAACCCCGAAGGCGCTCCGTCATAAGTCTGTATAGCACGATCGACTGGAGCAAAGGGTCTTATATCCCAAGTCCGCACGGTAGAGTCGTGCGAATTGGACAACAATGTTTGCGAGTCGGGTGAAACTTCCAACGAGGTGATCGTATCTTGGTGGCCACTCAGTGAGTAGGTTATTTCCATCTTGCGAGCATCCCAGACCTTGATATCGTTGTCAATACCACCTGAGTAGATCTCATGGCCCTGCTCTGCCATAGCTACTGCTGTGATTGGGAAGTCTGTTTCGATGTAATCAACTGCCGCCTTTTGGCGAGGGTCCCATATCCCGATGCACCCGTCATCGCTCCCGCTGAGTAACAGGTCTTGACCACGTCTGCTTAGATCCAGGCAATTTATAACCTCCTCGTGGCCAACGTGTTTGCGTATCCTCAAACCTGTTTCGAGGTCCCAGCTCGCAATAGTCATGTCGGCAGACGCGGAGTATATGGTTCTCGAATCGCGTGACCACTGCAAATCCAAAACAGCACCCTTATGGCCAGTCATAATTCCATAGTTGTCACACTGTCCATACGTATTCCAAAGCATTATTGATCGGTCCATGGACCCAGAAGCGATATGTTGGCCGGTGGGATCGAATCTGGTTGCGAAAACCTCCCCGGAATGTCCAGCCAACTCCATGATGGGAGCAGCTAGTCCGCTGGTACGAAGTGCCTGTTGGGGGCTGTTAGCATATCAACTCAATCGGCCGACATAAAAACGTACAGAGGGCACGAGAGTGCCATTTTGGTCTTTTGCGCCAACGGTAACGGCCTTGTTGTCGTTTAGATCTGAACTGGACTTCTGCCTCTTGACCAATGCCTGCGGCTGGCTGAAGCTGTCGGAAGCTTGTCTCTTTATCGACGGCATCATGATGAAGTAGGCCAAGAGGGAAGCATAGGAGGGTAAGAAGCCGACGAGGGGAAACACTGATCTATGAACTATTTGCAGTTTCGACAGTTGCGCAGGCAAGCAGGACAGCAAACCAGAAACTTTTGGTTCGGTGACCGGAGTATTCGTTTATCCGAAAGGCTAAAGCCTTGGCATATGAGTTACGCATTATCAACTCGCGAATTTGGCCTTGTATCTCAACATGACCTTAGCTGACTGCTCTCTGATCCCTCGGACAGTCTTTCTTCGAGATAAGATCTAGTTGCGGTGAAATGTGCAGTTATCGGTAGAAAGGTCATCCCTAATTTGAATGGCGTCAAGCCAGAAGGCCGCCCGCGTGGGCGAAGAGTAAGCGGTCCTCATGTATGCCCTAGTGTTTACCTACTGACCGTGGCTACACCAGAGTCTGGAAGTGAGTATTCCCCCGAGCTAATGGCAGTGGGTTTCTTACAATTCTTAGGACGCGAGTGGACAAAGTCAATGCTGAGCTTGTCACCCTCACTTATGGGACAATTGTGGCCCAGCTCTGCACCGACTATGACTATGATTACGCCCAGGTAAACCAGCAATTGGACAAAATGGGATATAATATCGGCATGCGGCTCATTGAGGACTTCCTTGCAAAATCCAATACTGGCCGCTGTGGGAATTTCAGGGACACAGCGGAGATGATCTCCAAGGTAAAGCCGTTGACTCGACTATCCTAGAATAGTCTCCTGACTCTTAAAAAGGTCGGCTTCAAGATCTTCCTCAACATTACCCCCACTGTTACGAATTGGACGGCGGATAACAAACAATTTTCATTACTGTTTGACGAAAACCCTTTGGCAGACTTTGTGGAGCTTCCCGATGACGGGCGGGCTCAAGATGAGTTGTGGTTCTCCAACATCCTCTGCGGCGTCCTACGTGGGGCATTGGAAATGGTATAGAGCGTGCACGGTATGGTCCATGGAAATCTGTTCTGACGGATTCTTAGGTCCAGATGTCCATCGAGGCACGTTTTGTCAGTGACATCCTTCGAGGCAATGACGTGACGGAAATGCGGGTCACCCTGATTCGATACATTGAGGACGAGATGCCTCCCGACGACGAATAGGTACACCCAGCGCTTTCTATGGAGCAATTTTATTACCTGCAGACAAAGCTCGCAAGGCATTGCACGAACTCAGCAGACGACTATCCGGGTCTGCATCCATTGGTTTGTATGTCACGTGGTCGACACCCCTTTTCTCCATGGTCAGGGGACTGGTTTATCTTCCTATCGACGTACGATAGTTGGGGAAGGATTCACTATTACCCCCTGAGGCAGTTTCAGCAGCCAATGAAGGAGCAGGGGTTGCGCCTTTCAAGATATTGAGGCGATGCAGCAAGCAAATGGTCCGACGTGGCAAATATGACCTGTAGTATTGCCCGGTTGACTCTCTTCAGCCGGGCGTGGAATTTTTGAAATGTTTGCTGCATAGAAACTCGTCGAGGTGGAAGAAAGCGGTTGAGGTGAGGTTGTGGTGCAAGGCCAAGCACCCCACCATTGGTAGCCCCATTTTGGGCAAGGCGTGCTGCAATCTTCGCGGGAGGAGTCTGTAGGGCTGACGCAGAACGGTCTGTGAGTGGTCGGGCCGTGGTCAGAGTCAGAAATCATAGGCGGCTTTTTTTGCCTGCGACTGCCGTGTCCGCCTCTCGCTGCTCGTCCCTGTCGTCTCCTACCTGCCCCTACCCTCCTGTGCCCTCTCGATCTTCTCGCCTGCGCCCTGACAGCAGAGTCATCAGAGCCAGCCCGTGCTCCAATTTACCTGGGTCCCCGAACCTGCGCTGTTCTGCACAGCGCAGCCTAGCCACCCAACGCCGAAACCTCGTGCCGGCACCGAAACACTGAGCACTCTCTATACCAAAAACCAACCTCACCTTTCTCGTTACCTTTTCGCCTCGCCCACATCCACCTGCTACCAACCACTAAAGCACCCATTTACTATCACCTTCCTAATTTCCCATCAGGTCACTTTTACTTTTCACCTTTACGCTCCCCTCTCCTCTCCTGACACCTCAGGACTGCTATCAGCTTGCTACAGTATCTTACTCCTCTGCAGCCCCAAACTTGCTCGCGCTCTCAGGTTTCTTAGCCACCCCATCCCATAATTTGTGGCGGTCGCGTTTTGTCTGAGGCTCTCGCTTCTCAACCTCTATCTGTCGCAGCCACATCAACCCTCGATCATCATCAGCCTACCTTACACCTTTGCCCGATCCTCTCCTGCAGAAAATGAGGCTTTTCGCCATCCTCTGAAGTCGCTGTCGGTTTGCGCGACCGACTCTCTCCGCACGCCCGTTACGATCAACTCGAACAATTACCTTGCGACTCACACACCGACTTGACATACTCCCACGATTGAGGTTCTTTCCTCTTCCACGCGCCCTTTTTCTCCTCCTTCCGAGCCCTAACCGCTTCCTCGAATAGACACGAGTGTCGATGGCTACCATGAATATGACCGGCATGAATCCTGCAGCCATGGCACCAGGAGGGCCTGTCGGTGGTGGAATGATCATGATGAACAACGGCAGCCCGGCTACACAAGTCAACATGAGCAGTTCTCCAGAACAATTGAAGGCTCAGTTAAACACCTACATCTACGAGTACTTCCTCAAGCTTGGCCACTATGACCTTGCCCGAAGCCTGTTGCGTGAGGAAAAATTCGAAGTCCGCACGAAGCCGCCGGTCAAGCAGAGCCCCGGCCGACGCAAAGATGTTGAAGTCAATGGTGTTGACGGAGATGCCATGGATACAGATGTAAAAGACGACATTCCCGAGGATCTTCCCCGCCCCATGCATGTCACCGACGCCAACACTCCCGGCATCGGCTTTCTGTTCGAATGGTTCAGCATCTTTTCGGACCTGTTCACTGCGCATCGTTCTAGCAAGATGCAGGGTGGCCAGGGCGGTAATATGGGGCCAGCTGCTCAGTATTTGATACAGCATCAGGTACGATTCTGTCAGAAACCTTTGTTCGCCATAGTTAACTGACGTTTTGTTTTCCTTTGCAGAATATGCAACGCATGAGAGAAAACCAGCAAAACCAGAACCTCACTCGACCTGGCATGATGACCGCGAACCGATTTGCCATCCAGGCTAATTTACGCAACAACGTGGTAAATGGGAACAATATGGCGAACAAGTTGTGAGTCCAGAATGTCTTGTTCAGTTTTCCTAGCCGCACAAAGTCGCTGACACGCCTCGCCAGTACCCCCCAGCAAATTCAACAGCAATTCAAGCAGCAGATGCTTCAGCAGCAACAGCAACAACAGATGCAGCGAGAACAGGGCGATGTGGACATGAACGGCCGCGCCTCGTCGCCGGCAGAGGGCGAGAATGGTGGGTCGCCGTCCAAGAGACCACGACTCGAAGGTCAACAGTTCAACGGTGGCATTATGCCTAATGTGCGGCCAGGAATGCCCAACGTGGCACCTCAGAACATGATGATCCAGAATACTTTCAATCCCAACATGAATAATGCCCAGTTCCGACAAAATGGGGGCATGCCACAAAAGCCCATGCAGGTAAGTACCAGGTAACTCCGCATAGCGTCTACCATTGACTGACCGATAACAGGCTGGGATGGCTAATGGCATGATAAACATGGGCAATGCGGGTTCTCCTATGATGCAGGGCATGAATCCTCAATTCGACAGCAATATGCAGATGGAGATGTACAACCAAAGGATGGCTGGCCAACAAATGCCAGGCGGTCCGGGTGCCGGCCCAGCTGGGAACCACGCTCTTCAAGATTATCAAATGCAGTTGATGCTCCTTGAACAGCAGAACAAAAAGAGATTGATGATGGCGAGACAAGAGCAAGACAACGCAGTCAACAGAGACGGCGGTCCAGGCGGGCCCATGATTGGCATGCCACCCGGTGGCATGTCGCCGTCAGGCAGTCGGACGGGTACATCACCTAACCCAGTGGATCAGATGAAGCGCACACCACAGCTAGGAGGTTTGCCCGGTTCACCCTCAGCCGGCGATATGGCAGGAAGATCACCTGGCGCAATGAACTTCATGAACGGCATACAGGGCTCCGACTTCAACCCCAACATGTTTATGAAAGACAATCAAGGGATGGTGCCCGGTGCTCCAGGTATGAGACCTCCCACGTCCATGGACATGCAGGCAAACATGGCCCGTCAACAACAAAATCGGATGGGTGGCCAATTTCAAGGTGGCCAGCCAATGGTACAGCAACCATCTCAGGGTGGAGGGCCGCAACCGATGGGCACTCCTGGGCAACGAAACGAGATGCCACCTCCTCAAGCACCGGCAGGGAACAATGCCCAACGCAACCAGCCTGGATCTCCGCAGAGCGGCAATGCTCCGCCGACTCCATCGACCACTAACAAACAGAACCCCAAGAAGAAGGCTAAGGAGGAAGGAACCAAGAAACGCCCAACCAAGAAAAGTTCGACGGCTGCTGCTCCAACATCTTCGGAGAATGAACCTCCAGCCACGCCGACACCCTCCACTCCCATCACTCCGGTACACCCACCGGGCTTCAACAATTCGGCCGGCAAGGGTGCCGCTGCAGGTATGCCGAATCCGAACCAAGCTCCTCCACCAAACGCGGGCATGCCTCCCAATCAACCACAAATGCACCAGCCAGATCTCACACAACCCAATGCTTTCACCGACTTCAACACGGACCAAAATTTCAACTTGGATTTCAGCAGTTTAGAGAACAGCGATGTTTTGGAGAACTTTGACTTTGACAGTTTCCTGAACACGTCCAACGAGGACACATTCAACTTTGACAACGCCATGGGAATAGGAGGAGACTTTGGGGTCGACACCACCAACGAATAGGGGCCCGTTGACAGGTGATGATCTGTATCAATTACTAACTAATGCTTTGGCGTTGTGATGATTTCTGGCAGCTCACGCATGGTTGGCGGGCGTGTGCACGAAAAGAGCTGCTTTTTTTGGAAATACCTGCTCTGTTGATTACTATACCCGTTGCTCAGACGAAAATGATTTCACTTGCTTGGACATAACTTCATGGGTTGAGATGTAGTTGCATTGGTATAGGGATGGAGAGGCGCTTAATTCCAGTTTCATTTTCCCTTTCGTCACAGAGACTTTGGTGACAGAGACAGCATGGTCACCTCCGCACTCTTTCAGCCCGATTTCCTCTGACTTCATCCTGCCTTTTGGGGTCTTTGAATTTTTGGGCTAGACTTCATTCGACAGTCGATGCTGATGGCGACTTCTTTGATCGTGGAGCGAACCGTGCGCCTTCTTTCTCTTCTTCTTCGCTCTTACTCTTGCATTGAAAAGGCGAAGGACCATAGCGACAACCACTACCTAGGAAGATGGAACACTGTCTTCGAGCAGCATGCGCTTTAATGCTCTGCTCATGCTCTGTCATTTCACTTCATTGTGAACTGAAACTGCGCGTCTCAAGTCGCCATGAGGTACCAGAACTGGGATGTGCTCCTCTTCCCTGGCGACTCAAGGACTCCTATCCAGGAATTTGATACGAAATGCTTCGTGTTGGGCCAGAGTGAGTGCTGAACACCTTTCGATGACAATGACACTCACCAATGGGCTCAGACGTGGGTGTCTCCTCAGGAGAGGCCACTTCGGACAAATATCGAAGCGGCTTTGAGTCAATGACACTGGTGCCTATTCTTACCTCCTTCATTGCGAGCCTTGAGCGTTGCACGGCATTCCGAATCTCCATCCACAGCTGGGATAAGCCCACGCCATCTCACCTCTTGCTGAGCTACAAGACCCCGGACGAGGCAATTCTGTTTGAAGCTCGGGTGTACATCGACGGAATTCTGGTGGCGTAAGAAGGTCAACAGGGATTGATCCTTGGTTCAGGTTAACTGAGGGTCATATAGCCAACGCACGTTCGACGAGAATGTGTGGCCGGAAGTCATTGGTACGAACTGTCGCAATATTGACAGACTTGTTTGACTAACTGCATTGTAGGGGATCCAGGTTGTCCTTGTCCGCCTCCGTCGTGCACCGCGAAGGCTAACAAATGCAGACCGCGATGCTCAATATCTTCAATTTCCCAAGTTCCACCGAGAAATCCTTCAGCAACCCGACTGGGAACCGAATGAGCTCCTGGGTCGAATCAGAGTCGTGATTGCAGAAGGTGTCATGAGAGACAACACTCCCCCAACTGCTTCAGCTTCCAGGTTTGACCGTCTCCGGGACGTCGTCGCCTTTTCTTTTCAGCACGCCCCTCAAGGTCAGTGAAACCGCTCTCCGCTCGCCTTCGGTCATACTGAGACACATCAGACGTTCTCGAATACTCGGGAATTGCTTGGCCAAATCCGAAGATGTTCAGAATCTTGTCCAACAAACCATCGCGGTCTGTACCCATCGGGTCTCGAGTCTCTGGCATCTCGGGCCACGAAGCTCATTCGCACTCTCCACAGCGGTTGCCTCCTATAGCGTCACGAAGCAAAAGACTTTCGACAAATGAACATCATCAAAAGTTACTGGACGCACAGGATCATGCCGACCTCCAATCTGACCCGATCAGCAATGTCTCCAACATTGGTGTGCTGAAGAGTCGGTCCCCTGGTCGTCATGTCCCGGTCAAGCTGGTCGCCCAAGATGATGACCCCTTCATCTCCTCGCACCAGACTCCGACGGCAATACAGCAGTGGCGACTGCAACTGAGGTCAACTAGTCACGACATCTCCATGCCGGATTATACATCCAGCAAGACCGATCGCAGCGTCGTCAACACAGAGATGTCCGGTGTCAGCATCCCGCGGGCCAACTTTCTGAAACACATGAACGAGGCTAATCCCGAAGAGATTCTGCAGGCTCTGAGTCCCGCCCGTCAAGAAGAGTTGTTCCAAGCTCTCAGTGCATCACATAGCCCAGCCATCAGCGTAGGCACTCGGCCACCAACGAACACTCCTCAGGTCAACGATGACTTCAACACCCCCAGAGTCATGGGCACTGGCGACGTGAATGATAGCGCCACGGTAAAGATCTGGCAGGAACCGCGGCAGCGACGCCGAACATGCTCGCTCGCTAGTTCCAGAAGCACTTCAGAGCCAACGGCTCAGCTGGCCAAAGAGCAAACCAGCCCAAGATTGCCCCGGGAATTGAGTGTGCGTACTGATGGCAAGAATCAGTTACCAACCGCACCAAGATCGCTTTCACTTAACATCAACCGCCAAAGATCGGCTTCGAATGGCTCAAAGCGGAAGCGAGGCTCGATTTCTCCGGGACTGGGCCTGGAAAAGATACAGGACACAATTCGGGTCATTGTCTGTTCTTCGTCGTCCTCGCCATCAGACGGGGACCGAAGGGAGCAGGGAGGAATGAAATCAACCACTCCGCCGGATAGATCCGTCGCCGTTACAGCGGAGTGAAGGTGGAGAGTAGCACAGGCATGGCCTACATCGCAAGCAGCATTAATCGAGAAGTACATATTGGGCATCGTTGATCGGGCAACTGAAGATAACAAGGCTGAGGCCGAAAGGGTAAGGGACGCTCGAGGTTTGAATGCCTGGCTCTTGGCCTGTTTATAGCTGATAGTGATTGTATGCTGAGGGAGAGATCGGGTTGATACTGGATGTATAGGTACCTAGGTACCCAGGTAGTTAGGTAGTTAGGTAGTCAGGTCTTATCAGGGCCTCTGTACTCTGCGCATAATGCATACTTACGACTCCGTACGCACATTCTTGGTAGTGGTGATAATAGTGGATGCTTCTACCCCACAAATTCGGCAGCTCGGCCTGCTTGTAGTAGCCCTGCAGATGGTGCGTCACGTCACACTTCAGAGTCCTCGGTCGAGGCCTTTTTGACCTTTTCGTGCCCCACGTTCAAAAAATTTTCGCCTCTTGCGCCCTTTGCAAAAGACTGACTCATATTCTCCGCATCCTAGCTCTAGCGTTTGACTGCCTAGGTGCTGCTGTTCTCACTTCCATCTTGAGGTTCCTTTCGGCTTTGGATTACCTCTGCTAACAACCAGTCTGTCTTAGCTGGCCTTTGCGACCGCTACCCAGCCGAACATTCACTCCCGGCTACAGACATTCCAGAACTTCCGTTGTCGAACCGTTTGACCGTTTGACCGGGACTCGGTCAAGAGTTATCCTTTAGCCATGCCTATGTATGTCCGGGCGGGTTCCATACCCCTCAACATCAAACTGACTAATCTGTTGCCAGGCTTCGCGAGCCATGGAAGAAATACCGCAAGTTCAAGCCTCTTGACTTGCCTCACCGACAGTGGCCCTCGAGGACCAACGACAAGCCCCCTCGGTGGCTGGCCACCGACTTGCGAGATGGAAACCAAAGTCTTGTCGATCCTATGGTATGAAGGCCCCTCTAGAGCCCTCTCCCCCCCCTCAATTGTGGCTAGAGAGACTGACGGTTATTGCAGGACGGCGAACAAAAACTCCGCTTCTTCAAGATGCTGGTTGAATTGGGTTATAAGGAAATCGAGGTGTCCTTCCCTTCCGCCTCGCAGACCGACTACGATTTTACGAGATACCTAGTTGATACTCCCGGCGTGGTGCCCGACGACGTTTGGCTGCAGGTCCTGTCGCCCTGCCGAGAGGACTTCATCCGCCGGACTGTCGAGTCCCTAAGAGGAGCGAAAAAGGCCATTTTACATTTATACCTCGCTACCAGCGAATGCTTTCGCAGGATTGTCTTTGGCATGACTGAAGAGGAGACCCTCGCCCTGGCTGTCAAGTGCACCAAGTTTGCTCGATCCATCACCAAGGATGACCCCAGTCACGCGGGAACGGAATGGCTCTACGAATTCAGCCCCGAAACTTTCTCCGATACATCACCCGAGTTCGCAGTGCGAGTCTGTGAGGCGGTAAAAGAGGCATGGGGCCCGACCGAAGACAGCAAATTGATTTTTAATCTCCCCGCCACGGTGGAAATGGCCACGCCCAATATATTTGCGGACCAGGTCGAATACTTCTGCACGCACATGACCGAGCGCGAGAGATTTTGTGTCTCGGTGCACCCCCACAATGATCGGGGCTGTGCTGTAGCAGCAGCAGAATTGGCCCAGATGGCGGGCGCTGATAGAGTCGAAGGCACTCTGTTCGGCAATGGAGAACGGACCGGTAACGTTGATCTCGTGACCTTGGCGCTCAACTTATATACCCAAGGTATCTGGCCCAACATCGATTTCAGCGACATCAACAAAGTCATTCGGGTTTGCGAAGAATCGACAAAGATACCAGTCAATGAGAGGTGGCCGTACGGTGGCCAGTTGGTGGTCTGTGCCTTCAGCGGCTCACACCAAGATGCCATCAAAAAGGGGTTCCAACTTCGGAAGAAGGAAGGTCGCGGCCCAGAAGATCCGTGGGAACTGCCCTACCTGCCACTCGATCCTCAGGATATTGGTCGTACATACGAAGCAGTCATCCGAGTCAACTCACAGTCTGGTAAAGGAGGGGTCGCCTGGATTATCCAACGCAGTCTTGAGCTCGATTTGCCCCGGGGGTTACAAATCGCGTTCAGCAGGATCGTCCAAAAAGAAGCCGATGCAAAGGGACGAGAGCTGCTTCCTCGAGAAATCCAGGCTCTCTTTGAGGAGTCGTATCATCTCAAGAAGAATCCCAGATTCACTCTCATTGACTACAACATCACCGCCGTGCGAACACCGTCACCAGCTCCTCAGATGAAGATCTCGGCCGGTCAGCCACCCCAAACAACGGCGCCGGCTCAAAATACCTCGACAGCGAAACGACAATTTGCAGGTATCATCGCCATTGATGGTGTTCAACATCCGATCGTGGGAGTGGGCAACGGTGCTATCTCCTCTCTGGCCAACGCTTTACATTCCTTGGGGATCGACCTCGACGTGGCAGACTACAAGGAACACGCCATTGGTGAAGGAAGGGAAGTGAAAGCTGCCACGTATATAGAGTGTACGGCCAGCAGTTCCAACGAAAAAGTCTGGGGAGTGGGTATACATGAGGATGTGGTCCAGGCATCCTTGATCGCGCTGTTGAGTGCGGCGAGCTCGGTATGTACCCAGCCACATAAAGGGAGCCAGCTGGCCCCCGAATCTGAAGAGACGAAGCTGACTTCACAACTCGCAGTTCTTGACCTCACGAGTTTCTACCCCAGTCCCATTCAAACCGAAGCACCTGAGACAGTTTTCTGAAGCGGAACTCGAGGCTTTGGAGCGTTTAAACCTGAACAATGGCCCTGACAGCCCTCAGAGCCCGTTGAGATCGTCCATGAATACAGCAACAGATGGAGGCGTCACACCGTCGAAGCTGAACATGGAGATGAATCCGGGCAGTGTTGCGGCAAACAAGATTAACATTAACCTGTTGGAACAGAAGGCGGCGGCTGTCAATGGGCACGTGGAACTGTCATAGGATGTCTTCGCGTTAGTGGACGGTCGTTTTCCTGAAGTCAAAACCCGTTTGCATCAACACCCAAAAGGGGCACGGGGGTTAGTTTGATTCCTCGCGGTGAACTCCAAAAAGTGGCTTGATTATTTGTTGTATAGTCTGAGGGCGCGCCCCCGAAATTGATGATATCTGATATGGGGTGATAACTCTGCAAAAACGAGATTGGCGAAAAGCTGAAGGTTGCTCTTGGAGATGTTGATAGTAGCACATATGTCCACATGCACGCACTCTCTGGAGCTCGTCCCTCGGATGATCTTGCGCTTCACATGTTTCAACGTGTGCTCTTTAGCTGCTCGTGGAGTGGCCGACTCAGTATCAGCCCACTAGCCGAGCCTAACTGCCTAGGCATGAGGAAAGTTGGGCCGGTTGGGGCTAATGGGGCACCGAGGGGGGTCGCCCCCATACAAGTAGAACACCGAGGAGGCGCCCAATTATGTGGATGGGGGTTAGGGTCATGCCTGTAAAACCAATCAACCACGGCCCTGTTCGGTTAAAGCCGCCCCCCAATTCGGGCTGCCAACACCGAAATGCATCCCCCACGCACCCGCCCTCGGTAGTAGGTGCAGTGAACCCTGTGAACCATGACGATGGCGATTGCAGCGGGCTTCATCCACATCCATGCCTCTCCGCGGCACCCTCAGCCATTCACCCTTTTGCAACACACGGGACTCTTCTCTTGTGCCTCCTCTTCCCATACATGACAACGCTGAAGATCCTTCCCACATACCTGGGAGTTGGATCCCGCTTCCTTTCCAGCTTTCTACCCTCAGACACCTCGCTGCCTGGCTTGGCTTCGAAATTGATGCCCTACCCACCACTTTAGCTTCAATTGCTCACGGGCTTTGTCACTCCCAGCCATAGCTTGGTGCCATCTCACCACCTCTTTCACGAGAGTTTGGACCATGGCCTCTCAGGAAGTGTGTCATTAATCACTGAAACCATCAACTCATCGAAGTCACGGTTCCTCCAGCGCAACTCCGTCCTACTAAACGTTTGACCCGCAATCCGCATTGACACGAGACTGATCCTCCCTCTATAAAAGGGAAAACCATGGCCTCGGCCGGTCGCTCCTCTTCCGCACGTCGTTTCCTCAAACCACTCCTCTATTCCGGCGTCGCACTCGCGGGGGTTGGGGGCACCATCTTGTACCTCTCCTACCGGCCCATCAACGTTCCCGGCTCCCAGGGCGCCATTGTCCCAATTCCGCGAACAGAAGACGGCACCATTATCCCTCCAAAATTCCCCTTGATCAAGTCCCGCGCCGAACAGATTCTCGACCTGAGGAAGAGCGGTGGACTGGTGGGTGCGGCGGCAGAGACGCCCCTGCGCCAGCAGTTGAGGAATAGCTTCGACCGGTTAAGAGGCGCAACAAGCGACGATAGAGACATAACCTTACCTGCGGAGCAAGAAGCCAGCGAACCGTATGACCTTCTGGTCATTGGTGGAGGGGCTACAGGTTCAGGCATTGCCCTGGATGCTGCCACCCGTGGCCTCAAGGTCGCCCTGGTCGAGCGCGATGACTTTGCTGCTGGTACGAGTAGTAAGAGTACGAAACTTGTGCACGGCGGCGTCCGATACCTCGAAAAGGCTTTCTGGGAGCTAGACTATAACCAGTATGCATTGGTCAAAGAGGCTCTACGCGAGAGGAAGTATTTCCTTGACACAGCCCCTCATCTGTCTATGTGGCTCCCCATCATGATCCCTTTGCAGAAATGGTGGCAAGCTCCATATTTTTGGGCCGGTACGAAATTGTACGACTATCTCGCGGGCAGTGAGGGCATTGAGACCAGCTACTTTTTGACCAAGAGCAAGGCGTTGGACGCTTTTCCTATGTTGAAGAAGGAGAACCTGGTCGGAGCGCTGGTTTACTATGATGGCGCACACAACGACAGTCGTATGAACATATCCATTGCAGCTACGGCTGCGCTCTACGGTGCAACGGTGGTCAACCATATGGAGGTTACCAGTTTGACGAAGGACCAGAACGGCAAACTGAATGGGGCCGTGGTCCGAGATGTGATTGCGGAGAAGAATGGCAAACCGACATCGCCTTTCACCATACGCGCCAAAGGTATAATCAACGCGACTGGTCCTTTCTGCGACTCAATACGGAAGATGGACGACCAAACTGTGCAAGAAATTGTTGCTCCGAGTTCTGGCGTCCACGTGGTGCTTCCGGGATATTACAGCCCACAGAGGAACTCTATGGGTCTGATTGATCCTGCGACGTCCGATGGCCGTGTCATCTTCTTCCTACCTTGGCAGGGCAACACGATCGCCGGGACCACCGACGCGCCCTGCAAGATTACCCAACATCCGATTGCTGGAGAGGAAGAGATTGGCTGGATTTTGAACGAGATCAAGGGATATCTGTCTCCAGAAATCAACGTCCGCCGTGGAGATGTGCTCGCTGCTTGGTCTGGGATTCGACCATTGGTCAAGGATCCCAAGGCAAAGAATACCGAGTCGCTCGTGCGAAATCATCTGGTGACAGTCTCGTTCTCGGGACTGCTCACGTGTGCTGGTGGCAAATGGACGACATATCGACAAATGGCAGAGGATGCGGTCGACGAGGCCATCAAACAATTCACGTTGCAGACGAAGCCACTAACAACCCCGACGAGGATCAGCGGAACCGAAAAGATCGACGATGCCGCCCCACTTGATGGGACCTGCCAAACACACCAAGTGAGGCTCGTCGGCGCCCACGGATTCTCTAAAACCTTGTTCATCAACCTCATTCAGCATTTCGGCCTCGAGACCGAAGTGGCCAAACATCTTGCAGAAGCATATGGTGATCGTGCGTGGACGGTGGCTGCACTTTCAAGCCCGACAAATGAAAGGTACCCCGTTAGAGGAGAGCGTATTTCTGCATTGTACCCATTTATAGACGGAGAAGTACGCTACGCAGTGAGACATGAATTTGCGCAGCGAGCCGTGGATGTGATTGCACGAAGGACAAGACTAGCTTTCCTAAACGCCCAGGCTGCGTTGGAAGCGCTGCCCAAAGTCATCGACTTGATGGCTGAGGAGCTAAAGTGGGACAATAAGAGGAAGGATCTCGAGTGGAAGGAAAGTGTTGCTTTTCTGGCCTCGATGGGTCTTCCAAGAAGCAAGTTGAACGTCTCAAGAAAGGACGTTGAAAGTGGAAAGGCCGGTTTTGCTGATGAATACGAGAGGAAGCTATATTCGAGATACGGTAGGTGCAGCGCTATCATTTGCCGACGGGCCTTGAATGGTACTAATAGAGAGTTTAGATGGTCCAGCGGATACGCTCGAGAGCGACTCGAAATTGAAACCTGGACAAAATCCCGTGCTGGGGCAAGATTCGCCCGCAAACAAGTAGCTTTCTTTGTCGCTGGACATCCCGCTTGGACAGCAACTTACCGGAAGCTGGCAAATTCTGAGGACTTCAGGGATCATTCGACGCTCTTTTGGTCCTGGTTGTGCTAAGTGCATCAGTGACGATCATACGAGGTCTACCTAGATGGAACTAATTTACACAAAAGGATAGCCATTTATGGCAGCATATTTCAGAATAGCCCTTGACGATCAGCAAAATGTTGCCCGGTCCTACAGGACTTCTCGATGGCTCCTACCCACGAAATGGTGGCTGATCTCCCTACCAGAATCTACAAAGTAGGGTCGTATTCCCTACTTTTGGCCTCTTGCTTCCCGGGCTCTTCTCCTCGGCGCAGGTCCCCCTATCCTTTTAATAACATATCAATTCACTGGAGGAGAGCCGTCACCCTTTTCGCGTCCTTCACTTGAGCAGTACGGCTGCCCTCCACACATCCTCAGATATCAACCACGCTATCGGAATAACCTCGTTGACCCTAAGTCTCATCAATCATGGACGGCTCCCGCAGAACGTCAGTCTCCGATCTCCGCTGCGGCGATAATAGTCCTCCCATCAGTGACGACACTTTGGTGGCTAGTGACAATGGCAATACCGACAGCCCCCCCAAGAATGGGAATATGGTGCACGAGAAACCAATTGATCCGATGGCTAGCCGGATAGATGGCGGAGTTGAGTACAAAAGCATGGTGTGGTGGCAAGCGGGAATGGTCATGGTCGCCGAAACCATCTCTCTTGGAATCCTTTCACTGCCGGCCGCCATGGCTACACTAGGCATCGTACCCGGTCTTATTCTGCTTGTCTGCCTCGGAGCTATGGCTTCATATACCGGTTTTGTCATCGGACAGTTTAAGAGACAATACCCTCACATTCACTCCATGGCCTGCGCTGGTGGAGTGCTATTTGGCAAATGGGGGAACCGGATTCTTGGCTGGGGTCAATTTTTGTTCTACGTCTTTATCATGGGCAGTCACATCTTGACCTTCTCCATTATGATGAACGCCATCAGCGACCACGCAGCCTGCACTGTTATCTGGATGGTCATTGGCACCCTTATGAGCCTCGTCTTTACCCTGCCACGGACATTGAAACACCTTTCATACTACTCGGTCGCCAGCTTCTTGAGTATCATCGGCGCCGTCATGATCACTATGATCGGTGTCTCGATCACGAAGCCGGGCGGCGGACCCGATGGAGTCCTCCACGTCCGACTCTGGCCGAAACCAGATCTCAGCTTCAAGGACGGATTCAACGCAGTGTCCAACATGATCTTCGCGTATGCGGGTCATGTGGCCTTTTTCACCTTCATATCCGAGCTGAGAAATCCACGAGATTTCCCCAAGGCCCTTGCGTTCCTGCAATGCAGTGACATTTCCATGTATATCATCACGGCTGTGGTGGTGTATTATTACGCCGGGGACAATGTTGCGAGCCCTGCGTTGGACAGTGCTAGCACAGTCGTCAAGAAGATTGCATATGGAGTCGCAATTCCGACCATTGTCATTGCCGGTGTTGTCAACGGGCATGTGGGGGCCAAGTTCCTTTACGTACGGCTGCTGCACGACCGAGAGGACGATCTGATGCACCAGAAGACTTGGAAATCATATGGCGTGTGGTTTGCTATCGTTAGCATTTCATGGCTTGGAGCTTGGGTCATTGCTGAAGCTGTGCCGGTCTTCAACCACTTATTGGGCTTGACTTCTGCCTTGTTCGCATCTTGGTTCACTTTCGGATTGTCGGGAATGTTCTGGATGCACATGAATTTGAATGGAAAGTGGACTTATGGCAAGGCTTTTCTCTTCGTTCTCAATTGTGTGAATATCGTGGTTGCCGCTATTTTATTTGGTGTCGGGACGTACGCCAGCATCTCGGCCATGGTTGAAACTGGAGCAACCAACATGCCATTTTCGTGTGTCAACAATGCTGGTGGGCATTGATACTAGGGCAGGCGTGGTGGTTGTTGAGACTTGGATAGTATTTCTATCTACCGCGCGCCCCTTTAGTTTATTGATAGGATTAACAGTGGTCCTGCCGACGTCTTTGGTGTTTTGCAATCTCTGAGTACCTTTTTGTCTGCAGTCTGAGGGTAGTCGGCAGTTGAGCACGGCTTATGGGCAGCAAAAGAACCACGCCGGCGGCGTGTTTCGTTTCCCCACACTTGTACTTATTTAATACCTATAGCAAGGGCCAGGGTCGGATGAGGGTGACGGCGGAAACGGGAAGGGGCAGAAGGGAAGGTGTAGCTACAATAGCAGAGCATGGAGCACAGACAATTTCTCGTGGGCCAAACGTGTAAATACAAAGAGACCTCTTTCAATCTCTTCCTCTTTCTCTCTTTCTCTGTTCTCTGACTTAATATTTAGTGTTCCTCGCACTTCGGTCGACAGGGGGTTGCTTCGAAGTGCTCGGCCTGCCGATTGGCCCCCGCAGCCTTGCCCTAGCGATATTTGCTTTCCTCTACTTGTAAACTTTCTGGCGCAGTAATATCCGCTTTGGAAGTCTTTCTGCGGTCTGGGGAAGGCAAAAAGGACATGACCAAGGTGAGGCCCTTGCAAGCTGTGGGTGATGGAGCCCAACCTCCTGTGAAAGGCGCTCGCCATCACAAAGGCGGAAAATTATCGACTCGGGTCAACGATCGAATGCCGAAAACTGCACCCGCACGAAGGCCCAAACACCGGACAAAGTTGCCCGGGCGAAGTCGGCTATTGCCTACAGCCACTTGATAATGAAACAGCAAGATTCGGAGATGCGAGTCTACTCCCTTCCCGAGATGCTTGCCGTCGGATCATACGGAGTCTTTGTCTCGCCGACCAACCCTCTCTGGTCAGGGACATGTGCTGGTGGCGGAACACCACCCAAACCACCCACGCACGTTAAAGGAGATCAAGGAACGTTCCGAGGGTATGGTCACAAATGGCTTTTGCCAACAAGGTGGATTCTACTGTACAGAGGACAAAGATGCGCGTATCACTTATCGCACACTCTTTGGGGATCAATGCGGGAGGCGCCACCGTTGGGACCAGATTTGCCGTCCGAACTGGCCCCTCGATCTCTCGGCCTCCACTTTATCGCTACAAAGCTGAGGGTAATCTAAATGCTTTTCCGCTGAGTGATGCCAGAGGTGCTTCGGTTTCTCACCACGGCAGTGAGATGTTCACCCATACGAACGGCAGAGATGGAAGAGATATATCAATCACCACCAAGATCTGTTGGACTGACCGACTGTCGTATTTCCTCCGTCTTTATGCCAGTCCCCTCGGTTGCTCTCTCTGCACATCGTTTTCCCGTTTCCTGGGCCTTTGAGTGGTGGTACTTTGTTGTGCAACCTGCCACCAGCCCACAGATTCCAGGAACGAGAAAGATTCAAGGAACAGAAGTTAAGTCCTTTATCGGAAGACAAGCGGCTGATCTGGTCCCTTTGGCGGGCAAGTTTTGGACGGTGGTGGAGTGACGCTGGAATCTTTCCCCCCGACTCGGATATTGTGGGCCAACTCAGCAAAACTCCTCATCACGAGCACACGGCATTTGGTCGCGCAAGGGACATTCTAACTGGCATATCGATCGTGATTCCATTCTATCGACGGATCGCACCATATCGAAAAACCCGCTTCGGACCATTCCGAGACCCTCATTCAGGCCCCTTTCCATCTTGGGTGTTCGGAAAATTCCTTCTTTGGGCATACCGAAGCCCTGGGAATCAACTACGTCATAAGAGCCCCTGACCACGACAGCCTTATCCCGCTCCTTGCCCACTCCCCTCACTCACCCACTCACCACGCCAAAGCCGAAGCACATTGCACCGAGCCATGGGTAAAGTTCAACTTCATGTCGGGATCATCGGTGCAGGCCTTGGAGGATTGGCGGCGGCAATTTCAATTGCCAGAGCTGGCCACAAGGTAACAATCCTGGAGCAGGCGCCTGCCCTTGGAGAGGTGAGTTGGCCGTCCATTCAATGTGGAAGGGGGGCAGGGGAATTGCTCAACTAATGCCATTTCTTCCAGGTCGGCGCAGGCATCCAGATCCCACCCAACAGCACGCGCATTCTTTCCCGCTGGGGTCTCCTTCCGGCCATTGAGAAGGTCTCGGTACGCCCGCAGAACTTCATCTTGCGCTCCTACCGCGATGGTAGGATCCTCTCCACCCAAGCCCTCATCCCGCACTGCGAATCCGTCTACGGATATCCTTACCTCCATATCCATCGCGCCGACTACCACAAGATCCTCGTCGATGAAGCCGAGCGACTGGGCGTCGAGATCCGCCTCGGTAGTATCGTGACGGACATCGATTTTGAGCTGCCTGCCGTCCACATCAAGAACTGCCCTGAACCCTTCACCGCAAATCTCATCATTGGCGCAGACGGCCTCAAATCTGTCTGTCGAGAAGCCCTCCTCGGCCGTCCTGATCCACCCCATCTCACGGGAGACCTGGCTTACCGCATCATCGTCCCCGCCGACTCGATGAAATCCCACCCGCTGCTGCGCGATCTCGTCGCCGTGCCCAACATCAATTACTGGATGGGTCCTGACTCGCACGTGGTCTCATACCTCCTACAGGGTGGCAACCTGTACAACATCGTGATTGCGTGCCCGGATAACCTGCCCGAGCTCGTCAACCAGCAGAAGGCCGATCTGGACGAGATGCACGCCCTGTTTCAAAATTGGGACCCACAGCTCCGAGCGCTGTTGGAGCTGTGCAAGGACACGAGCAAGTGGCGCCTGCAGAACTCGCGCGAGATGCCCTCGTGGAACCACCCGAGCGGCCGATTCACGCTGCTGGGCGACGCCTGCCACGCCACGCTGCCGTACCTGGCCCAGGGCGCCGCACAGGCCGTCGAGGACGGCGCCGTGTTAGGCCACCTGTTCGAGAAGATCGAATCCCGGTCCCAGGTCCCCGATTTGCTGGTTATCTACGAGAGCGTGCGCAAACCGCGCACCACGAGGGTCGTCAATGGCTCGTCGCAGCTGGGCCGCGAAATCTTCCACCTTCACGACGGGCCCCGCCAGAGAGAGCGCGATCGCCAACTACTCGCGTGGCAGGCCGACCCGTTCGACGGATATCAGAACCGCTGGCGCGATCCCGTGTTCCAGAAATTCCTGTTCGGGTACGACTGCAGGGAGGTCGTCGAGGAGGCGTGGGATCGATATCTGCAGGGCCGCTATCCCGGAACGATGGGCCGGTTTGTATGCGGTGTGCTGGAGGTCGAGGCGGTCGAGGCGGAAATGGAGACAGAGGACGTGGAGGAGTTGAACAGGAAAGGAGAGACGAGGACCACCGCCGAAGCGGGCGACCAGGCAAGGCTATGACTCAATTGTTGCGCGCCTCATGTAGGTGGCTGGTTGGCTGGGACTTGGTCGCTTGAATGATGAATGAACGAAATGCCGAATGTATGCGGCAGCGGTATTGTTCTGCAATTGGGGAATGGCGCGTTTGAAACAGGTCACCATAGGGTAGAGTCGGCACGGCGTGATAGGACGGCACAAGAGTCTCAGGCTACTCCAGGACCCTATCGGCCGCCGTCTATGAGCATCAGATACATAAAATGGTGTTACATTAGGGTACTACATAACATGGCATGGCATGGTTTGCAAAGCACCAAATATTCAATGTCCAACGTCCAATGTCCAACCTTCAATGCCCAAGATCCCAGGCTAAGTGCGACAGCTCAGCGCGGTCCTCGTCTCCAGACCCTGAGGGAAACCAGCCGGCTATTTCACCTGAGCTGTGAGTGAGTACTGTACTGCATGTTGGTGATTACAAGTTGTGGCTGTGGAATCCCAAGCTCGACTTGACGAGCCGTAAGACGGCATTGTGCGTGCCTTGAGGGGCGCGAGATTGCTCCGTACCCGGCAGTCTGTGTAGGTGACCACGACTCTTAGCACCCTGGCCAGATTCACAGCCACGTCCGTTGTAGTTTCTGGGCGGAATGGCCCCTCGCCAGTTCTGCATCCCTTGCCCATGCTATTGTATTGTCGCCATGGCTACGGGAGTACTCCAGTACGTATAATTCGATTAAATTCGACTGCCTAGTTCTGATTAGAAAGTCACATGTGGTGACTCTTCGTGTACGCTGGGCACAAAGACGTTTCCAAAATATGTCGAATTCTAGTTGCGTAGGTACTCCGGATACAGCAACGATAATATTATTATTATTGTATTATTATTGCACTATTAGTGCTCAACATGCCGGTATTCGGTGCTTATGAGTGATAAATCCTAATATGGGGCCATGTTGGACGAAGCCTAGCACTATTATACGGCAGCTTTCCCGTTCGCGTTTGCACCTGTTTGCGCTGGCACTGCAAAATCCTCTCCATCAAAAGGCCTTCTGCCACTAGATAGACCTCTCTTCTGTATTCAATCAATCAAGCGAACAACGCGGCCTTTTCGGTGAGTTTCCTCCATGGAATAATCAGAAAGGGCCGCACGCATAGTCTGTGTAGGAATTCCCAAGAGCCGGGGGGGAATCGGCCGTACACCAGCGCTACGAAAGCATGTGCCGGCGGTATGCATGGGATGCGGTTTCGTTCTGAAAGGGAGATTGATACCCCCGGATGTGTGCTCGAACGTAAAATCGGACCAACTTAGTTTGTTCAAAGTCTCGATCTTGCCACGGATAGTATTTTCTGCATCTTCCACACGGATATCCAGAGTGGCGTGCTAGTAGAAACCAGGCTGCCGCTGCCCTTTTAAGCCCATTAAATAAAAATTCGTCTCTGAGCGAATCTAGATGTCAGTCTAGAGATCCAACGGAAAGAGAAGTCGGGATGGAAGTTTGTAGCCTACCTCCGAAGTCAATGCCGGTAGCAGAGGCTCGGGCTTAGGGGAATACATGTATATCATTTGTCGTTGTCTCAGTCAAGGAGATGGTCAGTATAGACTCCGGGCGGAGTTTCCTAGGACAGATCACCACCTAGGTCGGACTAAGTCACGTTCTTAGCGACCAGAGTCTTATTAATGGCCCACGCCATATCTCGCGTGAGTTTGTTCAGCCGCATGGTGAAAGTCTGTTCGGGATTGTCAATCTTTATGACAAGGGAGTAATATCGGTATATAGGATCTATTGCATCGTCAATTCGTGCTGCACATGCGAAGTATTTATTTGATCATTACCTCTCCTCGTTCGTGTTCCTAGACCACTGCGTGACGGCACATAGATTGCTGGACTGAACGGACGGCCGGTTTTAAAGTGCCCTTCCAGGGAGTGTTCGGCAGTTGAGTCAGCAGTTGGGCTTTGGAGTCGGGGACTTTGTTCATGTATCTCTGTGCAGCTTTCGTAGCTGGGACCTCAATTTGCTCAAGTAGCTTAGCATCTCGACATTTGAGGACGGCACCTTTGACGGTATTCCAGCCAGTCTGCTGGTCTCCGAAAGAAATCGTGAGAAGCCTGAGAAAAATCTTGATACCCGAATGTTTCCAGTGCTTGTAAATTTCAGGAAAACTCAGTGGATTTGCGGCGATCTTCCACTTCGAGAAAGACGAGAGACGCGAGCAAATGCCCTGAATCGGCGCGAGTAAATCCAGAGCTGGTGTCCGTGAGATGCGGAGATTGATGATCAAAGGTTCAAATTGCTCAGTTAAGCTCGAAACTTCATCAGTGTCACTCATGTGGCTCAGAAGATTGTAGCAAGCGAAGATTTCATCAAGCTCCGAAAGATCCTTGTCGTGATTTTGTGGTTCGAATACAGCAAACTTGATTGCAGCATTGCGAGTGGTGGTAATTGCACCGAGGGGGGTAGACTGAAGCGAGCGAGGAACGACGCCCAGCAATTTCCAGACCTAACCAAACCTAACCAAGTACCTACATACCGAGTAGAGAAAGAGGTCAGATACCCGTCGGTTGGTCAGTTGGTTGTTTGGACGGTGGCTTCGTTCATGGTTGAAGACCTGCATGCCATGTATGGCATGGTCATGGGGATGGAGGTCTTGGGGAAACGTGAGAAAGAGCTGCGCGGATGATTCTTCGGCGAGTCAGACGAGGTTGATTGATGGATTGATCGGTTGATTTGTCGGCTTAACCGTCCAACTACCGTCCCCATTCTCGTCCTGGATATGGCTGGGATTCGGCGGTGTTGCCCATCTTCGTGAAAAGCTTCAGAGAACGACGACTCTCCGTCCCAAGTCTTTCAGCCCAGCTGTCTCTCTTTACATCGACATCTGTAGGGCCGCCCGGGATGAATCTAGTATGCTTTGCTGGCTGCTGCAGCGCGTAGGACTCGGGCGGTATCTAGATGTGATCCCACCAACGTAACTTGAGTCAAGGTACCACCGGTGCTAGGATGTGATACAGTGTGTCAATTGTCAATTGCCAATCCTGTCGACCGGCCGTAATAGATGTCATCGAGAGAGCCTCGCGAGACTTGCCGCTGACTGATGTACAATGCGAATGGGCTTTCTTTTCTCCGTTTTCCCCCTTTGGATTGTATATTAGTCTGGTCGCGTAGGTGTATATACCTGTGCGTTTATTCTTCCTTCCTTTCTTTGCTTGTTCGGCATTCCTCTCTCGCTCCCTGTGTGCGCCTCCGTCCTATTTGAAAGGATTCGAAGTATGTATCTCCCTCCACAACTGCTGGCCGTCGATGTCACTCGTGCTGGGAAACCACAGGAAATGGAGCAGTTGATCCTTCAGACTCTGCCAGCTCAATATCTGCATCCTGTGCACGAGCCGCTCGAGAACTGAAATGTACCATGTCTTCTCTGCCTCGCTCGCTTCGTCGGCCGTGGAGGCGAGCGCCCCCATGAATGTGATCCACAGCATCAGCGGTGCGCCCTTCTGCCATTTCTTACCGTTGTGGCTGCTCGAAGTGGAAACCAGGTGCTCCTTGATCCATGCGGCGAGCTTTGCAAAGGGCGCCCGCGCATGAGGGACTGGGAACACGGCGACGAGGCTATACACGACGCCTGCGCCCCATGTTGCCTGTTGAAGTGAGTACATTTGATGCTGGGATGTGCTGTCTCCCGGACTCGAGAACATTGACATTAAGCTATGTTGGACAAAGTTCCTTTGGTCGGCCAGGATCCCCAGGCTTTGAGCTTGCGGTCTACCCATGATATAGTCGTCGACTGCCAGCAAATACGTCGAAAGATGCAGGAGAACGAAGTAGAGCTCTTGGGCGAAATCCGACGGAAGGAGATCGTGAAGGGTTTGAAATCCTGAGCCGAGCTGACCCAGAGGATGTCCTGTCCTTTTAACAGTGGTTAGGGTGTGTTCCGGAGACTCACCGATTGGCACAAAGAGTAAGGTTGGTTTCTGCAGCGATCGGGATGCTAGGATCAGATCCCCACTATTCAACGAGTGGTAAGCAAGAGCGATATGCGAGTAAGGTGGAGAAGGTTATCGCAGGTGTGACGGGCGTTCTTACTAGCTCAGCATGGCCGCCAGACCGGGGACCTTTATCTCGTCAATACCTCCCCGCATCGACAGCATTCTCGCCAACCCAAGGACGTGTATGTTCACGGGATCTAGTCGGCCTGCGTATATATCCAGGCCCTGCATAGCATTCAGTGGACCCTGCGAGGGCGACCGAGGTGGCTCTCTGTCGTCCTCCGCCTTATCGCCATGAAATGCCAATGCCTGCACGGCAAGAATACTCTCGTCGGAACATCGAGTTGAGGCGTTATTGAATCGTCTATTCACCTCTCGAACCACCTCTGAGTAGCAGTACCAGTGTGCCTTCCGACTGACTGGTTTCAAGCCAGAAGGTTCGGTGGCCGACAGCCTCGCTAATTGGCCGAAGCAAAGGGCGTGGAACAAGGTGCTGTCACTCATGTACCAAGATATCCAATGGCGTGCGACGCTCTCTTCCGGCCGGTCTGGATCCGGCAAAAATATGATATTGAGGAAATGGTTGACTAATAAAAGCATGGCAAATCAGACCAAGAGTCCCTCCCCACTGGGTCGCATAATTCAGGCGGCAACCCAGATATGGCGAGATAGTTTTGATGGCTTACCTTGGCCAATGAGCTGGGTAGCTATTTCCTTTGGCAGCCGCGATGGATAGCTTGCAAAAGGATCAAAGTCCCCCACCCCGACGGTATGGAGAGGGCTAGGGATCGGGCACGAGTCAAAAATAGTCTGCGTCGCGACTCTTGATGGCACAATTTGTCGAGAGCCTGACGGACCAGCCCCCCCTATGCTAGCGTCATTGTCCTGCTCGTCATTTGAACGCGATACTAGCTCGGTATTGACGAGACGGGTTTGCTGCTCGTCCGGAGCCTGACTTGACCCAATCCGAGAACTGGTCTCTTGCTTCAACTGTTTGCCCTGCTTGATCTTGGCCCACGAGGCCCGTGAAGCATGGGCCCGAATTAATGCTTTAGCCTCACGTCTCGCCTGCGTCGAGGCAGGCCGTGCAGTTACAAATCTCACTTTGGGCCCAGCCTGCTCCTTTTCGGTCGTTGGTTTAACTTCCTCGGTCTGGTCTGGCATCATCAAATGCCAGACGGAGTTCGTGCATGGTGGTTAACCGGACAAAAAAGGCTCTTTCCGACGAGCTTTTTTTTTGGACCCGTAAGCTTGTTTCAACAGCAGGGGGATCGCGCCAAGTTGAAAGGGGTAATCTTTGTAACGATGTGACAGAGAAGGATCTCACAGGGAGAACGTAAGGCGATGGGTAAGATCGTGATCGTGGTGAAAGCAAGGAAAAGGCGGAGAGGGGTCTGTTTGGAGGAGTAATTTGCAGACGCGCACGTGCAGGGCTGACTGCTGACTAACCGGCTGCGCTATCCAGTTTGGGAAGTTGGATTTTGGAGAGCAGTGGAGTCCCATTCGGTTGAATTGGTATCCACTGCTAAATGCTTTCCCGGTGTCATACGAATGGCACATCAGCCTCGAGCAAGACCGAAAATACACTCTGTGGCACCAGTCGCCGTCACGAACCTCTTTGCAAAATGATCATCACTCTAAAAATGACGGAGTACTTCGGCTGTTCGGGTCCGCACGCTGCTGGGCGGCTCTTTCGCTCTTTTAGTCCAGTTCACCTTCCCCCAGTAGAAAACTTCAAAACCGCTATCATACTCGTTCTTAGTCACGCATCCTCTGGCCTTCGCGTGCCTCTTTAGGTGAACAGGAACTGCAGATATACTGGAGAAGCTCCGAACACTTGCTAGGAATTATCTATTCCCGAGACCCATTCTTGTCGCTTGCTTTGGGACCAGCGTTATATCCCAACGGACGGACACGGTCATTGGAAGAACGATGGGTCCCAGTGAGTCGCCTTTCGACATCTTCAGATCGATGGCTCAAGGCTACAGTACGCTATGTAAGCCAACCATACTGACTACAAGGACCGTTCAGACACTTCTCGTCACCCTGCTACCCAATACGCCTTAGTTGTCCCGCAGGCTGATAGGAGAATATCGACGTCTTCTGAGAGCGCCAGCCCGCCTGGAGAGATGCAAGCTGGAGAGACAGTAGAGATGCGAGAGGTATGCGGGGCTAGAATGTCGCTCTAACACACAGTCCATGCTGATATCGTTCTCAGCGTCGGAGAGCACAAAATCGCCTTGCCCAACAAGCTTTCCGCGCCCGGCAAAAGGTCAGAGTCGAGGCGCTCGAGAACGAATGGGCCCAACTTCGACAACTACACGAAGCCCTGAACCAGGCCTGCTCACAGAGGGCCAAGGAGATCAAGCAGCTAGAATCCCAAGTCGAGGAGCTGCTTCACAACATTCAACTCCTGAAGAGCTCGCAGGAAATCGAGAGAAATTGGTCCTCATCGCCTACGACGCCAGAACAACAACAATATACTCAGGCGAGTGCATTTACCGTAGCCGAGGCTGATTTGCGAAGTTTCTTCAGCGGAGGTGGACTCTCAGAATTTCCCGACTTTCCACAGACATTCAAATCGTATTGATCTACCCGAGCGAGGGTCCTCGCCCCTCCCAAAAAAAAGGCCATCTCTGACCAGGTGGAATGTATTACAGACATATCAGTTGACATAAAGACCGTCATCCGGTTTATGGCGCCTGGCTTTTTGCTCTCTATGGGCCTGAAATCGACGATTCAGGTAGAAATTGTATAACTTGACACGAAACACTTGCTCTCATTGTATTATATTGTATCCAGCACGTCGTTGCCTTGCTGAACCGCCTTCCAAATATCGAGTCCGTCCGGGTCGCTCGTACGGGGATGCCACAAGAACGTCTTCAAAAACGCCTTCAGATCGCTCCAGTCAGCCATGTCATCGAACTCGTTCAACACTTCCATGACCCGTAATAGAAACCACGGACGGTCGGGCAAGCCTATCGACGCGATGGCGCCCATGACCAGGATCCACAGGTGCACCCTCAGCCTCGGAGGCTCAAAGTCCTTCCACGCGGTCGCTTGCAGCGCGCGCTTGAGCCTGTCGATCAAGGTCTCAAATGGCCCCACCACGGGGGGAACGGGGAACACGACGATAAAGGAGTAAATGATGCAGGCCAGCCGGCAGGTCTCGTACTGCACGTCGTCATCCGCAAAGATGCCGTCCGTGGTACTTGTGGTGAGGTGGAGCTCCTCCGCCGACCACAGCGACATCAACTTGTGCTGGACGAAGTTTCGCTGGTCGATAATCTCGGGCGACGTGCGGGGCATCCATCTCCCGCTCGCGTGGTTCTCGACCACGACGGTGAAGTCGCAGATGTCTTGGATGACGGTCAAGAGATCTTCCAGGTAGCTCGGGGTGGTGGTGGTGGCGGCGGCGGCGGTGAAAGGATTCTTCGTCTTGTCCCAGACCTGCCAGAAGCCCGTGCCCAAGTGACCCAAATCGGTAGCAACGGCGTCGCGCTCGTGGTCAGTTACTGAGAGACGACCGTCTTCGCGGACGAACGTGGCTGTGTGGGATATAAAGGGGAATATGGGTCTTCCGATGTTCCGGCACGCACCCATGATACCACACCTGTGGGTTCGGGTGTCATGATAAGTCAGCACTTTTGGTCTTCGGACGAGCTGCTCCGGAACTTTACCCTACCCGTGCCGCGGTGGAGGAAGTGGGAAATGTATTGGGTGATAAAAAAGAAAAGCAGCTTACCAAGAGACCACGGGTGCTATCCCGGGCGTCCTGATTTTGTGCAAATCCCCGAGCAGCTCCATCATTTTGATAAGACCTAGTACATGCTCAATGACAATCTCCATCTTCAGATAGATGTGGATCGACTGTAGCTCTCTCAGAAAGGACTGCCGCGGGTAGCTCTGCCCGGACCGTATCCGGTCTTCGCGTCCAGAGTACGCGAGCACCAGGACCGCCCAGATGTTGGAGTCCGACAAGGCCCGTTTGGGGTCTGGGTCGCTGATTTCCTGATTCAGGAGCCGGATGGCTTCTGTGCCAACCATCAACTCCGTGGCGGTCGGGTTGCTGATGCCTTGCTGTATGCGGTCGTGCACCATGACTGCGAAGATCATTGCGTGAAGCTGTGCCGGGTGCTGCGAGAGCGAGGCCATGACGTTGCTGGCGAAGGATTTGCCATAGTTCCCGGTCAAGGCGGCTTTGGATACCAGCTTCGCGAGGACATCGGGGACTAAGCGGGGGAGCAACATCGAGTCAGCACAAGAAGGAAACAATATCAGAATCCCCCCTCTCAAAATGATGTGGAATGGTTGCTCAGGGTCACTGACGGTTATGCAGGTGTCGCTTGACGAGCCCATTCGGAAGGAATGATGGGAGAAGGGGATAGGGCTCGTCGGCATCAGGCTCCAACAACAGCGACGGACTTTGAGAGTACTTCAATGCAAGCAAAGTCTCGTCACGTTCTTCTTTCTTGGAGCCAGCCTTCTTCAAAGCCCCAGTCCCAGGTTTTCGATCCTTTCCCCGCCTAACGTGAGGCTTTCGTGGGGATGCAGCAGATTGCGAACCAGTCGTCCTGGAAATTAATAGTGTGTCTTGTCGCTCATCTTGAAGATCATCACCATCGCCCTGCCCGTCCTCATTCGTGTCCTCAAGCTCTGGTCCGCCCCGATCTCTTCGGAGACCCGGCCGGGTCCGGAGAGTGACCGAGTTTGCCCAGGCGCGGGGTTGGGGTTGACTTTGCCGCATATCCCAGAACTTGGCCCTTTTTAGACATTAAGCCGTAGTCAGTGATTTCACATGGAGATCGGAGTCTTAAATGACAGCCCACTGCTGCTTGTGTATCTGGAGTTGGCGATGGCTCGTCTGCAATATCAGAAGAGTTGTTCACTAAGTTTGCGACCATTTCCAAGTGGGACATCGACAAGGCTGATTCGCCAAGAGTGTTTCTGCCATATTTGTCTTAGTCTCAAAATCCAACTTCCTTTTGTGGAAAATTCCCAGGGGACGCTTTGGCCAAGTCTGTCGCATTTCCGCCGAACGTTTATAATGCCTTGCATGCATCGCTGGGTCTTTAGCCTTTTTGGAAAGTCACGCAGGAAAGCTGTGCTCTAGAACCAATGGAGACCCTTGTTCCCCGAAGTTCAAGCCGCAGATACAAGCGCCGTACCATTGTGAAAATACTGCCAAGTCGCTCTTATATCTAGATTTGTCGTACGATTCATGTCCAACCTGCCTGCGGTTCTCTGTTTGCAAGCGGATAATATGTGATGTTCTTCCGTCTTTCAAACGACCTCTATGAAAAATCTTTACTTTTTTCATGTGCGCAACTCCTACATCACTTGCTCCGCGGCAGGGTATTCAGAATCTATAGTCACTCGATCTCACTGTCGTCCCTAGGGCGGATATAGAGGTGCGTGGTTGGTCGGACGGAAAGGCAACCATTGCACCCGGTTGGGGCAGCTCCACAACTCTTCCGGTTCTGTATGGGTGAGCCTGCTCAGTGGGAAGCATCATGGTGGTCGCCATCGTTGGTAGAAAGGCCGGGGATTGAGAGGCAGCGTGACTGCACGGGTTGGCATGGCTCGTAGGGAATGCGCTGCCATATGATCTTGTTTGTGTAATGAACGTGTCCCATGAACGCGCCTCTGGGCAGTGATCAATAGACACGAGCCACCTATCTGGAGTTCTGAATGTGGACTGTTGACCCATATTTTGGTACGACATCGCAAGTATAGGGGTATTCGGAGGGAGATGGGTGGGTTGAGTGACCGCTTTTCCCATGTGTGAGCCGCCGTATACGTTAATTTGCTAACATTGGGTCAACAGGGAGGTCAAGCTCGATGGTTACAGAGAGACACTTGGATCATTTGCATCATCTTGCGATTCTGCTTGTCATCTTTGTGACTCTTTGCACATAGCCTGACCAAGTTCGTTACAGCAACGATAACCCCAGCCCCAAGTGACGCCGAGGGTGGCGAGGGTGATTGGATCCATTTCAGTTTGGTGGTGCCTGCGGAATTTTGATACGGTGATCTTCAGATCTGCAAAGGTAAGCTGCAAGATTTAACAGAGCATGAGCCATAGAGTTGAGGGGCAGCGAAACTTGTAGCTGAGCAGCAGGATAGGCTCCTGTCTGCATCGCTGAACAATCTCCACAAGAAGAGGCAGTGAATGTTTCCAGAACTTCCTTCGATGTCTTCCATTGGTCAACTTTGTTTCAGGCTGGGACTTTTGGCACTGTCAACACGAGCACCTGCTGGGAAAGTCGCCCTTGTTCAGCCTCGGAGTCGACGTTTGAGGGAAAGTCGATCTCGGCAAAGCGAGCTTCATAGGTCCAATTCAGCCACCGATGCCAGAGGTCATGGGAAATCGATAGGGCGTGAAAGCCACCGGGCAGTGAAGCTCGCAAAATTTCATGCAAGGCGACTGGCGGGGAAAAGCGCGGTCAAGAATAGAGTTGCTGAGTTGACAGTGCGCTTCAGCCTCAGCTTGATCCCCTCCTACTTGCGATATTAACCCGCAGTTGTTCTGCGACTTCGGATCACGAAAGGGGCACGAAACCCTCCTCTCTCATTCCTGCGGACGACCGTTGGCAACGAAATCGAAGCCATGCCAAATGGATTTCTGAGTCCTAAGCGCTCTACTCGTTATCAGCCATTTTCTTCAGGTCTGGGATTCTGTCCGTCGTTGTTACCGTTGTGCTGATTACTCCAGAAGGAGGGGACAACAATCCTGCGTACGATGGCTATAGCGGGGAAACCCTTGTAACCCTCGATCCCAGCGGGAACAATGCCTTCGTTGCTGCTGGCAATGGCCGAGATCACGCATATGTATACTTGCCAACACAACAGCACGTGGTTGATCGTCCATATCCCGTGCAGATAAATCGACCGATCCACAAGAGCAAGCGTACTTTATGCATATGTCTCTTGGTTATGGTTGTGCTTGTCTGTGTTGGAACCCTGGCGGCGGTACTTGCAGTACACTACATCAAGAAGAAGCCGAGGAATTCATCAGAGTCGACATATTAGAATGGATTAGCGCTCTTCCGCTCATAAGCAGAAAAATTGTGAATTGCCGGATGTCAAGAGGACGGTTTGAGGTGCTAGGATTGGAAGGATGAAAATGTCCAGCTCGTCGTCGATTTTCAAGGTGTTGGCTGAGGTGCGGACGCTCTCCGCAGTGCTAGAATGGGAAATAAAGACTAGGGCGGCTAAGACCGCTGGTATGTATGTTATCTGGTATCAGATATCATTTGTCCAAAGGGTTTGGATTTGAAGGGATGGTTTGAAGGGACAACTGGCAATACTCATGGTCGTCTCGGGGCAGGATAACCCGCCTGTCCAGGTTGATTTGTTGCACCACCAAATCTGATGCCCATGTCTGGTGTCCAAATTCCTCCACCACTAATCGTGCCACCTGCAACACCCACCGGCAAGGGCGACGTGGAGGGCAGTACTCCTCCAGCAGGGGGATTCCTTGTCGGTACTGGTGCTGTCATGGCTTCTTGGATATCTCCAGGCGGCGGTTGCTGCGCATGACTTCTCGTATGCGGCCCCGCATTCTGGCTCCTTAATTCCCTCCGCGTCTCCTGAAGATTAAGCCTGCCCAGATCCTGCCCGGCAAGCTCTGCTTCAAGCTGACTGGCATCAACCCTGCGCTCGGAAACTTGCGCCTTGCAATTATCTCGGAACCGCGTCACATGAACAGCTAGATCGTTGTAGAACTTTCTCCCAGTGTCCAGATTGCTGATGAGCTCTTTGTATTTGGCATATCCCGTGTCCAGAGCCTGTAGAGCCTTTTGGCGATCTTTTGTGCTGGTGTCACCCCTTCGAGCGTCCAAGAATGCTTTGTTCGCCTCGCGCAGCCGTGCGACAATTTGATCTTGTTCTTCTTGTTCAGTAACAAGAGCTTCTCGGTCAGGCTCATAAGCCTGAAGCCGCGTTTCAAACAGCTTCTCAAACTGTCCTGGTTCGATCTTCTGCATGGGGTACTCTCGCTCTAAGCGAGCCGCTTCGGAGAGCAGGGCCGGTCCAATATCATCTGACTTGGCTTTCTCTTTCAAAGCCGCAATGCGGTTCTTCCGTCGAGTCTCTAAGCGGGAGACCTCGTTCAGACATGTTCGTAATCGAGAGGCGGCTTGTTCTATTGCCGGGGTCATGGTAACTTGACTGGAAGAGGGGACGAAACGTTCAAGATCGCGATTTGTGCCAGTCAAGATCTTGAGAATATGCACGTTCTCTCGAAATTTTGTTTGCACTAGGTTGTCACTTGAGGCAGCAGAGTTTAGGTATGTCTGGAGCTCGTTCGAGGTCTGATATAGTTTGGCTAGAGCTGTGGTAGAGGGTGGGCGCACCCACCTCTCGGTGCCATACTTTGCTCGAGCTCGGTCCTCCTCCGCTTTCTCGGCCTCTAGCAACGCGACCCCTTCCTGGTAAATGGCGAGATCATTCGTCTTTAATTTGGTCGTGTCTTCCATTGATCTCTTGATTCTGTACAGCGCGTCCTGCTGTCGAAGCTCTTCAGCCTTCGAAACTAGGCTGCCAGGCAAACCGAGAGGTTTTTCGAGTGCCTGCAACGAGCCGGGTAAATCGAGCGATTGCAGGATCTCTCGCAGCCTCGCGGTCATCCCTTCGAGGTCGACCATGATGGACTGGTGGACCAGACGGTCACGCCGGTCTGCGTAAATTGATGCAGCTTGATGGACAGCATATGGAACAAGCTTCTCGAACAACGGCTTGCCAAAAAGTTTTCCCTCGCCCAAGAGGGAAATGCCATTAACAATATCGACCGGCTTTTTGGCAGCAACCATATTTGTTCGGTCCAGAAGCCTGAGCTCTGATTTGGGCGTCGGTGTTTGTAGGTAGATCAGATCATTGTCTCGTTCAGCCCTCTTCAGCTCTTCATTGACCCTGGACTTGAGGCCATTTAAATCCCCAATTACCGTAGCATTAATCCATCGGGCCTCTTGAAGGCCCTCGTTGACGCAGGCAAGACTGTCCTTGAGCCTGGAGACCTCTTCGCCGTACTGTTTGTTTTGAAGGCAGTATCGAGATTGCCTAAACTGGGCGGCAGCAGCGAAATGGTGATGTTTCGCCTGGAAATGATGTATCCATTCCGTGCTCACTGCCCTAGACTGTCGTGCGGCGTCAGCAGCAAAGATGTAGTAGTCAGAGACCTTGGCTGCGAGTTTTGCTACTGTGCCATCCGACATATTCCTCTTGATTGCAATCTGCCAGAAAGATTCCTGCCCTTGTGCCAAACACAGCTGCTGCAAGCTCTCTAAAGTGATATCATCCATATCCTCTGGAGGAGTCGACCGCATATCAGGAAGGATGTCTGTGCGTATGAAGGAAAAGGTCCCGGCGGCAGCGATGCTGTATTCGGCGGCAGATTTCAGCCCGTCGATTGTCGTCCGGTTTGTCGCATATGCAAGCTGTGAATATAGGGCCGCAAGATTGAAGAGGATATTCGCAAGCTCGAACCTTAGGTTGTTCTGCAGCACGGGCTTATCTCGATCGTAGCCTATAGCAGGGTACCACGGGAAGTCGACGCCAATGTCAATGGGAAATTTCCCGCCCAGATACCGTAGCTGGGCTACGTAGATCTGCAGCCGCTTGACACCACTGACATGAGGTTCGCGGACGTTTATCGCGTCGTTCCGTAAACGGTCGATGTCTCGCAGGTCATCCGCGAACATGTCCGGAGACTGATCATATTTCGTGGAGATGTATTGCTTGATGGCAGAGGACAAGTCAACCGAGTGAGTGCGACGAAAGGGGATTTCGAGGAGGTTCCTGAGCCTTGTCAGCAACGAGACCAACAGTCTAGAGCGTGTGCGAGACTTACAAAGCCATACTGTTGTGATTGTTGCAGAGGGACAAAGACTGATACTGCCTGCGGCTGAGAATCAAGTGTCAAAAGCCGGAGTTGTTTTGATCTCAAGGCTGTCAAGGCAGAGTGACGTCAGCTCAGTGAGCCTCGACAAGGCTGGATTCAGCCTTGTAGCCTTCCCCTTTCGTCGTCTTCAACAACCCTTCTGAGCCTCTCCAAGTCATCAATCGGAGCCTCACACTCTTCCCCGATACCCACTCTCTTGCCAATCGTACAGAATCGGACTCAAACTCAATACGGCTGCTGATCCAGCCATGCAAGTCCCAAAGGACCCAATCGAAGGGTGGCGGAGTTCTCCATGCAACCGTTTCTCAGCGCCCCTCGCTCGCTCCAATGAGACTTCTATCTTTTTGCCATCGGATCCCTCAAGATCTCTTCACGCCCTTCAGATTATTGTCTTGGTTCACGCCTTGATACATCCTTCTCCTGCCATATCTGGCACATTTCAACCCAACATAAAAAATTTATTCAAAAAGTCGTCTTGCGTCCAGAGCGTCCAGAGTTCTTCTCCTTGCCCAAGATCGAACTTTGCTCTCCGTTCCATCTAATCGTCCACTGCAAATCCTCATCTTCTTGTCAATCATATCTTCTGTCCGAATATGGCCCCTTCTGCGATCAGCGACCTCCTCCCCTCCGGCCCGCTGGCCTCCAAATCCGTTACTCCGGCCAAGGAAGAACATGTCCACGGTATGGAAGACAAGTCGCCCCTCGCGGCCATTTCCCATGGCGATGTCATGTTGCCCGGCGTGCCCAAATTCGACAACTTCGCCGCCCAGCGCCAATGGCAGCTTGAGCACATGGCCGCTGCTTTCCGCCATTGGGCACGAGAGGGATTCGTTGAGGGTATCTCGGGACATATCAGTGTGAGAGACCCGGAGAACCATGAGGTCTTTTGGACAAATCGTATGTCCCCCCCTCCCTCCTCTCCCCCTCAAACAAACATTCCTTCGGAGGGAAAAGTAATGGGCAAAAACTAACCCGGGAGGACAGCGCTGGGCGTGCATTTCGGTCTCCTCAAAGCCAGCGACATGATCGCAGTGAACCTCGCCGGCAAGGTTGTGGGAGGCAACACCACACGGCCGCCCAACGCCGCCGGCTTCCTGATCCACAGCGAGGTCCACAAGGCGCGCCCGGACGTGGTGGCCATCTGCCACGCGCACACCGTCTACGGCAAAGCGTGGTCCGTCTTCGGCAAACCGCTGGAGATGCTGACGCAGGATAGCTGCAAATTCTACAACGCGCACTCGGTCTACAACTCGTTCGGCGGCGTCGTGCTCGCGAGCGAAGAGGGAGCCCAGATCGCAAAAGCCCTCGGCCCGACCAACAAGGCCTGCATCCTGCGGAACCACGGCCTATTAACCGTCGGCAAGACAGTCGACGAGGCCGCCTTCCTGTTCCTCAGCTTGGAACACGCCTGCCAGGGCCAGCTGCTGGCCGAGGCCGCGAGCCAGGGCGGAAACTTGCCTAAAGTCCTCATCTCCGAGGAGGAAGCCACCTACACCAAGAAGATGGAGAGCGACGAACAGACCTGCTACGCCGAGTTTCAAGTCTACGTTGATTGGGAGGATTATCATAGCAAAGGCGAATTTAGGAAATAGATAGCTAGCGGGGAGCGACACAACGGCCAAAGAGGAAGACGAAATGCGATTGCTAGTTGGCAGTGATAAGAGTCATAAAGTTGGTAAATATTATTATTACAGACCGTGAAGCGTATCAGTGCAATCTATCTTATTGACACCGTGGGAATATAAAATGCGCACGCGGGGGCACATAGCGGAAGCCCCCATCCTAACGCTCCAATCGAATTTGCAAAATGCGTGATGAGACGGTGAGTCCCAAACCTGACAAGGCTCATCGCCTGCTCATGCACAAAGCAGCCTGTCCCACATGTGGTGGAACCATAGGTTGTAGCTGACGGCCTCTATTCCGTGCGGAGGTCGTCCTGGACATATTACGTGGTACTGTCAAAACTGCTCGGGAAACCCAGTTCCTCAGACAATTCGGTCATATCTTCGGCCAACTAGGACCTCACTAGCAGTAGGTGGAAACGCCCATTCGAACCTCAGCCGTGCCTGATGCTCGGCATTTCAAAAAGTTTATTGATGCGAAGCAAAGTGTTATTGGTTCGTATTCGACTGGTCAAGTTGATATCAATTATGCCGATGTATCCTGGATCCCTTTCGTTATTCCATGATAGCGATGTTGCCAGCCTAAGTTTCAGAGATGAGCATAGGGATGGACCTTGAAGCGCCTGATGTAGTTGTTCCTGCAAGAGTCATGTCGGTCCCCAGCTGATGCCGAGCAATGAATGATTCTTGTGAGACATCATGGATCGTGTCACGAAAGCTTAGCCTAAATGAATGTGGACCATTACCGGTGAGTTCTCCTAAGGTGCCGTTATGATTTGGATGATGCCCTTATTGCCGCTCTTGCTCTTGTCCTTGTTGCTGGCGCTGCTCCTGTTGATACTCATCTCTCTGCTCTGGTTGGTCTTCTCGGCCCCATTCATTCCAGGTCCAGGTAATAGCACAACCCACCAGAATCCATCTTGAAAGAAAACTCCACAAGGCTGCCCGCCACAGCAATGCTCTCTGCCACCTCGGCCGCTTCCAAACACCAGCGGTCGTCAAGATGGTCGCGATGAGAAGGAACGGGCCGACTTCGCATGACAATAGCAAGGCTCTCTGCAAGTTAGGGTATGCTCTCCCAAATGCCGTAGTTTTAGCATCGTCATCAACGCCGGGTTGTCTTCGTTGAGGTGGCATGTTGATTTAATATTTGTGGGAGTGGGTCGATATTGAGCCGAGCTGTCTTGAAAATGACGACAGTTCAGGACCAGACGTGAGGAGAAGGGCTGATCTCGAAGCTCGACTTCACGTCTATGACTTATTTGAAATCATGCGATGCTCTCTGACGAGTAGGAGACTCGTGCAAGATGTCGCAGTGTCGATGAAGCTATCCAGCTTGAGAGGGCATTCTTTGTCGCTCCAGATGAACCAGGTCACACGAGGGAACCAATATCGATGCAGACGCAATTGGGTGAGAGAAACGGAAGAAATTATTGGAGTGAGGCGATTGCGATGAAGAAGAGAGAAGTGATTCGTAACTTGCCAGTGGTTGGATGATATGAGGGAAGCAACGATTGGCACACGAGCAATATGTTGAAACGTCCATGATCGAGGTCGTGATCCAAAATTTACTATGTTTGCCATGTTTGCCATGTTTGCCAGATTTGCGGGGTTTGGCGGGGTTTACTGGGTACAAAGTTTGCCAACTTTGCTTATGTCACGAACGCAGCCAATCAGCTTTCGCTGCTGGCTGGATAAACCGAGCATATCCAGCTCGCCAGCAATCTCAAATGCATTCTTGTTCATCATGAGGACAACAGGACTTGGTGACAAAAGCAATATCCCCGACAAAGTCTAATCTATCCAGCGAATGATCCGGCCAAACAAGAAAAGAAAAACAGTTTTTTCTCCTCTTCTTCCTATCACCATCCAAACCCCTCCTCAATCAAGTCCAGATTCACTCCATTGTCAAGCATCGCCCGCGACGCACGTCTCACTTCATCTGCCAGCCCTCCGCCAGCGCAAACACTCACTCCCATGCAGCCGACCTTCTGCCTGGCCCCGTTTGCAAGGAGGGCTTGCACGTCCGGTCTGCCTCGCGCCATTTGAACGTGTTCGCTTGGACTTCGGATGACCTGGCTGAGGGTGACTCGAGTGACATACAACAGAACTTTGAGCACCTCTCTCCGGCCTTCCATGGCCAATATCTCGTGCATCCACGGTCGAATCCAATCTAGACATTCTGTAGTCGGTATGACCCACACAAGGGTCACCCGTTTCGCTGCGACAGTTCCGTGACCGTATCCTTCGACCAGCTCTTTGACATATCCGAGTTGATGTGTAATGCCTACACCGCTTGCAAAGAGGACCACTGTCCCATAGCTTGACAGGCTGCGCCCGATTCCGTAAGGTCCTTCGATTAACGCAGTGAGCTGCAGACCTGCACCAGCAGTCATTGCACGTTGCCAGAGTCTGTATGTCAGCCCGGTTTGTTTTTTGACAATCAAAGACATTGTTTCTTCTCCTCGTTTCTCGATGTCTTTGGAGTATATGTGAATGGCAGGTTTCTTTTCGCTGAAATTTGATCTGAGCGAAGATGATCGACTCAACGGATCTTCGACACCGGACCATGCGACGGAAAAGGGGTGCGCTGTCCAAAGCCCGATTGAAGGGATTGTCAAATACAGCGATTGGCCGGGCCTATAAGCCCAAGGCCTTGGGCTTGTCAGTGTGATTTTCACTGCGCCACCGTTGAGAGGCTCAATCTTAGCCTTGGTGCCACCTCTCCCAACACTTCTGTAGACCAACGTCGCAAATCTAAGAGACCTTGCCGCGGCCCAAGTGATGGCAGCCCCAAGCAACAATCCTCTCTGAGGTAAACTCTCAAGGTGTCTCCACAAGAATACCAGAACCAATACCACAAGAGCGATATGCAGGTGCAAGAAGAATTCGTAAGCCAAGTTCCTGATGATCTTTGGACTTGACAACAAGATGAGTACGAGGCTGGTAGCGGCAGTCAAGCCACTGTAGATGAAAGGGCTCTCCAATGATATCTTCACCGCAGCCCAGCCGCTTGAGTCCACTTTTGCAATAAGCCAGCACAGAACATGAGTAATAACTTCGCAGATAGTCAGACGGCCAAGCCAACGGTGCATCAGGTTGAAGGTATCGTAGGAAATGCCCAGTATTGATATCAACGGATTCTTCACCGTGGCCATGACCATGATTGGGACCAGGTTAGTTACCGCCAGGTTCCCGGTTCGGTTTCGCAGGATAGGCAGTAGCTGCTGCTCGGGCTTCGACCATGGTAAATTCCAGATGCAGAGGAAGAGATTGATAATGGCAACTGAGAATATAAAGAGGGCTTGAAATCGTGTTGGAACAGTTCCGAAGGCGATATGTCGAGAAAACCTGATCTCTCGTGCCCGACGATAGTGGAGGATTGGCGCGTATAGGATCTTGCTCTTGGCCAGACTGACGGCAGGCGAAGATTTGGAAAAGTACCGAAGAGCACCTGCACCAGCCATGGATGCCAAGTGTCGAAAGTGTGCATTGAGTCGTAAGATCAGTGAATAGGCAAGAACCAGGGCAATAACACCCAGCATCGCCCAAAGGTAAGAGTGCCCAATGAGCATATTGAGTCCTTCCAGGTAGGTTTGAGCGGCATCGGTCTGATAATGTGAATTCCAGGCGGCTGTTGAGTTGCCCGCCGTAGCAGCCTGAGCAGCTGCAACTATAGCTGCCATTGCAAAGGCATAAAAAAAATCTTTCGGAAGGAAACAACAACCTCAGAGGTAAGAATGGAAAGTAAAGGACAAAGTCCAGCTCGTCACGCAGTCAGGCGGTCAGCCAGACGCGGGTCACCCCTGGTCACTGATAATGCAAGGTATGCCAGACGATCATTGGGAAGGGGGTGATATGAGAGACGCGTTAATAGTCGAGGTGACGAAGAAAACGAAAATGCGAAAGGTCAGCCTCAGGACCTGGGCTGCAGTCACTTTGATATTGAAAGCACGAGATCTCGGGATTTGGCGAGATGACGAATCCACGGGCCCGTGGGGAATCGATCTGGTCTGAAACGGAGCTCTCATAGGCAGGTAAGGTGAGCTTTGTTTATCTATCTCAGGGCGAGGGGCCGACGGGGTTCGCGTAAATTCGATCAGCATCCGGGGCCATGGCTTGCCACTATTAACATTGAAGGAATGTCCGGCGTTGCACAGCGACAAGGGCCAGAGAAGCGGGTGGCAATCTTGTTAGGGCATAAGGGGCAAGAACAGGTAACACGGCGAAAGAGGGAAACCATGATCCCGATAGCAAATTCCATGGCTTTGGAAGACGTTGTCAAGGCATGCGCTAAAATCCTCGATTGCCTCAAGCGAGAATATGCAGCAAAAGACATGAATCCAATAGCTTGTCGTTGCAGACTGAATTGAGGTAGAGCTGATCTCCGTATCAAGGAGAGCAGGGAGAAGGGAGAATGGCAAGTTGCAACGTGGTTGAGAGAAGGCGAGGAGGATGCGGGCGGGTGCCTGCCAAGCCACCATGGCGCTTTTCCGATTGGCGGATCTGGGTCGGACCAATCTCAAGCGGACCGGCATGCTAGTCGCGATAATAACATCGCCAATCGCCCTCCGCCCCCCCCCTCCCCCCGGTCCGGCTGTTCTCCTGCTCACCGGATCCTGAAACAGTAGTTCCGCCGAATGCCCGTTATCGTTCTATCTGTATCAGCCATGGGTTTTTCTATTTCTGTGCTGTGTGTGGTGGCCCTGGCTGCCCTCGGCCGGAGCACTTTTAGAATCGTCAAGGAGCTCTGTTTGCCTGGGTCGCCATCAACGGAGCTCCGGCTTAATGGATGCTTGGTTTGTGTATCATGGAAACATTCCAGGCTCGGACAAGAAAATCCCTGGATGGATGCAGTGCAACGGCAGAACGCGCCGCGGTCTTAGTGACGAATTCTCGTTCTCTGCAAGGGGCGGTAGAACATTATCACGTTTTGGGCACACAATGGGCTTCAGTTATATATCCCTACGTGGCTTGATACAGCCTCGGCCGCTGCTCTAACAAACTTGATTCGTCCCCGGATACATCTTCGAGGTAGTGATTTTCCCAATCGTGCACTCGGGATATGGGAGTGGCGGTATTTGTGCTGGGGGGTTTGACTGTAACGGCTCTTTAGGCATTTTGCGCCTGACCCTTTTGTGTTCGAAATCTCCATCCCTACGCACCTCAACGTCGTCACTAAAACGCCTCCTCCTCAACTCATTTCCAGCCTTTAGGATCCAATTGATAAGATATGGTAGAAGGCTTGGTTGATGGATAACCGGACTCTCCACAATCCATTCCTCTACACTTTCATCCCAGCGATATCCGGTGACGAGCTGGACTTCATGCCCCGCAGTGATGTTTTCCATGTGTTCTCTTGTCGTATCATGGAAGTCCGAAGCCCATAACAAGACAGCCGGGTCTTCAGGATGTTCGGCCGCGTATTCCATGGCTCCGTCGGCGGCAAGTTCACCAGGCAAGACGCGTACTTTCTGCAACATGTTGCCATTTATAGACATAGCTGTACCACTAGCCGCTTAAAGTCACTCCAGGATAGTCCAAGTATCAAGGTGAAATCTCCTAAATCCATCGAGGTGGAGCGGGGAAAAGGCGTTGCACGTAAGAGGGACTCGCAACTTCGTGGTAAATTAGGCGGTATGTCATGATCAGCGACCAAGAGATGGCATTTTTTTTGCAAAGAAAATATGAACAACAAGCGACTCCTGGAGTTTTGCTAATTGCCACGTTCGGCCAAGGTCAACCTGAATTTAAGCCACAGTTGAAATTCTGTCAAATACAATAGGGAGTGCTCCAGATTCAGTAGCGCGGGTTTGAGGGATCATGAGACAGAAGGTGGCATGGAGCCGTCTCCAGAGGGACTCGACCATTTCGGGATCATCCGCCAATGCTAGTTCATTTCCACAATCCATAAGAGAGCGCTTGTTCGCACTGCGCAGGATGTGGCAGTCACACAGTCGATCACCAGATATTGCTCGAGAGAATATGGCCTCGATCATATCACAGGTAGAAATCGGTAGCATGTTTGTAGAGTTTGCAGGCAACGGTGAAAAATATCAGATGCGTCCATCTCGTGAAGCGGGACATCAGGAGTGGAGGATTTTGTCTTGTTTCCAGAACACGTAAAGTCCATATCTCGCTGAGGGAATGTTCCAAGAGTCTGACCACAGGCAGGTTATGAAACCCGATATCTGAGTCGGTGGAATGAAAGGAGACCTCAATTAGAGCCTCCGTCAGGGCTTCGACAAGGTCCATGGCCGGGGGAGCGTGAAGAATAAGCTCTTGAAAACGAGAGCCAATGATATCATGTTGTCCATCATATTCATTTTTGTTTGCATCATTTTGCATCTGCTCCTCAATCGTCGTCCTCGATAGTTTGACTAGACATATGTGCATCAGGGACTTTGCCCATTGATAGTAGTCTCTCGTCGTTTCTGCGCTCGAGTCATCCGAACAAGAAGGGTACTCCAGCTCGGAAGTTGCAACCAGGGACGCCGGAATGATAGTTTGAGCATCCCGAATGATGGCTTCGTAATCTTTGGCTAGATGGGTAGTAGGGGCAGTCCAGCGATGAGATCCTTCACAAATGTCTGATCCTGCTCCATCTGCAATGGCTGTGGCCTCGCTGTCATTTTGTTGGATACTGGCTACCTCTACAGCCCTTTCGATGTCCGGATGGTAACGGATGACAATGTTGCGGCGTGTCAATTCCGTTGAACAGGGTTTGCGCGGTCACTTGGGTGTAGGAGTTCGCGGTGCCGCCTTTGTACGCACTGTATTTTTCTTCTGCGCTCTCTGTCCTGTTTTAGAAGCATCCTGCGCTACGCAAGTGGCCTGCTCCCCAACGCCGTCCAATATCGACTCCGCTTCTTGTGCACTCGGGAAGGCCTTGTGCCATTTCTCAATGCTGGCCACGGCAAGATTTAGTGGTTGAAGGGTTCTGTGGCATCTGGACGTTGTCCAGGGAGTTGGAGTCGGGCGCGCAGGACGACTGTCCTTATGAGAGACACGCGGCATTTGGACAAGCACAAGGTCAGCTTGGTTAGAGAGACTCAATGATTGGCATATTGTCAACGGGCGTTGAGCTTTCTTGCGGGGTTGGGTAGAATCGAAAATATGGGTCGACGTCATGGTTGACTTAGCTTTTTAGGGGGGACAAGTGTGTGTCCTCCACACTTCTACGTCCTATGTCCTTTCTGCCCACCTCAAAGGAGCAGGTGATGCTTGATCGCCAACAGAGAGGGTGAGTGCGGCTGTACGAGGTCTTATCAACATTGGAAGCAAGATTACATACATCATGATGAGCGCGATCACTCCTCTCCCATGCCGTGTTCGACCTGGTACACCAACTTCTTGCCCCTGGACTGACCACGCCGGAGCCGGTTGAGTCCCTCTGATACGCCATCCAGACCTCCGGGAATGATCTCGTATGGGTGGCCCGAGTATTTACCCTGTCTCAGTGCGTCTTCAAGCCAGACGAAGAACCTCCTGGCGAAGTCAACGTCTCCTTGCGCATCTTCTGCTGAAGGTTGCTTAGGCATCCCTTGTCTGTATGAGCCCTCATGGCCTGTGCCAACAAAGGTGTAGATAATTTCCACATCCTTCGAAATGTCTTCCTCGTCGTACCTTTTGGCGCCGGAAAAGACACTGAGTCTTCCCCCATGAAGCATCTGACTGACATGGACCCAGCTGTCGTCATCGTTAACCGCATCAAGACCATTCGCCAAAGTCAACATTCGTTCATTTGAGATATGCTTAATCTCTTCCTTGAGTGTTCGCATGCCAGCTCTATAGTCGGAAAAAACATCGCGCGGCAGATCGAGCAGACCCTTCACATAATCGCTACTTCCTCCGCCAATAGCAATGATCGGCGTGACTCCAGCGAGCTTTGCAAGTTTGATAGCGTAGGTACCGAGAGATGTGGAAGCACCATACACCAGCAACGGCTTATGGCTCTTGGTATCTGCGTCTGGTTCCCATGGAGCGGTGAAGCCCTGTCTCCGAAACAGAGTCAGAGCAGCCGTTAGACTGACAAGTGGGATAGTACTGGCTTCTTCAAAGATCATGGCCTCCGGAATGTGGAAGGTGGTGTGTTCTGGAGCGATGGCATATTGAGCATATGCCCCGTAAGGCTTGCCCATCGGGTGGAAAGCAGCAACGCGATCACCAGGACAAAATCTGGATACCTCTGACCCTGTTGCCACGACAATGCCCGCCAAGTCATCTCCGGAATTGAGCGACGTGCCCATGGCAACCAGATGAAGCCAGTCCTTTGGATTGGAGGCGACAGCAAATACTTTGATCAGGATCTCATTCGTCAACAGAGGTGTCGGCAGCAGGATGGTGGAGATAGTAGTGGTGATTGGGTTTGTGGGATGAACGGTTGTCGAAAGTGTTACTAGTCCCGAAGGCATCTCTAATCTCGAAGTCATGTTGAGTGATGGATGTCCTCGGGGGTTTGAGGAAAAGATGGGTGGTGAGCGTGGACCTATTTAATCTTCAATCTACTACCGGCGTAATCTCTGGGTTATTATAACCCATCCGCTCATTAGGACAGTTGCCATATGTCGTACGCAAATGCATTTACCAAGGCCTTGCGAAATCGCAGGCCGCCACTGACTCCCAGTGCATAAAGTCGGACACACCTCCAAATCAGGCTCGGAATATCTAGAGTATGTTACTCATATGCATTAAACGCTTTGGATGATTAATCTTCCCGTAGCATAGTTCCGGTGTACCATGTCATACAGTTTCAAGCATGGTTGAACAAAGACACAACTGAAGCAACGTTTGGATGAGGCTGACAAAGCTTGGTAAGACGTCGAGACGCCACTTAATAGGCCAAGAAAGTAATAAAACTGCTCTCGGATCACCCCGAATGGGGGCGGGAGTGGCGCAGCGCTGTGCTCCGCTGCCACTGCTGTAATAACGACTTCGATATACGTCTCAGATGATGGACTGCATGAAAGTGGGTATATTAGAACGTAGGAGCATACGGACTCAACCCGATGATATTTTTTATAATAATGTAGAGCGTAGCGAAGATGGATGAGTTTCCCAGCAAGGGAACCGAAGACAGGCATATTAACTTTCTAATATAAACCCACTCCTTTTCCTGGTGGTTTTCTCATCGCCAAGGTCGAGCGGCCTGTTGTCGAGAATTTTCAGCGTCTGATTCCTTGCACGCTGAGACAAGGGTAGTGCCCCTAAATTCTCCGGGTCAGCCAGGTGGTTTACCTCCTCATTCCAAGTCGTGCGTACCACCGCCGAGAGGGACGTATCGTGGGCCACACCGTTAACTACTAGGGCGTGGGCTCCAACAACCAGGTAGACAAGAGCCACTCTCAAGGCAGTGCTGTAGCCCCCAATGTACAGCCATTCGACTTTCCAGACCGCCTCGATGAGTGTTCTGTGGCATGGTACGGTAATGGAGCTCGTGACGAGGAGGGCGGGGTCAGACATTAGACAGATAGTGAGGTTGTGCGAGAGCTGCTGCAGCAAGGAGCCAAGGTCCCGACGGGGGATGTACGGTGTCTCGGAGGCGTAAGTCATATTGAGGGGGAGGTCGGTGATGAGAGATAAGACGAGACCGAGGGAGGTATTGGCTACAAGCACATAATTTGGATCTCCGTTGATGTATCAAGACAAGCATGTTAATCATGGGTGTGTACAGGCCGACAACGTCTTAGAGGGGAATCGACAGGTTTTACTGGTGGTTTCTGTTAGGTATGCTGTAACAAGTAGTTGCCTTCCCTCTCCAACCTCCCGAAGAGATCTGGAAGGTCGAGAAGGGATCAATTTTGTGCAAAGTGTTGGCTTGAAGTTCATTGTTATAGCCGACTTGCATTTTGTACGATGTGTTCGCGATCGGGCAGTAGTATGCCTGAACGTCAAGTATTTCACGTAGCGAGTGTCCCAAGAGGTCGTCCGATGGGTCGAGACCTCGAGGGAAGCCGGCAGCGAATCCCACCCAGAACTGGTCGGTTGAGGCATTCAGTCCGCCATAACAGACTGGGCTGTTTCGAAGATTGTAGGAATCATCCTGCGTCAAGGATGTTCGAACCATCTCCGTAGTCACCCCCGTACCAATATGACCCAGAGAATAGAGGCTTTCAAGGTGCTCGGGGATCGTCAACATCCTCAACTTGTGTGTACTGCCAGGAAGGAGCGATGAAATGGATCTCGTAGGTGCAGCTCGGTCCACAAGGGGACGTCCAGGCAAGTTGGCGACTATTTTCCAATACTGAGGCCGTGAGTCTTTCACTGCTCACCAACGGGTGGAAGTAACAAGCCCGGACCTTCGGCGACAAACAGAGAACGAGCCTCAGTAGGAACGCTGAAGGACCGATTGACGTCCCAATCCAAGGTCGGTGCGGCACAGCTTTACTCAGTTGAGCTGACCAGGGAAATTCCCGCAGTGAGCGCCATCAGAACTAAGAGTCCTGTAAGAGGCATGAGCCAGATACAAGCTGCCATGAAGCCTATGCCTGCAGCTGATCGCCATAGCGAAAGAGACAGGAAACTTGACGGTGAGCTTCCGGAGAGGAACATTGCATCGATTGCCAAAACTGTGGTTCCCTTTCTTCTATGTCGAAGTGTGAACCACGCGCGTTGAGCCAATGCAAGCGCGATGCTGGCTGCCAAGGATGACTTAAAAACGAAGGCCAAGGGGGCGAGAGAGTGGCGAAGGGTCCAGGTTTGGTCTCAGACTGGCTTCTCCTTGATCCTGCTGAAGAAGCACAATGGCCGAGAGTTGTACCCGACCCTACGAGGCATAGCAGCGTTGCCGTGAGAGGTGTGGCCCAGTAGATGTGTCTCTCGACTTTATTTGGGGTCTTCTTTTGCTCCTCGGTTCTTGGGACTTCTAGAACTTCATCCGGTTCGATCTTGAGACTTGTTATGGTCGGTCTGACTGGCTTTTGTGGTATATAAGTCCTGGGCTGAAGCGTTGGCCATATCCCTGATTCCTCCTATACGAAAGAGGAATGCAATATCACTCGGAATAAACTCTAGTTTTCCCTTCTTCGAATCCTACCCCAATGTACCAAGTGGGGACGATAGTTGTTTAGATTACATGCTAGAGACTACATGCTGGAGCAACCCAATTCGACCAGTCGCCGATGGCTACCACGCCCAACTCCCTTCTGGCGAGGATATGTTTCGCTTGTATCAAGCGTGTACCGTCAGCAGAGACACGAACTTTCCGCATCCGGTAACGTGGCCAATCAACACCGTTATCAGCACTGTTGAGGTTTCGATTGTTTTCCTTGCTGTTGCCAGCATGGTGCTATTTGTCCTAGTCGGTCTCGTCGATATCCTCTTCCTCTCCATAAAGCATCGCCACACCACAAAGGCCGTGCCTACAATTAAAGGTTGACTGGATGGTCTAGTCAGTTCAGGAGTCATTTGGAAAACACCTCTTCTTTACCTCCATTTCGCCGCCTCCCCTTTCAACGGTCTCGGGTGACGGTCGGCCATATAGCCAGCTACGGCCTTTAGCAGGTTTTCAACTGGACAAGACCGCCGCGGTCGAACAGGCTGTCTTAAGCGCTGGAGACGGTGTCCCCAACAATGGAGAGATACTGAGCTTGAGGAGGGCCATGCCATTCGGTCGATTTCTGCCCTGCCAGCCCGGAACTACCTCAGTAGCTGCGACCGGCTTCCGCGGCGCCCCTGGCACTGTGGCATGCGGCGGCACAAATACGAATCCTGCTATGGATTTGGGCATCGTTCTCGGCCTGGAGGTAGCTCCAGATCCAGCAGCACAAGGTAAACGGTTGGAAGATGAAACAGGAGCAGGGTCAAGTCACTCTGGGTAAAGTTTGTCAATAAGTCCCCTGAGGAGCAGGGGCATTCGTTTCGTTCATGGATTTGGTCATCCAAACATGGATTCTACCGACAAAGGTTGAAATTCTTGCCCGTGCTCTTAGGACGATTCATTTCGACCTTCGAACCTATAATCCACATAGCTACTAGCCCCTAGCTTCCCGACTCTTTCTACTGTATGGAGCGTTTCAGAGCCATTGCTCAATTTCTGGACGGCTAGCTTTTTCCATAGCTACCTGGGTAGGTGTAGTTCAAGTCGTCATGTGGTGCTTGCTCAGATGCATCTAGCAATTAATTTTCGAGGCAGTCAGGTTGTATAGGTTGCTTGAGATGGTATCTCAATGATGATCATATGCCATACTTCGTGTCATCGTGTGCCCTTCGTCTCAATCTAGACGCAAAGCTATCCCCTTTTGAATTAGGGAATGTGCGATGCCGCTTTAACGAGTGGGAGGAAAGTGCGCTACGCTGCTTTAACGACCAGCCTAACTCGGAATAGTGGATTCGAAGTCTAACAGGCTCACGCAAAGGTATCGGGTCCAGGGGTACCGAGTATACGGAACTGCACCCCGTAAATGGACTCAGAATTAGGCCAAGTCTCTACCACGCGGAGAGCAATATTAGACTGCACAGGCTGCATCACCCCCCCTGAGCAGCCCAGAGAAGCCCAGAATCGAAGAGCCGCTGGCGCTGAAGACGTTCGAAATTATCGTCTCGGCTACTGCCCTCGAGATGCAGCTGGCAGCCTGCGCCCCTTGCGCCCTACCATGGTTAACTCATTCTGAGCGAGATAGTTATGCCGTGCACATCACCATTCGGCGTTGACATGGACCGTCCCTCTATTGTTGCAGACGTATGACAGCCCATCTGTTGCCTGAAATTCAGCGATGAGATGAGACAGTCCCGTGCGCGGATCAAGGATTTCACAGTCGGCTGGATCTGCGCTCTCCCTATTGAACTTACAGCCGCAAGAGAAGCTTTGGACGAAGAATACGAACGCATAGATGAAGCGGCTCAATATACTTTGGGGCGTATCGGCAAACACAATGTGGCTGTGGCATGCCTGCCGGCTGGTCAGCTTGGGACCAGTGCAGCCGCAGCCGTAGCCGTTCACATGCAGAAGACCTTTCCCACCCTTCAATATGGATTCATGGTGGGCATTGCTGGCGGCGTTCCAAGTAAGAGCGTGGATGTTCGACTAGGCGATGTTGTCATTAGCCATCCGCAGGGGCGCTACGGCGGTGTGGTTCAATATGACTTTGGCAAGACCGGATCTGGTGGGAAACAATTACCAAACGGCTATCTCAACTCTCCACATCCAATCCTTCTGCAAGCTGTGGCAAATATGCGAGCTACCATGACTGCCGGTCGCAGCAAGATCCGCTGTTACATGACATCATTGAACCAGCGTAATTTGTTTCCCCGTCCTGCCCCAGACAGCGAGAACTTGTTTCAAGCCTCCTACGATCATGTGGTGGGTGGAACCTGTGATCAGTGCCTCAAAGACAGGATAGTTGAGAGGGCCACCAGGACAGGCCAGGACGATGTTGTCATCCACTTCGGCACAGTTGCATCTGGAAATCAAGTTATCAAGGATGGCTTGACACGGGACCGTGTGAGCGCTGAACACGGAGGCGTCCTATGCTTCGAAATGGAGGCAGCCGGCCTGATGAACATCTTTCCCTGTCTCGTGGTTCGAGGCATCTGTGACTATGCTGACTCCCACAAGAACAAAAGCTGGCAACCGTTCGCAGCGGCAGCTGCCGCAGCATGTGCTAAAGACATCCTTTCGTACGTACCTACAGTTTTTCGGAATCTAGATGACGAATCAAATCCTAGGCCGCTTATTGAAACCAACGGTGCCTCGAATGACGGCCCGGAGGTGTCGAAAACAAATGAGTCGCAAAGCCGTGCGAATAGCCAAGGTTCAGCTCCGAAGAATGGACCCGACCCATCATCATTGTACACAAAGTCTTCGCTTACAGCGGAGCAACTAAGGTCCTATCATGAATCCTTAAACTTTCGTGAAATTGATGCCCGCCACGCCACTATCCAAGACGCGCATTCTGAGACCTGCGGATGGCTCCTTGACCGGCCAGAATATCGAGATTGGCTGGAGTTGGACAAACTGCCCGAACACCATGGTTTCTTCTGGATCAACGGGCATCCGGGCTGTGGCAAGTCGACGATAATGAAATTTGCTTTGGAAGCCACGAAATGGAAGGTGGCCGACACTACTGTCATCAAATTCTTTTTCAACGCGCGAGGCGAGGCGCTTGAGAAGACTGTAGTGGGAATGTACCGATCACTCTTGTTCCAGCTTCTCGACGAATTTACGGATCTGCAGGAAGTCTTCGCATTGCGACCGCCGAAGTTTTCAGATGACCGATCCTCGTATGTGTGGAATGTGGAAGCTCTACAGAGTCTGTTTGGGCACGCCGTCAAACGACTCGGCCATCGCTCTCTGATGTGCTTCATAGATGCTCTGGACGAATGTGAGGAAATGCAAATCCGTGAGATGATTGCGTTCTTCGAGCACCTCGGCGACCTTGCGGCCTTATCTGGACTGAAACTTCGTACGTGTTTCTCAAGCAGACATTATCCGCATGTTACACTGGCGCATAGTATTTCTCTCGTCCTTGAAGACCAGGAAGGCCACCAGGATGACATTATAAAATATGTCAATAGTAAGCTCAAAGGAACACGCAGCAAGCTATTTGATGATGTGAAGAGGGAAATCTGCGAAAGGTCATCTGGCATTTTTCTCTGGGTGGTCCTGGTTGTCCATATATTGAGGAAAGACGCCGATGATGGCCGCGTCCACGCGTTGAAGCAACGGTTGAAAGAAATTCCCGATGGACTGGACCAATTGTTTGACGACATACTGACCAGAGACACCCATGATGTGGAGAGTCTCATCTTATGCTTACAATGGGTCCTGTTCGCCAAACGGCCACTGAAACCCATTGAGCTGTTCTATGCCGTCTCGGCTGGTGTTGAACCTGGCTCGATTGCAGAAATAGCTCCCGAAGATGTTGACCCAGAGAGCCTTCGAAATTTCATCTTGAGATTCTCCAAAGGGCTCGCAGAACTCACAAAAGGCGAGGTGAAAACAGTCCAATTCATTCATGAGTCGGTGCGGAACTACCTTCTCAGGGCAAACAGTCTTGGACGACTTCGAGCAAACCTTGCGTTGAACTTCTCTGGAACTAGTCATGAGAGACTGAAGAAATGTTGTCAAGATTATATCGATGTCGTTGTCCCTCAGGATTTAGACTTGGAAACGACATTTCACTCCAAGTCTCTGGCAAAGCTAGTTGACGACGGGCCCCGCCTGGCTTCCAAAGCCCTTCCATTTCTAGAGTACGCGGTCCGCAGCATACTCTTCCATGCCGACACGGCGGCAGAACACGGATTAGAACAAGAAAGCTTTGTCGAGGACTTCCCTTACAGACGTTGGATGGTCCTCAGTGACCTATTTGTCGGGGACAAGACTCAACGCTACGGTTCCTCCGTTAGCCCCTTGTATATTTTCGTCTACGAAGGCGCCTTGAATCTCATTAGGATTGAAGCCAGAAGGGTGCCACATATAGACATCAAGGGTGGGTATTACGGCTATCCCCTGAATGCCGCAATAGCCCGGATGAATGAGCAAGCTCTCAATGCTCTCTTGACCACAGGTAGTGGCGACCTTCCTTCTAACGGCACTATTCAGGGTGAAGTACTCTATGTGACAACCGAAGAGCGAGAGGCTGCACTCAGGGAGTGCTTGGCCAGCGCTGTTGACAGAGGTCAGACGCTTCTGCACTGGGCCGCGGAGCACGAAAAGATTGACATTGTGAAGATCTTGTTAATCACACAGAAGGTGAACGTCAACTCCAAAAATGACTTGGGGCAGACGCCGCTGTCACTGGCGGCACTTCGTGGACATGCCGGCGTAGTCCAGCTGCTGCTTCAGGCGAGCAAGGCGGATATCCAGTCCAAGAACGACTTTGGACAGACGCCGTTATTGCTGGCTGCCAGCAGGGGACGTGGGGCGGTGGTGGAGTTACTGCTCGAGACCGGCAAAATAGACGTTGACTCCGCAGACTCAGACGGCCTAACACCCTTAGCTTGGGCTGCACGCACTGGACATGAGACAGTGGTGAAGCTGCTGCTCGAGACTGGCAAGGTGGACACTGAATCCAAGGACTTAAGTGGACGGACACCTATATCATGGGGAGCATCGAGGGGTAATGCCGCGGTGGTAGGGCTGCTTTTGATTTTTTGGACGATGGACACAATATCAAAAGGCAAGACTTTGGACATGACAAGGCTCGGGTTGAATTGCAAGGACCTGCAAGGAAGAACACCTCTCCATGGAGCGATCCAGGCAAATGCTGTCGAAGTGGTCAGATTCCTGGTGTCGATAGACGAAGTGGATCTCGAAGCTCCCAACATCAAGAACAGAACGTCGCTCCAGATTGCTCGAAGCCTGGACCTTGTCGAGGTGACAGAGGTGCTGTTGGAAGCACAACGCGACCGCGCAAACCGGAAGGCCTCTCGATCATGTATGAAGGTCAGTGCCGGAGCAGATTGTTCAGTCGGTACCACTGTGGACAATTCAGCAGACGGATTCAGATGGGATTTACCTCCAGAATCCCTCTAAACAATTCAGGAAAATGGCGAAGGGATGAGAAGGCGTGAACAGATCTGGATGTGGGATCAGGTACATAAAGAAAACAGTATCATATTGTCCATAGTTGAACTACATCTGGCAAACATGGCGATACACTCTCCGCAGTACGAGTTCGAGTAGGTGAGGGATCTCACAACACAGATGGACGTTGACAACCCCTTTTCGAAATAACGAGTCCTCATCAGAACTCATAAACATACCTAGGAAGAATTTTCCTGCTTCCTCACTACAGTACCTACACAGAGACCTCCGTGGGAGGTGCATCGAGCGGAACAGCCTTCCGCCATGGATCTCGCCCATTTATCATCACCCATTTATTTCCCCATTTGTGGGACTGCTTGTTTTATGATAATACTACCATACTTGTGTGTACTAACAAGTCGACTTTTTCCTCCGCGAGGCCGGCGTATACCGAGTTTTATCGCAGTGATCCACCATATCCACCATATCCACCAGACGCCAAACGCCGCTCGCTTCTGATGACGTCGAGAGAACACCGGTCTGGAGTTCCTCGCTAAATGCTCTCTTTGATTCTTCCTGCCAGGAGCAGCTGGGAGTTCTCACCCACCGCCCGGCTTGCGCAAGCCTTGCTTGTTTGTTTTTTACGGGATAGCATTCTACGGAGTGCTTCTGTGTACCTAGTGGACCCTCTCTTCCGGAGCCACGGCGCATTTTGGCCTCCCACCTCCCACTTTCCCTTCCTCTCAACCTCGCTCTGTGCTTGATGCTATCATGTGTTGACCGATATCGCCGGCCCGAGACTGTCTCTACCTCTGTTTGCGCACGTACGAAGTATGATACCAGTTAGTTACTAGGTAACTCGTTTGTTCTATTTCATCGTACCGTTGGACCTCCCGGCCGCGAGGCAACACGGGTCCGTCATGTATGTACGCATGTACGCAAGCGGAAAGGCAGAGTTCTGGCGACGCTGCTACGTATCCATCTATCCATCTCGAAGATCCAGCTATCTACCTGTGGCCCGGATCTGAGCGGCTGAGATCTTCTCGGCCAGCTAGCCAACCAACCAGCCTGCCAGGCCACGCCGGTGTTGATGATGGGGCCAACTTGTTTATAGAACATGTTAGGTACCACGCGAGCTGGGGCTGGCCGGCGACTGGATGGCGACCCGCCGGGTCTATGAATCCGAGCGAGTGGACATGTGTAAGTGTGTGTGTGTGTGTGTGTATGCTCTTTCGCCTCGACCGTACGAGTATAATAGCCTTCCATTCCCTCCTTCCTTCCCCCTTCCCACCTTTCAGAGGTTTTACATCAACCCTCCGTTTCTGTTTTTTTTTTGTTAGTACTTCCCTGTTCTATCGAGACTGGGACCAGGAGAAGAAAGGGAAAAGAAAAAAGCAAACGCCATTTTGACGTCACGCCCAATCGCGTAAACAACATCCCCCGTCGGTGCCCATGTTCGACTAAACCAACCGGGTGAATTGCTTCTCTTCTCTTTCCCACACATTTGTAGATTGATTTTGGCATTTGGTGGCGCGTCGCTTTTGGGACACCGAAGTCTTTCGAGGGAGGGAGGGAAGTGAAGGGAATCAGTTGGGGGATATGTCTGGGAATAATGCAGCAATGGCACAACAGAGGGGGACAGATTCATCCCCCAACGAAAACAATCGGCTTGGTGCACTGGTGGAAGAAAAGGAGTCTGAAACCCCGATCAATGGCAACAGCAATGAAACCCACAGATGCTCAGGGACAGCAATCAGTACAGATGACCTCCCTCCGAGAATGGACTCAAACCTGACCAGACACGATACCGTCACGACCACCAGGACCGGCAGAACTGTCACGCTAGATCAGCATCACAGCTTGACAAACACGGTCTCCCGAGTGCCCACGGCCACGCAACCACCATCTTTCTCCCTGGCGCACGAGATCCTCTTCATCGCCGTCATCAGCTCCGCGCAGCTTCTGACCCAATCGGCGCTCGCACAGTCCATTGCTCCCCTGCACGTCATCGGCCGCTCTTTCAACACCACCAACCCGGGCCAACTGTCCTGGCTCGCGGCCGGCTACTCCTTGACCGTGGGGACGTTCATTCTCCCTGCAGGGAGATGGGGAGATCTGTATGGGCACAAGAAGCTCTTTATCGTCGGCTATTTCTGGTTCGCGCTGTGGTCCCTGATCGCCGGCTTCGCCATCTTCTCGCGGTCCTTGATTTTCTTCGCCTTCTGTCGCGGCATGCAGGGCATCGGCCCTGCCATCTTGCTCCCCAACGGTATCGCGGTGCTGGCTCGGACCTATCCGCCCGGGAAGAAAAAGAACATGGTGCTCAGCATCTTCGGGGCCACCGCCCCAGTCGGCTTCGTCGTCGGCGCTGTCTTTTCAGGGATTTTCGCCCAGTTTGTCTGGTGGCCCTGGGCCTACTGGGTCTTGGCTATGGTGTTGGCCCTGCTCGGAATCGTGGTCGTCTTCGTCATTCCTCACATGCCGGTCGCGGGGCCTTCGGCAACTTTCAAGGAGCTCGATGCTACTGGCACCGCGCTCGGCGTGGTGGGACTGATTTTCTTCAATTTTGCCTGGAATGAAGGTCCCGCCGCCGGATGGGGCAAGGTTTATGTCTATGTTCTCTTGATCATCGGCGTGGTGTTGCTTGTCGCCTTCTTCTGGTTTGAGAAGAACAGGGCCACGTTCCCGTTGTTGCCAATGTCGTCGTTCACAATGGACACAAACCTCGTCTTTGGATGCGAAGCCCTGGGTTGGAGTTCGTTTGGAGTCTGGGTATTCTACCTGTGGTTAGTTTTCCTCTAGGAATTCCCCCTTTTGCCCACTGCTGAAACCCTCCCAGGCAATTTCTCGAGCTCGAAAGGGGTCAATCCATTCTGCTCTCAGCCGCCCAGCTCGTTCCCACCGCGTTGTCCGGCTGTGTGGCGGCGATCACGACCGGGGTTTTGATTGCCAAAATTCAACCAGGATGGATCATGCTCATCAGCATCAGTGCGTTCCTGACCGGAATGGTTCTGCTCGCCACGATGCCCGTGCATCAGACCTACTGTAAGTTGCCCTTCCTTTTGACGAGTGTGTACGACTCGCTGGCACGAGCTCTGCTCCAAAAGTGCTGGACCCCGGCGGATAGCAGTGTCGCTGACAACGAGGCCCAGGGGCGCAAACTTTCATGGCGGCGGTCATCACCCCCTGGGGAATGGACATGTCGTTCCCGTCCGGGAACATTGTGCTGTCCGACCACATGCCGCCCGAGCATCAGGGACTGGCGGCATCCCTCATCAACACGGTCATCAATTATAGCATTTCCATTGGCTTGGGCATGGCGGGCACCGTCGAAGTCCATGTAAACTCGGGCGGCCGGAACCAGCTGCAGGGCTATCGCGGAGCCTGGTATTTGGCAATCGGATTTGACGGATTGGGCATCCTGTGCGCCATATGCCTGATCCTTTCTTGGAGGGCGCGGGTCAAAGGTAAACAAAAGGTCAACAATCAAAAGGACGTGGAGGACTTGGCGTAAATTTCTAGTGTTTCTTTTTTCTTTCCTTTTTCCAATTTGTTTAGATCTTGACAGCTCCTCGTTGATGGCCCTCGCTCAGCAGTTGCACCCTTTTTGTCCAGTTTTCATCAATCCGTCATCACTAGGACGGGCGTCTTCTTGGCTGGAAAACCTGTCTTTCACATATCCCGAAATTCGTAGCGTCTAGTCAGAACCCCTCGTGCCATCACCGAACCAGGACTGCAAACTCTTGTAACAACTGCCAGGTCGCGTAATGATTGGTAGAACATTTAACCGAGCCTCGATTTTCTCGAGGCGTTGGTTGGTAATTGTCGGGCCCTTCCAGAGGCAATTGTTTTCTTACCTTCAACCCAGCGAGACTGAGGCAAGCGCGTGACATGGGCTCGATCTCTGGAGCTGCGAGCCTGCATCTTCCAGCAGGTATAATTTTTCAATCTAGCGATATTCATTCCGAATCTGAAGGTGGCCCAGCATCTCCCTCATCCTCGTCGGGGTGGACATCCGCGTTCTTGAGACCTTCATTGAGAACGTATTCCTCCTTGATGAGTATATTACGAAGTTCCCCTGTCCTTGGAGTGCAGATCTCCGCAGGTTTTCTGCCGTGTTTGTCTTTGACTCTAGGATCGCCTCCAGCATCGATCAACATTTTTGCCATTGCCTCTCCCAGTTCGACTTCCCGCTCGTTGGCGTACTTGACTGCGCAGTGAATGGGCGTCTCCCCTTCTCTTCTGTTCAAGGGATCGCATTCGAGGAATTCAATGTTGAGTAATTCATCCATCACATCATCTGAAAACGCCGGTCAATCTCATGCCCATGTAACATGGAGGCTCCTTGACATACAAGCTCCGTAACTTGCGCACACGTGTAACAGATGGTTTCCCATGGTGTCTGTGGTGGTGTTGAAAAAATCTGCTATCTGTTCCTTGCTTTTGTCCTTCATGTCATTGAGCACTTCGTGAAACAGCTCGACATTGTCTCTCCGACATGCTTCGAGTATCTGTTCTTTGGGGGATGCACCCTGCCCAGTTCGTCAGTGGAGAGAGTGGATAATGTAGGTGCCCTGCTCACATCGACATGTTCAGCCATGATCGCCGTCTATACAAAGCCGCGGAAACGTTGCCAGGCGCGGCAACACGTTCGCGGAATTGGGATCGGGGTATTAATGTCGGGGTAACTACGCTCGAATTCGACGCGGGAGGGCACAGGGAGGAGTGACTGGGATGGGTGTCGTGATTGTGGTGAACAGAATCAAGGATTGACAGGACAGAAGGAGTGGAACAGGCGCAGAGAGTGAGAGAGATCTGAATATTGAATTGCAGTGGACAAAGGGGCTTCTCAAACACTTCGACCCAGGCATCCCGCCAACCCCTCGACACCGCCTGCGCCTCGTGAAACAAAATTGCCGAGAACCCCTCCAGCCCCAACTTTCTTTTTGCTGTGTTTGCACCTTTTGCCCAAATCACACTTGCGTCTACAACGATTTACTTGGAACGAATTATCCGCTCTTTACCTGCAGGAGGTGTTGAGTCCCTTCGATCATGGCTCCTACATGTAAGCGAATACCTCCGGTCGTCCAGAGATCCTGTGTTGACAATTGAAACCAGTCTGCCCGTATTGCTACAACTGCCTCACAATCCTCAGGGCGTCGGGAAACGATCAATATCCTTATGGTCGCAACGCCTTTGCTTGCAGGACATGCCCGTACCAATTCGTCCTCGACGGGCGTTACTACGACCGCACATACATGAAGAAGAAAGAAAAGGACGATATTCTGGGAGAGGAGCAGTCTGATTTGCCGGTTAATGAAGGTATGATGCCTCATCTACGGCAAAAAGAGTAAGAGAAAAGCATGTTATTGACACTATTTACTGCCTAGTTCCTGGAGGATGCCCGAACGAGACATGCGACTCCAAAAAGGCATATTTCTACCAATTGCAGACACGAAGCGCAGACGAACCGCCAACATCTTTCTTCAAAGTATGTTTTGAGGTGGTCCCAAGGCTATCATTCGGGTACTGACGCTGGGCAGTGTATTGAATGCGGAAAACAATGGAGAGAATACTGATTCACATACCTCACACAACGTCTGATTCCAAGCCAGAGACATAATGCCTCCCTCTCTCTTCCGTGACAAAAGGCGCAGAAGGTGCCCGACCGAGTGTGTTGTCCTTGGTAAAGAAGGCAAGTAAGAGACAAGGTCACGGTTAAACTTGTAGGCCTGCCACAGAATGATTTTGAGGAGAGGCTTCCTCGTCAAGGTACAGGTTGTGGCGAAGCAAAAGAAAAGTTGGGACGGCTAACACAATGGCCAGACAAGGTCTAATTGAGCGCGCAATGGAGGACTCAAACCTCGCAAATTTGCCGTCGGAGCTAGGTGCAGCCTTGCTCTACCCTGTGCATTAGCTGGATATTCAGTGCAAAGGAGATGTGGGAGGCGGCGAAGGATTCGACAAAGAAACTCTAGCATGGAGTCGAGGGAAACCAGGCAACAACTTCTGGGGGCCATCAGGAAGATATGCAGGGAAGCGCAAACAGCAAGCTGAGTCAGTGCTCTTGATACCGCACAGAAGTTGTTGCTGGTATGGGCGCAAGCAACTTGTTTGGACCCCAGTCAGATGGAGCTGATGACTCTTAACTCCGAGAGAGGGTTAGGTGTTGAAATGGACAGAAATCAGCCGTGATAGAGGGCAAAGGCTGGAGCTCCAAAATTTGCCAGAAGACAACCACTGTTAAGAGCCTTTTGGTGACATCGATGGCGAACTCATCTAGAACTTGGTAAAATGGATTGCCACAGATATGGACTATGGCAGCCTCGGGGAGAATTTTGAGCATATTGTAGCATTCCAATTGGCTGCTGCTGGTATGAGGCGACGTTGACACGCAGTAGAATCTGCTAGTCGCTAACACATGCCGAAGCTTTCTGATGTCCGTCGCCAATCACGAAAATGCGACCAGCGGGCTGACGGCGAGACGGATAGCTGCCTGAAGTGAGGAATGGCAGTTCTCGCAGTAGTGGGGCTTGGGCCGCAAAAGACAGTGGTGACAATGGTGAGCGTGAACAGGTTGACAGGCTGGAGTGCGAGAGGGACGGTTCAACGCGGGCTTTTTTTTTCCCTTGAGTCACTGCCACCGAACTGCTTAAAAACGCCAAGCTTGGTCCCTCGCCCTGGTGGCCCGCCAGCCTACAAAATCTTCCGCACACTCTCGTCGACTTTGATTCTCTCCCTTCTTCGTCGCTCAGTGAGTTCTTCACCCTACCCCTACACTTCCCATCACTCAGGACTAATCAATCAACAGCACCTCTACGCAAGCCGTGGTACCTGAGCATTCCTCTTGAATTCTTCTAGTATCTGCCACAGAACTACAAGACTTCATCCAAACCATCACAAAAACTCCAATCCGTCACCATGGGGTAAGCACACTTGCCAAACCTGCCTGCGCTCGGCTTCCATCGCCCAAGCATGCCTCAATTCGATATCAATCATCATCGCTGACATGTCTTTCATCTGTTCAGTAAGGAAAAGACTCATATCAACGTCGTCGTCATCGGACACGTCGACTCTGGCAAGTCCACCACCACCGGTAAGAGGAAGCCCTACAGGACCGCAGGCGCACAGAAATACTCACATCCAGACAGGCCACTTGATCTACAAGTGCGGTGGCATTGACAAGCGTACCATCGAGAAGTTTGAGAAGGTATTTTGTCCTCTTTTTTCAAGGAACACCCCCTTCGTTTGCCCTCACTCTGGATTCACCACTCTGGCCACCCAAAAAAATTTTGGTGGGGGAGGGGTACATCCTCTGTCACGTGCCACGCCACACATTTTCGCAGGCCAGTCTGTAGACTGACAACTCTCAACAGGAAGCTGCTGAACTCGGCAAGGGTTCCTTCAAGTACGCTTGGGTGCTGGACAAGCTCAAGGCCGAACGTGAGCGAGGTATCACCATTGATATCGCTCTGTGGAAGTTCGAGACTCCCAGGTACTATGTCACCGTCATCGACGCCCCCGGTCACCGCGACTTCATCAAGAACATGATCACTGGTACCTCCCAGGCTGATTGTGCCATTCTCATCATTGCCGCTGGTACTGGTGAGTTCGAAGCCGGTATCTCCAAGGATGGTCAGACTCGTGAGCACGCTCTGCTGGCCTACACCTTGGGTGTCAAGCAGCTCATCGTCGCCATCAACAAGATGGACACCACCAAGTGGTCCGAGGATCGTTTCAACGAAATCATCAAGGAGACCTCCAACTTCATCAAGAAGGTCGGATACAACCCCAAGTCTGTCCCATTCGTGCCCATCTCCGGCTTCAATGGTGACAACATGATCGACGTCTCCAGCAACTGCCCCTGGTACAAGGGCTGGGACAAGGAGTCCAAGGCTGGCAAGGCTTCGGGCAAGACTCTTCTCGAGGCCATCGACGCCATTGATCCTCCCAGTCGTCCCACCGATAAGCCCCTCCGTCTCCCTCTCCAGGATGTCTACAAGATCTCTGGTATCGGAACCGTGCCCGTCGGTCGTGTTGAGACCGGTACCATCAAGGCCGGTATGGTCGTCACCTTCGCCCCCGCCAACGTCACCACTGAAGTCAAGTCCGTCGAAATGCACCACGAACAGCTCACCGAGGGTGTTCCGGGTGACAACGTCGGCTTCAACGTCAAGAACGTCTCCGTCAAGGAGGTTCGTCGTGGCAACGTCTGTGGTGACTCCAAGAACGACCCCCCCAAGGGTGCCGACTCCTTCAATGCCCAAGTCATCGTCCTCAACCACCCCGGCCAAATCGGCGCTGGCTATGCTCCCGTCTTGGATTGCCACACCGCCCACATTGCTTGCAAGTTCGCCGAGCTTCTCGAGAAGATCGATCGTCGTACCGGCAAGTCTATGGAAAACAACCCCAAGTTCATCAAGTCCGGTGATGCTGCCATTGTGAAGATGGTTCCTAGCAAGCCCATGTGCGTTGAGGCCTTCACTGACTACCCACCTCTCGGCCGTTTCGCCGTCCGTGATATGCGTCAGACCGTCGCTGTCGGTGTCATCAGTAAGTTCCTTCTTCCCCCTCTTCCAGAGCCATGTGCTGATAATACACAGAATCCGTCCAGAAGACCGAGAAGGCAGGTGGCAAGGTCACCAAGGCTGCTGTCAAGGCTGGCAAGAAATAGATGTCTTGCACAGGAATTATTTCAATCCATCTCACAGTGGTATTGTTTCTTGTGGCGGAGGTTGTGGAAGATTCACCTTCAGGAGCGAACTTTCATTCCACGGTTCATGAATTGCGGGATTCAAAATCTACTCCTGACCCTGGAGATTTCATGGTTTCCGCACGGTTAATTCTTGCCATCATCATCGGTCTTGTCTTTCTCAGCGACTCCTTGATACGACCCCAATATGTACTTGCTACGTTTCGGAGTACTACTGGCTTTGACGAAAAAGAGCATGGTCATTTGACTCGAACTTGGGCTGTGCTTATGAACCACCTGATAGATAGATTTCATGTCCGTCAAGGGTTATCCAAATAGCTCTACAGTCAATCAAAGGACGTGGATGCCCAAAATCCCATCAAATTCGAGTATTCGGTTAAAAAAAATTTTTTTTAATCGTATTCAGGCATTTCCGCTCAACTAATCTAGTCCTGTGGTCGTTTACCTCATCCACCCAAGTATACACCGGACCACTATCATCACTGTACGCGCGCACACACCTCCCCAGCGAGGTTCTACCTCACATCGAGAATATACTGCAGCGGCAACACCCACACGCTGATGGGCCGCCGATGGAAGTTCCACAGCCAGCCCTATGCGCCTCCAAGGCTTGCGTGCTAGGATTTCTTGACCTCTTCCATCCATCCTTCCCCATCCTATCCAGCCGCCATGCTCCATCACCAAGCAGTATATCCGCCATCCACGATCTGGAGCCTTGACATCAGCAGAGCCATTCCCAATTGTAAGTCGGAGGAGAGCAACAGAATGGTTATCTTACCACATCACTGCCGTTCAAATACTGTGGTACAAGGGTTAGCTTGTATCAAAACTCGTCGTTGCTTAGAGTCACAATATTTCTCTCTAGAAGCATATAGAAATTTCGATGCAAAAAGTGTACTCACACTACTCGCTCCACTCGCCATCCAAACGATTGTGCCTCTCAGCTCATGGGGTTCAGCCATCCTTCCCATGGGAATGTCCTTCTCCCAACTGCCCACGAGTTCTTTCCCTTCGTTTTCGAGCAACCCTTTGATAAGATCCGTCTTCATGTAGCCTGGACTCAGGCTGTTGACTCTGAGGCCCCGTGGGCCCCATTCCGTTGCCAGGGATTTAGCGAGCATCTGTATAGCACCCTTGGAGGTGTTGTATGCAGCTTGCTTTTGAGGACGGACGCAGATCGTTGCAGACATGGATGCAATTAGTATTATGGAGCCTTGAATGTTGTGTTGGAGCATGTGCTTGCCAGCTTCACGGGCGAAAAGCCATGAGCCGCTGTGAGAGTTCTGCAGTCAGCTCCGTTCGATTTCTTATAAGTTGCGGAGGCCAGAGTGGGTTGAACTTGCTCAATGTTGATGTCCAACATCTTCCGCCACCGGGCATATTCATAATTCTCGGCCTCGACGTTATCTACGATTCCAGCAGCTGTGACAAGAACGTCAACTTTCCCGAAGTCCTCAACGATCTTTGCCCAGGTTGTCTTCACGTCTGACTCGATGGTTGCATTGCACTCGTAGGCACGAAGTTCGGGAACCGCGTCATTTGGGTAGGTGTCTCGTACTTGAGAGGCTATAGAGGCGATGGACGATTCGCAGTCCTTCAGAGACAAGTCAATGCACGCTCCTCTGGCGCCAGAGAGAGCAAAAGCTGTAAGGAACTCCTTTCCCAATCCCCGAGCAGACCCAGTTACGACGCATGTTTTATCTGAGAGAGAGAAGAGTGGCAAAGTCTTGAGAGTGCGACGAGAGGGAGGGAGCATGCGGGACAGGCTGTTGTGTCGTATGGGCTTGGAAAGAGAGGTAAAGAGAGGGCGCAAAGTTCGTGCAGAAAACATCTTTGAAGACGTCCCAAGCTCGGACGAGAACAATCTTTGAGTCTACCTCTTTCCCGATATCCTGAACACCCGGCCGTCGTCCTTTGTATCGTCTCTCATGTCAAAGTTTTTTGCCAGAACAAGAATGAGGACGCTTTGCATTAAGCGGGCTAGCCGCGGGGAGAGCTCCGTGCGGTGTATGGCCTGTACAACAGCTTCGGGCCATCTTGCGCCGATGCATGGGAAAAAAACCTGAGGGTAGACCTGCTGAAGCTGCAGCGAGTCGCAATGCTTGATTGTAGAGGTTCTCAAAAGAGAAGAAGCAGTCTCCCAAGTTTGGTCGCCGTGTAGCACAGCAGCTGCGGGGGGCTCCGGGTCGACCGATCCAGAGCTGAAACTTTGCAACCCACCAACTCGGCAAGCTGCACACTGATGACCCTTGTTGAAGCCTTACTAGCCCCCCTGCTTTTCGTATCTGCAGGCCTAATGCACAGTGTCCAGGTAGGTTTGGGGGCCGATTTGACTGTACCAGCCAATTGTGCGTTTCAAAATGGAATGAGCGTTACGCGTGCCAGCACAGGAAGCAATCCCAAATTAAAGGAGCCGCATGACTTGCTGGCATGCCTCTTAGTCACTGGTCCTCCGCTTCAGTCCCGGTGCCTGCGAGATCTAGATAACCGTGCACAGGAAGCAGTTGTGAGAGTATTCGTTCAACCTCATCAAAGATGCCGTCCTCAATGCTAGATGTGAGGGATGACCGCCGGTCAAGATCGAAATCTCCGAGTGGTCGCGACAGAGATCGATCGAGATCGCGCTCACGCGACGTCCGAGACCGAGACTCCCCCGATGAGTACAGTAGCAGGCGATCGAGCAGGAAATACACAGACCCACAGGATGAGCCAGAGCAGGATCGCGGGTACAAGGACAGACGTTCCAGCAAGAAATACTACGAGCAGGAGGAAGAAGACGAAGACGACCGCCGCGGAAGTAAAAGAAGCTCGAAGAAATATGTGGACGCGAGTGATGAGGAGGACAAACATCGCTCTTACAGGTCGAGCAAGGACCCTCGAGTACAAGAGATAACACCCACAGACGACGACAGGAGATATGAACGAAAGAAGAAGCCTGACAGTGACTCGGATCGACGCAGAGAGGAGCGAAAGAAGTCTAGCAGGAAGAAGTATGACGATTCGGCAGAGGAGAGCGACTCAGATGCCCGTCGCAGGTACAGAGATAAAGATTCCAATCACCAGAATGGTCATGGGACGTATGGCTATCCGCCGGGATCCTACGCCGAGATCAGACCAGAAGCAGCTCACCATATGAGTTATATTCCTAGCGACCCTCGATCCGCCGCTCCAGGAGCATTGAATGGTGGTGGCGCTGCTCCTGTGGCACAACGGACGAATTCATACAGCAATTCTGGCGGCCCCCAGTACGCCAAACTTGAGCAGTTCAAATATGCAGACCCTAGTGAAATTGCCCCGCGAAGACCGGAATATGAACGTTCTCGGCCATCAGACTACGAACGGTCCCGCGCTAAAGATGCTAGGGACAACGACAGCGACCATAGGAGCAGCAAGTATGAGACTCGCGCTCCAAAGGACGAGAAGCACAATAACGACAGATATGAGACTCGAGAGCCTAAAAGCAAGGATTATTACGAGAACTATGACAGACACGGCAGGAGTGACCGGAGACATAACGACGACAAATATGGTTCCTCACCACAAGACGTAACCAAGAGAATGTCAGCTTTAGCGGTAGGGAGTGCTGCTCTGGGAGCTGCAACATTAGGTGTAGCGCGACACAACTCTCATGACGGTGGCAAGCCTCCCGCTTCACCGTTACTCGAAGCATACAAGGGGACATATCAATCCATCTCACCTATGCCTTCGGCCTTGGTTCTCGCAAATCACAAGGGCGATTCTGATTTGTCTGACCTCGAACTTGAGCCAGATGATGACTATGACGACGCGGATGCTGAGCTAAAACGAAAGATTCGCCAGCTCGAAAAGGAAAAGGAGAAGTACATGAAGGGGCCCAGCAAGAGTGCCAGTCTTAGTGAAACGACCCAGGACGTCCGCCCGCGGCGGCTATCGAAACTTGACACCAATTTGGACGTTGAAGTCAGGGAACCCGGCAGTGCCAACCGAGACCGCTCACCTTCTCGGAGCATAATGTCGCCAGGAGGGGGTAACGGGAGAAGGAAGACTGTCTCCTTCTACGACCCTACTGAAGATGCCAAACGTATCGCCGCAGCTCTGTCAGGTACACGGTCTGCACCAGATCCTCGACCGCTGGTGCAAATCCTGCCACGTCTTTCGACCGACGATCTGCTGGCTCTTCGGGCGGAGTACAAGAATCACGCCAAAGTGAGCGGACAGGGCATCAACATGGCCAAGCACATCAAGATGCGTATTCCTGGGAATCTGGGGAAAGCTTGCTATACGACCGCCTTGGGTCGATGGGAAAGCGAGGCATATTGGGCAAACTCATGGTACCAAGGGGGTGCAACCCGACGAGAGTTGTTGATTGAGAGTCTGATGGGCCGCTCAAATAGCGACATCCGCGAGATCAAGAACTGTTTCAAGGACAAGAAATACAATGATGACCTCGAGAAGTGCATCCGCACCGAACTCAAAGCTGACAAGTTCCGAGTGGCCATCTTGTTGGCACTCGAGGAGAGACGAATGCCAGAATCGTCGCCATTGGACATTAGACTCATCAAAGAGGATGTGGTGCATTTGGCCGAAGCCCTGGAGTCGAAAGGCGGAGAGACGGATATGATCAAAATCATCGTTCTGCGGAGCGATGCTCATCTACGCGAAGTGCTCAGGTTGTTTGAGCGGACATACGGCGTCAACTTTGCAAGGCAGATGATTTCCAAGTCGAGGAATTTGGTGGGTGAGACATTGGCACACATATTGAACGGTGCATTGAATCGCCCCATGCGCGACGCCCTACTTTTACACCAGGCCATTAGCGAGACAGCGCCGGGCAAAGAACGGACAGAGTTGTTGATCTCCAGGCTTGTCAGAATGCATTGGGAGCCAAAGCATCTGGAAAAAGTGAAAGCTGTGTATAAAGAGCGATATGGGCGCACTGTGGAGGAGGAGATCAAGAGGGAGGTTTGGGCGCAGATGAAGACAGTGGAAGGGCGTTTCTGTGCTGAGTTTTGCATCGAGTTGGTTAGGAGCAGTTCAATATAGGAACGAGAAGAGAGGCAGGATGAAAGGATGAGCTGTGGTGGAAGCTATCCTCAAAAGCATCGAGAGGGGCATGCCTGGAAGCCAGACTCGTTTCGAGTACGTCGAGCATATGAAGGGGCTTTGAATGGATAGCTGAACCAAATATCAAGCTTATGAAGACTGTAGCCACTACAGGAGAGGGCGGATTACCTAATACCGTAATATATAGGATGTCACCGTTAACATACCATACGGCGAGACCGGGTTTAGAGGTCTCGCTCGGCTTGTAAAAGATCCCGGCACCGAAGACCGATCGGGAAGTCTCACACATGCTCGTCATCGATATGCATCTACAATCTCTCAGGCAGATCTCATTCCATCGCGCGGCCCAACTTCCTCGTCTCTTCGCCATGGTCACAAGCCGCCCAGTGGTCTCCTCATGACAATAGCAGCAAGGCGCATCTGCGCCCAGTGCTTCTATCACCTCACTCTTCGTCTCCCTCGACCTGGTCCTCATCGCCTGCCCTCGTGGCGGATCTCTCCACAGCAGCCTCTACGATCTTTTTCTCACTCCAGTCTCCGCGGTGCCTTCGCTCCCCCGACGCCTGCATCGCTCGGGAAAGCCGTCCCTGCCAGACAATTCAAGAGGACGAGAAAATGGATGCACAGACTCGCCTACTTGTTCCTGGGTGGGACCGTGGTATATGTAGTGGACAAGAGATTTTACGCATCCAGCCTCACAAGAAGCGTCCGCACTTTTACTACGGGTTTGGTTGCTGCACTGGACTACAAGATCAACTTTCGGGAGGACCCATGGTTTGCCAATGATATCGCCGAAGTACATGCACGCAATGCGACGAGATTGTTTCATCTCTTGCGGACAAATGGCGGACTGTACCTGAAGATTGGCCAGGCCATTGCCATGCAGACGGCCATCTTGCCTCCCGAATTTCAAAAGATGTTTTCCAAGATGTTTGACGATGCGCCACAGAATGATTGGGAGGACGTGCGGCGGGTCATAATGGAGGACTTTGGAGGTCGGACGCCCGAAGAGGTATTCGGCATCTCTTTTGACGGTGATCCTGATGCTGGTGTCATGGAGAGGAAGGCCCGCGCGAGCGCGAGCGTGGCACAAGTACACTGGGCAAGGCTGAAGGACGGGCGAGAAGTGGCGGTCAAAATCCAAAAGAGGGAGATTGCTCAGCAGGTCGGCTGGGATCTGTGGGCTTTCAAGGTGGTGACCCGGATATATACTTGGTGGTTCGACCTGCCCCTCTACTCGCTCGTCCCTTATATCACGGAAAGACTACAACTGGAATGTGATTTTGAGAGCGAGGCGAACAATTCCAAGCGGATGGCCGAACTCATCAAGGGCGAGCCCCGGTTGCGGGATAGAGTGTACATCCCCAAGATTTACGATGATCTTACCACCAAGCGGGTCATGACGGCCGAATGGGTTGAGGGCGTGCGACTATGGGATAAAGAGTCCATTATCCGCCCATGGCAGGGAGGCTGGCGAACTGGCAGTCCAGGCGCTCACGGCACGCCGCTTGATCCTCCTCAAACTCCCATCACCACCTTACAGGAAAAAGCCCGTTCGTACAACGAAGAACTCAAGCCCGACAGGACGTGGTGGAAAGGTCTGAATGGCAAAGGCGGTCTGGGGCTTGATCTCAAAGAAGTCATGACAACTATGGTCGACCTCTTCTCCGCGCAAATGTTTCTCTGGGGCACGGTTCACTGTGACCCGCACCCAGGAAACATCTTCGTGCGACGCCTCCCTAACGGTCACTCCGAACTTGTTCTGATCGACCATGGCCTGTATATCAACATGTCTCCCTCGTTTCGACATCAGTATTCCCTATTTTGGAAATCTATAATGACATTCGACAACAAGACCCTCAAGGAAGTCGTCAGCCAATGGGGCATAAACAACGCCGAGATTTTTGCGTCAGCTACGCTTATGCGTCCCTATGAGGGAGGGGACCGCTCGGTGACGACCCGCCTGAAGGGCATATCGGAACATGAGAAGAAAAGGCGCCAGTACGAACTGCAACAAGCCATGCGCAAGGGCATCAAAGAGATTCTGGCGGACGAAAGTAAGTGGCCTCGTGAATTGATCTTCATTGGTCGAAACATGCGCATTGTTCAAGGCAACAACCAGTACCTGGGTAGCCCCGTCAACCGCATCAAGATCACGGGCAATTGGGCTTCGAGGGCGTTGTCCGAGGATCAACAGCTCACGTTTGTGGAGCGATGGAGGTTTTTCGGGAGCCATCTGATGTTTAAATTGGTCTTGTGGGCGTCGGATGCATTTTTCTGGTATGCCAAACTCAAGCAGGCGCTGGGGAAAGGGAAGGGCATGGACGATGATGTGGACCAACTCATGAGGGGCATGGCGAAGGATTATGGGATCGAGATAAACCATAGTGTGTTTGAAGGTTGAACTGCATTTCTTGATGGTGTTTTATGTACTGATGCCGGATTCCCTTGTATTCGGGCAAAGCATGAAAGGTGTTGTTTATGTAGAGACAGGATGGAAAGAAGTCCCCTCAGCCGATGATAGATTCAACCATTGAAATGTATAGAAACTCCAGCCCTCGTATTGCAGAGAAGTACTTGTAGAAATGAAGCGGCCCATGTGGCGCCGAGCCTCGCTTGGTCAGGCCATTGAAACAATCGACTTCAGCCTCGTTCTCCACGCAGTTTGGAAAGTTCTTACTCCTCCATTTCTTTGGCAGCCAGCTGTCATGCAACCGCCACAACTGCAACTCCGCCATGCTCTCTCTACTTGTGTCTCAAATTCCCTCTTGGCCAAAGGCCTGCGGCTGCTTTGGTGCAGCAGACTTCGAGGGACATGCTCGCCTTCAAGCCCCTCCCCACCAATACAGTCTGCAGTAGAATGTCCCCTCCACGGGGGTCTGGACCGGGTTATGGATCTATATTTGTAGGCAATAGGTTCAATCTCATCTCATCTCCTTCCACATGCATCTGCCGGAAAAAAGCAAAGACTAACAATATGATTCAGATTCCCGACTGCGGCTGAGCGGCCTGGCCGGCCCAAGGTTGTTGAAAAATCCACTCGTTCAAATCTCCAAGGGCCCGGTCTAGAACGGTGGCGCTCGGCTATTGCTAGAACCGGCGCTCATCGAGCACGAGCCAGTCAGTCAGTGCAAGGGAGCGTCCTGACACGATGGGAGCAAAGACAAATTTCTCGGCCGCACAGCTGAACTCGCTATTCCTCTGCGTATGCGGGCCACCGTATCGTCGGTTACACCGTTGAGGCGCTCTACCATGTCCAGAATCTTGAACTGGATCATCCCGCTGTCAGTTCCGGATTGTCGCCCTTTTATATCGGTGTGAGACTTCTCATTCCTCTGAGGAACCAAAAGATGGTGCCTCGCGGCTGGAAAGGAAGTACACTGCTCTTCAGCACCTTCTGCGCCATCGTCTCGGCCGTCAATCTCGGCGTTTTGATATGGGCGGCGGCAAAATCCAAAAACAGCGTGTCAGAGGACGACGGGACCCTCGTCCTCCGCGAAGGCCGCGGTTCCCATCAATGCTCGAGCATCCAAGACCTGAACAAGTGGGCGCATCTCTTAATCAACTTGCTCAGCACGATCCTGTTGAGTGGGAGCAACTATTGCATGCAGTCTCTATCGGCGCCGACGAGATCGGACATCAACTCTGCCCATAGCTCGGGAAGATGGCTCGACATTGGCGTCTTGAGCATTCGCAATCTTAGATGGATTTCACGAAAACGACTGCTTTTGTGGTTGCTGCTTGGGTTATCCTCTCTACCTCTACATCTCTTGTATGTTTGTTATATTTCCGTCCTCCCCTTCCTTTTGTTGCTCAAAAAGTTGATTTTTCTTTCTCTCTCTTTTTTTCACAGCTACAACTCCGCCGTCTTCATATCCACCTCCTCGAATAACTATGCGGTGTTCACTGTCGACCGGACCTTCCTCGAATCCAACAGCACCAACGGTGTTGACTACGTCGATGTGTCCTACATCTTACGCAGTGGCATCCAACCCGCAGGAGTCGAGAACATGCCAGCCATATCCATACCTGAACTCGCCAGCCAGCTGCACGGCGACGCCAACTCCAAGAAACTCGTCAACTTGACCACGGAAGAATGCAGGACGGCCTACATCAAGACTTTTCAATCGGCCTATCGTAACGTCCTCCTCGTCTCCGATTCCAACGTCGGTATCGATGTTGTCGACAACGGCTCCTCCAACGTGGTGAGCTTTCTCAATGCAGAATTTGTCTCGAATTTCAAATGCGGAGGAACTCAGGCCTTCGCCTGGGCTTGTTGTGAGTTGACCTTGTCTCGCAAAACCACGTTTCATATTTTACAAGAACTCTCCATTTCCGGATGTCCTTAAGTGTCAAGCACACACTAACATTGATGGCTAGCAATGGATGGAACAGCTATAGGGCCGGAGGATTCATGTGACCTACCGTGTGACGATCCCAAGATCCTCAAGCAGACTATGTCCAACTCCACCTGGGCTCCATTGGGGCCACCAGTGCAGTATTGTCTCGCCGAGCCGTCGCAGGAGCAGTGCAGTCTGCGGTTTAGCATGGATATTGCGATCCTAGTCGTCGTTTTGAACTTTGTCAAATTGGTCATGATGGCTTTGACCGCGCTGACTGCGTTTGGGAGCAACGACCCGCCTCTTCTGACCATGGGCGACGCCGTTGCCAGCTTCTTGGAGAACCCCGACCCTGCCTCCAAGGGAATGTGTCTGCTCAGTGCTTCGAAGATAAAGAAGATGTGCAGGTCCCTGTTGTACCAGCCAGCAAGCCAGAGCACCGCACTGTATTCCGGAAACGTACGTCATCGGTGGTCGAAAGCCGTCAGCTTGAGGCGATGGTTGATATGTTTGTTTCTCTACATTGCTTCTTTATCCGTTGCCGCAGGCTTCCTCGGTCGTGGAGTCACAGCCATAGTTGGATCGAAATCTCTCTCATCGTTATGGTCGATTGGACTCGGCAACGGGTCGGGACGCACTCTGATCCAGAACGATGCCATGCTGCGGTCCGGCAGATCCGCGCTCATCACCAGCGTCGTGCTCGCCAACATACCGCAACTGGTCCTCTCACTCTTGTACTTCACCTACAACGGCCTTTTCACGTGCATGCTCCTCGCCAGCGAATGGAAGTCGTACTCCCTTCGCCGCAAAGGCCTGCGCATCTCCTCGGCGCGACCCAAAGGCGCAGAGCGATCGGGATATTTCCTCCAGCTCCCCTTCCGATTTAGCATTCCACTAGCCATGGCCAGCCTATTGTTCCATTGGCTAGTTTCCCAGAGCATCTTTGTCGTCAACATCTCCATGCTCGATTACACCGGCTCGCCCACTGCCTCGCTACCGGGTACCGTTGGTCATCTCGTGACCTGCGGGTACTCGCCCATTGCCATCATCTTTACCATTTCTCTGGGTGTGCTTCTGATAGTGGTGCTCCTGGGGTTTGGATTTGGCGCGAGTTTCCACACGGGCATGCCCATTGCCGGGAGTTGCAGTTTGGCAATTGCGGCGGCTTGTCATTCTGGTGAATCTGCTGCACAGGGGGACGATGGTGACGAAATGTCGACATCAACACCAACGTCAACAGGGGCACCAACATCACAGCAGCCGCTCATGTGGGGAGAAATTCCAGGTTGTTTTCGTGATGACGATATGATGACAAGCACACAGGCGTCTCTGAGGCCGGAAAAGTGTGAATCCACACCGCTGGTGAAGGCCACCGGAGACAGTGCAGATTCAGAATCAGAATCAGAATCGAATTTGAACGCGTCTCTTCTGCGCAAAACCCCGACCTGCTTGACTGTCACCGAGTCGGGAGCCACTGACATACCCGGACAAAGCCTCGTTTCCAGACGGCGTCCAAACACGACGCGCATGGCGCTGATGGGTAATGGCAATGGCAACGACAATGACAACGACAACGATGAGGCTGAAGAAACAGACGGCATAGACGGATACTTACTCCGCTCAGAGTCACTAGACCCGCACCGCCCTCGTCCTTGCCGAGACGACGACGGCGACGTGACGCCTTCTGTTAAACAGACGGAGATGTGTATCAGCGATACTATGGGAAAAGCGGATCATGCCAACATTAATAACAATACCATTCACATTCCCATTTCACGACCTGAATCAGTTCCTCTCTCGTCAAATGAGAAAGTTGGACACTGTGGCTTCTCCGCGGGGCCCGTTACGACGCCCGTCGAAGGACGGGTCTATGCTTGATTTGATACCTCATGTGGAGATGAATGAACAACAAGATGCCGGAGGAAGAGTGACGCGGGAAGGAGTACGCTACATAACGCGACGACCGCGACGACAGCAACGAGGACGAGGAAGGCGGAGCAAGAACACAACAGCCCTGGATTGTGGGTGAGCCGGCGTGGGTTGCACCATGCTCTTCGGGCTTGCCGTGGTCGTTGTGCAGCTCGTTGGAAAACGTACCAACTCTTAGCGGCGGTGGTGCTGTGTCGTGAGGCATTGCTGGTGCCCTGGCAGGTGTGGGCACTGGGGCACTATACACTGGTGCTGCCGTGTGAGGCGGTGATGCGGCTGTTTCGGGCTGGACAGGCATAGGATGGCTGTGTGCTGGCGCCTTGACTGCGTGAACGGCCTCCGGCGAGACCTGTCGCCTAGACATAGAATAATAAGCAGGTCTAACTCGTATTACCCTAGTGTGCCTCCCTCTGTGCCTCCAAGTCTTCCGCATCAGTTTCGAATATATGTTGACTATGACAGGGTCAATGAACATTGATTTTAGCAGGCAGGGAAGACAGCAGCCTGGATGCAAAGCCGGTACGCCGAATCTGACTCCCGGTCGGAAGGGTCAATACTAGTCGTCCTCAGGACTGACGACGCCGAGAGGAAATCCGTATGACCTGTACGGTCAATGAAAGGTGCTAGAGAAGCCTTGAGAAGTTTGGTTGGTTGCAGAGGAGCTCAGTATATATCTCCTTGCTGGACATCAGTAAATCAGGTGGGGAACAAGGCCAAGTTTTACAATTGGTGTACTGGGTACTTTTTTCAAACATGGTCACGCCAATTCGGTGTTCTGGACTTGAGCATCCATTTACCATGGGCTGATCTTCGGAGGTCGTCCGCTGACGGTTGAGCGCTGCTGGAATGTTTGTCGTGCTCTTTCTCGTGTTGCCAGCATTCAGCTCGCCAATAACTTTCCAAATCGGGCCACTATGGTCTGACTGGTAGATAAAATGTGAGTTTCAAGCGCACACTATACAAATAGCCTTTTTGTTGTATACTTGAAACGTCATCTCTCGCTGGGCAGAGGACCGATTCAGAAACCCAGATGGATCCAGTCAGTTCCTGCAAAGGAGCACGCGGCCTGTCAGGTCAGGTCAGGTCAGGTATGTAGAATCGACTCGAGTCTCGCTTACCAGACAAGACCTACAATGTGCGCCATTAGGCGATGAAGAAAAGCGTCAAGGGAACAGTGGAACGAGGAGAGCTGTAAATGTTTTGATTTCCTGATTCCGGTACATTGGTATGTTGGTAGTGGTAGGAAAGGTGTGACTGACTATGGCTACAGGTCAGCAGCCACAGGAGGGATTCTCCAGTGTAGAATCCTTTGGATATGTTGCAACACGCCCGCGCCTGAAAAGGTTCTCGCTTCCACGGCTCTGATCCAGCTTCCCCGGTACATTGATACCTCCCTTTCATGGAGGCCCGCACAGTATATTTGACAAAATTTCCAAAGCAGAGCCTGCCATATATTCTGGGTATGTTAAGATCATCAGCGAAAAGACAACCAGAGCACCCAACGCCGCGAAACCATCATTACACTCGCGCCTTGCCAACGATATCCCAGTGGTTTTTCCAGCGCCTGAGCTTCCAATCGAGGCACAAAATGCAAAGATCCCGTTCTTGGACGACCGTTTCCCAGTCACGTGGTGAACGAGGTATACAACGCAGTTGGAGCAATGTACCGCTCATTAAAACAACTAAGTCGGCGAGAATCCAGTGACGAGCACACACCGGCTCCTGGGATGACCGATTTACATCATCATCATCATTCTGGTGGCTCGCTTGCTGCTGAAGCTCGGTCGCGGGGAGCTCTCGCCGCCGGCCCAAGGTTTGTGGAGGAAAGGTTGACCGTCAATGTTATCCCAATGAGCAGTCTGTGTCGTGGCAGTGCTGCTTCGGTTCGGGTTGAAGTGGGCATTTGGAATAGGCATCATGTCGATGGTGCTGCCCCGGTACAGTGGTCCCATGAGGCGGTCTTTGACCGACTTGTTTCGTCGAGGCATTCCTGAGTTCTGAGGCGGGTTGTCGGCGAATTTATCAGGCTTGTCGGTGCCATCTTCATTCTTCTCGCCCGCGAGAATGGCGCGTTCTTTGTTGAGGGCGGCTAAGTGTCGAGAGCGGCGGAAATGGATGATGAAGAAGGTGACGAGGCCCACGAGGAGGAGGGCCGCGACGGCGATACCGACACCGAGACCAGCTTTGGCACCAGTGCCCATGTCGCGTTTATACAGGTGTGATATGGGCGAGGCGGAAGTTATGGAGGGGAAAGCGGCCAAAAAGAGGGTGAGGAGCGCGGTAGTATATTGAAAACGAGCCGTGGTTAGTGACATGGCGTTTGTGTAATCAGGAGAAAGAATTGGATTTGACGTTTCGTGTGGCGTCTTCGACCAGCGAGAGAAACTATTCGAAGGAAAAACTGAACAGGTTGTTGGGAGGAATCGAGGTGTGAAATTGGGAGGAGTCGAAGCGGTCTTGGAGAGGGCGAGGCGGACGGAGTAATATGCACAAAAGGGGAACCAAGGCGAACCAGAGCCTGTTGGGAAAGCTGGACAGAAGGATGTGACGGAGTTCTGAAGGATGTCAGTCAGTTGGAGGTAAGTAAGCACTTAAGGAAAAGATGCAAAGAACGAGTCGCGGACAACAGAAGACGCAAGACGCAAAGATGCATGAGCGAGACGCGGGTTTGAAGTCCAAGTTGGTCGCTGGCGACTTTCAGCCTGCTCTTGTCTCTGTGGCATCCAGGGCTGAAGTGGCACGATGCGCGTTGAGCCACCAAGCGTCCAGCACAGCTTCGGTGACACGGACAAGCACCACAAGGGCACAAAAAGGAGATGGGGCCTAGCCGAAAGGAGGTGCTCCATCATCTTCTGAAACGTTGGAGAATGCGAGTGATTGGAGGAAGCGCCGAATGGAGCCCGCCAGGCTCAGGCTTGTCAGGCTTGTCAGGCTCGAGAATAGAAAAGACATTTTTCTCAATAACGAGAAATGGCTGACTGGCTGCCGTGATTGGATCGCGGGGGCCATGGACACCGCAGCCAGGGCCATCCCTGACCTTCGTGGCCTCTGGGGAAATTCAGGTTTGGATGGACACGAATGGACGAGGACGGACATGATCAGCGGGTGGGAGTGCTAGCAGCTCTTGGAAATTTCTTGTCGTTGTCACAGGCAAGCCAGACATGTCGAGGGCGCTTGCAAAGGATCGCAGCAAGTGGCTGCGGTGCGGTGAGAATGGAGAATTGACAAGAGAACAGAGAAAAGTGAAAAGTCACGAGAAGTCACAGACTGCGGTGACTACGGTGACTGCGGTGGCTGCGCTGTTTCAGGCCGCGTCGCCCTGGCCGCCCTGGCCGCCCTCGTCTTTCACTTCAACCCCCTTCAACCTCCCTCCGACCAGGGCACAACCTTGAAACCCAGCTGCCGCCATCCCACTGCCAGTGCCACCACTGCTCTGTCCAGCTCGTCCACCAGCTTGTCCAGTGCCCGCCCGCTACCAAATGGCGCATTTCCACTTCTCCATCCCTCTCCATCGGCCCTTTCCTGTTCCTGAACATCAAGGAACGCGCTACGGACTTTTTCCATCAGCCTGTCCGACTGGCTGCATTGCATTCGCACACGCACCGAGTGCCGGCCCTAAACCTTGCACCTACTGTACCTTGCCTAGCCGAGTTGCGAGACTCCTACGCCAACCTCCCTTCCTCATCCTTACTACTGGTAGTACATACCTACAAGTACCCAGTACGCGTACGAGGTACGGGACGGGGACTTCGTTTTTGCCTGTGACACGTGATGTGAATCGCCCCCTCCCCCCAAAAAAAGACCAAGCGTCGACTTACCGACTGGAACATTGTGCTTCACACCCAGTCGATGGTACTGTACCCCCAGTACAACCCACCACAATTCCCCCATTACACGACATTGTCCCGCCCGCAGCATAATAAGGGGGAATTGCCCGAACGCTGCTCGCCTGACAAAGGTGGTCCATGTAGCCAAGACAGGAAGAAAAGAAAAAGCACAGCCTTGTGGGTTGCTTCTTTTCAATAGTCGCAGACGAACAGAGTTCGAGACATGTCATCAAGAGATGGAATCATTCATCATCCTGCTGCTTACACCGAGGCTGTGCCCAAAAGATAGCAGCGGAAACATGTACTCTGTACTCCCTGCAGAGCACTGCCGGCCCTCTCCTTTCCCTATCGAAAACGAATGCTCCCCTTGAACTCCCTTTCTATGTCACCCATTCCTTCTAGATATCCCCGAGCAAGAAGCTCAACAAACTCCCCACAGTAAGCCCACCGACGAGCATCAATCCCATGAAACCTCCGGCTGCCTCTCTCTCTTCCGGTGGCACCCACTGGCCGGATCCCATCATGCACTCACTGCCCAAATACCCATTCGTCAGGCCAAAAAGAAACTGCACAATGATCAAATAGAAGAAATCACTCCTCACCACCCCACCCTTGTTCTTGATGTTGCAGAGGAAATATAACGGGATGAACAGTAGTCGTGCCATCGATATGCAGAAGAGGGCAAATGGATAGTGCGTGAGGGAAATTCTGGGCCAGAGGGTGATCAGCCGGCCTGCTAGGTCGCCGATGTTCCACAGCAGGAAGGCTATCGGGATGAATACCGCCGAGTCGATGTTGTTGACGGACTGGATCGATGCCGTAAAGATAGGGAACACCATCGTGACCGCGAAGCAAATAAAGACCGCTGCCGCAAGGAAGGGCATCCTGAGGAAGAGCGTGCCCAGCGGCACCGAGGGTCGTTCCTTGATGGGGTCGCCCGAATCCTCGTCCCCTAGTGCTGCCGCAATGCTCCCCGTCGTCAATGCGTCCCCTTCGGACGCTTCGTCAGCTCTAGACTTCGCTACCGACTGGTGAGCTCGGCCTCTCGCCTCTCTTTTCAGGAGATAGAAGAAAGCCAAGAGCGCAGTCACTGAGATAACAGTGGCCGTCAAGAAATAGACCAATGCCGAAGTGGGAGATTCGTCGGCCGTGTCTGCACCATCGCCGTCCTTCTTGGCCGGGACCGCCAAAACCGAAATAATCTGCGCCATAGGTGGCAGCACTCCAGCGATACCTTGGCCCGTCATGATCCCCTGCGTGTATTCGCTTCTCCCGAATCCCGATGCAAACGAGAACAAGCCATTTTGGAGCAGGCCTGTGGAGAAGCTCGCCGCGAAGATGGCCACAAGGAGAAAGCCAAAGTACACGCCGGCGGACGTGGGAACGAGCGTCGACAGAGACAGCACAGCAAACACCGCAGTGCTAATCATAAGGGACAATGATATTCGCTTCGGATATGACGCCCCCTTTTGCAGTTTGGTCAATGCGATCATTGACCCGAGATTCGTGACCGTCGACACCGACACCTCGGCGGCTTGGAAGTGGTTCAGGATCCACTGATCTCGACGGAAACGGTGCTGGAAGTAGGGGGCCGCGGCGAGGAACATGTTCCTAGGGGTTTCCCCTCGTCAGTAACACCCATTTCCCAAGGCCAGGGAGCAGCCGCGTGGACTTTATGTACATACCAGGCCCATAGCATCGCTATCCCAAGCAGGAGAAAAATGGCGTATTCAACCCATGAGAACGGTGTCGCAGTCACATTATCCTCATCCGCTCCGTCTTGTACACTCTCGTCATCTCTTTCCGCATCCCCCCGGATAGGCTGATATTCCTGCCGTGAACGAAACAAGCCCATGTTGGACAGTTGTGGAAGCTCGAATGCGGGTTGTTCAGTGGCAGTCGTGGACATATAGGAGGACGGGCACAGCCGTCAGAGGGGTCAAGTCGTGGGCCACCTCATCTCACTTCATCTTCGTCGCGTGAACTAACCGGTCCAAGTCATGCGTTAGTCGGTGGCTGTCGGTGGGAATGAATAGTGCAAGTCGTGTGACGGAACGCCCTGGTGTACTTGTTACTCGTAGGACGAAGTCCGTGAATGACGCATCTTCGGTCAAAGGGGGCCGGCCGAATTGGCGTTCGCCACCCCCCAAGCGTCCGTCCGAGGCAAAAACGACGTCCTTACATAGTACCTCTTCGATATCTCTATTCCAAGCAAACCGCCCTGTGCAAAGAAAAGACTGTACGATGAAGGAGACATTCAATGTCCAGCATTGTCATTACTCATCGCACATGCGCCTTGCGGCAACTTCCCACCCCAGCGCCTCGCTATGTGTTTGAAATAAAATGCCTCCTCTGGTGCCTCCTCTGGTGCCTCCTCTATTCTTCCATCTGGGCTTTAAAGGCCGCCATGTCAGCTGGCGCCAGCCAGCCCCTCACCACCGCCGCTGTGACGAGGCCGTCCGCACCCACCGGTAACAACGTCGGTTGGACGTTGTTGAGGTAAGTTGACACCTCAGCCAACGTGGCCCACAGCTCCAACTGCAGGTTCTTTGCTGCCCTGCTGCTGCCTGGCAGGCTGGCCCCCCTGCCAGCAGGGGTCCTCCTCAGCATATCCGCCAGCAGGTATCCGAGCCAGAACAGGTTGGATTTTGGCAGGAACCTCTCGTACTTGTTCCTTGCCTCATATTCAAGTCCATCAAGTCTGGCATTTTCTTCCACTTCGGACTCAACCAGCTTGGCCCACTCTCGGGCTCGGCGGTACGTCCCCCACTGCCGTTTATCTTCCTCGGTTTGTGCTACGTATGAGTCCGTCTCCCAAAACAACATCGGGTCGAAGACGATGAGGCCGCTTTTACTCCCGTCACCGAGCTTGGCTCGCGACAGAGTGTAGTCGATGACAGTGATTTGCAGATTTGACATTCCCAAGACGACTTCTGGCCTCTTGTTCATGTCTTCAATGAGGTTTTGTGCTGCATCAATCGGGCCGTCTTTGGTTAGAGGCTTGAAGCAGATGTTTCCATTGTGCATGTCTCGGTGTTCGAACTCGATTTCTCTCTCCGCGAGAGCGAGGGTCATGGCCGTTTTCCAGAATATATCATACACCTGAAATGCTGACAGAGTTTTGAGGCGATAGATTGGCTTTCCGGCGTCGTTCATTTCCATAATGGCATAGAGCTGTTGTGGAGAAAAATCCTTCAACGGGTTGGAATGGGCGGCGGAAACCGGTCTTGTTGCTTTGAATGCGTCAAACGCTTCGAGGAGGACGTCTGGGTACTTGCCGCTGACAATGTGGATGCCCCGGCAGCGAACAAATCCATGCAAAGCGTCGACTGACTGCATGAGTCGGACTTCTCGGGTTATTGATTCCATGTCAGCGATGTCATTTTGGGTCTCTGGTGTGAGCTTGAAGGGGATGATTTTGACGATGAGACCGCCTCGTTTCTCCAAATCCTCGGCCTCTGTGAAGTCTTTTGGTTGAAGTTTGAAGACGTCGGCATATGATCCCTCACCGAGCTTTTCGCACAGGTATTTCTTGCCAATGCTTCGACCAAATTCCTGGAAATCTTTGACTCCTTGTTGTTCGATTAGTGACAGTAGAGGTTCGAGTTGTTGGAGGTCTTGTGGTGTGAGGTTCTGCAAGTGGTGGTCAATTTCCTGGAGTTGGCCAATGAAACCGTAGAGACATACCGCCATTTTCCTGGATGAAGCATCTTTCCGACGTCCTCGAGGCCGGGGGTGATGTTCAGTTGGTCTCTGCTCAAAAGAAGGAGTTGGTTCGGGTAGCGGTCGCACAGGCGTCTCTCTAACATCGTGATGAATTGATAGTTTCTCCATCTTATTAGCAATGTCGTTCTCATCTCTCCCACCGCCGAAGAGATCAAAATGCATTGCCCGTCTCTCCGCGGTCTGGGCCTTCTTCTTGCTGTATGTCTTGTCATTGCGACGGACTGGCCGTTGCTGGTTCTTCAGCTCACTCAAGGCACTGAAGTCCGCCATTTTTCACCCAAATTTCATGAATTTGACAAACAGGAAAAGTGTGACACCGCTTATTACCAGCTGAGTTGTGTGAATGTGAATGGTATGTCCTCAGACTAGTCCAAAAAGCGTTGGCGTGCCGGTTGCTCTGAGAGACAGAAGCAGCGATATTTCATCCGAGCGGTGACGAAAGGGAAATGTGACTCGCCGCTTTTAGACATGCATCGTGTGCAGGGGTGTATAGAGAAATCCAGAGGCTTTGTTTTGTATTCAAAATTCACATTAGACATACCATTCACTTTCTGTAGTCTTCCCAAGACGCATTAAAAAGATCTCTGTACACGACAATACCCTCTTGTCCAGTGCTCTGGCCAAATCCACCCTGTGTTCCCCGGCCCAAAGCTCGATCCGCCCTTCTTCTCAGCCAATGACTTATCAGACGCCTTCTCTTGAGTGGACTCAGTTTGCGATGGTAGAGACTGGCTTTGTTCCGATCATCGTATTTGACCTGACCGGCTGGTTTCATATCCCACATCTTATCGTACAGGGCCCAGTACTGTGCGAGCGAGGTGCGGTTTCTGGACCGCATCCACGCGTTTGGCGCCTTGAGACGCATTCCCGAGGCGAAGAGCCGTCGTAAGCGGTAAATAAACTCCCAACGGATGACATATTCCTTGACCTCAACACCGTACACGTCTCTCAGCCGTTTGAGCACGCGGGTCCACCACAGGCAACGTTCAGGGGAAACAACACCCATCCCTTTTCGGGGTCTGAAGCACCATGACATGAGTGATTTTTGAAACTTGTCGTCGAAAAGAACATTTAAATTTGTCCCTGAGCCGGACATCGGGACTTGGAGGACTCGGCCGTTGAGCCCTCCGTTTCGGTACCATTCTGCGACCCAGTAGACAAGTGATTCTAGCTCTTTGAGACGTCCTTGTCGCCCGAGTGCCTTTACCGGTGCCCGCCAAAGCCTGATCTTGAAGTTTGTTCCTGAAGCGAGGACGTTTTGCATCAGTCCTATCAGGAACCCGATTTTGTCTATGTCTCCGCGACCTTGACCACCGGCGGATGATTTATTGGCTCGAAATAAAGTGATGATGGACTCAGGAAAGGATGAAGAGATATGTAAACCATGTTCTTGTAAAGTCGACACACAGTTTACGGCACCTCTCCAATCACCTACATCCATCATCGCTCTTAGTAGGAGGTTGGCGGATCGGCCACGAGAGTAGTTGTCGAATTGTCCATCATTGAGAATCACAAGCGTACGATTCAGTTGTCTCCAGTCTTTGGTGCGGTAGTATTCCGTCAAGAGTCGACTCTGTAGCTCGATATCTTCGAACACCTCGTGATGCAAATCGTTGTCCACCAGTGCTTGGACCATTTCCCAATGTCCTGCGTCACAGACATCTCTGATTATTCGAACAAAGACGGACGATCCGGTGTCAATCTCGAGTTCGCGGAGTTTCTGAAATCGAGCTTGCAAGGTAGCTAGATCTCGTGCAGCCAGCACCATTTGACGGACAGCCAACGGTCCAACCTCAATCAGCCCGATCATTCTCAGACTGTTAACTGCAAAATCAAAAGAGAAGGCCCGAGTGGCAAACGCCCGTGCGACAAATTGATCGCTGAGCTTCGTTGGAGCTGATCCCATAGTCTTGCTTGCCACGATATTGAGAGAATCTGCAGGTATACCAGTGATTCTGCTTCTGCCGATGGACCACAGTCGTCGCGCCTGGGCTTCAAAGGAAGCGCCAGCCTGGTTTAGTGGCGAGAGAAATCTCTCAAGGCTTTCGTTGTGCAGAGCTAAGTAGTTGATGTATGGCTCAAGTAGCTCAAATCGAGGAGGCAGGTCTTTCCTTGCGATCAAAAAAGAGTGCATCATGAAGGCATCAGACGAACGGTCTTGCGCCCACAGACTGGAAGTAACCTCTGCATAGATGCGAGTCTTGGGAACCAGATCATAGACGCTGCAAAACCCTTTCAGAGAATTGGTCTCTTTCGAACGGCAGGCAGCGAAGAAGGTCGCTAGGAGATCTTCGCGTCCCTTGTAATGCTTCTGGCCAATGAACGATGCGAATTGATAGGCCTCCAGAGGCCGGGAACCTTCTAATGCCGCTCCAACAATTTCCGCGAATAGGTTCGGCCGTTTGTACTTCAAGTGTTTGGCTTCCTTGCAAATTGACCAGAGAAAGTGATGGTCTTCGGAACCAGCGGAGAGGAAGGTCTTCCACAGGCCTTCAATGCGAGGGTCATCTCCCTCAAATCGAATGGCTTCCCCTCGGAATTTCATACCCCTCCATATAGCTTTGATCCCTTCGTGACCGTTTTGCAGAGCTTGAGCAATTAACAGAATTTCCCAAAGCTCTATTTCGTGGCGATGGGAGGGATTGTCGACTAGACGACAGCCAATGAGCGATGTATGGCCGACATCTGCCTCGAACCGAAGCTGGTCTCTGGTTTTGATACCGTATGCTAGTCCACGATCTAGTAGGCTCTCCCATTGTGCGTCGTCTGAATGAGAACGCTCTGAGGAAGCGGACGAGAAGTAATCATCCCCAGGCTCACCCGGACCATGATCAAATGTTGATTTCGAGCTTGTCATCAATGGCCGAGTTTGACGCGAGGGCCATCGCCGGGGTAACGCTATATTCGCGGCAATGGCAAAGTTTGCAGCGGGTGGCTGGACTCGACATTGACTGTACAATACAGGTAAGAGACATCGCGTCTTCGGGCATCTCTCGAGACGTCCCCATAAAAGTCTCATGTAGCAGCATACACGTGACCATTAACAAGCCTCATCTAGGTTTTCATTGTACCAATTGAAGAGCCTCAATGAAAGAAGGTAAGCACTGCCAATGACGAACTGAGTGTTGGCGAAACGGGCGGTTATGAAAAGTCAGGAGATTCTTGTTCAAAAGATACACCATAGTCACGTGCCAAATGAAAGGCTTGGCGGGTAGCTCCAATACCATGGCGTGAGCCTGCAACCTCCGAACCTCAATTGAACTTCAGGTATAATCCTCTGCAGCTCTTCATTCCTCTCCCCACCAAGTTTTGACTATTTTGCCCTCCTGAACCGACAAGATGGTCGCTCCCACAGCTCTCCGAATGATGCAGGCCACCCGGGCTCGCATGTTCAGACCTGCTCAAGCTCAGCAGAAATCTGGGTATGTTGCAAGAGGGAGAAAGCTGTCACTATCCCAAGTTGTATAAAGGAGGCGCACCGGGGTGCCTATTGTCAGGATCTAGCTGATTACTTTCTGCACAGGTTCTTCGTGTATCGAGACAATCGAGTACCTTACTACCAACGTCTGTTCCAGAACCACGATGGCAAGCGACAATGGTGGAAGGTCAGTAGCCTCTCAGTTCTTCGAAGCAGACCTTCATCCTGTCCCTACCCGCCCTTAAGCCCGCAACTCAAGTGGAAGTGAAGAGCGCGCTCCATACATAGCCACAGAGGCGCAAAGAGTTACAATGCTTGTGTCCATCGAGGAGAAAAATAGTCCCTAAAGCGCCGTGGCCTTGAGGGACCTACGACAAGTTCGGAAATGACGGAATGCATGCGTTGGCGTCGGAGTGCATGTCCTACTCTGAGCTGTTGACTTTATACATGGCATCCTGTGTTTTGGACGCGACTAGCAAAGCGGGAGACCGATCGCAGCATGCCCCGAGATTTTCCCTCCATTGGAACAACTACATCGGCCATTTCGGGCACCTCTCAGCAACACATGTTTCCACCTGAAGGTTCAAGCCCTGAAGAATGTGTCAGAGTACTGAGCAGAAACCAAGCCTTTTCGTCGCATGGAACTCTGCACGATTCGTGGTCACCAACCAACCAAGACACATTTCGTCACCCTCGTTGTCACTCGGTCCACTGAACAGCTTGACTAATAAGATCTTTCTATAGACTCACCGAAGCCCATACATCCTCTATCCGTACTACACGATCCTGTTGGGCAGTCTGACGTTCTCGGTATATGGCATGACCCGCGTTCTGTTCGGTCACAAGACACTATGGTAGAGTGGTTTGCCAAGGTCGAGGGAGGAGAGGAACTGCAGATGTGCCCCTCAAGGACCTAACTGCGGCTGTTGTACATATTGCATCACAAGAATTGAAATCGAGGCGCATCATTCGACAGAATCGTCCTCAATACCAAGACCACGGACCGTTTGCTTTTCCGACATGAATACTGACTCACAGGGATATGAGTTCGTCTCTGTTCAGTCATCGGATTGTTTGCACAAGGGGGCAACTTGGAAAGCATCTTCCGGCCATCAATGTTGCCGCCAGCAATTCCGTCACGTGCCCCTGCTGTTGCCAAGAGATGCCTGGCTGAATTGTCAAAGTCTCCACATGGCCCTTTCAGATCTTCCACCGACACGAACCTGAGACCGTGCTTTTCGAACACTGCTGTTTCTGCGAATCGAAGCTGCTTTGGTATGCACGTTCATTTTAAGCCTTGGGATGAATCCCTGTCTGTCCGGCTGTTCTTCATATGGCTCCGATGTTTGTGCAACATGATTGGTTTTTGTTTCGGAGATTGGCCCCATGCCTGTCATCAAACTTCCCCTCGACACTTTCGCTAATCCGGGAGAAAGGCCTTCCTGACACGACTCTATATTTGCTTATTTGCCGTCATCTTAGCCTATCCCCCAAGATGGACGAATATGACACTGCGCCACACGCGCTCGCCTGCATCTGGTTGTCATTCATGTTTCGCTTCATGGGCGTCTTTGTCCACTGGAATCGGCGTTGCGGACTACAGATGGTGTAAATCACTGTGCAGATGATCTCGGAAGGTAACCCACAGTCGTTTGCATTGCCAGACGGGATCCATTCGCAAGATGCCTCGAGATGTCTTAAATATCGGGGTTCCTCAAGTTGTCTTAGCAGGCCCGAATGCCCTGTGTAAACATCTCACAATGCTCTACTTCGACGTCTTCCTTGTGCTGTCTTTGATCGGGACTTCGGTCTCGTCGCCAGTGAGAAAGCTTGAGAAACGTGACCTACCAGCTTTCGTCCGCCAATACGGTATAGCTCTCCTTCGATCCTCCCTTTGGAGGAAAAATTCGATGTAGGAGCTGACAGAAACTCCATTCTAGCACCGATTGCGTACCTTGACTCTACAGAGACCTACTTTCCCAGCTCTATCGCCGGGCAGGTATCGCTCACACATCCCGAAGATGGCTCAGGAAACAACATTACCGGCTATCCTTCACCCCTAAATCTGAACAATCTCAACAGTCTCGATAATTTCGCCTCCTCGGGAACGAACGTTTACCTCACATCAGATGAAGGAATTGAGGCTCTGCCCTCTTGGTTTCAAGGCGTCAAGCCGGATTCCTCTGGCTCGACAGGCGCCACAATCGCCAGCCTGATCATTACCGTCTCTAAACCAAACAATATCCTCGACGCATTCTACTTCTACTTCTACGCGTACAACCAAGGAAACTGGGTTTTGGGCCTACCCTCTCTCGAGTTTGGCGACCATGTCGGCGATTGGGAACACACCATGGTCCGCTTCGTCAACGGCGCGCCCTCGGCGATGTGGTTCAGCCAGCACAGCTCCGGGGAGGCATTCACCTACTCCGCCGTTCAAAAGTATAACCAAGGCGACAGACCCGTGGTGTATGTCGCGAAGGGCACGCACGCGAACTACGCCATCTCGGGAACCCATGACCACACGATCCCAGGCCTCAACACCCTTGCGGGCCCCTTAGAGGACCACACCGACGCCGGCGTGTTCTGGGATCCCCTGCTCAATAGCCCGTATGCCTACAGCTACGACAACTCAACCGGCGTCTTCAGCGCCTACAACGGCCAAGATCCAATAGCCTACCTGGACTTCGCGGGCCGATGGGGCGACAATCAATTGCCGGACAGCACACCCGGCCAGGTCGACGTGTTTGGCGAACGCAAAGACGTCGCCGGCCCCACGGGCCCGAGGGATAAAGACCTAGGACGGTCCAACGTCTGTCCTGACGGCCAGAGTTGTTCCGTCTCGAGCCTCTTGCTGCCTTGAGCGCCGCGTACTATTTGAAACCCCCTGCTGCGACCAGGAAAACGGAATAGACGAGGGGAGGCCACTATATCTCGAGTAGTCTGAGCAAGGCGAGGCGAGGCGTGGGTTCGGTGTCATGTCATTTTTTGTTTTTGTTTTTCAGTTCCATTTTTTCGTTGGGAAAATCAGACAGCGAGGCGTTTTTCTCTTTCTTCCTTTTTTTTCGGGCCGCCTTTCTATTCCCCCCATCCACCGCCCTTTTCACCGTTTTAGATCTCTCCTGAGTGCTTTGTAGATCTGTTGGTGTATAGAGCGAGTAGGATATGCATAGATAGACACATGAAAATACATAATATGCCACCTCTATATATATTCATATATATTTGAGTGGGTGCTGTGATTAGACCCTTTCTGGGATCTAGAGCACAAGGCAAAGCAGACCAGAGCAGTATATTATCAGGTAAGGCACATTAGACCCTTGTCAGTACGTCGAGGGACGACCCTTAACCAGCCGCCGTCGGTCTTGAAAAAAAAAAGTTTGAATGGATGGATGGATGGATGTACGTATGTGGTGCGCCGGTTAATGTTTACATCTTCTCATTAAAAAAGACCATCTGGTATTGGAAGCAAATAGCGCCGTCCTGTCCTGGCCTGGCCTGTCTGGACTAAATCCACGCTGCTTTCGTTGCTTCTTCCTCCCCCGGGCCAGACTGAGAAGGGCAAGGCAGTTTGAAGGGAAAAGGGAGGGGGAAAAAGAGATAGAGACATCCGCCGCCAATATCCCTGTTTGACTGGTACATTCCACACGCATACATACATATCTTGCATTCTTGCCAACACCGACACCGATGTCAAGGGGAAGTCATTCATCCGCCCAATACATATCAACTAGAAAATCACATAGAAGAAGAAAAAAGTGGGTTTGGTATATAGACACTTGCCCCGCCTTCGCCCTGGTCGATAAACTAGGTTGAGTGAGGCCTTTGTCAGACAAGCAAGTTCAGATATAATGATTTCGGCAACTTCGCCCAAATCCCAGGAAGAGCCAGCTTCCCTGTACGTATTTCGCATTTGTTTCTGTTCATGTTTGCAGGTAATCCGTTAGGTCCATCGTGCAAAAGTGTCGTCGTGGTCTCATGGCTGGTGTTGGATTTTGTTTCTTTGGCTCTGTGAGCGATATTTCTTTGCGGCCTCGTCTGGATACTTCCACGCAACATGTGCATTGGAACTGTACAAATAGTTTCGCCGAAGAAAAGGGTTTCTTGTCGATGCAATCTGGTCGGGAAAGCCGGAAGGACGGTATCGACCAACTCCAGTGTTCACGTCAGATAAGCCCGATCTCAAGGATATGGGATTGCTTGCGCAGTTCATGTATATTGAAAGCAGATATCTTGACTTTTCTGGTTCAAGATCGCTCAAAGGGCAGAGAAAAGACTGAAAATACGGCATGCACGAAAGGATTCCGTCCAACTCCAGAAAGCAAACCGGCCGTTCTTGTGGACTGTATGTTTATACGAAGGTCTTCGTCGTTACCAGTGGGTCTTGCTTCAAAGTCAATGTTTGTCGACTGAAATTTGTCCAGCCTTCCGAGGGTTTGGTCAGCTCGTGTCTCTCTTCATGTGCAGTCCCCAACCTGGGTGTATACACACCGAGCCCTTCGGCGCGGCCACCAGACCTATTGGCAGAGGTCTTGTCTGGTAATACATTCTTGAAAAGTGGCTTGAGGCAGGGTATGCATGCACAGACGATACCCGTGCCGACCTCAACCACTGACCATTTCATTGTGGATACTGATCCCATGGTGACATCCAAACTGTCAACACTCCTGAGGACGCTGATGCGGAGAGCTGATGCCACGGTTGCGAACAAACCAACCGCAAATAGCAAAGACACGATGTATTTTTGCCTGGCTGGAAGTTTGAGTCTAAAAAAGACTGGCAATGGTAGGGTGCACAGCAGAAAGTCGGTAAAGATTGAAAAAGCGGTAGTGAAGTAATAGAATGTGACGATCTGCAAGCAGTCTCTAGGGAGAGTAAAGTCCCATGCTGATCGTACTGGGTGGCATTGGAAGATGGTGACGAGGATACTGCAAATCCAGACGGCGATAATGGCAACACCGAGAGCATACATTATTCTCCGAAAGACCGTTGTCGGGAAAACTCGAAGGTACGATGCCACAATGGAGATCTTGACCAGCATCAAGGCCGTTACATACATGATTTGACATGTCCACAATGTCTACTACCTGTTAGTTTGTTCTATAACGAGCAAGGGGGTGGTCTGTCCTAACCTGAATCACTTTCTTCGTGTTGTCGACCAGTCTGGAATCCTGGGGAAGGTCATAGATATGTTTTCCCAGGCCGTATCTTAAGCCTTTTGCCATTGTCAGGTGAATGAACTCTTTTCTTGGGCTCTAACCGCCGACTTACCAACTATGGACATGGCGGAAAATGCGTCGGCGAAGAGGCCGGCCGCCACCATGAGGTAGTCGTCAACGGCCACATGTTTAACGACAAAGGCTCGGACAATCAAGCGAATAATAATGATGACAGAATTGACGCAGATGAAGGAGATGTTGACCCGATAAATCTCTCCCACATATGAATCGTGAGGTAAAAAATCTGTTGGTACTTGGCTCATGGTGAGTAGATTCCGGCTCGGTCGAAGGATTTGCCCTGTGGATCCAATAGCAGGGCACGAAACAGCGACCAATTGCTGTCACGATGGTGACGCTGGTGGGATGGCAAAATGCAAAAAGGCACAACGAGTATCAGAGACCGATATCACATTGACTGAAAGGCAAATATTGCATGATGAACCTCTCTTTCGAAGGATCAAGAGGAAAAGCAGGCGCTATAAGGTCCAACGGCTTTTTCTCCTGCAGGTTGAGCTCTTTTTGTCCCTGGTCTTCGTCCCCCCATGGGCACTCTGAGTCAAACGGGCATTGTTGCATGGCTGCACTTGCCGGGCTGGCTGCTGTTGGGACGAGTCTTTCCATTCTTGGGGGCGTCAGCCAATATCCAACCTGGTCAGGATTCAGTCGTTGCCCCCGACGCGTGCACTTGCAGAGGGGTTCTTTGAGCAGAAAAGCGTGATCAAAGATGTGTATGGTGTGAAGGCGGCAGGGAGGACTGACCAAGGACACGCGAGAAGAGGCAGATGGTGCGATTAGCGCAAGGAAGAGGGCCGTCGAGGGCCGTCGAAAGGCTGCCGAGCGCGATGTGTGTTTCCCAAAGCGGCGACCGCAGGCGCCTTGGCAGCGGCCCCTGAAAAAGGCCTTTCTGTGCAAAATGCCGTCTGCGCTCCCTCATTCGCTCGACACCACACAATTAGTTTGCCAAATGTTGGCAAATGCGGTCAAAATTCCCATGTCATGTGTGTGGAGATTCCATTCTAACCTTCCAACTATCCATGATCCCGGCCTCTCTCCACGAGGGAAATCCAAGTCTGTGGGCTACCGTCAGACAACTTTCGGAGGAAATACGCCACCGGTGCCACCACGAGCCCCAGCGCGGGATGCAATACGTTCTAGATGGGATGGATACGGATATCTGCCACACTCCCGCAGCTGCAGAAACACCTACACCTCCCTGAAGTGTCTCGTCGTGGTGGCTGCCTCCATGGCCCCTCCTGTTCATGCACCGAAGACGTTGATAGAAGGAGCCAATGTGCATGAGAACCCGACATGCAGGAGCCTCTTCTGGGGAATCACCGTTTGAGAAAAAGTGACGAAAAAGCCTTACTCGGAGATTTTCTTAGGCAATGCGGGACAAAAGACTATTAGGAGCCATCGTGTCGAAATTCGGACGATCTAATTCTCACTCAGCAGTTACAAATGCCTGTAGGCACTGAGCAGGGGATGCCATGTCCAAGTCGGATTCCTTTGTCCAAAGACTACTTCCCGCGCCCTAATGCTCCTGCATCATTGTGCCCAGTCTCCCCCACAGAGCCACAGAACGGAGTGTTCAACATTGATTTGATGATGTCGATAATTACAGTCAGCCCTTTTGTGGAACGTGCGCACCATTCTCCCGTGGGGAAAAGGGGGGAGAGACATTGCAGTGTGTAGAAAGGTTTCTATGCCTGCCATCAAAGGAGTGGCCCAAAACAGCACACTACATGCGCTGCACACCATGAGCAAGGGGCTTGTGTAGCTGGCAGAAGTGGTTGCTACAAATTGGAACCCAGATATCAATTAGGGAAATGTATTGTGGGATTCTTGTAACGACCTCAAGAAGACTGCTACCATTGTTTCCTCGTGCAAAGTATTTAGTGATAACCCGTTAGGCTAGAGCTTAGCAATCGAATGACAGTAAACAACCTCGGAAATCGACTCCCTCAAATTAGAAGAGAGAGAGAACTACACCAACCAGCCTCACAGAACTCGAGACGCAAAAGCAAATGCCGTAGCGATCTGGGTTGGAAGCCAGGAGGGTGATTAGTGACCAATTCATCCGTCTGCAGAAGAGCTATAAGCATTCCCATGAGAAGATCAGCCCACCGCACAACAACCCCCTTGCCGCACCCTCATTCAGTTTGAGCCGCCTGACTCAGAATGCCCAGCTTGCTTTCTCCGTCACGCTGGTCTGTTTTGTCACGATCCCGGCACCCAGAGCGACGACGGATGTCTCGGTCCGACAATTTTGTCCGGCAGGACCGGGGATTGTGCGTTGACGTCGGGTGACTGAGGAACGTCTCCAGCCCAGGCTGTGCCGTAGACAGCAGCCTCAAATTGGGCACGTCTCCTACCCGCTTCCACCTGCCAGGATCTTTTGCCCCCGGTCGCACTGACCCTCGATGGCGTTGGTCCTCGACTATCCGCACTGCTGGCATCTGGTGGCCTTGACATGATGTATTGCAACAGCTAATCTAGCTTAGACTGCGGCACTGATTCCATGGCCTCTCGGTGCTTGAAGAGGAAGAGACCATAGGCTCCTCCTCCAATGAAAACAAAGAGAGTAAGAAGGGTGAAGATTGCAATGAATCCGGTGGACAGTTCTACGGCAACAACTTTGACGCTTACCTTGCGTTTGATTGGCCGCTTGAGTTGAGTGTCCTTGGTGATCATGTATGTCTGATAGAATCGTTGCAGGTCTCTAGGGCGAATTATCGTAATCTCATCGTCCGCCATTGACTCCTCCTTGAAGCGCGTGAAATAGTTTCCCACCATAGCGGCAGGGATGGTAAACACGTTCTTAATATCCGGGAATGCGATCCAAGTTGGGTCCTGAATATGGCCATTGGTGAGCTTGACCGTGCAATCGACACGGGTATATGAAGCAGAGCCCACTGGTCCTTCACCAAATCGACACGGAGCGTAGTCATCAGAATCGTTCTTCCGTGCATGGTGAAGATGTAAAGCTGCCATGGACATAAACACCGTGCGATATGTGCCGAGTGGACTACTGGATTCATCCCAGTCTGAATAGTTCGCCGCATACATGCAGATGAGCAGATCCTTGATCAATGTTACATTGACGTAGAAATCTGCGCTTTCCCAATACCCGTAGTCGCTGCGCAGAAATGCCGGAAAGATTTTGTCTTCTATTGCGCCACCAAACTTCCCGGTAAAGGTGTTACAATCGGATGTGAGATGCAAGCTCACGGTCATTGACTCGGTGGACTCGCAGGTCATGGCCCAACTGTTGCTCCATTCGTCAGGACGGTAAACCCACAAATCCGAAGTGTTTGGGAGATAGTCGAGGAGTTCGTTGATGGGAAAGTTTGCGCGGTCGAGACTTGTTTGGGTCAAATTCCACGCCACTTGGGAGTCTGGCATGCTGTTATCCGTTCTTCCAGCAAGAAGCCCATTGGCCTCCGTTTGAGCCACGACGTGCGTCAGCCTTGTTGAGTACTTCGCAATCGGACCAGAGAGGACAGTTGTGATGGAGAGTGCAACGACGACGAGGCTTTGAGCAACAATGATCCAATGTGAAAAAATATGAGATTTTAAGAGTATGAGAACATCGATGGCTTCACCAGGTGTGTTCAAGCTGAGGAGGGACGATATTGGCACGACCCTTCCTTCGGCAGCCACCCGTGCACTGACTGACCAGCAGCAGCGTGTGAACACGTATATGGTGATGCCGCTTAGGGCTGTGACGATGACGTTTAACACTGCTTGGACATCCTCCAGCTTCCACGACCGCGGTAGCGTAGCCCAGGAACTCATAGTGAACGGCTGAAAGTTGTAGGCAGTCCTTCATCGAGAGCAGAAAAGGCATCGCCAAGCTGGGGTAAATGGGTGATTATGAATGTGGAGCAGAGCCAGCCTGACACAGAAATATCCTGAGGAGCATCGCAAACGCCGGTCCAGCCGACGAGGCGACAATACACCCGCCATTCGGAGCCACGGCTCTTCCAGACTCTCGGTCGACATGCGCGCTGTGTCGAAGAGGTCGTGATGAATATGCTTGATGGTGAGCTGGGCGACTTCTGGCGAGCTTCGCGTGCGCCAACGTTGCGGCTCGCTTAGCACAAAAGATTCCTACTTGTGTATATCCTTTTTGGAATTGCCAAGGTTGCCGGACTTGGGCACCGTTCAATTCCACACTTCGTGGGTGAAGTGTAAAAGGTCCAGATTGGATCATTGAATTGGCGGCTCTGTTCGGTCGGTCTCGGCAGCTGAAATACCCTCTGATCCTTAATCGGCTTCAATGAGTTTCTCGTATCCAAGCCTTCCGATCATCCCGCTCTTGAGAATTGAGGACTTTCATCCCGGTGACACCTGGGTGAATAGGGCAAGCAACACCATATGATCAGACGGAAAGGGAAAAGGTTGAGTTCTGAGGATGAGTTCTGACACAAGCGCTACACCTTGACAGTGCATTTTTAAGTACATTAGAGAATCAGTTGGTTCAAGGCTGAGAGTGCAACCTCAGTCAAGAGAGTGAAGGACTGATTGTGCTCACCTGGTGGAAATAGAGGGAGAGTTGTTGGAAGAAAACTTACCAGACACGCTTCGGCACATTGTTGAATTGGAAAAATTGTCTCGATAAGTATCAACATCGAATTCTCGAGTGTAGGTGGAAGTGCTAGGGAAGATGTCAAGTGGAGGACGTTGCGCTGTGGGCTTCGACTTGCTCGGCGCACTTTCCTTAACAAACCGACCCTCCTTCGCTCCCTACTGCGTTTCTCATAACGCGATCCAAAAACCCATCAACTGGACTCTTACTTCAGACACCCCTTGTTGCTCAAAAGGAACTCAACCGTATTGTCTGACTTCCTCTTCCTGCAGTCCTCATCTGTATCCCCAGCCTTGTTGCCAGATGCTCTTGTAACAAGATCGACGTCTCTCCTCTGCCTCCCATTCAAGATGGACTCCTCCAAAGACACACCTTTCCCTCCAGCGGGCGATCTCCCTCTTCATCGCAATGCGCCTCTTGCACCCACACAAGAGCTTGCCTACAGGAAGAAATGCATTCAGCTAAAGCGACGTCTCGCTGAGATCGAGTCCAATAACGATGCTACCCGCAAGAGAATCATTCAGGAAACGGAACACGTCCAGAAGATGCGCCTGTTGCGTGCGATCCTTCTCAATCACCTGCAGGAAATTATGACTGCTCCAGCTAAAAAATTGACTCCCGAACAACTGGACAAGATTGGAGTCCTGGCAAACGGCGGCGGGAACCTGGCAGAGTTGGCTGGCAGCGGCGTGGTCCCCGAGTTACAACGCAGCAGACCTGAAGGGGAAGGATTACTGGACGACAGCTCTGAAGCGAGCGATGAAGATGAACCCGAGGTTAGGAAGCCCTTTGCTCCCCATAGCAGACGCTTACCCGACACAGCCCGTCGAGCGACCTGAGCGGCGAAAAAGAACCATCATCCCAAGGGCGCCAAATATGTATCAACACAGCACATTACCCAACCTTGCTCCCGCAAGCTCTTTCTCTCCAGTCCCCCCTCACGATCCAGCGGCGCTCACCTCCTCTTTCCGTCTCAATTCTTCTACTCCACAAGCGCCTGCGAACCCTGGAACACAACAGCAATTTCCGGACGCTGTATATCCACAATCCTCTCCTGTGCCAGCCAACGAGCACTTGGGTGTGGCGTATCAGTCGCCGAGTCAACCACGAGCACCAAGCATAACCTCTGCTCATGATGCCGGCGCGAATGGCCTTACCCGTGCTTCGGGTGCACATGTACGGCCAGAACGACCAGAAGCACCTTACGTGCAATTCACAATGCACATGAGACCACAGCTAGAAGCTGACGACTACCCTCCTGATCAAATTCCTGCTCGTATCCAGGCTGAGTGGGATGGTCTTAGCGCCGATAACAGGAAGCTATGGGATGACAGATATGAAGACCAGATGAAAGAATATACGGCCGCGATGGATGCTTGGAAGCGTGCTACTAGGCGAGAACCCTCAGGCAGTGGCTTCTCCTCCATCAACTCGTAGAGTGGGTCGAACAGAACACCCAGTCGCAACGATCAAAAGGTTCCGTGGCATTCGGCCCTTCGAATGCGTCGATCCTCTGGGAAATACTAGCCATTGCGATGCGCCCATACGCCTCCTCCAAATCTGAAGCCAAAGAGGAAGTGTCTAAATCTAACTTCGGCGTTATTCAGTTGTCAACCCCGAAACGGATCGAGTCGCAACAGGCGCTGCATATTTACACCAAAACCGGCCGATTCTGGCCCAGGCGGATATGCTATGCTCAAATGTCTAACCGCCGATATCAAGCTTTGCGCTTACACATTTCGCAATTGTTGCTAGGACTTTCCACCGGCCATTGAGGTCACTCTGGAGAGCGTGCGGGGGGTCTAGATTTCGAAGCACAAGAGGCCAGAGGCAAGACGATCGCACCATTATCTTGAGGACTCTATGCTTCCGAGTTTCATGGACATGGATATTTATGTTCGTCCACTTGGCCCAGTCATCGATCTGTTTGCCTGTAACCGTCAGTACAGACCAGGGTTCTCCAAAAGTCCGTGATTAGGCAAGCTATTTTCTCGACAACGGGCCATATGTCCAAGGTTCCTTACACAGGCCTGGCTCTGTATTCGGCACTGAGCGCTCGTCAAAATTGCTGGAGAGGTCTACCTACGTCATCCACGAAAGTAAGCTGGACCGTTCCGCGAGCATTGATTTGGATTTTCAGTAAGAGCCTAATGCTGGGAAGAGGCTTGGAAAAGAGCTTCAAGAATAGGAGAAAACTAGGGGTTGCTCCAGTTTAGCAATAGATCCCAACTCTGGTGCCTGGTTTATGGCCTACGGCTCTTAGTGGGAGGGTCATCTCAAAAGCTGGAGCCATGGACACGTTATGCAGTGAGGTGGTATCGTTGTCATGCCTTGATGCTTCTGGTCAACAGCAAGGGCGTCGAGATGCATTTCCCACTCGGTGCAGCAGCTGAAAGACTTCACGACATGGATGGAGGCATCGGGAATATAACAACATATATCACGAGCGATCTCGGAAATGATATCATCCCGTGAGACGGGCGAACTGCATTTTTACCATTCACGGCGTGATTCCTGGTCATTTTGTTTCCTTGTCCATACAATTTGAGCATCAATTGAGCACCATCTGGACACTCGTACTCAATTCGTTCCACGAAACGAAGTGTCCGTTGGTCACTTTCCGTGCATACAGAGAAGTGCAATTTAGAGATAGCCTCTTCTTTTCTCGTCGTGTCGGCAAGTGGGTGTTCTGTCACCATTCTGCACCGGGGCACCCGCTTGATGGCTGGCCTATGTGGACATTGTAGGGTACAGGTAGGCCCTCCTTGATCGCGCTCAACAACGTTCGGACCACTGGCAGGGGTGGAATTCCCTCTTTAGTGTTGGCCGTCATCGCTGTATCGACTTGAGACGTGGACGCATGCCGTGAGTTTAGTGGCCGTCGGCATACCACACGCGCTTTTTTGGTTTCCTATTTTCTCGATGCTCGTTCATGACATGGATTTAATTCCCTTTTCCTCCTTTTCGTCCTTTCAACTCGAAGACAGTTCGTGCCCTATCTCACCGCCAGCCACTTTTCGTTGTTCAATCCTCGTCCCAATTCGGGTTCGGCCCAGGTGGTTTCGGCCCACCAGCTTGCCTCGCGACGATGATCTGATCTACGCTCAGGACCGTCCTTGCCGCCTCCGTGGCCAACCGTATCGCCCAGGACTTGGTCACCATCAAGTCCAAGATGCCTTCTTCCAGGGCATCCAGGACGCCGGACGCGTCGGCTACTTCCAGGTCAATGCCGGTCGTCCAGTAGGGTTCTTCCGATTCGTCAGATTCTCCGGATTCGTCGTCCTCGTCCTCAGCGTCGTCTTCATCATCGTCGCTTTCTTCTTGTTCGTCTTTCGTTTGACTAGGGCGCTTCGCCTCGTCACTGGAACCTACCCGGCGTTGGTGCGCTGTGTACAGCCTTGCCACCACTTCTGTAGCATCCGATCCGGCACTCTCTGCCAACGTTCTCGGGATCACTTCGAATGCCTCCGCGTATTTCCTAATAGCGTACTGCGGCAAACCTGGCGTTTTATCAGCGAAGTGACTAATTCTCTCCACAAGTTGCATTTCCGTTGCGCCTGCGCCTGGAACAAGTCGGGGGTCCTTTGTGACTGCTTTTATGACGTTGACGCCGTCGTCAATCGCGCGCTCCACGTCGTCGAGATGGTTCTGTGTTGCGCCTCTCAGCACGATGGTCGCCGTGCGTGTTGTTGCGGTGTCAGACTCCTGGCGGAAGACGGTCACTCTGTCCCCACCAATTTCAGTAGTTTCTACGACATCGATACTGCCCATCTCATCAGGCATGGGTGGTCCCAGACGGGCCAGAGGAGTGGCGTTGCACACGCTGCACAGACGTCGGAGTTCGAATTTCGACATAATTTTGACCACGAGGATGCCCATTCGGTTGAGGTAATGCATGGCTAGCTCTCCCACGGTCGCGCCAGCAACACACACGCGGACACCCGTATCGTAGATTTCTCGGATGGCATTTTCGAGCTGTGCTTCCTCACCTTTGGAGAAGGCCATCATTTCCTTTGCATTTTTCAGTAGAACAGTTCCCTTTGTTTCGGTTTGGGAGATATCAATCGGGCATGAGAACACTGCAACTTTTGCTTTCTTCGCCCGTTTCACCAGCCCCTCAGGCTCGCGGCCGAAGACCATGCCCTTGACAACCTGAGAGGACGAGAGGTCCCCGCCCATGATTTTCACCACGCGGATATTGTCAACGTTGAAGTTTGCGGGATTTTTGGGTAGGACTGCCAGCACGGCCTGAGCGATTAACTGCGAAATGAGGTCTTCGGAGCCGGATTGCTTCGAAGCAACAACAGTGCGGAGGGCTTTGCAAAGTTCGTCGGCAGAGCGGACATCGGAGACGGTGTCGACTTCTAAATCTATTGACTGGATGTTAGTGGCGCCTTCTTTAAGACTGTGGCGGATAGCGCCCGTTTACCTTCTAGGCATTTCAGTGCGTAGGCCTGTGCCTTCTCATATCCAGACACGATATCACTCGTCTTAAGACCCATCCTTATTAACTCCTCAGCTTTCTTAAGCAGCTCTCCGGCCAGGATTATGACCATGTTTGTTCCATCTCCCATCTCCGCCTCTTGCTGTTGACTGGCCATGACCAGTAGCTTTGCGGCGGGGTGGACCACATCCAGTTCGCGAAGGATTGTCGCGGCATCTGAAGTTAGAATCATCTTGGACAGATGATTGATGACAATTTTGTTGCGGCCATACGGGCCTAGTGAGGTTTGAACGGTCTGGGCAATCGTTCTGCATGCATCGATCTGTACACAAGAATCAGAAAATGAGTGGTCTGAGGGGTGAAAGTCGGCATACGTTTCGAATAACGGCGCCATCTTCGGCGTCATAGCTGCTGTAGCCAGGCTTGAACAGCCCGGCCTGGGAGGCCTGGGGTATCGCTAAAGACATCGGGGTGATCGGGAAGTGGAAAGTCGAGAGGGTGTCGAGTAGACAGGTGGAAGATCAAAATACGACTGCGGCGTGACAAAAAATTAACGTTGGCGAGGCTGATGTCCAGCCTTGCCAAGCCGATCGCGTACTCCGTATTCGACTGAAAGCCCGCTGCGGACTCGACCCGGCCAGAGTTGACGTCTCGACAGATTGCGGTTGTGCTGTCAGACAATGAATACTTACAGAACCGTGGAAGAGCCTGCGAAACCTTACAATGATGTCAGGCCCACGGTCCGACTCCGACGATAGCAATGGATCTGAACTTGACCTGATTACCGCGGAGGAGGCGGGTGACATCTCTTCAAGGTAGGGTTCGCGATTTTGACGGATGACTTTGCTAATGCCTTGGTAGCAGACCCCTCAGTCTGCTAGGTCCTAGAACTTTGGGCCGCACTGTAAGCCCTCCTCCCACGACACCTTTGCAATGGAACAAGATACCCTCGACCGTGCCGTCCGCACGGGCTCAGGCGAACGGGGGTCCAGCCGAGACGAGTGCTACCATTGAAGAGGGTGATTCTCACGGTTCTGAACACGTCGACCACAAGGATGAGGGTCCACTTGATTGGTATGTCGAGGGGCCGGGCAGGCGAGTGGGCTACGACGACCTGACTGCAATTGACTGGATTTATGAGTATACAAAAGAACGGCAACGACTGCGAAAGATTCTGGCGCACCACACGGGTCTCGTCGGAAACCTGAGGCAATTACTGGACGCCAGCCATGTTTGGTTCGTACTCGTCGCCAGTGGAATCTCCGTGGGGTGCGTAGCAGCCTTCATCAACATCGCTTCAGACTGGCTAGGTGATATCAAGACAGGCTATTGCAAGAAGGGAGTCGGTGGAGGAGACTTCTATTTGAACAAGCAGTTCTGCTGTTGGGGTCACGATGAATTTGCTCAATGTCAAGACTGGACTCCGTGGCCTGCGGCGCTGGGTATCAGAGCAAGGGCCGGCCAGTTCGTGATGGGCTACATTTTCTTCATTGCCTTTTCTGTCCTGTTCGCGGTTTCGGCGGCGATCCTCGTTACACGTTACTCAATATATGCTCAACACAGCGGTATAGCGGAAATCAAGACGGTACTGGGAGGTTTCGTCATCAGAAAGTTTCTCGGTGCATGGACTCTAGTCACAAAGTCCTTTGGTTTGGTAAGTTCGTTTATTGATATTTCTGGAGATGAGCTGACTTCGTCAGATCCTCGCCGTCTCCTCGGGTATGTGGCTTGGTAAGGAAGGTCCGTTTGTCCATCTTGCTTGCTGCTGCGCCAATATCATCATGAAGCCATTCGAATCATTGAGTCAGAACGAAGCTCGAAAACGAGAAGTCCTCTCTGCTGCAGCTGCGTCTGGTATTTCAGTTGCCTTTGGTGCACCTATCGGTGGTGTCCTATTCTCACTTGAGCAGTTGTCCTATTACTTCCCCGACAAGACTATGTGGCAGTCATTTGTTTGTGCGATGGTGGCAGCAGTGACGCTTCAGGCCTTGAATCCTTTTCATACCGGAAAACTTGTCCTCTATCAAGTCACCTACACGACCGGGTGGTACAGCTTTGAACTTGCGCCATTTATTCTGCTCGGCATTATCGGGGGAATATATGGCGGACTGTTCATTAAATTGAACATGTTAGTGGCACGGCTGCGTAAGTCCGCAAGCTATCCGCTTCGCAACAGGCCCCTGCTGGAAATACTGGTTGTTTCCGCGATCTCCGCAGTCGTCAACTATCCGAACCTCTTCATGCGAGCTCAGCTCTCTGAACTGGTATATTATCTGTTTGCAGAATGCGCCACTATTGGGAATAACGACATCTTTGGTCTTTGTCGCGCAACAACCGCGGGAGCTCTGTCAATGGCATGGCTCTTGGTCGCGGCTTCGTTGCTGGGCTTCTTGCTTGCGAGCATTACATTCGGCCTACAGATTCCAGCAGGCATCATACTCCCTTCTCTGGCAATTGGCGCCCTCTACGGAAGAACACTCGGGGTGGTTGTTCAGCTGATACAAAAACACTTCTCAACCTCCTTGTTGTTTGCTGCCTGCACCCCTGATGTTCCCTGTGTTATTCCAGGCACGTACGCCATTGTTGGTGCTGCTTCAGCCTTGGCTGGGGTCACGAGGATGACCGTGTCGATTGTGGTTATCATGTTTGAACTAACAGGTGCCCTCTCTTACGTGTTGCCAATCATGATTGCGGTTATGCTTGCAAAATGGATCGGAGATGTCTTCTCCACGCGAGGCATCTACGAGTCTTGGATTCAATTCAACGAATATCCATATCTCGAAAACAAGGACGACGCAGTCATTCCTCACGTCCTCGTCTCCAGTCTCATGACGAGAGTGGAAGAAATGAAGTGCTTAGATGCCAATAGGCCTCATACCGTTGAGAATCTACAGAACATTCTGCGGACAACATCTTATCGCGGTTTCCCGGTGGTGGCGTTCAGAAAAGCAGTGACGGATGTCGCTGAAACAGTTTCAAACCGGCAGTACCCACGCGAGAACACTCTTCTAGGGTACATTTCTCGGGTCGAACTGGCGTTCGCGCTGGAGCGAATGACACATCCTAGCAGTCACAGACCTAGCCCTGGAGCTGAAACAGTTGTTGATTCACAAACCCAATGTTATTTCACCTATCATCCCGACATCGCCTCCGGTTGTGGAATAGACCTACGACCTTGGATGGACCAGACACCAATCACGCTAAACGTGAACAGCTCACTTCAACTGGCAGTACATATGTTCCAGAAACTTGGGCTTCGATACCTTCTTTTCGTTGACCGTGGTGCTTTCAGAGGCATTCTCACCAAAAAAGACGTTTGGTGGATTTTGTCCGCATCGGCAGATGGACCCGGGGCTGAAGGGTTTGTTGCCGATGCGGAAACTCGTCGTGAGACCGCTTTGGAGGAGGACGACAGCCTCGAGGAAGCGAGAGGCCTTCTTCAGCCAGACTTAGGGGAACCAGATCATCAAAAAATGCCGAGTTAATCAAACCTGCATTTGCCGGAGTCTGGACCCTCCACTTCTGCCTTTCTAGGGACATAACCATTGAATCGAACAATTGACCTAAATCCGAGGCTCGGACGCCTGAGAAAATAAAAGGCCGGGGACTACGTGGCAGAAGGTCTAGTGAACGCGGGACCCTCGCTGGACATTGCTCGCGACAGCTTTGAGCTACGAACCCCAAAAGGGGTCATGGTGTTTCAGGAGTCTACAGTAGTCAGGGTATCTGGCACTGTGATGGGGCCACCATGCAGGTTTTTCTTTGCACAATCTCCCGAAACAGCCAGAAGCGACCTCTCTTGTATGCACAAAGACACCAGTTTGGGCTACTTGTCAGTAACTATTACAGTCCTCTGTCCTCCGCAGAGTACCCGGGAGGGAAGGGCAGGAGCACAGCAGATCATCCGCTCCCTAGAAAGTCTGGAATATCGCTTAGAAAGACATTCGCACGCGCTACATATGGCGTACCTCTAGCAACTCCTCTAGATCATGATTTGGCGAGGTTTAGGGCTCTGGCAGCGGAACTACCACGAGGCGAAGACGCAATATATGGTCGTCTAAGGTCTTCGGCCGCAACAAAAAGGGGCTGTTCATAATTGGCCATTTGGCAGAGCTGGGGCCTCCCTTGCCCACGGGAAAAACAGGGTAAGCAAGAGAAAATGGGGATGACTATGCGAGTGACTCGCCGAGCCTCGCGCTCTATCAGGCTCCTCCTGACGATCCCTTTTCGCGCAACCGAAATGATCAGCAACAACGTGTCAATTTACGGGGCCCTCGTGAAGCGAGGCATACCGGTTTGGCAGTTCAACGCGCCTACAGCGATAACGACAAACTAATGCGCAGGCAGTAAACTTCTCACTCCCTACTTATGACTAACAGCATAGCAAGACTGCTAAAGTCTGCAATGATAACTTAGCTTGCTCTGGTCCCGAACTCGGGCCCTCGGAAACAGGTACGGATCAGTCGAGGGAGCTTTCGGGTCGACTAGAAGGACGGTCAAGGACGGTGAAGATTTTGAATCTCTGCGAGGCGTCCACCAAAACAGGCCATGATCGTCGTACGCCACGAGGTGTTAAGCGAATGTCCACTTGTCCACTGGTGGAAAAGAACACGGCACGGGGAACAACTGAACCTCGATGGTGCCAAAAGAAACTCCCCCGGGTCCTACTTCCGGCAACCGTTCACCAGCAACTAAGAGAACGAACTCCTTGCTGCTGAAGCTGTACTGGTCTTGCCTCCCGTGCAGTCGCCGTGATTCTTCACCATTGTAAGGATGACAGAGACATCAATACGTTTTCCGGTGAAGCGAAAGGGGTCCATACCGAGCCGCAAGAATTTCGAAGGACGAAGCCGAACTTGTCAGCTGTGTTGCCGTCGCCTCTCCCCTTGCAGCACGGCCGAAGGCTCTCCATAGTCACAGTGCTTACCTATGGCCTCTTCTCTCGTCGAGTACGAGTAAAGCTTTCTGACTCGCAGACTTGACGTTTAAAGGAACTCAAATGGCTTCAGGGGCACTTCATGACCTCACAGCCCACGAGGCACAGCAGGAATACGAGCCTGCCATCGAATCAGTATTCTACTTTCTACAATCCATTGCGGTGACCATGACCCAGTTCCAGTTTTCATGCTTCTGATCTTGGCAAAAGATGTGTACCATAGGACCAGTCAAGGCCCAAGAAGCTTTGTCTCCCTAGAATGGAAATCGCCGTTTCTTGTTACATCAATTTAGCGGGAGCCATCTGTCTCCAGCTGATGTCGATCTCTGCAAATTGACGTACAACAGTTTAGAAGGTGAAGGCGATCCGGCGACCGTGGTATAATCTATTGGTGCACAGGGAGAAAACTTTTCATTCCAAAAGCTCCACGGCCTTCCACTCCCGCACAATGCTGCAGCTACAAACGTTTTTTCCTTCTTCTGTTTTAGTACTTGGAAGATCGATGGCCAGGTAAATGAGGACAGGAGAGTCCTAGCTATTGGTTCCGTAGCTGCGGACCTGAGTGGAAGTATAATGCCCACTTTCCTGCAGGAAGAATGGGGGTTCCTTTGGAGCCGAAGCATTCCTTCTCGAGCCACGAGGAGAGCATCAGCAAGCGATATGACTCTGCGAATCCTACCCGGTACAATCGCTTGTCTCGACTTGCTCTGCGCCCCAGAGTAGGGGGTGCAAGGCTGCCCAGCCTCCGTCACGAGGACCTCAACAACGGCTTGTGCCAACATGGGAAACGGTGACTTGCAACAACGGATTGGCAGGAAATGCCTGAACGGAAGTGACTATGCGATCTCTTTGCACGGCAATCTTGGATTGATAAAGAAACCCAGTGTTATGTACATAGGGTGACTGCAGCCGATGCCGCCAGCAGTATATCCGAAATGTGGGAGCTTAAAAATACTTGCTGATCCTTGCCGCGAACGAACCCAAACTACCGTATGAACTTCTGTGTCTTTCGGGGTGATTCGAAGCGTAACCCGTCTAGCAATCAACTTTCTGATAGAACTTCAAACGCCACAATCACACCCTCACCTCTCAGGCATGCGAGCATCTGAAATGGTTGTTGTGGAAGCTGTCGATACCTGGCAATCCGAGGGTCTGAACTGTACAGTGTTTGTACGCCGTGCTGAGAACAACCTTCGCAGAAGTCATGCCACTTCTCTCGCTTAAAAGCACAGACTGAGAGCTGTACATAGGGAACCTGCGCACTCTGAAACGAACTGCCCAGGTACTGTACTATGGTTCTAGGTATCTAAAAATGCCGGCAGTTTGAGGGGGGTCAAACGCTTTGCCCTAGTCTCTCGCTTGGGCGCTTGGATTGGGGAATCTTGATGAAAAGCTATCTTGGATGCTAGCCACTTCCCCGGCCACCATGACCCTGGACCTGCACCAGCACCTGAGAGCCAAACCCAAGGAGGGGAGCCGAATGCACGGGTGCTCTAACTATACCCTAAGAACTTTCACGAGGATCCTCCGTTCTTTTACAAGTCTTTCCCTTTGCCGGGCGGTACGTAATTTGCTGACAGTGGCGATAATTGCACGGTTCAGGCTGACGGCCTTGCCTACAATGTTCTTGGACTTGTTTGAAAGAAGGCAAGCATGCACATAACAGTCGACAGACGACGCCAGGCCGTTGAATCCTTCTGCGCCTTGAGGACTGCCATAGAAGTCCATCGCATCGGCTGCAAGCGCCACAAGACGAGGGCCTCTAATATGAGGGCAGGTACCCAGTACATAGGCAAATCAGCCGAGATCGACCACCATTGGCATGTCTCTCCGATGCCTGGTACCAGTGATCCATTTCTACTGGACACTACCCAGAGCCTGACGGAGACCGTTGGCGGCATGGAAAACAGCCGGATGCTTTGCGAAAAGCTCCCCGATGCAGGCATGGAAAGGTCGGATCCATTTACTGACTTGCTACGGAATATTATGTATGGCTCTCTGGGCGCCGTGGGGCCAATATAACGGTTTGTTATGCAGTCCCCCCGATCAGTGGCACCTTAGGTATAAACATGGTCTACCCTGCTTCGGCTGCGAGGACTGACCTAAGGCCTCCTCACGAATGTCTGCGGTTGAACGTTGAGGACGCAAGCCAGCCTCCTTGGGCTGCTTGCAGCGGCCTCCATCTCTTGATTGTCCTGATGGATGACGGGATGATGACACAGATTCAACGAGATCGCTAGTGTATAATACGATGCAGATTCTCCCCCCTCTGAGGACAGATAGGACCATCGAAGCCGACATTCTTTGCACAATACAGGTCTCATCTTGCTCCAAGCAGGTTTCTCAGATCTTTGTTGGAAACAAAACCAAGCCACCAATACGGCTTCGTCTAATCCAGGAATTAAACAATGGATCAAGCAGCTCTCGCCGTTCTCAGGAGGCAAGGTTGGAGTATGGGCCAAGAGGGGGTAGATGCGCTTGGAGACTTCGTTTTCCCTGCGGTCGGGCAGAAGTCGAAATATATGAGGTATCGCTTAATATTCTGCAAGTCAAGATCTAGTTCTGTCGATCAGCCATTTCAGAGTAGGCACAGGTAGGAGTGCAGGAACGTGGTTTGATATCATATTAGGTTTTCGTCATGACATGGGAAATTTCGATAAACCTGTAAGGGATGCTGCTTGGGAACATTTTCATCACCTTGCTCCACCTGCCTAGAAGGCGATTGCTACGGCGCTCCAGCATAATTGACCGTTGGGCGGCGGACATAGTGAGTGGTACCTTACATTTGACCAGTCCATTGTTCCTAGCTCCAGTCGGTGATGTTTGTCTGCTGCAAGGTATCCCTTGCTCAGTCATTGGCCCCATTGACAATACCAACCCCGACAAAGGGCCACCATGATTGACCTAGGTACTTAGGTATACGACCTACCTAGGTAAGTATGTGTGCTGTGCACCTGGCATGGCACAGGGAGGATCCTTGTGGGAACAATTTTCCGACGGTCTCCTTGATCTGTCATGGGGGTGGCAGCTCGCGGCGTGAGTTCCTGCTGCCCCCGGGCAGGTTGACAGGTGTCACGGCCGTCACAACTGTCACAGCTGTCGAAACCGAGGCTACCTAGGCCTGAGTTCTGACGCTCGAGAGTCAAAGGCAGAGCCGGAAAGGTAAGTAGCTTGAGACCTCAGGTAACGTCAACATTTCCTCTTGGTTCTTTACCCTCTATGGAAGGCCTGGACGCAGATCCCTATCGCAAACAACGCCCTCCCCAGAAGGCCCTCGAATAGAGAGCAGATAACCACCTGCATTGCCCCGCCAAAGCCAGGATATCATGCAGCATTGGCATCTGTGGCATCCTCCGAAAGGGCTCTCTAATAGGCTTTCAAAGGGGTTGCCTGGGGGCAGTTTGGCTTCTGGCTCTAATGCGCCTAATGCTCTTTCCAAGACGCCGGCTTGATTTCTTTCCCACAGAGGCATGGTTCCAGGCGCTCGGTGCAACACCATCTCCATCCCGGTGCCTCTACGGAGTACGGGGCCTACCCAAGACCCTCCAAAGACCTCTCAGTGCCGTGGCTCGACCATGGCCTTTGACATTCCCCACTGGAGCACGGTTACAAGCCCCCCCAAGAACTTGTCTTTACATGACATCCGCCGTCCCAATGCCGGGATCCACACAGTGTTGCGCCATGGGATTCCCCCACCGCGCCGGTCCAACTGGTCCAAAGCGATCGTGCCTCATGGTTTCAATGCTAGGGTGCTCGTGGTCACTGTGCGAAATGCCCCCACAGAGCCGGGTTGACTTTGAGAGAAAGAGGCAGCATCCACCAATTTGCAGCTGGAGAAGTGCTACTTCCCTCGAGTCCCCCAAGCAGCATCCAAGGGCAATACTATACTCTAGCCATTGTAACCCCCCTCTGATTTCATTTTCATATCCCCGTCTCCCGAGTGCCCACTGAGGAAACAAAATTGAAAGGCCTCCACGTGGTTACCGATCTCCCCTAGTTCTCTCAGGATCTTCCTTCTTGATGAAATTGGTCTGACGCTAGAGGGAAGAGCACTGCCAGTCGGGCATCTCTTTTCCATGACCAAACACGATCGTTCCTACTCCAGCGCCGCGGTGTCCAGAGAGACCACCGAAAACCTCTACGAGTTGGGACTTCTCAATCGTCCTCGATCAAGGTCTCGGACAAGCACAAACGATTCGAAACCCGCCCACTGTAAGACCTCTAGCGATAATTCCTTCTTTTGCGGCCGAGGCATCCTCTCCAGTGTTGCTTGAAAGACTTTCTGTTCCAGCAAGACAAAGCGAGCAGAGATAGGACTGACTCATGGTTTTATACTTCCCAGACCAAGTCTCGCGAGCCCGTCACGACGGGTTTCCTCCTCGCGCGGGCTCATCATTGGGGGGCGCTTCCCAACATTCGACCTTCAAGCAATCTAGTATTTCCTCTGGCACCCTGGGAAGGCCGCATACTCCAAACGACCGTCGTCCACGGACCCGGGAACACCGACCTCCTCCTTCGCCCACGACAAGCGTCCCCGGAGCTGGGCATCCCATGGCCGGCATGCTCGATTCCGACCGCTCACGTTCACGACGAGAAAGGACGTTTGTTGGAGGGGAATGCGCTGCTTGCGAAGAGCTACTCGAGCATACATTGAGGGGGGAGAGGGTTCTACAATTTTCCTGTGGCCATGTCGCTCACGAGGCTTGCTTCTACGAATACATCCGCGACTCGGATTCGCAATATTGCCCAACATGTGACGCTCCATTGAGCCTGGATTCCTTCCGCGGCGGCAGTATTCTGGATCTAAGTAGGTACCATCTGCCTGTCCGCTATATCACTTCTAACCAAATCACAGCCAAGTTGAGTAATATGGTTCGAGCCGTCGCCTCTAAAGATGTATCTTCACCAAGGAGCTCGCAAAACACACCCATGCCTTGGGAAGCCGGCAGCAGACAAGTTGTCCAGGATGACGCCTACAGCTCACAGGGAATGAGCGAGAGACTCAGCCGCGAGAACACCAACCGAGACAGTCGAGACAGCCAAAGGATGCGCATAGAACGCCTCGGCATCGGCCATGGACTTCACGGATCACAGACTCATTCACGCAATGACAGCGGCAATGCCTCCTCGAGCGACTATGCCAATGACCATGCCGGCCATCCACGAAAGCATGATTATGATCTCCACGCCATGGAAACCACTGTTCCGGGAACTCAGACCAAAGACATGAAGCAACCTATCCCGGTCCCCATTGTAACAGTTCGCAGTGAGTATCCGACGTTGACTCGATCACGCCAGCAGCAGACCGTCACTTGTCTCGTTACCATTGAAGTCCCCGAAGGCAAATTCCATGGACAGTTGGATGAAATGCAGAATACGCCCCCGGTTCCTCCCCTCCCCAGCGACTCTGGCGTCGGAATTCCAGCGATGCATAGGCACCAAGACATTCAGCAGGCACCTCTCGCGTACGAACCTTCAGAGATCCTCGACGAAATCACCGAAGAGCTTAGAATGCGGGTGGACAACTGGCACGGGCTTGAATTTCAGAGATTTGGAAAGTTACGCTTGCATAGTGTCATCCGAGTTGGCAAAGACCGTCACTCATGGCAAGAGCTTGAGTGTTATCTATTCGGGGAGATGCTCATTTGCGTGAAAGAGAAGAAGAACGCCCAGCCTCCGTTGATAACGGAATCTGGGCGCAAACTGACGAGGTGTACTTTGAAAGGCTCTATTCTGATCAAGAAACACTTGCGGCAAGTACATGCATCTCCAGACGAGTGCATTTTGACTCTGAACCTGTCGGTCGCAGAGCTGCCAACTTTTCATCTTTTGTTTCAGGACCGAGACAAGCTGGAAATCTGGCAACGAGCCTTGCGAGACCTACACGCCACGGAACCCTCACCGCGTTTCAATCCGGACTACGAACCAGATACCTCGGGCACCGATGAAGAAGAATATGGCCGTCAGAACCGAAATGTCCGTCGTGTACCCTCCGTTGCATCGTCCTACGGCGGCCCAAGGTCGGCCACTACAGCAGCCACTGAATATTCTATGCCAAAGAATGTTGTCGACAGGCGGGTTCCTCCATCGCTCCACGTACCGATCGACATTGTTGTCGTCATTCCAGTATCGTCTTCTATGCAAGGTCTGAAGATCACATTGTTGAGGGATACGCTACGCTTCCTGGTCCACAATTTGGGCGACCGGGACCGGATGGGTCTCGTTACATTTGGTTCAAGTGGTGGAGGAGTACCGGTTGTTGGAATGACCACCAAGACTTGGAGTGGATGGAACAAAGTCCTCAATTCGATCCGTCCCGTCGGACAGAAGAGTTTACGCGCGGACGTGGTTGACGGTGCCAACGTGGCAATGGATCTCTTGATGCAACGCAAAGCAGCAAATCCGATCTCGACCATCCTCTTGATCAGCGATTCCTCGACTTCAGAAATGGAAGGCGTGGATTTCGTTGTTCAGAGAGCCGAAGCTGCAAAGTAAGCTTGCCCCCTTACCTCTTGTCTATGTCTCTGCTAACCGCTACAGGGTCGGTATTTACTCTTTTGGTCTTGGACTTACCCATAAGCCGGAGAGTATGCTTGAACTGTCGAGCCGCACAAAAGCATCGTATCTTTATGTGAAGGACTGGATGATGCTTCGTGAATGTGCTGGCGGCGTACTGGGCGCGCTTCAATCAATATCTCACCAGAACGTGAAGCTGAAGCTCAAGTTGCCAGAAGGATCCCCTGCAAAATTTGTTAAGATCAACGGTGCTCTGCAGACGACCAAGAGAGCCACTGGCCGAGACGCTGAAGCGAGCTTGGGAGACTTGCATTTTGGCGACAAACGAGATGTACTGGTGCAGCTGGTGATTGATCCGGACACATCGACCTCAGAGCCTGCTCCACAGGATGCTTGGGAATCTATTGTGTCTGGTCTCGAAGCTCTGGGTGGCTCACTCGATACGGACGACCAGAGGATTCAAAGCGTTGAGGAATTGCCATTGATCCAGGCCGATCTGTCCTTTGGCGACCTCCACCGAGAAGGATCCATGGTACAATTGCCCCGGCCATCACTGCTAACTATCACCATGTTACCTTCGAATCGACGTTCTCGCCAGAATGGAAGGCCGCCAACGCCTCCCATCCCTCCCCATCCATCCATAGTTCAAAGGCGTATGGAGTTGTTGACGTCCGACATGCTGAGCCGCGCCCTCACTCTTGTCCAGCGTGGCCAGCATGAGCGTGCGCATCATCTTCTAAATGAAACTAGGACCATTCTCAAAGGATTGGGGAAAGGCGGTCTTCCTCCCCTACCCCCGGCTGCCACCCATCCGGTCAACAAACGACACAGTCCGCAGTCAAAGGCAGGGAGCCCGAGAGCTGCAACACCGGACCACGGCCGTGACCACAGCCCCCATTCAGACACTAGTACACCTATTCCACGCTCTACCAATGTTGACCACACGATCATGAATGCTCTCGACGCCGATATCGAAGCTAGCCTCGAATGGATCAACCACCCCGCCGTCTTCTCACGCGACTCTCGCAAAGCAGTCCTCCAAGCGATAGGGGTGATATCATCTCAACGGGCTTATACCTTCCGAACTGCATCCGAATCTTTATGGGCAGAGCGGGTCACCGGAGTCAAGAGGCTCACGGAGCAGTCGAGAGAATGGAGGGAGACAGGCGACGACGCTCTGACTGAAGAGTAATGAGGCCTTATGACATGATTATATGTACAAATTTCTCCCATATGTGCATGTACATTTTCTTGATTATGTTGCTTGTTCAAGACCAGCGAAGAAAGAACCCCCTATTTCAAGAGGATGAGCTTGCTACAGCGGCCAAAAAGTTGAGCGGTTCGACATGTTTTGGAAAATTATACCCAATGTAACAGAAGCGGCTTGATGATAGCGGTCGAATCGACATTCCATAGATTTATGCCCTGCTTAGTGCATAGTATTGCAGTTGTCGAATCCACCGGCTTTGATATGTTACTCTCGGGGATTTTGGAATAGAAATGTTACCTTCAGACACCTGCTTCCTGAGATTGAAACTCAAGAGAACCTTAAGCACATATATCCGTCCATTTTGATACACAAGTCCCTCCATGCCGATTGGTTGATGCAGGTGTCAGCCTTGTCCAGCCTCGCGCCACCTGAAATTTTTCGTCGCCGCGGGCCTTGCCAAGAAACATATCTTGAAGTTTCCCCATCATCAACAACGATCTTCTGATACATTTCCCCCTCTCAATGCTCGAGATTCGAAGTGGGGAAGAGAAGGTTGCGGCATTAGGTTTCACCATGGAAGATATAGCAGTATACTGCTCATGGGCTGATGCGCAACTCAGTGAGGACCACTCGTTTCTCAGAGTACTTCCAACAGAAATCCGATCAATCATTATCAGGTCAACTGCATCCCAGTATCTGGAGACCCTTGCCGATGCTATTCGAGATCCTCGATGCACAGATGCGCTCTTTCCGCTCTACAAACCTCTCTTGCCCGAGTTACTCGCCAGGTGGTCAGGTGGCACTCGCACCGCTGATCTCAAGGATGTTATCAACACTATTTCATGTCTGGCTCGGGTGCTGCCACTTGCTACATATCTCCGCCCTCACGTCAAGTCGCTTTTTCGGATAGATCACTTGCGATATCGTCTGTTGGATCTAGGAAGGTCTTCGCCTGAGATCCAGGACGACATGGAATATCCACTTCTGCTCGCTCTTTTTCGCCTTCTCTCTTTTGATCGACGCATGCTCACCGATATCGTCACCCCTGTCTTCTTATCATCTTTTCTACGCCATCGTTCATTGCCAGTCAGGTACTTGGCTGTCCAGTGTCTGTGCATGATCCTGCACCTTGCCGATGCTTTTTCAGAGAAAATGGTCAAGACGTATGTAGGCGATGAAGCCGCCTGGGGCCAATGGGAAGGCCGAAGGATCGACTATCGACTGCTGAAGCTTTGGGAGGAAAGACGCTGGAAAGATCTGCTCGGGACGCTAACGAATGTTGAGAAGTTCTGGCAGTCATCACCACTATCGCCTTCAAAAGCGCGCAGCCTGGTTACTGAAAATTTCTCGCCGCGAGTCACTAATATTGGCGGCGTTCTTCACCTGCTATGGGGCGATAATTCACTATGCTCCCCCATTTCCACGTTCGTCCTGACGGCAACGGCGAAGTACAATTTACGGCAGCTCGGGAAGTGTTTGTTGGACTCGAAACCTATTCTCATCTTGGGGCAGGCCGGTTCCGGAAAGACCTCCTTAGTTCATGAGGCCGCGAGGCTCCTGAATCAATCATCATCGATGATTACATTACACCTCAACGAACAAACTGACACCAAGAGTCTGCTGGGTATACACTCTTCCTCGACTGACGGCAAGTCTTTCACCTGGCAGCCCGGTGTCTTGACCAAGGCCATGCAACAAGGGAGATGGGTTCTCATAGAAGATATTGATCGGGCACCTTCCGAGGTCATGGGAATGCTGCGCCCGATTCTCGAGAAGGGTGAACTCTTCCTGCCCAGCCGTAACCAAAAAGTATGCCCGAGGCACGGTTTCCGCATATTGGCAACAGTTGAATCAGTTGGACAGATTTCTCACATTACGAATTCTCGCCATTCGTGGCTACTCAATCCTCGACTTTGGAGCACTGTCGAAACCATCAACTACCCCCCTGAAGAGGTCGAGGCATTACTTCACTCTCGATATCCTGATGCTGGTATCTTCATTGCCACAATCCTGCGAGTTCACGGGAATCTCCTTCGTCTGTACAAGGACAATCATGCACTGAAAAGACTACAGACACGCATGCCCTCCCTGAGAGATCTGCTCAATTTGCTGAGAAGGATAGTTCGCAGATTGGGACGTCATGGGGTTGTTTCAAAGTCGACTGCTCTACCGGAACAGGTAACATTTCACATCTTCAAGGATGCTGTCGACTGCTATGCAGGCTACCTCAACAATGAGGAACTCCATGAATTGCTGGCTGAGAGCATTGCCGCAGAAATGAATATATCCCCCCAGCAAATGCGGTATTGTCTGAATGAAACATTCCCAACGGTTTCTGAGGACAAAGACGTGGTGCGGGTTGGCCGAAGCACTCTTGAAAAGATTCCCATTCGCAGTCGGCAGCCCAGGAGAACTCCTTTTGCATTCACCACCTCGGCTGGGAGAACGCTTGACCGTATTGTTGTCTGTGCCGATTGCTCGGAACCTTGTCTTCTGGTTGGTGAAACTGGCGTCGGCAAGACAACTCTTGTACAATACGTTGCCAATCTCGTGGGTCAAACACTCACCGTGGTCAATCTTTCGCAACAAAGCGAAGGTGGTGACCTTGTTGGGGGTTTGAAGCCGGTAACGGTTCGATCTCTGCTTCTCCCCATGATCGAAAAGTTCAACGCCTTGTTTGATGATACGTTCTCTGCAAAAAAGAATGAGAAATTCCAAATAGCTCTCGCTAAGGCATTTGCAAAGCAAAATTGGTCGAGACTGATAATCCTGTGGAACGAAGCGATTCAAATGGCAGCAACCTCCCTCAATACTGCAGAGACTGTCAACACAAATGGGTCCGTCCACGCAAGCAAGAAGCGCAAGCTTGACACAGCAAAATACATTGTCCTGCGCACTAGGTGGGCCGAATTTTCTGAAAGTTTGAAGCAGATTCGTGCGTTTGTTGATCACGGGGACAAGACGCACACTTTCACCTTCGTTGAAAGTAGGTTGGTTCAAGCGGTCCGAGAGGGCGGATGGGTACTCTTCGATGAAATCAACTTGGCGCCCTCAGACACTCTCGATCACATTGTCAGTCTACTACACAATGGTGATGAGGAAAAGCCGTCTCTACTACTCACTGAAGCGGGCAACGTTGAGACCATCGTTGCTCATCCCAACTTTCGAGTCTTTGCTGCTATGAACCCGGCAACCGATGCAGGAAAGAGAGACCTTCCGCCTGCCTTGCGATCACGATTTACTGAGATATATGTTCCCTCTGGTGACAATAATCTGGAAGACTTGACCAAGATAATTCAAACCTATCTTGGCTCTCTGCTCGATAATGACAAACGAGCTGCCTTGGACCTTGCAAACTCCTATCTCGATTTGAAGAAGCTCAATGAAGCGCACAAGCTTACCGATGGGGCAGGTGAAACGCCACATTTCAGTATTCGGTCGCTCGTCCGGTGTCTGTTATACACGTCACAGCACAGTGCAAGTCACGGCTTGCGACGTGCAATGTATGAAGGGTTTGGGATGAGCTTTTTTACGGTACTGAGCAAAGAAGCAGAAAACTTAGCTTTGCCCTCCGTTGATAAGCATTTGCTCTCAACTGTTAAGAATCGGAAGGCATTCTTCAGTCAACTACCCAAGATCCCGCATGATGAAGATTACATTGCCTTCAGACATCACATTGTTAAGAAGGGCCCCATAACGCCTGACTTCCAATCACACTATATCAGAACACCCTCTGTCGAACGCAATTTGCTCAATTTGGCCCGCGCTGCCTCCATGCGACGCTTTCCAATTCTCTTACAAGGACCGACATCGGCTGGGAAGACCAGCATGGTGGAATATCTCGCAAAATTGTCCGGCAACAAATTTGTCAGAATCAATAACCACGAGCACACGGATCTTCAAGAGTATTTGGGCAGCTATACGTCAGATACCGAGGGCAGACTGGTATTTCGAGAAGGTGTCTTGGTGGATGCGCTACGTCTTGGCCACTGGATCGTGCTCGACGAATTGAATCTGGCCCCAAGCGATGTGCTCGAAGCCCTCAATCGGTTGCTTGATGATAACAGAGAGCTCCTCATTCCGGAGTCTCAGGAAATCGTCCGACCGCATCCTAACTTCATGCTCTTCGCCACACAGAATCCGGCTGGCCTGTACGGAGGGCGGAAGCGACTTTCTCGGGCATTTAGAAATCGCTTTCTTGAAATCCACTTCGATGATATCCCTGAAGACGAGTTGGAAATAATACTTCGAGAACGGGCTCAGATCGCTCCATCGTTTTGCACCAAAATTGTTGCTGTTTACAAGAAGCTGTCTCTTCTCAGACAATCCTCTAGATTATTCGAGCAGCGTAACAGCTTTGCCACCTTGCGGGATCTGTTTCGATGGGCCTCAAGACCTGTGGATGATTGGCAGCAGTTGGCATATCACGGGTTCATGCTCCTGGCTGAACGAGTAAGAGAACCCGTCGAGCGTGCTGTTGTCAGGAACATTATCGAGGAAACCATCAAAGTTGCCATTGACGACAATGTTCTGTATGGCATGTCGAAGATCCCGGAGTCTGTTCAGCGGCATGGTTCGATTGTCTGGACTCCGGCCATGAGACGAGTTTTTGTTCTCGTAGCCGAAGCACTGAAGAATCAAGAGCCGGTCCTCTTAGTTGGCGAGACTGGTTGCGGGAAGACCCAAATTTCTCAAGTGATTGCCGAAGCAGCTGGAAAGCCCCTCGATATCTACAATGCGCATACGAATACCGAAACTGGCGACCTTATTGGCTCTCAGCGACCAATTCGCAATCGATCCGAGCTTGCCAACAACGTACGGGCGAGTTGGCAAGCCCTGGTTCGTTCCAGGCCTGAGGGCATCTTGACCAAAGACCTGGATGTTGGCGAAATTGTGGAAGTATTCAAAAGATTGGATTGCTCCGGCTATGATCCAAACTTTGTCGAGCAAGTCCGATCTAGCATCGGGGCATACGAAGCTCT